CTACGCCATTGAGGATAGCCTCCTGTTTTACAAAGGCCTAATTTATGTCCCCGACGCCGATGACATTCACCGAGATATCCTGGTCCATTGCCATGACGACCCCACCGCAGGCCACTTTGGCCTCCTGAAGACATTCGAGCTCGTGAATCGAACCTATCACTGGCCAGGCCTTCGCCAATATGTGAAACGTTTTGTCAGTACCTGCGATACGTGCCAGAGGAACAAGTCTGTCCATCACAAGCCTTATGGCCTCCTTCAGTCCTTACCTATACCAGAGAGCCCTTGGTCCTCAATCTCCATGGACTTCATCACGCAGTTGCCTGCGTCCCATGGATTCACGTCCATCATAGTCTTCGTGGACAGGTTAACCAAGATGGCCCACTTCGTTGCTACGCATGACGAGGTCGATGCTGCCGGCACAGTGAGCCTGTTCCTAGACACAGTCGTCCGTGCCCACGGTCTCCCCGACGATATTGTCTCCGACCGTGGCACCACATTCACCGCCCAGTTTACTCGTTCGCTTATGGAAGCCCTAAAGGTCAAACAGAATTTGTCAACGGCTTTTCATCCACAGACTGATGGCCAAACCGAACGAACCAATGCAACGCTTGAGCAATACCTTCGTTGCTTCTTGAACTATCAGCAAGACGACTGGTCCAGACTCCTGCCCTTAGCCGAGTTCACGTACAACAATACCGTTCACTCCTCGACGAACCAGACTCCGTTCATGGCCTTGTATGGATACCACCCTCGGTTCAGCATCCACATCCCACGCGTGTCCCGCCACTCACCTGCCGCCTCTGCCCGAATCATGCTGTTGAAGGGACTGCAGGATGACTTGAAGTTCCATATCGGCGCTGCGCAAGAAGCCCAGGCTCGCTACTTCAATCAGCATGTCCAAGCGCCCCCCGACTTTGCACCTGGTGATAAAGTCTGGCTCTTGAGGCGACACATCAAGACCACGCGCCCTTCCGACAAGCTTGACTACCGCAAGCTGGGGCCATACGAGATCCTCGAACACGTAGGGACTCGTGCTTTCCGACTCCGGCTCCCTGCCTCCATGGCACGAATACATCCTGTGTTCCATGTGTCTCTCCTAGAGCCTCATCAGGCTAATGAGATTCCGAACCGTAGCGCACCGCCTGCCCCACCTGTCGAAGTCGAAGGTCAGATCGAGTATGAGGTCGAAGTCATCTTGGATTCACGACTGCGCAACCGCAAGTTACAGTACCTGGTCGATTGGAAAGACTTTCCTCCAGATGAGAGATCTTGGGAACCCGCTGCAAATGTCTCACACTGCCCAGAGCTCATTGCTGAGTTCCATCGCCAGTATCCAGCAAAGCCCGGTCCAGTTCCTGTCGCTCCTGGAAGTCGCTCCTAAGAGAGGGGATTGTCACGGATAGCACCATAGCGTGTGGTGCAGAGTGACAGTTGAGCTGCGCACACAATTGCTCATATTGATTTGTGACTGCTTCTACGCGCTCACGCGCTTGCACGCGTACCTCTGCCACCGTATGCTCGATCAACATATGTTCAACGAAGTATCTTTATTGATATTGCCATTATCCGGCCCGCCTAGAACCATTGTCCGGCCCGTCTAGAACCATTGCACCAGATCCATACCTTTGTGCTATTCCTAGCAAATATACCTCGCGTCCCGTAGTAGCCATCCGAGTACCCTGACCAAGAATCCTAGAAACACATAAATAGAGCCATAGAATCCATAGCATATAACCTCAGTCTGCAATACATTTCTTCCTTACCTTGTCCACTGTCTGTCTCCTCCATAACACATATACCACTCTTCCAAGTCTGTTCCTGACAGCGCCTCCACCACTGCGCCCCCTGTATATTAGTATAAATACCTCTATCTCTCTGTATAATAAAAATCATCCGTTCTAGCCCTTGTCTCTTGTCCCCTGCCTCTCGTGTTCCTACCTCGTGTCCTCTTGTTCCTGCACTTGTTCCTTCCTTCCTTTTGTTGCTATTACACGGTAGCTTCGTGGTGTCAGCAGATTCCGATCTGTTGATATATCCGTCGGTCACCAAGGTTTTGCGGCCGATCTTCCACGGCCTGGCCTATGCATTGTATACCAAGGAGAGTGTTACCAATGCACTTCACGTCCCCAGCGCAGACTATGTGACGTTACTGGGCATCGTGTCCAAGAACGACTATACCGAGAACATTCCCGGCCTTGGAATAGTTCGCAACTTGGAGATCATCCGCGCTCTACCCCAGTCGCCCGATATTAGCCATATGCTCGATGCTTACAGATTCATGGCAGCCATCAAAACCCACGAGGTTATCGACCAGGGCCGATTCAAGCCATCGGAAGACATCTTTTTGGATCTCGAGGAGAAAGTGCTCCAACTGCAGCCAGGAGATGAGGCCGCCGATGAAGACATGCTCGGCTTTGATTTCAACAGTGCAGAACCGCAGTTCCAGCACCTCAAGCTGCAGCGATTTGCCGTCGCTGCATATCAGCATGCGAGTAGAATAGAAGGTAATTTAAGTGCGACACCACTTCATTCACGCACGCGTTGTACAGATATCAAGTTCTCTAACACCTTTTGCATGGCGATGTATGCGTATATTTACTAGTGCGGTTCCCTTCTACGTTGCGAGGAACTCAAAGCGGAGCCAGTTCCGGCCGATCTTTTCAGACAAGAAATCGACCCTACCACGACAATCGATTGACTTCTTGTAAAAGTGTGGCTGCTCCCGTGACCAAACCTTGGCACGGTTGCTCACTCTATTTACGGCGAGTCCGATCCCCGTGCGAGTTAGACACCCTTTGGTGGAGTCTGCGTGATATCCGGGGAGTGGAAACGATGGTGGATACGCGGGATGATGACTGGATAAGGCTGCTGGAGGAGCGGCGAGACAGGGACAATGGTGGCGAGGACAGAGAGAATGTCCACGAGGAAGAAGGAGAAGGAGTGAGCAGTCAAGAAAACGTACAGCAGGCAGCACCGCCTACCAGGCTATGGACAACGACAGACATATATCACGGGCTCATACCAAAGTTCCTGACAACGGATTGGGCGCTACTCTTGAAGACGTCGAAGAGTATCGCGGCCTACCTGGTTGGACGTTTTGTAGAACGAGTTGAGGCTTTTGGCCGAGAGGAGTTATGGAAGGAGCGATGTAGTGCCACAGTGGCATGGGAAAAGTCCGAGGGCATATGCACGAGGATGAAGAAAGCCGGGGTCCAGGTAGGAGGTGAGACCCAGGGCTTTGTGAGACAACAGCCCCAAGAGGAGGTTACGACAGCGGCGAGGAGGAGAGCAGACAGCCGCTTGGTGGACCATCTCCAGGGAAAGGTGGTGTTGAACGAGATGGAGAGAGGAAGGAGGATAAAATTCATATTGGCCCGTGATCTTGACTAGGAGAGGACCCATCGGACCCGACAGGTTGCGTAGCGGTTTTGGGCCCCGGCTCAAGTATTAGAAACCATACGACTCAGAATGTGCACCATAGGTATTTGGTTCCTCATTTTACATTAGTTTAGTGGGGGCCTCTTGATAGCTATCTTTAGGTAACTATCGGCCGGCTGACAGTCCAAGCCGAGGCTTGGACAATGCAGCCTGTGGCACGCCTGCACGCCTGGGGGGATCTGGCGTCAATAAAAAAAAAAAAAAAAAATTTACGGCGAGTCCGATTCGCCAATTTCGTTTTACTTTTCTTTTTTAAAAAAGGTTATTCTCAACAACGCGTCTCCTACGCGCTCGTCAAGGCTAATAACCATTTTCCTAGAAGCCTAGATCCTTTACAATGGATGACCAAGTGCTCACGCGGGTACTCCATACTTTATAACGCGCTAGATACTCTACATGCCTGAAGAGATCTAGACGCATCCTTTTTTATCTTTATTTTTCTATATAAGCTGGAGTGTGTTCCCCTCCAAGATTAGTTCCGGAGTCTCGACCACACAAATAAACATTCTTCTTCAATACACTTACCTGCCTACCCTGCCTTTCGAACATTCGAGCCCCCCACGACTCGTAAGTCTTGTCAACTTACTCCTGATCTTGATCCGTGGTTGACTCGACTCTTGATATCCACACCTTCCTCCCTCGACCGCGTCACACTTCTCGACTGCCGTACCTCACGATCGCCCACAGCCAAAAGCAAAACCTCCCGTCAAGACTCGGAAGGCGGTCGTGAAGAAGAAGAACAAGAAAAAGAGGAAGAAGGGGGCACTGCCGAGAAAACGGAAAGGGGTGGGCTCTGCCGACCCATCGAATCCACGACCCACTTCTGCAACTGCAGCGGACCGCCGCCTCCGCAAGCTGCATATAACCAAGGCACTCACTGTGGGGAGTATCCAGGCCAACATAAAGCGAATGGATCAGATCTCGGTTGCAGAAAGCAGGTTCCTTTCAGACAGGCTACGTTCAACGGTTGCGATCCTTAACGCGATCCAGATGCATATGTACGAGGCTATTGCACTGGATATCGCGCGGCTTGTTCGTTCCAAGGACACAGTGACAGATGTGACACAGCGGAAGGAGGATATTTTAGACATTATCGACAGCAAGGCCTTCTACTTTGCACTCAACACACTCTTGTGCAGTGGTCAAGAAGGACGATGTTCTCAGGCTGTTCGAGTATCGGTTGCCCCTGCGCGCAGGATGAGCGTTCGAAATACGCCGTTGGTCCCTGGCGTCCCGCAACCGCAAGCACAGGCACAACCACAACCATAACCACAACCAACAGCCGCCCATGCCCGACGTGTCTTTGATGCGTACACGACGCTCACCGGCTTTGTCCCCTTTCGCCAACGAGAACCAGAGATGTTCCCTTCGACGGTCTCGAAGCTTGCTGTTGCGGCAGTCTACAATGCAGTCCGAGTCCATTACTATGGCGCAAAGGTATATTAAAGAGTGTGCAAGATGTATCCGTTGTGTTCCTTGCTTTTCGGAGCACTAGTGTTGACCATTAGCTCTTCAAATTTCTTTAATAGTTTTCCGAGAATGAAGAGCGCCCCGAAACTGTTAATTCGATTGACTACTTCTTCGAAAAGAATACCGAGAAGCGCATGTTTGCAGACTTTGTCAAGGCAAAGTTTGCAGCTGGCTTCGTGTTCTTGTTAGAGGCGGACCTTGTCCATTTATTCTATACAAGCAATACGACACGGCCAATTATAGTCCGAATGCTGAGCGATACAACATCCAACGCTGCGGAAGCCAAGGTCGTCGGCAAGAAAGGGATCCTCATCGAGAAGCTGCTATACAGACTGGACTCGGCGACGCGCTTTGACGGGTATTACAGGAAGGTTTCGCTTCAGAGTGACAGACAGCACCACACAAGGTTCAAGCTTCGGGGCATCATCTGCACGAACGGACTGGTGTTGCATCTTCTTGCGCATGACACAACGACAACACGACGCCGAGCGCCCCGCCAAAGCATCAGGGGCGATGACGACGATGAAAGAGAACACGACGACGACGAGGATGTGACCCTGTTCCACGATGTTGACGGTGACTATGACCTCGACGACGCGTTTCTTGAAAGTGGAGGGGACGAATCTGGTACAGATCCGGTCGCAGCTAAGGCGGGACCCGTCAAGAAGAAACACATCACGCTCCCGTCTTCGACGCCAGAAAGTTCAAAGCGGCAGAGGCTGTCGATACACCAACTGCCACCCACAGACCCTACTGCGACTGCTTCGTCCTCATCCAGCTCAGGAGCTCCATCTGGTCCAACGTCAGGCGCAGATACGATCGATGTCACACGCAACGCCATCAACTGGAAGCGAAGTTCAAAGATCCTAGAAAACGTGGAGGTGCGCTTCAACTCTCCTGGCACTTGTCCACCAGGCGATACTGTGGTCATCGGCATTGACCCGGGTGAGGTTTACACAATGACAGCGACAAGAATCGACCCCGCCTTACCTACGAAAAGAGAGTCTTTACAAATCCGCAGGGCATTCTTCTACAGGCCTTACATGCTCTTCAAGCGTCTCCTAGAAAAGCAGAAGGCCGCGACACGCATTGATGTTCTTGAGGCAAGACTGCCCTCATTTACCGTGGAGAAGATCGAGGAATATCTGGCGTACCTTGAGGCGCCTAGCACGGACGGCACCGCCGCGACCGCCACGAGAATCCGCCTTTTTAACTTTTACAACAGTCAGTGGATGCTAAGGAAGCGCTGGGATCTTCAAAAGGCTCAACAGGCAACGTATGACTACGCAGTTGCGGCCTTGCTTCACCTCGCCGTCAGCAAGGACTTTGTTGGTCAGCCGCTGAGCTCGAAGGATGGTGTAAAAGTGGTGTTTGCAATAGAATTGGGCTCTTTTGATTCGCAAACTGGCCTGCCAAGCAAGCATAGCGCACTCGAGAAGAAATTTGTCGGCAAGGTAAGAAGAAGGAAAAAAAAAAAAAAGGGTGGCATACCATCTCTCATCCGCACTGCAACTTTTTCTCACCTTTTTGTTTGTTCCTTGACGCTGCTGATAGGCAAAGGCTATGGGACACACTGTGGTCGGGGTGCACGAGTACTACACCAGTGCTCGGTGCCCTCGTGACCAGTGTATGGCGTTCTTGGAGTCCGACAAGAGGCGGTCAAAGTACTGCCGAAGCTGCCAAATGTACTTTGATCGCGATATTGTCGGCTCTGAGAACATTGCCACCGTGTGTCTGTCGTAAATCCAGAACCAGTACCAGCTTACCAAGTTCATGCCATCAACATAATCATAGGGGGTCGGAACCCTCTTTCAAAGTTTGTAAGTTCAACATACAAAAAATAACATGCATGAACACCCGAATTCTAACCAGTCACTTTTTTACTTGATTTGGGTAGACAGATACTGTAGTAGGGTCAATCGACTCGAGAAAAAAAAAATTGCTTGCAGACCATGCGTCTCGTGCTCATGTGGATTTATGTTAAAAAAAATGTGCCTAGGTTCTTGCTTTCATCCATCTCCGTCGTTTTCTGACCCACCTACAGGTTTCCTTCAATAGATCTAATGTCTTTGAGGGTTCGCGTTTAAAATAGTCCATCTCCTTCTCTGCCGCTTTCTATTTTCTATGCCTTAGTCCTATTTACCATCGTTCACCGTTTCTAAATGCTTCGCCCACGTTGGACCTACCCTTTCTATATCCCGTTTGTTCTCACTGCGCCTTCCTCCCTTGTTATCTTTCGCCGATGACGATCGCCTTAATTCCATATATTGTTCTGCCACACGTTGTACTTCCACTACCGTGTCGATCATCATACACGACGAACTTTCTCGACATAATCCTGCTGTAGATACAAAAACATGATCTATATACTTGAAATAAACTTGATGCCTAGGTCCCTCCTGGCTCCTCCTGGCATGGGATAGATACTCACTTGATATGGTAGATTTATTCGACCAATTAATTGTCTTTTTCTATTAAAGACCCTTCACGTTTAGTGTTAAAACCGTTTATTCATCTGCTATCTTGTCTTCGTACCCTCCCTATCTTTCGGGATCTTTAACCCACCAATCTCTCACCGAACCTAAGGTTTATTTTGCACTGAATGCATCTTATTTTTTCGGAGGGAGTGAAGGGAACTAGTCTGGTATGGCCTATATAGCACATGACCTAGAATATGCTGCGGAAGATCAGTTTTATTCTTAGCGCTGGTGATCCGTAGGCTTGCAAAGGCAAGGTGCAAAGAGGCACAGCTGTGTGCTAGGCTGTACGCTGTATGCTGTATTTCAAGCAGTGAATTTTGCCATGCTTTTGTTGGGAAGGAAGCCACGGAGCGGAAAAAAAGGAAAATTGGCCAGTGCGCGGAGGGGACGCATCTGGTTTAACAAAAAAAGAAATCCAGGGGCGACAAAGACTTATCCATTGTCTAATTGTTTGATGATATTCCGCCTCTTGAGACGACTCCTGTTAGTTATTTAACATGGATTTTCAAAAGGATATATGCATGCAGTGCAGATACATGCAGAAGCTTGCACTCTTACTGTGCATGGCACTTTATTTATTCCGATTTCTCCACAAAAATAGAGCACAAAAGCCGTGATGATCAATAGAGATCGTTTGCGGTATTTGACCTGCAATCTGTGTTTGGAGTAGATTGAGGGAGGCGAACGAAAACAGGTAGTGTAAAAACATTAGCGGTCAGGCGAGGAACTGAAAGCAAAGAGTTGGTGGCAAGCAATAGACCGACCAATGAAAGTCGCGTTCCTGAAAAAAACGAAGAGGCCATACAAATAAATGGGAAGAAGACGCTGCTGGCGAAGGAAATGGCGATGGCGATGGTGATGACATGGAATGGATGGATGGATCTGATTCGCATTCGCCACGGGGGAAGTGTCAGCTACTGTCTAGGAAAGCCTTAAACACTTTTTTTTGGGGAGTAAGGGTTACTTGCTGGCTGCCCCCTAACTTTTTTTTCTTTTGGTTACTTGCCCTACCTCCTTTTCAAAGTTCAAAGGACAATGGTGGAACGCACACCTCACCTTTCTCTTCTCCTCTTCCTCATTCTCCACCTCTCCTTCTTTCCGTCATTCAACTCCATTCAGATTCAACCCCGCTTTTTGCGCATTCGCCCTTACTTTGCTTTTCTTGATTTTTTTTTTGTTGCGCACTTCTTGGTGGCCTCTGCTTTTCATTGTTAGTCCACACACCTCACACCTTTGGTACCCCACAATCTCACACCTCTATTTTCCTACAAGGAAGACCTTTGCTTGCTGTGCCTTTCGCCAAATCCCTCTCTCCACAAAGGCAAACAGACGACACCATAGCGCCTCCAAATCCCATCCTCACGCCTCCTTTGCAACGCAAGCGACAATTGCTCGTTTTTTTTTCTGCCATATTAGAAATTGGTACTTCCCGCCTTGTTTTACTCCGCCCTTGTTCACAATGGACCGTTCTCTCGATTCGTCCGAACCCACAATGGCCAGGGCCGATACAGCTTGCACAGGGCCCTACAAAGACCTATCCATAGCAAACTTTTCAGATGTATTATGGGCCTCGGCGTCGTCCTCATGTTCATCCCTCCTCTTAGGCACAGGTGTAAGGGACTCGGACAAGGTCATGGTCATGAGCAAGGATGGACATATCACGGACGCGTGTTCAATTAGTCCGCGTGATGAGGCTTCATTGTCCATATCCACTCACAACACAACCTTTACTGCTGCCATCGTCGCAGCTGCTACAACTACTGCTATGCCCAACACTACCGACAACTGCATTCCTCCCTTAACTCAGGACCACAAGCGCAACTTTTCATACGCTAATCTACCGCCAGAACTCATTGTGCACATCTTCAAATTCCTGGTATCAGCACACGACCTCCGCTCTGCAATTCTGGTCTGCAAGATGTGGTGCAATTGCGGAATGGATCTGCTCTGGTCAAAACCTTCTCTTTCGACCTTTGCGACTGCAGAAAGGATGGTGCAGGCCATGGCTGGACCCAACACTGTCTTCCCATATGCCGATTACATTCGCCGACTCAATCTTTCGTTCTTGGCTCCGGACTTGACTGATTTGATTCTGGGACACTTTGCATTGTGCTCGCGCCTAGAGCGACTCTTGCTTGCAGGAAGTATCAACATTACGGACGCCGGCCTGAGGCGGATCCTGTCCAATTGCGCAGGATTATGTTCACTCGATCTATCCGAGATCCCTGCCATAACTGATGCACTGTTGGAGAGTGTTGCGGGAGGGTGTCCTCGGCTGCACACCCTTTACCTGGGTTCGTGCTCGTCTATCACGGACGACTCTGTGGTCAGGATAGCAACGAGCTGTCCTCAGCTCAAGCGGGTAAGACCTCAATGAATATTGTTTCTATGAGTTGCACATTCTCTTTGGCCCCCCCCCCCATGATGGATCCTACTTGTGACAGATCAAGATCTGCCCATACTGCTCTCGGTCCTGCCCCTTGTCTTTGGCTAATACTAGTTTTTCTTTTTATTCCATCTCATTTTTGCACATCTTTACGAAAATAGATAAAGCTGAGTCAATGTGGGTTGTTGACCGACCGGTCTATCTTAACCTTGACAGGGAATTGTCCGCAGTTGATTGAAATTGATATGACCAGCTGCAACCTGGTGTCAAGCGACGCCGTCCACTCTATCTTTGAGAATCTCCCCCAGATTCGTGACATCAACATGACGCTCCTTGCCCACATCTCCGACCAGGCCTTCGCGTCGATCCACCCCTCAACCCATCGATTTGAGCAGCTTCGTATTCTCAACCTCACATCATGTTCGCTCATCACGGACGAAACGCTCATCAGGATCATCCCAGCTGCACCGCGTCTACGGAGTTTGGCCCTCACAAAGTGCGACAAGATCACGGACACCGGTGCCAGTGTGATCAAGACCCTGGGCAAACATCTGCATTATCTGCATCTAGGCCATTGTGTCAAGATCACAGACAGGCTTGTGGCTACATTAGCACAGCATTGTACGAGGATACGATATCTGGATCTCGCCTGTTGTACCAAGCTCACGGACGCCTCTCTGTTTGCGTTGGCACAGTTGCCAAAGTTGCGCAGGATCGGATTGGTCAAGTGCTCGAACATCACGGATCATGGCATCTACGCCATGTTGCTCTCGCAGGTCCTGGCACAGTCCCTGGAGCGAGTGCACCTGTCGTACTGCATCCATCTGTCCGAGAGTGCAGTGGCGGCCCTCGTTACCCAATGCTCTAAACTGACGCACTTATCTGTTACGGGTGTGCACGCATTTATTTCGCCCAATTATCAAAGGTTTTGTCGCGCACCGCCGCCAGAGTTTACAGCTCACCAGCGTGAGGTCTTTTGTGTGTTTTCAGGAAAGGGTGTTCGAGACCTCAGGAGCTATATGCAGGAGAATCCCGTCATGCTTCCTTCGGAGGCCAGTCTGGCAAGCCTGCGGGCGAGCTATGGAAGGGCAACTCTGGCCGCGGATGCTATTGCCTTGGACGGACCAGATCACGAGCAGGAGTCTTCCCTTATGTTGCATTCGCTTACGGCAGCAACGATACTGGCGCAGATGAGCAGTGGCATGTTGGCAACAGATGCAGGAATGATTACGCAGGCCACAGGGGATCAACCGCTGGAGACCCTAGCAACAGCAGCGGCGGCAGAGGTAGCAGTTGCGACCGAGGGAGAAGAAGGGGTAGAGGCGGATGGGCCTGCGGATATGGAGGGTGTACTCGAGGAATCGACGCAAGGGCCACTGGTATTTCTTGAGGACTCAGGACGGTCGAGCTCTTCCTTTCCAGGTCCTTCATCACCAACCAGGTTTCCTGTCCTCCAACACCCTCACCATCGTGCTCCTCACTACTACCATAGCCATCGAACTGATCCTGGCGCTGTCGTGCTGGACGGGTCGGACATGGAGGTGGACCAAGCGTTTGAAGAAGATGCACAGGGCACTGACAATCCAGGAAGACTACCAAGCCCAGGCACACTGGCGCGATCGCTGAACAGGGAAAGTGAGGGAAGTGGCGCGGGCAGTGCCAGCCCCGCTGAAGAGGAGGAAGAGGAAGCAGATGACGAGGACGAGGAGCTCTAGGGGGAGGCGGAGGAGGGCTGTTTCTGCCATAGACCACATAGTCGTCTTTCAATGCTAAAGATAAGAAACCCCTGGCATAATCCGAATAGCATCGAAAGTGTAATGATGCTGTAGTTTTGATTTGAGCTGCAGAATGAGTTCAGGGGCGCAACTCTGTGTGGAAGGTACTTCCGTGTCTTTTCCTCCTCTTCTTGCATCCCTTCCCAATTCATCGCCTCATTCACTTCATTCCATCCCTCACACTCCCACTTCACCATGACAGCCTCTAAAAGTAAGCCCAAGGGAATGGTTGCTTAATGCCCAGAATGTATTAGGGCAGCACTTTAACCTATTCTATGGATATTGCATCCAGATTTGACAATCTACGCGACAGATATGAACATCGCGCATATGCACGATGATCGTAAGCCCAAACCGGCGACGGAGGACATTGAGCAGATCTCTTGGCAGCTTATCCACCACCCATTGAGCCCTGGGAGCGACATCAAGGTTGCAAACCTCGTCTCGGTCTCCTGGCTGGACGTCGCGGCCATGTTTCGAGACGCCAATGCGCCCTCCGAGACTGGACGGTACAGTGTCCACTGGAGAATCAACCTGAACGGATCCGCATCGGAGGCGGTCGTTGCTGGCACTGAATTCCGTGCCATTGTGTTCAATAAGAACGAGGTAGGTTGATTATTTAAATTAACCGATCCCTTTGAGGATGGAAAGCGAACTCAAGCACTGACAGTTTTGTTCTTTTTTTTTTTTTTTTTTTTTTTTTTTGGTGGGGCCATTCTTCAAATAGGACCCGCTGTCAGATGCTCTGTCCAAGAACCGCACCCCCGATATTTCATTCAAGCCCACGAACGTACAAGAGCTAATGCAGCATACGGACCGACCCGGCAGTGTACCGGGACGACCCAAGAATCTTCAAGAGGCTGTGGCTCTCCAAGAAACGCCTGGATATAACCCCAATGTCCAGGGATTCTTCACACTAACCCTGCCCGGCGAACTTGACATCGAAGGAGGCAATGTTGGAGGCGTGTTGGTCCAGATTCAGAACCATTCCAGGCGAGTAATAACAACGTATCTATGTTTCGTTTGTCATAGGCTCAAGACGTTAAAGCTGATATCTGGTTTTATTACGGTTGTATATTCAAAAATAGTACTTCGAAGAGTGGATTCCAGATCGAGTCAGTCCAACTCCTTCGCGTAGAGTAGAACAAAGAAGGACTGCGACCAATACGCGTTTTTTCTTCAATAAAACGACTACTTACAAAAGAAAGAAATCGTATAGCATGTGTTTCTGTCTGGCAACAAAAAGAATTAATGTGTTCGAACTGGTGGAGGCTTGTAGCGGGACCGCCGCGAAGATCCCATGTTCAGCTGCATATTCATCGCTGCTAGCTGTAAAGGATCTTGTTGCTGTTGCTGCTGAAGATACACCTGCTGCTGTTGCTGCTGCTGCTGCCGCTGGGCCATCAGACTACCGAGCCCCAGTGGTGAAATCGGGGACGCCGGACTCGAGGCAATTGAGGACGTTGGTGAAGGCATACTTGTCAACAGCGGGGGGATCGCATTTGTATTTCCGTCTCCTGCAAGCATGGCTGCATACTGCATCAACTCATGGGCCATTGGGATCGTCACATTGGAGTTCAAACCGGACCCTTGCCATCCTTGCTTCTGTTGATGCAGCTGCTGCACTTGCTGGTAGAGATGTCTTTGATACGCGGTGAGCTGTTGGAGGGCTTGCTGCTGCTGCTGGAAGGTCTTGCCTCGCCTCAAGGAGGGTACATTGGGTAGACGTGCTTGTTGGCCATTCATGGCACCAGCACCGCTATCGCGGCCTGTTCCTCTGCCGCCGTGGTTGTTGCCACGACCACGGCCACCCCGACCGCCACCACGGCCACCACGGCCAGCATTTTGGTGCTGTTGTTGCTGCTGAAAATGCTCATGAGGATGACCCGAGTGACTCTGGATCTGCCCTCCATATGCCTGGGCCAAGGCCAATAGACCCACCTTTGTACCATTATACTCGCGACTGTTCACCATCCTTGCCCACACATCATTGACCTGTTGCCTCTGTTGTTGGTGCTGCTGCTGGTGCGGTTGGAAGAACGAATGCTGCTGCGGTTGTTGTTGAGACATTTCCATCTCTATCTCCATCCGCTTCATAAAGCCTGTCAGCTGTCCAAACTGCACCGGACACTCTCTCGCGAATCCAGCCATCAACTGCACAAATGTCTGCTCATCCCTCACTCTCAATTCCTGCAGTCTCGTCAAGAACTCCATCTGGGCACGCCGCTGTTCGCGCTGAGCCTCGGCTGCTTGGAAAAATGCCCAGGGTCCTGGCGTGAAATGAGATGGGCTTGGTGTGGGGGCGAACAGGGTCGAGGGAGGATCTAGTTCCATCATCGAGGGCTCACGACGCAGCGCACGAAGCGAGGGCAGGTCAAGGTCCATAAAGGACCTTTGGCGGGTCGTTTGTCGACGGAGTAAGGACGGCGGATGGCCAGGACCGGTGCGGCGGAGGATCCCAGGAGTATCGGCATGCCCTGCAGAGGAAGAGGAAGGTGTTTCTGCTGAGCGGGTGAGGGTGCTGTGCTTCTGGCGGAGTTCGATAGGACGGCGTTTGCGGTGGACGGTAGGGGCATGCTTTAGGATAGATAGCTTGGATTGGCCGATTTGGGGCTTCATGTTGCTTAAGTGTTGTGGGTATGGACAATAGGAAGGAGAGGGCGTGAGGAGGTGGAAAAAGAAAAAGTGATGAGGAAAAGAGAAAGAGGAATGAACAAAAAAAAAAAAAAGGAAGAAAAAGAGCGGCCCGGTCGAGGCGAGCGTGAGAGCTGCTGGTAGGAAGAAAGAGTCGGCGAGCGAGGCAGGGTCAGGGGCAACTGAACTCGACGGACGAGTGGGAGGGTGTCCAGCTGTTGCGGGTGCTGCATCTTCACTGCATTCATGCGTCTTTTTCTTTTCCCGTGCAGAACACACGGCCCAGCACAATGCGGGGACAAAAAAGGAAATGCCCCCCTCGTCTTTTTTAGTGGCAAAATGGTGGCAAAACCTAAAAGTGCAGCGGAGAGTTTTTATTCTAATAAGAGGAGTGTATTTTCTACAGCTGGGGGATGAACTCCTTTGCGCGGAGGTAGTCGAGAATGATCTACAAGAAAGTACAGAAGAGCGATAAGTGACCGATATCTCAGACTGGAGAGGGAAAAAAGTATACCTTACAAAGCGCTAACTATACCTGAACACCCTCCTCGATCGAGACCTTGTCCGTGTGGATGTGGATCTCGGGGTTGACTGGGGCCTCATATGGTGCAGAGATGCCGGTGAATTCTACGTTGTGATTTACAGGGAATGTTACGATGGTAAGTTCAAAGCGTTTCTCGTATTGACGTACGTCCGCAGCAGCAACAGTAACCCATACCCTTGATCTCGCCAGCCTTGGCCTTCTTGTACAAGCCCTTAGGGTCACGCTCCTCGACAATGGACAAGGGGGCATCAGCAAAAATCTATCCGATAGGTGGGTCCGGTGTCAGTACTCGTAGCATCATTCCAGACTGGTTGTGGATCTGGTACTCCACATAATTGCCCTTTGCCGCTGTTCAATTGGTACCTCAATGAAGGGGATGTTGGCCTCCTCGTGCAACTTCCTAGCAGCATCTCGGTCCGAAATGTAAGGGCTGATAAATGCTGTAATGGCGATCTGAGTCGAGTCCGCAAACAGCTTCGAGACCTATTTTAGTTAGTATAAAGGCCCCATTTGTAAAAGGTCAGCCTTCATTGATAAAAGTTCGATAATACACAGAGACACATGGTAGTGATCGAAATGGTACCTCGGCAATGCGGCGAATGTTCTCTGTGCGGGCATCAGGTCCGAAGCCGAGATCCTTGTTCAATCCAAAGCGGATGTTGTCGCCATCGAGACGGTAGGCTGCGATCTTGAGAGAGACCAAATGCTGCTCCAGGGCAGAAGCCAATGTTGACTTGCCGGATGCAGACAGGCCAGTGAACCAGATGGTGAGACCCTATGTTATGTAGGAAACAGAATAACAAAGGAAGATCAGTCATGATGTTCAAATAGGTTGCCAAGGGGATCTTTGTGAGCGACACCACCAACTACAATATGCCGGCGAGCAATTGAAGGATTGGGGCGGGCCATGTGGGTGCGAGGAGCGGTTTATGGCATGACGATGAGAGGACGGACCTTCTGGTTTAATTCCTTCTGACGCTCATCGCGAGTGAAGGCGCCGTGATGCCAGGTGATGTTTGTAGCGACCATTGTGTGATATTGATGTACGTCTGTAAGTTGAGGCAAAGGGCGTCGGACTGGTTAAGGTCGAATGAATGAGGAAGAAGGATCAGTGAGAAGGAATGCAAGATGAATGAGATGCAAGAAAAAAAAAAGCGCAAGGAAGCAAACCGGAGAAAACTAAGAAAACATCAATATCTTGATCTGATGCGATGGCGCTATAGGATTATAGGTGCTTTGCCGTAATTGCTACTGCAGAGACCGAGCGCGCACTTCGGCCCATCTATGTTCTCATCCATCTCGCCCCTGATTGGCTGGCTCGAATCCGTACCTGGTGTGCCCCGTCCCCACAGCACAGTCACCCTTCTTTCTCTGATCTTGAGGCCCTGAATTCTAGATATTCCATCGTGCTGCAAAGTCGCGTCTTCTTGACCATATCCTGCGCGACCAACACAGCTGTGCCCTGCATACGGGATGCAGAAGCATCCGTGCCTTAGCAACAACTTGTACAACTTAAACCTCGTCCTAAAGTTTGGTAGGCCTTAAGGAAGTCATACCAAAAAAGAGAATGGATCAGGACCAATGGCCAGTTGAGGGTATGCATTCCTTACGTCCCTAATGCATTGATATATCTTTAGATTATCTTTTTACCTTGCCCACACAATGACCCTCTGACATAATTGCAGCGGGCGGAGCAACTATATTACACAGCACAGGTTTCCGCTTTGTACGGCACTTAATGAAACTTCCCTTATAAGTTCGTCTTGTTTAGTCAGCGCATTCTTAACATGCCTTCCTTCAGATATGACTGATTTACACCTCCTCCATCCATGATAGCGAGGGCATTAGAATTAGTGAGCCATTCCGCCGGAAGCTCATTACGCTTAAGGAGGGTTTTTTCTGGGAAGGTAGCATCGGAAAAGCGGCGCGAGCCACACAGGAAGGACCGCAGTAAACGACTGAGGGATTTGCATTATTGTTCGTAAAAATAGACGAGAGTACGTGGCACAAAAAAGTCGACCAGTACAAAAACAATGGCAAAGAGTCCATATTTAAGCATCGACGCCGGCAAGGAAGAAGGCAAAACACTCGTCATCCTCCCGCCTTGATTTCTTTGGCATCACGTTTTCAGTGTAAAAGTAAGAGATCTTTCCTATGCAAACGCTACAGCAACCGTTTCTCCTGGCGCTCGAGGGCAACTTGGAGGAAAAGTCGAACCTGTCTAAGGACTCCTTCTGTCGACTGCCGGAAGGCTGGGTAAGTTTATTAAGTGCGCTTGCGAGCGATCAAGTTATAATTGCACCCGTCGATTGAAAATATATGTCTGCATGCAACTCACTTAAGTGCCGCCACGACAATTCTGCGCTTCCTTTCATACATCATGTAGGGCCCAGCAAGCCGTGGAAGATTTGGTTTCACGCTTTGCTTTGAGTACTGGTATGAAGAAAGCTAAGCAACTGAACCGCTACATGGTATTCAACAGGTGACTCACAATGACGCTTGGCCATAATTCTTCGCTGGTTTCTTGTAGCGTGCTCCTAGGTCTACTCTCGGTCCTGGCCTTGGTATCGTTCGTGGCTCGCGTCATTTACCTGAAGAGAGAACGCAAACTCCATGGCTTGGGAAGAACCGGCCTGATCTATTGGCCCACACAGATCTTCATGGGCACAGCAGCACTATCGGCCTTTGTCAGTGCCCTGTTGTCGATCATCCAGTCGAGTGAACCATCTCCGGCTGCCATTACTGGCTATTTCGCGTTAGGGTCTGCATGGGTACGCGGGAGCAAGCAGAGTAATTATGAGGCTGAACTATCTGGACATCTGGGCTAATGCATTGGACTTGAATCTGCATGTTGTTAAATGTATAGGGTCTTGCGGTCTTCCTCAACTATTACGAGCACTTATACACTATCCGGTCGTCCGACCTCATATTTTCGTATTATGTGCTGTCCATTTCTGCCCTGTCAATCCATGCCAGGACACTCAACATCCTTTCTGAAACATCAACCGAGGTCTCGCTGCAGTTGATCACGATATGGGCCATGATTGCATCCCTTCTGCTCGGTTTCATTGTAGAGGCATGGCCCCGCGGACACACCAAAGTCCAGCAAGCAAGCACCGCAACTATTTACGAGAAAGCCAATCTTTTTTCCCAGGTCACCTATTACTTCTACCAGTCGATCATCTCACGCTCTGTCAAGAGGACCCTAACGCCGGATGATGTCGCCAACCTGTTGCCTGACAGTATTGTGTCATCCAATGCTCATGCACGACTCAACTACTACTGGACCAGGGCTACCCAAAGCGCAAAAGCGAAGCACAGAGCGGGATGGAGCTCCCAGAATCTAGGACACGCCCCCGCACCTTCCTTATTCCGAGTAATTTTACGGTTTTACAGGCCTAAAATGCCTGCAATGGTCGCTCTACGCCTATCACGAGTATTTGCAAACTATGCGGTTCCGGCCATCTTGAGTCTTCTCCTGGCGTATTTTCAAGATATTCAGCATGAAAGAGAGTCGGCATATGCTCATCCTGACATCGAGCCATCCCGCATCGATGTATCCGGCTACACCAATACCGTTGACGGCTCGAGCTACAAAACAAGCCTTGAATATGGCCTCACGCTGGCCATAGCTATGTTCTTGGCTGGGCTCGCGAATGCCGTACTCTTGGTCGTAACCCGGCAATATTATGTGATGTGCGGACTCCAAGTCCGAGCAGCCTTGATCTCTATGGTATACCGGAAAGCTCTGCGATTGTCTCCAGGAGCGAAACAAAAGTCAACAACAGGCGCGATTACGAACCATATGTCTGTCGATGCGGATATTTGGGGAGATGGCGTTATTTTCTTGACCATGGGAATATCGATCCCAGCCGAGATTGCTATCGGAATCTGGCTATGTAGGTGTGAATGTGGAGCGAGTGATCAAAAGAAAATTCCTTCAGGACCTGATACTGACTATCCTTTGATTCTTTAGTATATCTATTGCTAGGATGGAGTGCTGGAATAGGCCTGCTGGTACTGGTGGCCCTTTCACCACTTCAGATCTGGCGCGGCAGGGCCTTCAGCAAGCTACAGCGTCAAAAGTGGACCCAAATGGACGAGCGCATCCGCCTCACCACGGAAACGCTTTCTGCTATCAAAGTTGTCAAGCTCTATGCCTGGTAAGCACAAGCTCCATCGCTCTTTTTTTTTTTTTTTTTTTGCTACCGGCAATACTTATCTCTTTTCTTTATATAATAGGGAGAGTCCTTTCCTAAAAAAAATTCTTAACGTTCGCAACCGTGAACTCGGCGTACTTCGCCGGATGGGAATGGTATCTGCAGTCATGTCCACTATATCTTCCTCTTCAACAGTTATCGTCTGCCTTATCACACTCTCTGTGTACGCTGCGTGGGGCGGTCCCGATTTCACACCCATCGAACTCTCTCCGCAGGCAGTTTTCGTGAGCATGACCCTCTTTGCAATGCTCAAGACCCCCATTACCAGCATAAGTGAGGCGATCACGTCGGTGGTCAGCCTCTTGGTGAGTACCCAACGAATTCAGGACTTTTTGTTTCAGGAAGAGACGGATAAGGATGCTATCGTTCGCGAGCTTGATATTTCGAAGCGTCAGCCAGACGAACCGCTTGTGTTGATTCGGGATGGAACGTTCGCGTGGACGAAGCAGGAGATTATCGATGCAAGCACCGCGGAGGAGATTGATGAAGCGGACGAAGCTCGCGGTCTTTTATTTGAACAGGAGGAAGAAGAGGCGAGAGGACGCAACACAGGGTTTATGCCGACCTTGAAGAAAATCTCGCTGTCTATCGACAATGAATCTTTGGTTGCTGTGGTGGGACGCATCGGTCAAGGAAAGTCATCTCTGATAAGCGCCATTATCGGAGAGATGTACAAGGTTCAGGGCCATATCAAGACGATCGGACGGATTGCATATGTGCCTCAGCAAGCCTGGATCTTGAATGCAACTCTGCGCGAGAACATCCTGTTTGGCAAGGACTTTGACCACGATCGTTATTACCGTGTCCTACGCGCTTGCGGACTTGAACCAGATGTCGAGATGCTGCCCGCGGGAGACTTGACCGAGATTGGCGAGCGTGGTATCAACTTGTCGGGCGGACAGAAGCAGCGAGTGTCACTAGCTCGAGCGGTGTATGACGATGCGGACATCTATTTGCTGGATGATCCTTTAAGCGCCGTTGATGCTCATGTGGACCAACATCTGTGGACGAACGTGGTCGGACCACAAGGTCTGTTGTGCCGAAAGACAAGGATCTTGGTCACTCATGGAATCCACCACCTGCAGCAAGTCGACCGTATCATTCTTCTTAAAGATGGCCGAGTGGAAGAAGATGGGCGTTACGAGGAGCTGATGGTCGCAGAAGGAGTCTTTGGCCAGCTGATCAAGGAATACTCTGTTACCCATAGAGAGGAACTTACTGCAGCAGCGGAAGCCGTTCAGGTCGAGTCTACTGGTGCGTCTCGAACTGGAAGGACGGCAGAGTCATCTGGTATCGTAGCAAAACAGGCGGCGAGCGATACTGAAACAAGCAGCCAGGCAAGCACAGGAGAAGGAACGGTCAAAGATGTGGCCAAGGGAAAGGTGCAAAGGGATAATAGAAATAAGGGCGCCAGGAGAAATACGAGCGCGCAGCTCGTTGCGGCTGAGAAGATCGAGGTCGGAGATGTCCGAATGAGTGTTGTCAAGGGCTACCTAGATGCTTTGTAAGTTCATTGCAATCACCTTGATCTGTTCGAGATCTGGTATTGCATTTGTGCCAGCAGGCTAGTATATTGTACTTCTAACGCAACCATCTTCTTCCTCGATATGCGTCCTTGCAGCTCCTACAAGTACACGGCGATTGTGATCGCGCTCCATGTTTTAACACAGATCTGCCTGGTTAGCACCAACCTATGGCTCAAGCACTGGATTAACACGAGCAAGGAAAACAGCGACGAAAATCCACCATCACTCTGGTTTTTTATTCTCGTTTTCACGATATTGACCTTTGCCCACGTGGGTACTTGCGTCGTTCTCTTCTGGGTCGCCTTTGCGGTGGCCAGAATTCGTGCTTCTAAACAGCTGCATCAACACTTGATGGCGACACTCATGCGTTTGCCTCCTGCGTTCTTTGATACAACACCGTAAGTCATTATTGCCACGGACCCGCTTACTTTTGTTTTTGATTCCATTCATATTTCATTTAGTGTGCTTGCTAAGCTTATATCATCCCCTAGACTTGGCCGGATTATTAACCGCGTTTCAAGCGACATCGCCTCAATTGATGACCGCCTGCCGGCGAAACTTTTTGAAGCGACACTGCAGGCCGTCAGTCTGCTCGCATCGCTCACTGTCGTCGCTGTAACCACACCGGTCTTCTTGTTCGCTGCACCCTTCATGTTCGCTGCTTACCGTACCATCCAGTCCTACTACCTGCACGCCTCACGTGCTTGCAAACGCATGTTCCAGGTCACAAAATCGCCCATCTTCCAGCACTTTCAAGAGACCCTCGGGGGAGTTTCGACCATCCGCGCGATGGGCCTGCAGGACCGATTTATCCAGGCGAACGCAGCGAAGAACGATTTGCATACCAATGTCTATGTGGCACTTGGATACTGTATCCGATGGGTCGAGATTCAGACGCAGCTCATGAGCTGTTTGGTGACCCTGATGGCCTCACTTTGGTTCGTGTTGGCAACTCGGGACGTTGATGGAAACGGCAGGTCCGTGGTGGATGCGGCAACTGCAGGACTGGCGCTGAGCTTTGCAATGAACATTTCTCAATCGCTGATCTGGTTCACGAGGACGTATTGCGATCTGTTCACACATCTTATCAGTGTCGAAAGAGTTCAGGAGCTAGCCGAGATGAAGACGGAGGCACCACTTTGGACGGACCCAGATTCAGAAGCTGGATGGGCGTTGGAACAAAGTCGCTGGCCGCCACAGCGTGGATCTATTGCGTTTGTGGACTACTCTACTAGATATAGAGAGGGCCTGGATTTAGTGCTGAAGCATGTCTCATTTGTGGTCGACGGTGAGGAACGCGTGGGTATTGTCGGTAGGACAGGCGCAGGCAAGTCCAGCTTGACGTTGGCGTTGTTTAGGATGGTGGAGGCTGCAAACAGCTACTGGGCCAGGGCTTCTGATAACAGCGGCAGACCAATCGAGTCGAACAGCACGACGGACGATGCAGACAACGGACAAGAAGAAAACATCGACGGCGGGAAGATTGAAATCGATGGCATTAACGTCTCCACCCTCGGCCTCGCGGATCTCCGCCAGCAACTTGCCATTATTCCGCAGGAACCCGTCCTTTTTGCTGGTTCAATTCGCGAGAACCTTGATCCTTTTCAAGAACTAGAGGATGTAGTCCTGTGGGAAGCCCTTGGGCGTGCTCATCTCAAGGACCACATTTCGTCGTTGCCAGGCAGGTTGTCGTTTGAGGTCTCTCAGAACGGCGAGAACTTTTCGGTTGGCCAGCGGTCGTTGATCTGCCTTGCGCGAGCTCTTCTGCGCAAGACCAAGATCCTTATCTTGGATGAGGCCACGTCTGCTGTTGATGTCGAGACCGACGAGCTGATCCAGAGAACCATCCGCACAGAGTTCAAAGATAGGACTATCCTTACCATTGCACATCGTATCAAGACCGTGATGGATTCAGACAAGATCCTTGTCCTAGACCAGGGATGTGTGGTCGAGTATGACTCACCAAAGGCATTAATTCATAGAGAGACATCCCTGTTTCACAAGCTTGCCAAGCAGGCGGGGGAATTGTAGACTAGATACATCCTAGACTATGTAGAAAAAGAAATAAATATACGTTTCGGTCATCAAACACTACGGTGATATTACATTCTTCTCAGCAGCGCTTTCAATCTATGCAAAAAAGAGGATTAGGTATTTGATGATGACTAGAACTGTCAAAATATTAACGACTGCAGCAACATATAGCCTGACGATTGACGTCGTCTACACCATGCGGACGAAACGTTTGCGTTTCCTACAGTTTCTCGCACCTTGGCCATATTGCTATTGAACGGCGCGTCGTGATCAACGGGTTAGGCCACACCTTTGCACAGACCCCTAGGGGCAAAGGTTATTCTCTTCCATAGTGTTTTGTTCCCGTTAAAACATCACTGCACAGTAGTAGCGAACGCATTCTGAAGCCGAATAATTTTATTGGCATTGTTTACTCTGGTATTATGGCACGCACAGAGGATTGGGTAGACAAGGGCGAAAAATGAACGCAAATTACTAAGAAAAAAAAAGAAAAAACCTAAGCACGGCTGGTCAGGGCTGCATGGGCCTCAGCGAGCTGGGCTTCGAGCTGGGCAATACGAGCGGTCTGCTCAGTGTCCTTGGTAAGGAAGCCGTTCTTCTCGGTTTCGAGGATCGCAATCTTCATGTTGAGAGCGTTGTTGGCAGCCTCCAGGTCGGACACTTTGGCCTCCAGACCCTCAAGTCGAATTAACTTCTTGAGACGGGAGCGTCGAGCAGCGTCCGTGTTCTTGGCGCGCTTGGCGACGATTTCCTCTGCCTCCTCCTCGGGCGTCAATTGACGCTTCTTGCTCTTGCGAGATACAGGCGTAGTGGAAGCATCGACCGCAGGCAAAGAGTCTGCCTCAGGTTCAGCAGAGACAGCGCGCGAGACTGCAGGCGACGATGATGCCGAGGGAAATCCCTTCTCCACGGGCTCGGCCTTGGGAGCCAAAACGGGCGAAGCAATGGGCTGAGCAGCGGGCATGGCGGACACAGGTGCAGCTGCACCCAGAACGGCCTGAGCCATCACTGCGGACTCGAGTTCAGCAGACCAGGGAATGTTGAGTGCTGCAGCAGCCTGTTGGACAGCTGTGGAAGTCAGCATGGGAAGTACAGGCGAGGCTGGTGCATTGGTCTGGACGGGAGAGGCTGGCAATTCGCTACTAAAAGACACGGTGGGAAGACCCATGGATATGTCAAAGAGCGAGGGGCCGACCGAGGATCCAAACGAGTCAAAGCCGAGCACGGGGGAGTCCTCCAACGCCGAAAAAGGGCTAGACGAGCCCGAGGATGATTCGTCGCTGGAAAGGGCACTGAACGCCAAATCTGCAGCGAGCCATTCGTCGAATCCGTTGCCAGTGTTGGGTGAAGGGACAAAAAGGTCGCCAGAGCTGCAATCGTTACCGAAGGAAGTATTCTTGCTGACTATTGAAATGATAAAGTTTAATAGATGTGATAGATATTTTCTGTTAGCAAGATTTATTGAGTGACGATTAAGATGGCTCTTTTTTTTTCAGTTGAAAAACCAAACTTACGCTGAGCAAGAGCAGACTCTAAAGCGTCTGCCGACTTTGACATCTTGACGTTGGTCGTATCAAACATGGAGAAATCGATAGTGGCCATTTTTGGGAGAGATAAATGGGTATTTTGAGATAAGGGTACTTCAAAGGCGGGTAGAGAACTTGAAAGGATTCAATTGATGGAATTTAGGACTGTAAGGGCAGTAAGGCGACTACTACTTTGGGGACGATAATGGATTTGGCTACGATGATGTCAATAGTTGAACTGGGGATAATAATTGGGGAAACCATCTTGGCTAGTTGTTGTATGGGGCGTGAACCGTTAAAGGTTGTGGAATGTATTGTTAAAGGTAAAGGTTGGGTTGTTGTTGTTGTTGTTGTTGTTGTTGTTGTTGTTATTGTTGTTATTGAAGGTTCTGTTGTAAGATATTCTGCTGTTGAAGTGTGTACGAAGGTGTACTGGCGTTTAAGCGGAGAAGGAGGCCATTGTGGGTAACGTATGTAAAGTCGGTGGTAGAAAAACGGGGAAGTGATAAAAAAAATAAAAAAGGCAGAGTCGTTGGTGGACAAAAGAGAGTGGGCGATAAAAAAGAAAGATGTGGAGGGCTGGGTTGGTTCAAGGTGAAGTGGAAGAGTGGAGGTATGAAAAAGAGAAGAAAAGAGGGCCTAGGATTGGAGCTGGGGTAATATATCACTCGCTCAGGTGCCAGTCCCTTCGAGCGATGAATCATCTCTGTTTACTCTTAAGGGTGGGCAGATGGACCAATCGATTTCGTCGGACCATCTTGTGCCTCCACAAACAGCGCCGTTTTTAAGGTTTGCAACCTGTTTCTGGGTCTGGCGGCCGTTTGTCGGACCTGTTGACGTCTAGACCACGACAAACTCCTTCGCGCGTTTGTAGACTATACAGTCCTCTCTCATTTTCGATACTTTTTTTCGTCGAAAGTGAGATCGCTAAAGATTCCAGCGATTCTATTGGCTGGAGGGGCATTTTCAGTCAATCAGAGTACTCTATATCTAGGCTCGTAGCACTCTGCCCTCCATCATCCCCATCCCCATCCTCATCCTCATCCTCGCCAGCGTTCCCAGCATCACTAGCATCGCCAGTACCAGTGCTCCATAATCCCTCTCACCACGTTCTACCCATGCTTCCTAAGATTGCAGACGCGCTGGACCGACCTAAGTCGAGCGAGGACGCTTCATTGTCGGACGCAGGTCGCGGTAGTTGGACACTTGCTAGCAAAAAGCGGATCATGGACAATTGGGATATCTTTCACAGAGGCTATCAGGACCTGCTTGGCAATCCTGTACCAGAATTATCACCATCAATGAAAGACTTTGAGACGGCTAACAAGCTGCCACCTAAAACGATCACCCGACTCATAAAAATGAGGCCTTTTATCAACAAAATGCCTACCGGCTCTTTGGATACAAGGTGCTACACCAAAGCCCACATCCGCGAGTTTTATCCAGTCGAGACGATTCTTCACCAGGAGATCCAACGTCTCCGTAAAATGAACGTGCCGGTAGATCAATGGCTGTTACAGTTGCTTGCAGGAGAGGTATACGACCTGCTTGTGGAAAGAAATGGACCACTCACGTTTGAAAAGCCTAGATTCTCGTCCGGTTGGGTAGCCAGTTTCAAGGCCACCTGGGGACTGTCGTTTCATAAGCTGATGGGCGAGGCAGGGTCGGTTGATTGGGATGCGATAGCGGGGCAAGTGGAGGGTCTCAAGTCAATTCTTGCGACCTATGATCTGAATGACATCTACAACGCCGACGAGACTGGCCTTTACCTGCAGACCACCTCAAGTTGGACGCTCGATGTCGAGATGAAGGCCGGAGCAGCCATTCCAGCATCGCGCGTCTCCATTCTCTTCTGCACCAATGCCACAGGAAGCGACAAGCGAAAGCCTTTTATTCTCAGTAAGTATCCTGTCAGAAGTTGATATTCGGAACGAGGAGAGACATGGTTTATTTTTATTTTTATTTTTATTTTTTTATGCTGGATGCCATGTTGATCATATTTGGATCCATTTAGGCGAAAACCTTGCTTCTGGCTTCAGGAAAGATGAAACGCTGCAGCGCTTGGTGGATGTCATGCCATGGGATACTGCAAAGCAACCACGCAAGTCCAAGGCAGCTAAAGCAGCGGCAGTCGCCCAGCAACAGCATCATGACGCTAGTGGACAAGATGGCGCACCTGGCAATACACAACACCAGCAACAGGAGGCCACTTCACAGCATACCCAGGCGCAGAAGCGGCAGACTAACAAGCGAGCAGATTACATGACCAAGTATACCTTTACCCACTGGCTGCGCCAGTTCCAGCAGGACATCGTCGCGGAGGACCCTGATCGGCGCGTGGTCCTGCTCATCGACAATGCATCATGCCATGCAGTGGTAGAACGGTGCAGTGTCGATTTTCCGAACATCAAACTGCTGCTTCTGCCGCCGAACTCGACATCAGTAACACAGCCCCTGGACGCAGGAATCATTGCTGTTTTCAAGAGGCGGTATCGTAATCTCATCCTAAAGTTACGTGTCTTCAAATCCTCCCAGCCAGTGCCAGACCCCAATGCGCCTCCTAAAGCGGCCAGCAAGGGAAAAAAAAACACGAGGAGGGCCAAGGCAGTCGACAAGGCCATGAAGTCGAAGAAGGATGGGTCTTTTAGGGTGTCCAACCTCGAAGGATGGCACATGATAGCTGCTGCCTGGAACGAGGTGGAAGGCAAGTCCATCCGGAGCTGCTTCAGACACGTCCCCATTTTCGGCGAGGCCCAAAAACAGCAACTTTCAACGCACACTTGTTTAGAAGAGGAGGTGGTTGCGGCGCTCAAGGAGACCCAGCAAAACATTCTCCATCGGTTCAGGGTGCAGGGTTACCACGACTCAGTGAGTGGCAGAGACCAAGGTCAGAGCGGCTCGTCAACAACGCCAGTCCTAGATATTTTAATGGACGCCGCGGAACAAAACGCCCTCGTCCCAGAAGATGGCTCTTCGTCAGCAATATCAAGAGGTGTTTCAATCATGGGTGCTCTTGAGAGCCATGAGAAGCTGCTGGCTTCAACCGCGAAACTTTTGGATGGCTCGCCTTACATATGCGAAGTCATTGATCAACTACAGAAGGACCCCGATTTCATGTCCTTCTTCTTGTCACTACAGACGGGTTCGGAGCTTTTGGATGGCGACTGGCTAGAGAGCACAAGTGATGGCGAAGGCGCGGAAGACGACGATTTCGTGGTGGTGCCCAATCCATTCTTGGTGGTAACCAACGACAGAGGGTCTCCTCTGAAGCCCAAACATATCAACAAGCCTTTACACAGCCGCGTCTATATGAGCCGAGTCGAGCAATTGGCTTCCTCAGAGTACTCTGACACTGACCAGTCGGGACCACAAACAACTTCGACTGAGGAGGAAGGATCTATCGACGAGCATTGGGAGAGTGAAGAGGAGGAGGTCACAGGGGACAAAGCTGTTGGCGAGAATATCGTCAATCTATTGAGTGCCGCTGCAGTTTTGATGACCTCAAAGAAGCACAGGCGATACAGGAAACAAGTGGAGCTGCTTGCAGATACTCTCATGAGCAAACGCATGGATGACGCCTCAAAGAGCTACCGTACGTCCTTCGCCGAAGACTACAGATCCAAGATGGAGGCATTCAACAAGAAGAAGGCAGCTCTGCGCGTCGAGCAAGCGCGGGTCAACAAACGTTTTCCGCCAGCAAGCAAGACCGTCAAGCCAGCACACACCAGAGTAGTCATGCCACGATGATATTTATTGATATCCCTTTGCATAAAAAAAATACATATATTGAAATCAGTACGCCTAGGAGCGGTGGCGATGAGGATGAGGATGAGGATGAAGATGAGGATGGGGATGATGGAGGGCAGAGTGCTACGAGCCTAGATATAGAGTACTCTGATTGACTGAAAATGCCCCTCCAGCCAATAGAATCGCTGGAATCTTTAGCGATCTCACTTTCGACGAAAAAAAGTACCGAAAATGAGAGAGGACTGTATACCCCTCCATAGTCCCATAGTCTGCACGCCGCTTCTGGAGATCAGGCATCACACTCGTCTACTCATATTACTCACCTCTCGAGTGGCCTACATGTAACGATAGGAGATTGATATGTCTATCCTATCCTCTTCTATTTTCAAGCAGACCTTGAGAAGAAAGACGACGGTGTAGTCTACTGTCAGTCCTGCATTGCTAATCCCTGCTGTTTAGCCTATTCCATCGTTACTAAGAGTGCTCTTGGACGGAGGGAGTAAACGAGAACAGAGACAAAAAAGACAAAGAAGACGCTGGTCCACCCATTCTGGGTCCCAGATGGGTCTCTCGCCACTTGAGATAGATCATCTTGAAGCGTCTCGCGGCTTGACTAAAGCAAGCTCCAGTCCCTACCAACCACTTCACCCGATCTCGCGTGATTAGATTCCTCGAACTTCTTGTTCTGCTTTGCTGCTAGCTGAGGTGTCCATGTGTTTTCAGGCTGTTGCTGCTCTCCCGGGGCCTGCGTGTACGCAGCCAGGTCTTGGAGCGGCATAGAGTCCTGGACATAAAATGCCAGCGCAAATACTCTTTTGAGTATGAAAATTTAATTCAACCCAATTTTTTACGTACAATGAAGAGGGAACAGGGCCATGCCACCCATGTGCCTTGCATTGCTATCACCATGAGTTGATGAGGTGGTGAACACCGCCATCATCAAAGAAACCTCTCACCTCACCTAAAGCCCTATCGTCGCCTGCAGCATTTTATTTTTATTTTTTGCTTACACGAATCCATGACAAATGATAGAGATATTCCTGAGCGCGTCGAAGGGTCAATTCCCTGTAGCTGATGTTGTACGTATAATTTTTCCGCAGGCCGGAAATGGAAACTATTCCATTCAATTCAGTATGTAGTGTTCACAAATCACGCCTAGTCAAATATTCACAAACGAAATAGCAATCACTGCTCACATGATTCCAAGTATCCATCCCCTCTTTGAGAATACGAGAATGTATAGGCGATTGAATTGCTTAAGATTTAATTGGATAGACTCAATTGGATAGAACACAAGGCTCCATCGACGCGCGTCGCGACATACAAGTTCTTAATGAAGTAGGCATGATGCCCATTGTTAGCCTATAAGCCTACAATAGCATCATTCAGTTGGGCTTTCACGTTGATATTTATTGAGGCCATGCTTTCTGAAGCGCCTTCTCTGCTGCGATATCACGGTTAAGCTGTAAATAGTATTGATTGAGGGAACCAGCTCGCGCGATTTTTTGTTTAACGACCAGTAATCCAGCCTCCTTTCTCAGATCCAACGCCGGCTCCTATGCCTCCGAGATAGCCTTCAATACTGACTCAATGACCAGCCGATTGAAGCCATAATGCTTTCGCACAGCAGCGCTGGCATCCTTGCGCCACTTGTAGTACTTGTTCATTCGCCAGATCGAGGGTTCCCCGTCAACACCATGAAACCATTCTTGCCAAATTGGATCGATGGTACGTGGACGGTCCTTCATGGTGTACGAGGAGATGACGGGCTTGTCCCGAGGCCATGCCAGTTGCTCTGCTAAGGCCACAAGATCGTCCCTGACTGGCCCGGCCTCCATTGAGGGCAACTAAGGCTGTGAAAGTGGTGGCGGAGAACGTGGTGGAGAATGTGGTGGTGGAGAATGTGGCGGTGGAGAATGTGGCGGTGGATAATGTGATTCATCCTCCGTAAATGGCAACCGAGATAGCAGTGGCGACCGTGGTTGATCCTGAACCGATGGCGGTAATGGCTGTGGCTGCAGTTGTTGTGTTGGCTGTTGTAGTGTTGAAGGCAACATCTCTGACGCAAAGGGCATTGCTGGTATCTGTACTATCGTAAGCTCTGTTCTAGCCACAGTTTCAGATACAGTGGCCAACATCTGCTTTAAAACGTTGTGAAATGAGATCAAGCTGCTGCCTATATTATTGTTCACTGTTATCATGCCATTGTGCATAGTGACCATGTCGCTCCTCATGTGGTTCACTTGTCGTGCTATTGACGCTGACCAAACGTCCCTATCGCGCTGCATGTCGGTTGTAGTGGGTATTGTTTTAAGCAAGCTTGTCGCGACTGTCATCTTCTCGGAAATGTCCCGCAGCCCATGTTGAATGGCGGGAGCATTGGCAAGGAGGCTATCTGAGATAGGCGATTTTGACGTAGCCATCTTTGACGTAGCCATCTTTTCGCGCAAAGCGGCCCGGAACTCGTTGAACATGGGTAGCCTGAAGACTGGTTTATGAAAGATCCGGTGGAGGTGGTACTGACAGTGTGGGTCACCATTAATTTCCATGAGAGCTGCAGCATCCTGCAAGATGACCTTGCGCAAATGGGCCAGAAGGATAAAAAACTTGATCTTTTGCGAATCATGTTGCGGGTAATTTGCCACAAGCCTCTGATCCAGTCCACGATTGTTGTATTCGTCCTGTTCCATCATGATGTTCTCCATCCAGGTCTCCCAGACCTTGTCAGGATATGCATTGTTCAGAACGGGAAACACGAGTTTTTGAAGCTCGACTGGTGGGATGGCTGTGTTCCTGGCAATCCAAAACCGCTCCTGAACATGTGTGAAGCCTGCCAGCTTGAGAGGGACACGCTCTGGAATCTCGCTCAAATAATGTGTTGCAACTCGTTGATGCAGCCAATTTCCATGCTGTGCAATCTCCTCAATTGTAGCCCCGGCTGATTGGGCTTGCTGTGCTCCAGCTCGGCGGCCGGCATGAGTGGCCTTGGATGACAGCACATTGGCAGCTTGCATCTCCGACTTTTGAGCAGAGTAGTGCGTGGAGGAGGACATCTGCTGGCCGGGATTACGCGCAAACACCAGGTAGTTGCTTGGCCAGTCTGGCTTGCTAAAATCAGGACATGTGCGTGGATCCTAAAATGTTAAAAAAGTAGGCATGTTACTTTCTAATAACTGCTGAAGATCCTCATCGACAGGGTCTTACACCATCTGTACCTTCATACCATGAAGAGCTCAAACAAATAAAAGGCAAGGGAACCCATTGGGCATATCTCAACGTCCTTGTTCCGCACGACCACACCATAGAGCAACTTCCCATCTGCGTTCATCTTGCCTTGGAGCATCGTGAGGACAACACCCAGGGTGAACTGTCCTGTGGCATCGCTGAACTCGAATGCATGGAAGTTCAAGTCCTGCAGCAAAGCCATCCGCATGTTTTCTCCTCGACACATCATGAAATGGGTCCACGATAAGTTTAGCCGGTCGCGGAGTCCATTGAGCTTTCGGCGGCTCTTCTGATCGAGCTGAACATAGTTACGTGTCCAGAACGACTTCATCATGCGCTTGAAGCCTTGGGCATTGTAACCCTCTGTGATCCTGAGACCTTGGAGCTTTGTCGCTTTTGTGAGGGAGCCTGATAATATTTATTAAAGTAGTTTAGTAGCAGAACAATAGCATGGCTACATGCATATGCAGCAATATATCAGCTTACTGATCTTTCTTTTGTACGCCTCCATGAATGGCCTGGCTATTTTGCGCGGGGATGTCTCTGCTCCCTGCCACACTCCATTTGGTGCCGAAGTTGCCTGCTCTGTCCATAGATCAACAGCAGCCTTGATGTAGAAATCAACCGTCTCGGGCATGTAGTAGTCCGTCAGCGCATCGGTCCGCGGTTTCTTTTTGCGCAAAGGTTGAACATCAGGGTTCAGTGAGTCGCCTTCCCCAAAGCACTCCTTAAAGTATCGCGCAGCGCGTGAGTTCGTTACAGACTCGTCCCTGTAGCGATGGCGCGTACACCAGGCCTAAGGCAGAGTGAATGGGGATAAATCGGATAAAAATTAAGGACAGAACCAACAGCACTCTGCTTTGAATTAAGGCTAAAATAAAGACCATCTTACTTTCCAATGCTCTCGGTATTTGTCGTATGCTTTTTGGGTGGATCGGTGTAAGTTGGCGCGGCGTACTTGTTGGGCAACGAAGACAGCATCTGCCTCCTCTCTGTTATTGATCCTGGCCCACTCCAGTTCCGACCTAGGCAATTCTACTTGTTGGACAATAGGCCAAGCCGCTTCGTCGCTGACGCGCTGGTTGATAGTCTCGCTGGTCGTTCCATTGGTGTTGTCTGCCAGCTGCTGCTGCCTCGCTTTTCTCTTTCGCAATATTGGTTCCGGCACGAGCCCCATTTGCAAGGGCGGAACGGACGGCATCTGAGGTTGATGTAATGGCAAGGAGGGGGATCTGACAGTATGCTGGTGCCGGTGCTGCGTATGTTGTGTCTCCTGCGCCATGTGTGCCGTTATTGTGGTACCGCCTTCACCCTCTGTCCATGCACTCTCGTACAGCGCGCGCTCCTCGTCTACTTCGTCGTCCTCATCGTCCTCATCGTCGTAATAGTGATCTTGCGCTTCGGCTACGTACAAGCAAGAGAGTCAAGCAGCAGAGAAATTTAAAGAGGCCGCATTGAAGTGCCAGACTATTACGCTATCAGGTACTTCAGAATAAAAAGCATGGGCCATCATCTTCGATTGGAGGGACAGAACGGGGAATAGCAGACCGAGTCTGACTGCTTTCACCGACCTTTTCTAAAAAATGTAACGAGTAAGGGTATGACATATGGCGTCGCTGCTTTGTTGCTGGGTTATGAGTTCCACTTGATGCACTACTACCTGGCTACTGCGATCATCCACAAAATTCACAGCAAGCCACATTTCCTTATGTTTTTGGCTATTGTAAAAAAGTGAACCTTGAAATTGGTTTACAGGAAATACCCTCACAGTGGCAACGAAATTATTTGCGCTGGCATTTTGTTGCCCAGGATAGTAGCGCTCCGGCTTGTTTATACATTTGTTGGCCCGCGGGAAAGTTGACGGGCCCGGCCATCTTCAGCGCGTCTATGTTCATGCCCCAGCACTATCAGCTACGCTGCAACCTGCAATGCGGTTCTCCTCATCCTCCTGCTCGTCCTCCACTGTCATCTGGTTTTAGGACTGGCCTAGGTGCGTGTCAATCGCGCATATTCCCTAGAGACGCCGAGCCTTTCGAGGAGTCGTCTCCGTCGCCAGGGCGCTTTGCATGCATGCTGACGCTCTTCTTCATCCTCCCCCTTCCCTCCATCCCTTTCTCCCCCTCCCTCCTTCCATCTCTTTCTCCCTCTCATCCGCACTGTACTCCTGGCTTGTGGTTCATTCCCGATATAGATGTATACACCACAAGTTGCTGTTTCTTTTATCCTCCCCATTCCGGTAGATGAAGTTGGGAAAGAAAGTAACGTCCCTGTTATCCAAGATGGCCAGGTTGGAGCGGCCTAGTCTGAAGACCCTCTCGCATAAATAGCGAGTCGGCAACGTTGGCCCCCTCTTAGCCTTCACCACCAAATCTCCGCATTGAACCATCACTTACATCTTCTTCCGCCTCAAAAGGTAACATAATACTGAGCCCCCACAGCTCTCGTATCTTCTCCACATCTATGAAAAGGATCTTCATGTTAACCACAGTCCAACTTTCCACTTTCCGTAGACAATGTCCCGCTCCACACTTTTATGTCTCCTGGGTGTCATTTTGGTCCTGATCCAGATCGGTTTTGCGACCGCCGTGGCCATCCCTAACGGCCTGTATCGTATCATAAAATCCCCCGAACAGCTGACCCTTACTCGGAGTTAGGGAACCAATGGCCGTCTTATCCTCGAGCCTCGCGGAGGACCTCCGCAAGCCCAGACGTGGGAGGTCATGAACAAAGCGGATGGCATAGTCACTATCCGCGATCCTGCGTCAGGTTTCTACCTTGCTCCGATGAGTTTTCTCCTCACTCTTTTGCTGGCATGAAAGAGGACGAGCATGGGTGGTTCTTGGAGCGGGGCACAGCCCCCAACAATCTCCTTATCCGTGTTCCAGCCATACATAATGGCCAGGAGTTAGTCCTTGGTATATCTCCCTTGTTGGTTTTTCCACCTTTTGCCGGCATCAACAATGCTGATACCGGACGTAGAAACGAGTGGATCTTCGAGAGGCTGGCGAATTGAAGCGCTCCCAAGCAGCCACGGAGGGTAAGAACGCGTATAACCTTACTACCATAGCATACTTGATTGCTTACCTATTACTACAGTCTATCCGCCAGATTTCGTACTAATACCCTACATACAATAAACTGTTGCAAGGATTCAGAAAAAAGCAGCGAAGGCGCTCAGATAGATAAAGCGAGTGGATGATTGTGTACACGAGTATGTCTTTATGATGGGTGCAAAACACAGGGTGCTTGCAAGAAAGCAAGACTTTGGGGAATATGCAGAGGATATATGACGATAAATGAGCGCGTTTCTGCTGAATACAGCTGGCCATCTTCTAGGTGGAAGCAAGTCTGCCAAATCCAATACGGTTATTGTCGAAATCATAGACCTACAGTAACACCAGAATACTATTCAGTTAGACCAGCGAAAAACTGTTGACCTTGTGGGCGTTCGCGAACGAAGGACGGACTTACAGAGTAAACACTGCGAAGGAAAACATCTCCTAGGATCCATGCGGTACCGTCGACCTCCTCGCCCGCAAAGCCGCTCATGCATCGGCCAGGTGCGATTTCTTGGAGCGTATAGAGACTTGGAGGCACCTCATAAACCTCTCCAGCAATCTGGATGTGGAGCGTGGGCATGTTCCTTCCGTGGCAGGGCACAGAGTATATTCCGTCGTGGATGTGCCGAGCCCCAGGAAGGAACTTGGAGTGCAAATGACGTGCAAGGTCAACGGGGATGATGATCTGGGTCGTCCCTGCAAATATGAATGAGGTATCTTATTAGATACCAGCATTTGAACCTTAGCATTTAAATTTTAGCAGTGGATATCTTTACAGCATACAGATCGCAAACATCTTACCAGTGTCGACAATGGCATGGGCTGGAGTCTTGAGTAAATCGGTGTTGTCGCTCTTGACCTTGTCCATATTGATCTCCCAGTAACCTTTCTTGACGACCTTGGACCACTTCAAACTGTCCTCCTCGATCTTCAATGAATCGTATCCGCCCAAGGCGAGCTCGCCTCGGCCGCGAGCCATGAAGAATCCGAACATGCCCTTCTTGATGACATGCTGCTCCAACATAGCCAAGAACGGTGGTCGCTGTCCAGAGCTGCTCATCTCTTGATATGCCAATCCAAAGACGCCATCAAATACAGCGCGTCCAAAGAGAGTGCTCGATGTCAGGCTTTCAGCAAAACGAATGGGCTCCTTGCTACGGATGCCTCCAAGGGTAAGAATGTCCTCTGAGACGACACCCGTCACTTTCCCAGTACCGTACTCGATCTCGAAGGGAAGAACAGGGACCGTGCTGGCGTAGGTGGAAGAGCTCTGGCCATTGAAACGTTGATGAGAGAGACACCCTTCTTCGATGCACTTGGAGGATGGGATCCAAAGGTCACTCGAACCCGTATCGAACACGACATTGAACGTCTGCTTTGGGTTACCAACCTGGATTTTGCCGTAGTAGCCGCTGACAGTACCAATGGTATCGAGCTGGATGATCACCTGAGGATCGTATCTGTATTGGTTGGTCGTTGCCTGTGTTGGACTGCCTCTGTTACCCTTATTCTCGCTATTATCGTGATGCTTTGTGCCGTCCTTTTTAAAACCTTTTTTTTCGTTTTGTATGCCCCTCTTCTTGCGGTAATCCTTCTGTTCCTTGTGCTGATCCTCTTCCTTCTTGGGACTGTCCTTCTTTGCCTTCATATTCTGAAGCATTTCCCAGGCATCGTCGCGCTCCGGGTGGATGTTGGACCGTTTCAAAAAATGGACAGTACGCTCGCGGAGAGAGCGCTCCTCATTCTCTAGATGTGTCTCCTCGGCAAAGGCGATTGAGAATATTTTGGATCGCGTGGAGTAGCGTTTCTTGTAAATGGCGACTCTTGACAGGGCATCAAGCAAGTTCTTATTTTGACAAGATTCGTCGCAAATGAAGCTGTTGGTAGCTGTCGCTTCACTGGTTGACATTTCCACTTCAAATAATTGCGCACCCTCTGGCGTATGGGGACCATCGGAGAGGTGGATGGGTGGATCGATGGTTGGCGGAAGCTCGTATTTGTTGTGGTGACAAGACTGAAAGGTGGGTTCAGGAGGCGTTGTGGATGGATCTGGGTAGTTGCCCCACAATCTCCGAGCGGGCGTAGCCACCCAAACGACAATCATAGTGACGCCGACGACAGATAACACGATGCCAAGGGCGCGTGCGAGATTGATGACTATCTCTGTTCTACGAGAACGAATGAATGAAGCAGGAGTGGGTGATTTGACGCATGGTGATTGGATACCGGCCGCATGGATACCTGGTCCGAAGGATATAGTGAGGGGAACCAGTCTCATGCCGCTGTAAATGTGTTCCTAAAAATTTTATATGTGATATATTTCTCGAACTAAAACATGCGTGAGATATGGAGTGGAATGGAGGTAAAAAAAATTTTCCCCAATAGGTTCTGACTCGAGTTTTTAAAAGAGAGAGCTATGGGGATATTCCGCATTCCCATATATCCAGGAGACGACTTTAAAATCTTTGTGGATGGCAATCATCATAAGTCGATGGAGGCGACCCTTTCGCAATCGCAGCGTCCTGCGTCTTCACAGCCGATGTGAAGATCTATATTCCATCTCACGCCGGTTTTCTGTGCTCATCCTAAACGTCTATGCGTCCTAGATCCGTTGGCCAGTTGCGCCGAGGGAGCCAACAGCCAAAAAAAAAAAAAAAAAAACGCGTTTTATTATTGGCTGCTCACAAGCTGACTGGATCCTACGCTAGAAGGGTCCCAGATAAGCGTTTGGTATCCGGTCGTTAAGGTTATTTGCGCCCCTGAGATCCGTGTGCTCCTGAGACACGAACGCGCGTTTTTTTTAAAGGACGAAGTGTAAACAGTCACCAATGGCAACCATGGTCCACCTTTTTTGACCTTCACTCTGCCGACAACAACCCTGCCGCTATCGACCCTCATATCCTCTCACAACCAGCAAACTGACAATGGAGGCCTCGTCCTCTGCTCCTCAGCAAGCCTCATCAGCCCTCGGCTCCATTACAGGCACGAACACGCCTGTCCCTCCAACAACTACCAATGTAGTCAGCAGTGCGCCTAATCCTGGAGTCGCACCAGACCAAGTGCCGATGGAAGATGTCGTCTCGACCAATGCTGTCACAGCAGAGGCGATTGCGCGTCAGAATCAGACAGTGGTATGTTCCCATGCCGCGCAAAGAGGCTGTACTCAAACAGAATAAAAAAAGTATGGCACCCCACTAATTGCTTGTACCATGGGCACAGGTGGAAGAGTTCCAGTACTTGCTGGAAAAGAGTCAACAACTGTTTGCAGGACTGAGGTACAGAAACTTACCTTGGGAGGAGGACTGAATGCGTGTTTCCCAAAAACGCATTGCTAGGAAGACCGAAGCCTCTGTTTAACCGGCGCTTTATTTTTTTGTGATCTATGGACAGGGACCTTCCACCGACTGGATCCAAGCAATGGCAGCCTTATTTCCAAAAGACCTTTGAAATCTTTTCTAAGGTACTGTCCGCATATGGGTGCTTATTTTCGATCTGATATTCATCGTCACTCATCTCATTCCATGGCACAGCTCTGGAGGTTTCAGCAGCAAAATCGGTACGTCCTATGTGGGTTGTAGATTATTGTCATGCGAACACTTCGATCCCACTGCTAATACGATTCGTGTTTCTAATCGCGATAGGTTCGTTCTGGAGAACAGTTATGGATTAAAACGATGGGAAGTTGGCGAGATCGCCTCCAAGATCGGACAGCTATACTATCATTACTAGTAAGTGGCAGCGGAAAAGGGTCCGGCTTGTTCAGGGCAAAGTGAATCTTATGCGCATGCGGACAATACAAAACAAAAAAATAGAGTAGATGTCTAACCATTTCCTGCGTTACATTGTGGGGATACTAGTCTACGCACGAGCGAAACGAATTATTTACAAGAGTCGTACGTCTTTTACGATGCAATCCGCGAGAGACGCTACTTCAATGAGATTTCTGAGATCAAGAGGTGCGTTTAATGAATTGTGATGTCTGTGCTTGCGTGCTGAGATGACCAATCTTTACTGACATTATCTTGTTGAACGGAAACAGCTCAGCATTAATGATCAAGAAACTCCGCTATTACGCGCGATTTACAGTCGTTTGTCTGCTGCTCAACAATCGCGACATCATCTCCACCCTGAAGGACGAGCTGGCAGCGCTAGTAAAGGAGTACATCGCGATATACAGACCGCCCGATGCTGCAGAATGGCAGCTCGTTGTCCAAGAAATCTCGTCCTTCACCGATGTAAGGCCACCTGTGAACGTGAAACCACTGGCCATTTATACTGGAGTCCCGCTAACGTGAATTTCACGATATATTTGGAGCGTTAGGCCGAAAAGCGACTCCATCCTATCAATCCTGCAGGAACTTATTTGCCGGTGGCTAGGCGTTTGCAGACGAGCAAAGCTATCTCCGCAGCTTTGGACAAGGAGGGATCCTCGTCGACCAAGCTCAGGCTTCAGGAGGCCATCCTTGTGGGCAATGCGCACAACCAAATCAAATTTTCTGAACTGACGATTGATATGTACCGTATACTGCAATCCCTTGGTAAGTTGGCTAATCTGCAGAATTGCCCTCACAATAAGCGTATCAGATCACCTCTTTCTTACCATATTTCGACCTTGTTCAGAGAGGGAAACGTCACAGATACGAGGCACGGCGGATGGAGCAGGTAAGGATACTGTGCCAAGTGCCGTGGTCTCTGCAGTTGCCGCAGGGGCGGCAAGCGATATCAATAGCCCAAACCCATCTATAAAGGAAGAGCCGAATGAGGAGTCGACAATCGCTCAACGCAGGGCGGATAAGCTCACCAAACGGCCAAACCCTCACAAGTATCTGCTCTACCGACCAGCATTGAGCCAGCTCATGGTTTTTCTTGCAACAGCATTCCGGGTATGACCCTGTCTGGACATGTCATTGTGCTACAGCATTGTAAAAATCAACTTGGAATGAAGGATTAACCGTTGTTCTGTTTTATCTTAACAGGAGGTATCCAACGACTCGGCTCTGCTTATATACCTTTCTGCGGATGGTTCAAAGAGACCTGTACCAGACCACTCTGGTACTAAAGGTAGCGCGTCCTAGCAGAATCTTACTGCTTATTGTTGGGATCGTTCAATTACTGTTTTTAACATACGCTTTTATTCGATTTATAACAGGATATCACGGTGGTATATTAACCAACTCTCGCAAGATACCGGACAACTCTGATCCAGAGCAGCAGAGCATTACGCATTGTCTGCACCCTGGCGACCTGCTCCCGTTTACAAGAAAGCCTATGTTTTTAATTGTAGACAGCAACAACAGCGTGGCATTTGCAGTACGTGGCAGACAAAGTTGACAGGTATTCTTTTACGTTCCCACTGTCACCTCACAAAACCATTGTATCACTTTATCTACATATTCTAGGAGATGCCCCGAGTTTTCAACTACCCATTCATGAGTCTTCTGTCGCCAACTGAATACCCAGACTCTATCCCGGGTAATGCCCAGTAATGAACTAGGGCTTAAGTGCGTGCTTTGAAGCTGTTTTATAAACTAACTGAGACCATTTGATTGATACTAGATACATCCCAAGTCGGTGGACTCTTTACGTTATTTTTGCACGCACCTCTGCTTGCTTTTAGCTTCATCTGTGGCATTCAGCAGATCAGCCCAGACACATGGGAGCAGTGCTCCGGATTGATCTCACAGGCAGAAGGAAAGATTGCAGAGTTAATGGCTACTGCACCCCTAGGTAACCAGAAGCGATCTTTTTGTATATTCTACCAGCGGTGGCATCTTTCGAGCACTAATCCTTGGCGCTTTCAACTATCTTGGAAATCACATAGACAAATCGGTACGAAGGTTCTTGCAAGACGAGTTCTTGCGCCAGTTTATGATTCGCTTTGCGCTCTGCTCCATCATCCTCAAGGTCCATACTGCTTTCACAGAGCCCAAGGTACGGCCATGCTTTATCTACTGCTGAATAGGTTCCACCGAGTTTTGTCCGCAGTATTTTTTCTCATCCTTTTCATTCCTTGATCTTTGCTCCTTGCTCATGATAGCATTTGCCGACGTCATATCCATTGCTGCCAGCATCCGTACTTGAGTCTCCAGAGGTCTTGTCCAAAATTCGGTCGTTGGCTGTTCTAGCCAACGCCACTTGCTTTTCATTCGAAGATCCTATTACAGCATCTCAGGATCCTGCACCATAAAGAGTGTTCTTTAAGAGCTGTTACACCCAAAATCGCACGGCTAATGAACCGATAATACTAAATAAATCTATGTTTATTATTGGTCAACAATGCGCTCAACATGTGGTTATTGCTTCTTGAGCTTTGCTGGATCCTCATTGTCCGGTGACGGCGTCTCTTGAGGAGGAAGGCAATATTGGTCAAGATAGGCATCGCTCTGCTGGGTGCGTCCAAGTGGGTTGGGCAAGGCGTGCTTCCACCATTTTTTGAACAATGGTGGACGATTGTTCTTCCAGCGCACGGTTACCGTCCTGTGGCTGTCCAATTTTTTTCCGCCACCCTGATTGCCAGTTCCGGGCCCTTCCATACCCTTGTTGTAGTCCTTGCTGTCAGTTTTGCTGAAGCCACTGTCTCTGGTGTTCTGTCGAGTAGCTCGACCTCCATACAAAGCGGGATTCGTCAAGTCTCTCTTCATCCACTGCACCAGTTTTTCCTGCGTTGTTGTCATGCACTCCCGTTTCGCAAAAATCAAGAATTCATGACCTGGTCGGGCATGCTCACGGAAGACCGCCTCTACCGCGGCTGTGAGTTTCTTCCTGACCAGGTTACGATGCGTAGCCAACTTGGATACAGTCTTTTTGGGGACGACAAATGTCACACGGAAGGGCGGGTGCGGTGACATGGCGGACTCTGGGTATAGCCGAACGTTGCGAAGTTGATACTGTAAAATCGGGAGGGGCAGCGTCGGTGGCTCGAGATTCGATGTCGTGGAAGAGAGTGATGACGAAGCTGAGGGTGTTAAAGATGAGGATGGAGCCTTGGCAGCGAACTCGTCCTGTTGCTTCTGTTGCTCCTTTTTCTCCTGTTGTTCCTGTTGCTCCTGATTGTATCTCGTCATAGCGTAATTATACTCCATCGCGGCTTTCTGGACAAAGACCGGAACATCAGCTACAGCAAAGAATGTCGAACGTTTATATAGCGCACATTTATGTCAGTATAATACCAAGTGGTGGAAAACAAGGTGCAGAGCAAATTCTTTCCTTGACTTCTTACGTGGTGGTGGCTCTCGGAAGGGCATGCGGGTAGCCTTGATACTGAAGGCCTCGTTACTCAACGAATAGGCCCCAGACCGTTTAGTAAACAGCTCCTGTACACTCTCCTTGTCCATCCCCTCGATCTATTGGATTCAAATATACGGTAATTGCATGAGTCGATTGTCTTGAGTGATAAAGGCAGCGCAAGCAACAAAAAAAAAGTACTCGTGTGCGATAACGTACCCTTTCTGTATCTGGTACAGTTCGAAATTTTGTTGGTATAGGGATCGCTGGGATCTGGCTCCTTTCCTTGAATGATTCCCTGGATGCATATCTTGACGAACTATTTGTTGATCCATTGCGATCTTTTCCTTGGGCACCGTTTCTTTGAAAAGCTGGTCTATCGCTTCCTGGTTCATTCCGGTAGGAGCTACCTCCGTGGCTATTTGTTCTGTAGGTTGTATTTGTCTTTAACGGTCGTACAGTTCTTTCTAACGGTGCCTGTGAACCCGAGCGTGTCGAGTTAGATCGAGTCGTGAAAACAGTCGACTGCTGCAGTGGGCGAGTTCTTGAAGGAGACTGGAGTAGATGGTACAGATCCAGGACTGACCAATGCCGTGCCACAAATTGACTCCTTAGCGGCGAAAGGCCCATGACAGCAAAGGAGAACATAAAGATGGTGTGCGATTGCTGCGAAGTTTAATTTCCATTTTGGGTCTGGTGGGGCACCAACCGGCTCAAGGCCATGAATAAACGCGACTTCCCGAGCACTTCCCATTCCTTCATAGCATCCTTCCGCCCTTGCAACGAGTCAGCTCCACCTCGACAATCATGTCCTCACGCTACAGCTTTCCTCCACCTGGAGGTACACCCAACGCCAACGGCCCCAACCCACTCCGCCCATACTACACCGGCTCGGACTCGCCCTTGCAGTCATACTACAACAACACGCTCTCATCGACAACTCTGGAAGATGATCTCGCCTCACAGAACGAGATTAGCTCACAGGCTGCAGCGAAGGAGCTCGCCAGCTATGGACTACTCAAGTACGGAACCTTGGCAATAGCGGCGCCTTTCGAGGCCGGTCAAACCCTCCTGCAGGTCCAGTATCTGCCTAACGACGACGGCTTTAACGGCGATGACGAGGACCTTGCTGAGCAGGTAAACGTCACTTTATGATTGGGGTTCATGCGGTCCGCGCTCTTCATTGGGTCGAAGATAATGCACTGTACATTTATTCACACTTTCTCTTATTGTTATTCATATCCAGGCGAAACGCGAGGAGGAGCAACGGAGAGCTCGCGAGGAGCAAGCAGAACGGGAGTACTACGAACGCACAGGCATTCTTTCTTCCAGTTCAGGAAGCTACTACTCCAATCAGTATGGCAACCTCAACAGCAGCAGCACCGGCAACTTGGGTCACGACGGCTATGTGCCTACTCGCTCTAGGTACGAGGAGACAACGATTTCTCAGTCCACTTCAGGATCATCGGGATATGCTTTCAGAAGAAGTGTTTACGATGAGGAAAGTCGACCTGCTTATCAGCTGCCGCCCATTGAGGGAGGTGTCTGGAAGGCGGTCACCGACCTTGGAAAACACTCAACCGAGGGATGGTTGTGTCTCTGGAAGGGTGGGTGACAATAAGATCATGTTGTTCTCCACGTCTCTTGAAAAATAGGGATTGGGATGATTGATTATCTTATGCTGCATTTTGTTTACCTTGTCAATAGGTCAATATACCAACTGGATCTATGAAATGCTGCACCTCTTTGCCCAGCCAACATTGGAGGCGACTTTGAACGACACCTTTGATCTTTACGACGACACAATTCCTTTGGTGCACTTGGATAACGTCGGACCTAACATTGCCACCATGGTGACCAGCCATCTTGTCGTTGGATTCATCCTCTCGCCCCTGGAGCTTGTTCGCACGCGGTATGAATCCAAGATATTTTGAGATCCAGCGATGGCGCGAATTATATAGTGTTTTCGGCTCTTGTTAACATGTTATTCTGCCATCCATATAGATTAATTGTGCAGACTGCAAACCCGCTGCAGCGCAAGTACAGCGGCATGATCAATTGTATCACGACCATCATCCAGGAGGAGGGCGTGTCAGCATTATGGGGAGGCATCAACTTGTTCCCAACCCTCATCTACCACATGTTGACGCCACTTCTCTCCAACTCGATTCCATTGATCATCGACAGAGTCCTCAAATTATCTGCTGCGGACTCTCCGGTCCTCTACTCGCTGGCGGAATTGGGCTTGAACACAGTTGAACTTTTGATCCGTCTGCCGATCGAGACTGTTCGAAAGCGTCTTCAGATCCAAATCCAGTACAAGGACGGCAAGCGTACTCCTGGATCCAAGAAACTCCGCACCGTTGTTGAGACACGCAAGAGACCCTACTATGGAATGGTGGATTGTGTGTACAGGATCGTCAAGGAGGAAGGAGGACATCATAAGCGGATTTCAAGGACGGTCAAGAACGCGGATGGGCAGGTGGTGACAACGACTGTGACACATAGACCGTGGTATTCTGCCTGGGGTGTCCGTGGCCTGTACACGGGCTTGGGCATGCATCTGACGACCAACGTGGCACTATTCGCTATCGGTGCGGTGACCAATCTCCAAGACGAGGGCGACGACTGGTGAAGCAATGCCGCTGAGCATATGATAAACCCTTTTAGAATCAATTACATGATAAATAATAAATGGACAGTTGCAAGTGTAATGATCTCAGGACCTCGGGTCCCGGTTTCACCTAAACAGGGCAGCGACGATGACAGCCTTAAGGGTTCAGGTCACTTTCGCCTCCGTCACCGCCGCTAAAATAAAAGTGCGTCATGGAGGGAACCTTACTTTGATTAACATTCTCACACTCCTGCATCTCATTCACAGAAACCAAATCGCTCATTCCGCCTAAGCACAGGAACAAGGAGCAGCATGAGCAATTCTGAAGACGAATGCCCGCCCCTGGCGGTTCCCTTGACCGTCGACAGCCTTCAAGAGGACGATGAAGAGATGCCTGATCTGATCGATACCCAAGCATTTGTCCCTGAAACAACGAAGGAGGACTCAACGGCGACCGTAGCGGATGGAATGTCCACGAAAAAGATCCCTATCACGATCATTACCGGGTTCCTGGGGTCAGGCAAATCGACTTTGCTGGACTATATCTTGACGGAGAAACACGACTTCAAAGTGGCTGTAATTCTGAACGAGTTTGGAGACACGGGTGGGATCGACCAGGCCATGAATGTCGGGATGGGAGGGGAGGTCGTTGAAGAGTGGTTGGAGCTCAAGAACGGATGTCTGTGCTGTACGGTGAAGGACAATGGTGTATTAGCGATCGAGAACCTAATGAAAAAAAAGGGCAAGTTTGATTACATCTTACTGGAAACGACAGGATTGGCCGACCCAGGTCCAATCGCATCCATCTTTTGGATGGACGATGATCTGGGTAGCGATATTTACCTGGATGGGATTGTCACCCTTGTCGATTCGAGAAACATCCGCAAGGTACACGCCTGTTTCTCAGTGCACGCACTTACTTGGTTGATCAAGGCGTTTACCAGGAAGGTTCTAAAAAGGAAGTTCTCTACAACACACTAGGAACTTGAAGTGAAGAAAGAGGATGGAAGTTTGAATGAGACTGCAAAACAGATTGCTATGGCAGATCGGCTCATTCTCAATAAGACGGACCTTGTCAGCAAGCAAGAAGTAAATCAGCTGGAGGAAGATTGCAGGGCCATGAACGGTGTCGCACAGATCGTACGGACGCAACACTCAAAGGTCGATCTGAGATTTGTACTAGACATCGCAGCCTTTGATGCCGTCCGAGCCAAGGAGCTAGAGCAAGCGGACTTAGCGTTGAAGCAGCAAGAATCGACAGCATCAACAACGGACGATCATAGTTATGATGACCCGAACCATGTGCACGGTGAAGGATGTGGGCATGAGCACACCAGCGAGGGGCCGTCAGGACACCTTGATCAGGTAAGATGTCGGATCATCGCAGTACTACGCTTTCTTTTTATGTAGACCTTTAAATCTCGCTTCATTCACCAAAGCGACCGTCCTTCCTTCCTTCCAAGTAGTCGATCAAGACAACGACATTAACCTTCAACACACCGACTGTCGATCAGAAGCTGTTTGAGCACTGGCTTCAAATGCTACTGTGGGAGCATCAAATCCCCAGCGCCAGCGTATCATCTCCGAACAACGGATCAGCTCCAGATGCACCCGCGCCGACAGCAACGAATCCGAAGAAGCTGGATATTTTGCGTGTCAAGGGCATCATCAAGCCTTCGGATCGACCGACAGGGACCAAGGTCGTGATCCAGGGAGTGCAAGAGTTGTACGATGTCAAGGAGGCAGTAACTCAGCCTGGTCAGGAGGAGTTGGTCGGTGCTGGAAAAGTTGTTTTTATTGGACGTGGATTGGAAGATAAAAAGGCGTTGCTTGCATCCTGTAGATATTTCATGAAGCTGGGCGAGAGGGATGTTATCATCCATTAGTTTGTTCAAGAGAATAGAGCATTGTGGTCGGTCGTAAAAGGCTTTGTTGTGTATCTGATGCCAAAAGGTAGTTGCCCTTTTAAAAAAACCACCTTTGTCAAGGAGAAGGAAAAAAAATACGTTCAGAGTCGGGTCTAAATCTGCACCACCTCTACTGATCCACGTTTTATATTCGTGGGCGGTTTTGAATGTTATATATATTCCCGACATATGTCCACAAATGCCGTACAATGGACAAACGATATTGGCAACGCGCTATCTCAAACGCGCCGCTTTTGCTTTAATTGTGGTTAGGATATACTGATGTTCCTCTACTACGAATTCTCACAGCGCGTCTTTACGCATCGCAAACACTGACGCACAGACCACATTTCCCGGAGGATCCAACAAAAGGCAGTTTGCGCTACTACTTGTCCGAAGTCAGATACAAGGCCCTGGCCTTGACGATCTCCAACTCGTGTTTCAACTTTCTTTCCTCAGCCTCAGCGCGCTCCCTTCGTCTCATCTTCTCGCACACATGGGCCTTCAAGCCTTCCTGCAGATCATCCAGATACTGCTCAACGGCCATCATGTAGTCCGCAAGATCCTTTGCATAGTACCACAGTCGCTGCAGATGGCAGTTCTCAGGCGGGTCTTCGGGCTTCCTGGTGCAGCCCCTCGGGAGGCAGATGCACTCCTCGTACTCGAATTCTGCGTCCGCAAGGTCGCGACGCAGCCCTTCGTAAATGACGTCGCGCTCGCAACAGCGACAGGTGCTGCTACCGCAATGGCATCCGCCGTAAACAGAGAGAGCGGACGAGACCGGGGGTGGGTCTGGGAGCGAATGCGGAGTGGAAGGACGGAGCTTGACGGACTTTGTCGGGGCTTTGTGCTTGACGAGCATGGAGGAGGACGAGGGCGGCATGCTCATGGACGGGGGCATACGTGAAAGTGGTCGATCGTATCCGGCAGCGATCACGGAGGGGCGATACTTTGGGGTGGCAGATGTAGTGCTACTGCTAGCAGTAGCGGTAGTGGTGCTGGTGATGGTAGTCGCAGCAGCAACGGCGGCAGCAGCAGCGGCAATGATTGTCGCGTTGAGCGGCGGTCGGCTGATGGTTGAGTGAGAGCGGCTACAAACAGAGGATCTGCGGCTGCTGCAGACGCTTGTGCCAGTGATAGTAGAGCAGCGAGGCGCTGGAGGTGGAGGTAAAGGCTTTTGCACGGGTACGTGATCGCAGGGATGGCACAGATCTTTGGTCGGCGTGGTTTTTATGCTCATGCTCATGCTTGTGCTCAGGTATAAGTAAGAGGGACTGTGGTTGGTATGGAGAAGGAGAGTGTTCTTCAAGACGAGGTTGGGTCTCCAAGAGCCTAGGCTTTGTGCTCCTTACACAAGAAGAGGAGGGTTATGCGAAGGGAAGGACAGATGGGTGAAGAGGAAGAAGATGGTAGGGAGTGCGGAAAGATGGAAAGAGACTGAAAAGAAAGGCGACAGGTTATTTAAATAGGAGGGGAGTTATGGAGAGAACGACGGATGGAGCAAGCGAAGGGACGACGATAAGGGACAACGGCTTTTTTTTTCTTTTTTTCTTTCTGCGCAGCTGATTTCTGTAAGTGAAGAAGTAGCGCCATCAATTCTAATTTAAACCGTGTCAATGCAACCAGGATGGCTACGGGCAGTGGGTAGATAGGGTAACCATGGCCTGTGCTTCAACTTGACATCTCCGCTTCAAAGCATCTTGAACAGTGTCCTTTCTCACTTTTTTGTAAACCACGCGTTTTATCGCATCTGGTTTCAAATATCCCTTGGACCAAAGATTATCGTTCAGGAAGCTATTGACATGCTGGAGCCGGGAGTGACAACCTTGGACTCCACTGGCGGATCGAGCACCATTGAGATTTAACTCCGTTGCTTCAGAAGTCTTCCAGAGCGTAGAAACCCCATAGTTGAATAGGAAAATCCTGATCAGCCGTAATTGCGGTCAAGATCCAATTCGGGGTCTCGGGTGCTAGGCAAACGGACAATGATTCTTTCGATTTCTTCGATTTCTTCGATGGCTTCTAAAATCTACCCCTGCTTGCTCCCAGAATCGAACACGAGCACCTACTCTCTGCCCCCCTGAGGGAAGGTAGAGAGCCAAACCCAGGTTGCGGATAGCGACGACGCTATCATTGAAGTTCTGAGCCTCCCAATCATGGATTCCAGGCTTTCCATGAGGACGCAGCAGGACGATAGAAGAGCTAGGCTCTGAACTGCTGTGGGTAAGCAGCCCGCCATTGAGTTTCGAGATGCGATAAACGCCGTTAGTAATCGCACTAACAGCGGCGATAGCGAGGACAAAGAGGGCGCCGAGGAAGGATAGACATACCGTTTTTTAACGACAGCAAAGTGTTGGGGTGTTAATCAAGACTGGGATGCGTTTCCGCTGACCGCTACCTACTTACCGTATGTAAAACGCGCACTTGGGGTGTGTCTTCGCTATTTTTCTTCAAACATTATTATGTTGGTTTTCATGTGTCAAGCCGTCTCGATGTATTTGGTGAAACGGGTCTCTCCATGAAAGAATGATGGCAACAAAGTCTTATCTCTGCATGGGCGTCAAGAACTATTATACCAGTCCTCCGAACACATATCCAGACACAGCGACGGATTGGCAGGTCAGACTTTTTTCTGCTACATTCCTACAAATGTGGACGAACAATAATGGAGGGGTGCCCAGTTATGGCACTAGAATTGGAAGATCCTTGCTCTCTCCCTCTCTCTTCGCGCTCCTTGTAAGAGGGTCAGCATCGAACAAGCAGGGCGTCCTGCGGGTAGGAGTGCTGGTATCGCCGTGACTGGCGAGATCTTGGGACGGCCAAGTTCTAGCCGCTTTCAGAGCACGATCTTGATGGTATCAAGTGACACCATCGTGGAAGAGGTAGGCACAATTCTGGCGTTAGGCAGCCACCTTGCCATAAAGACCTACACACATGTCTTCGACCACTTTGGGGTGGGTAAAAAGGAAGCGGAAGGTGTAGCTCTTGAGGACGTGACAGCATATGGAAAGGTCTGTGACCGGCTATATCAATATTGTTTCCACTCTCCTTTGTCCTGGAGGCGAGTGCAAACCGGCGACAGCGATTTCTGTCGTCAGCGGCATCATCCCCTTTCTCTGTTTCTTCTGAAGGTCGTAAGCTGCTACGCCATCTTAAATAAGGTTTGGGTTCAGATTTCTGAGGGACATTTCGAAATTGTGGACTGCGCCCATTTTTACCGCGACTGTATGGTTACACTAATAGGGAAGAAATGAAGTGCTGCAGAGTATGCGCATAAACATGGACAATCCTTGGAGAGGGACGCGTGCGGCGTTACTGACAGCCCTTTTGGCCACTCCAGTGCTACTGCCCACAGCTGCGACGTGTGCCCATTTGGTGGTGTTGTCTGTAGCAGGCTGATTTTCTTAAGGAGTGGATGCAGCACAGCCGTATGTGAGCACTTGATGAAATAGGAAAAAAGCTGGAGAGGATGCAGCCAGCACTGGTTATGTTGGAATAGACAATTTGGTCCGAGTCCAACATACCCACGGTGTATTGTCTTTAGGGACTATTGTATGCCCGCATAGTGCTGCAAGAGGATAGTATTGCTGTGTGTGACCTTTATGGTCATCGTCGCTGTAGCCGTTTTTTTCTTGTTTCACTCGTTTTCTTTCCTTGCTGCTTGTTCCTGTGCCTTATGCCTTTTTATCCTTGTGCACTCCCAAGTACATCATCGGCTGCTTAAATAGACGTGCTGGCTGCACTCACAAAATACACTCTTGTGGTGGTACTACTTTTGCCATGTCTTTTCTGTCTATTGCTTACTATCTTTTCCATGCCTGTATGCTCATCAAAGGAGACCTCTCTTCCTCTCTTTCTCTCATCCTCTCTCTCTCACTCCCTCACTCTCTCTCTCTGCTCCTTTGCTGCCAAGACCAGGCTGTCTTACCGCGAAAGTATATTTCATGTCCCGATAGGTCACCGGCCAGATTTATTTTGCCACCATTATCTCCTTACTTGTCTCTGTTCACTGTCTCCGTGCTGTCTGTCACTATATCCTTTTCTTTCATGTGAAAGACTCGAAGAGACTACGTCGATAGGAAGCACTGCAGATAGCAGTGATGACGTTTACCGTCTGTCTGAGGAGGGAATGTCTATCGGAGCCTTCCTCTTTTTCTCTCTTCTCTCTTCTCTCTTCTCTCTTCTCTCCCCCATCTTCTCTCGCCCGGTCTTCAAGGTAAGCTCTTCTCCTTCCTTCTCCTCCACCTTTATCCCTGCTGTAGCTACTCTTACTTTCACCCTCAGTCCTTCACTTCTGCTGTCTCTCGCCCCTTCTTTCTCGCTGTTCTCTCCCACTCTTGTCCACCTCAGTCTTGTTCCTCTGCACTTGTATCTCTCTCTCACACTCACTTACGCAGCGAATCCCTTGTGTCAACTGTTTCTAATACTCTCTGTCACACACACACACTCTCTCTCTCTCCTTCTCCTTCTCCTACCCCTTCACCTTCCCCTGTTCCATCTCTTTCTTTATTTACTTCTTTCGTTATTGCTAGGTGCCTGGTCTCCTCTCCCAAGAGACAACCATTCAAGGGCTGCAGACCTGTGACAGCCGGTTGATGCTCAGACGTCTCCTGCTGCGAGTGGGACCTCGAGGTAAGTGAAAACATGAGTTTGTCTTGCAGTTGCTCACCATATTTGGTTAAAACACGCTTGTGACCATTTGCCACCCTTTTCTTTGGCCCTTTTTTTTTCTGTTCTGCTGTTACTTTTGCTTTTGTTTTTGCTTTTATTTTTATTTTATTTTTGTTTTTTTGGTATTTTGGGTGGGGATTTCAATGAACAAGGATGAGCGATCCGAGCCCTAGAGAGTTGGAAGAGGAAGATGCGCTTTTGATTGACGGATTGCATTCTTTTTGAGACGAGGGCTCCACGTTTCTTCTGGACATGATGGCCTTCCATATGTGGTCTGATCCAACGGCTGAAGTAAAAAAAAAAGAGAGAGTTCCGGGGGACAGCTTTGGGTGTTGGCTAATGGGTTTGGGCCTCTCTTTTTCCACGGTTCTGTGGTTTTTTCTTTGCGCATTGTCCCCCTTTAAAGCTATTTTCTCGGCCAGAGGGATCTTTGTGCCGCTGTTTGCCTTCTTTTATACAGATGGCGATCGGATTGAGTACAGGCTATCTGACCAACATTTGAGGGCCAGCCAAGGTGCATTTTGCTTATTCTTGTGGAGCTGCTTTCTTTCCGTGACATGATGAACAGCTCTATTTCTCAAGGCCTCTTTAGATCGCCAATGAATACAAAGGCTGTCTGATATACGGAGGGCTTTTCTTTCATTCTTTTTTATATTTTATATTTTATTTTATATTTTATATTTTATATTTTATATTTTATATTTTTTTATATTGTTTTGCCTTTTTTTCTTCTTTCTCTTGCACATCAATGTTTAGGGTGCATCCACGGCGGCAAGCGAACGGACCACCAAGAAAGTAAGTGACACAGATAAAGATCTACCTCCCCTCTCCGCCTTTTCATCTCCCCGCTCTTACACCTCTCCGCTTTCCACTTTGCATCTTCCATATCACAATCCATTCGCCGCGCCTGCCACACGGAATCATTTCGTCTTCCGTCCTTCACTTTGCGCACACTTGCACACAAACACTCATACACATTCTCACACATTCTTATACACTTGTTTATTGGTTGAATGCGAAAAGCTAAAGTAGGTACACGGAAGGGAGACAAGGTAAGAATGAAATGGCATGATAAAAAGAAAAAAAAAGAAAAAAAAAGAAAAAAAAAGAAAAAAAAAGAAAAAAAAAGAAAAAAAAAGAAAAAAAAAGAAAAAAAAAGAAAAAAAAGAAAAAAAAAAGAACAAGAACAAGAACAAGAACAAGAACAAAAAAAGAACAAGAACAAGAACAAGAACAAGAACAAAAAAAGAAAAAAATAACAAGAACAAGAAAAAGAATAAGAATAAAAACAAGAACAAGAACAAAACAAGAAAGAAAAAAAAAAGAACAAGAACAAGAAAAAGAAAAAAAAATTTGAGAAACAAAAAAATACCCAAAAAAAAATAAGAAGGTCAAAAGCCGAACTTTTTTTCCCTTGTGGTTTTTTCTGGGGTACCATGGCTTGCAACCTGCCCGCGGTGTACCCTGCACAGTCTTTACTTTCCCAAGTAAGACTGACTGATGGCAAGCCAATCCACTTTCCTTTGTATGTATCGCTTCGAACCCCACACCTTAGTCACCTTAGAATCAGCAAACGTCAATGTGAAAATGAAATAAAGAGTGAGGATTGAACCAAACGATGAAATGTGTAATAGCAAAAAAAGCCTTTGTCGGCAGTATAATGAATGGGTTTGCACTTGGTGCTCGCACTGCATTGAAGGGACATAGTTATCGACGCGTATATCTGGCCTGGACGGTGCACAGCCTCGATGGCATCACATAGACCCTGGCCTCCAGAGTACCTGTGCAACATTCACATCTACCCGCAATGAAGGAGCTCCTTGCAAGACCACAAATGGACGGTTTTTTCTGGGAAACCATTCCCTTTTTTTTTTTATTATGGAACCTTCGCCGCGACTCATTGACTATGAGGAGTGCATCGGATAGCCGGTTTCGTTGTTGCTGTTGTTGTGGTAAAATCAGTCCATTGGCTGAGCCAGACACGCCTTTTCACGTATTTTTGTGTATCCGATCTTTACCGCGAACCGCCCCTGAGGGCTTTTTGTCATCGGACCATGTCTTCCCTGACGCCTTTGGTGAAGAAGGACATTCGGATCTGTCCAGCTCTTCTCTACTTGTTGCATTTTAGGATTATAAAAAAAAAGAGGCCCATCGATCTTAAAGCAAGGAGTCAGTGCCTGGGAGCGTCCATCTTGAAAGTGATAGTGGAAATAAACGGAGGAAGAGAAAAAAAGTAGAGTGCAAGCAGAAGAACTTGCATGCCATCAAGGACGATAGAGATGATGCCAACAGAACGAGACAGAGAACATATTTTACGATGAAGATGAAGGGCCACTGAATAAATAAGAAAAATATGCGACGCTTGTCCTAATACGTGTATCTCTATGTTTCGTGCATGCATGCATGCATAGGTATTATATAACACAATGTTCCCTCTACATGTGTCATTTTATGACTGAACATTTGAGGTCCCTAACGCGTTTGCAGCCATCGAATATAGCCCATCGGCTCATCGTCGGAAAGCACGCCGCTTCGATAATCCCGCGGGGCTCCTCCGGCTTTGATCAGTGGTATGCCGCTCATTCCACTTCGTTCTGGCCTAATCTCGAACTCTAGGATTTCTATCATACTGATCGCGTAACGCCATGCCGGAGATAATAACGCTTCTTAAAAAACTTAGCTATCCTAGCTGTCAATGCACGCCCTTTCAATCGCACAAGCAGAGCGTTCCGACTCACTTGGGTCCCTACTGTCATCCAAGAAGACAAATCCAGCCAGTCGCGCTCTACTAGTCATTGTCGACGTCTGCTATGGTGTCGTTCGTGGAATGATAGGCGTAGCTAATGGTGATGAGACTCTCCAGTCTTGCGAGATACTTTAAGCAAAGCGTGTTTTGAGTTCTTAGAAGAATAATGCGTCCGTATTTATGTTGCTCATTGCGATTCTTTACAGCAGGTGCCTTCAGTGAGGCAACAAGGCGAGTTCCAAAGAGACCCACAGATAAATGTTATCATACACCAAGCAACACAGCACACAAAAATGGGCTTTTTCATTATACAGCGTGGAGACAAAGATATATGCTTTATTGCTAAATGCAAGCAGGACAAAACACATGCAAAAACGCGGCGGCAGTAAGAATGAAATCAAAGCAAGACTTTTAAAGGTCGGCCAAGTCCTCAATCTCCTTCTCAAGAACTGTGATGTAGTTCTCGTCGAAGTCTCTCTCTGTGGTCACAAATGTGGTTATCGCATCATTTGAAGAGCGGATACGGTCTCTAGAAGGAACCACGGACGTCGAAAGCGGGACATTCTCGCCGACGGCGGGGAGCTGATGCAATAGCGATACTGTTATCTTGGAGTTGTTCTGTACCGCATTACCATTGGACGATTTTTTTGCTATGCCGTCCGTCAATGTGGTAGGTGTGGTCGGTGTGGTCAGTGCAGTATCCGACTGTGCAATAATAGTATTAGCCACTTTTGCATCGTTGGCCCAGATATCGTGCACACCGTGAGAAGCAGGATTGGTTGTTGAAGCTGCATGTTTTTTATCCTCACGAACCGGCTCCTCTGTCCCGGTTGATGCGGTATGGTCCATAGATGTGATTGCGATATCCGAATGGGGGACCACAACAGAGTTGGCAAACACCGATTTGGGTTGACTAGGTGAGGACGGTCTAGGGTGGGCGAAGCGCGATTGTTGTCGAATTCGCTGTTGTTCCCGTTCCTGTTCTGGGTCTCGTCCTCGTCGGATGTCCATCGAAGGAGGTAATTTTTCGCCAAATCGCGAAATGTTTACCGCTGCAGAGGCTCGAATCGCGGACCCAATCTTATGGATGCGTTCGGTAATGGCCAAGGATCGGTCGTCCAGAATGCTTTCTGGTCTCGGGGCATGATGATAGGGCTGTCCAACGCTCAAATCGGTAGCGCGATTCATCTGTTGGTACGCTGTATCGAAGGTTGCCTTGGAGAGCGGCTGTGGTCGTGGCAACACTGGCGGCATGTAATCTGTTGTCATAACAGCTTCCCGAAAAGGTTCGACAGGGGAAATACCGTCAAGAAATGGATCCTGATCAAGGAGCAGGTTCTCGAACTCTGAGTCGTCTCCGAATCCGTCATCGTGGAATTGTCGTCCTGGTTCACTGTAAGGTACGTAGTTATTCCCAACTGCTCGTCCTGAACTGCTCAGACTTGATCCAGAGGACAAACGAAAGTGAGGCGTGGAATAGGCGCCACCACCTCCACTTAAATTTGCATTGGAAACAGATCCTGGTGTAACTTGAGGAACAACTTCATCAAATCGGACTCTCTTGCCAGACGAGAGAGACGGGCTTCTTTGAATGGGCTTCGTGGTTGAAGGCTGTGTAACAGACTGCGTCACATGGTATGACGATGGTGGCAAAGTAGTGCGAGCAGTCGGACTCGAGGTTGGGAGGGCTCCCGAGCCATAAGCGTCAGCAAAAGGTGCTCCAGGGTCTTGGCTACAAGTTGTCGGTTCATAATAAAGAACAGGAACGTATTCAACGAATGATCGACCATATTGAGCTCTTAGTTTCGGTGTTCTTCCATGCACCATCAGCTCCATATCGCGCTATTGTCGCCCAACACGAACAGATATTAGCATCTAAAGTTATATAGTATCATTGATCCATTATCATTCTACTTCAATATAGCATACGATACCTTCATCCGGGCGTATTTGTTATTCAGATTGGAAGATCTACGCATATTTCGAGGTTTCCTGTTTCCCAGAGCAGGCGGAGGCATTTCAAGGACGACCTCTGTCTCGCTGGCTTGTTGCTCCTGTTGGTCATGCTGATATCGGCATTGTTGCTTTTGGTATTGTTGCTGCAATTGTTGCAGTTGCTGTTGATACTGAAGTTGCCTTTGCCGTAGCGTCTGATGCGAACCCGCACCCATGTTGATGGGATACAGGGAGTTCAATTCCGACGGATTCCCAAACTCCTGATGGCTCGGTACTGCTGATACGGGCGACTGAGACATCGAGGGATGGATGCTACCTCCTGTGTTCTCTGAAGCAGTACCCACGCCACTGAACCTTCGATTGGTGCTGAGTGAAGAGTGATCTTCGTTCTCTGCTTCGCCCATTCTCGGCACTTTTGCGTCTATAGAATCAATTTATGAAATCCAGTAAATTCGCAAGTTCTCAAGCAATTCATTGATGATTTTTGCGAACGCACTGGGCAGAATCACTTATGATTACCATCGGGATGAGTGGAAAGCCATTGATCCTGATACTCTGGCGAAGTATTAGTACTGTATCCTGTTTGTTTCACGAAGGTCTTCGAGGCCCTATAAGATAAAGTTGGTCGTGAGATAAACCTTTCTGGTTCAAGTACTGGACACAAGGGCCGGAATGAGCGCTTACTTTGCATATGGTATGTAGTCCAGCTCATGACCGATCTCTGTACCCTCAAAGACAGTAGCTGAAGGGTAGGGCCGCTTTAAGGGGGAATTGGGCAAGGGTGACATCCAGATAAATGAATCGGTGGCGCGAAGAGAAGGGAGAGTATAAAGAAAAGATCGACCATATAGTATTTAAAATTTGTGCGTGGCCCGAGAGGCGATGTTTTCTATATCAATGTCAGATTCTGCATGAATTCCTGCCAACCGGTGCTGTCTACATCTCCATGCCTGCTGACGTTCTTGATCCGGGGCCAATGCGTAAGCATCCACTCCGCCTCTGCAGCACCCATCTCGCTCTCCCACCCTGTCACGAGCACGTTCTTCAGATTCTTTAACCCCTTCAGCCTGTCGAGTCCGGCTTTCAGCGTCAACGGGATCCCCACAAGACCACGATGGAAACCAATCTCGCCAGTGCTACGGAGATCCAAGATTTCGAGCGACTCTTGCCGGGACAGTTGTTCAAACATATAGTCGATACACCGCCTCGTGTAGTCCTGCTGGAAGATCCAGTCCACCTCATGGATATCGCCACCAGAGTATTTGCTGGCTCCCGTTTCGCGTACTTCTGTGCCAACCAAGACGACAAGGGTTTCCAATCTGCATGAAGCCCAAGGTCGTCCTGAGTTCAGCATGTCCTTCGTCCAGAAAATCGTCTCCTCCGGCCCTTGAAAGACTCGCAGATTACCGCAAGTGGTCATGATTTGCTGTAAGTTCGCACTCGATAATCCATTGCAGAATAAAAGGTCCAGAGCCTCAATCCCATCGCTCAGGTGAGTCACGATTTCAGAATAGATCGAGCGTGGAAGTACGCAATGCATGAGTGCGACCTCCTTGATATGGCGAGACTGAGAAGTATGAGCAACGCTGCGTGCGGCTGAACCTGCAAAGATGCCGCAGATAGCCCTGTCGATTTCAGTGTCCGTCAAGAGAGCGTTACTGCCTGTGTATGTCAAACTGCTCGTCTGGGGGAATGTCCAAATGAAGTTCCTTGAATTAAAGGCTCCTATGATAGAGGCGCTACGCGGCAGAAAGTAGTTGCGGGCAATGAGCTCAATCGATTGAACGTTATCGCCACGAATCTCAGCATGATCCATTTGCAGAAAAAGATAGTCGAGCTCCAATATCTTGATCTGTCGCAGATCCAGCACATGTTCCGGTTGTAAGCGTAGGGCATTCTCGTCGTTCATGTCTGGGATCTCGAAAGACCTGTTCCTGACCCTCGACTGCTTGAAAATCTTGACATTCTTCAGCGAGAGTAGTTCGAGGTTAGGAGCGTTCCTAATCATCATGTTCATCATCTGGGTGGAGGCTGACCAATTGCTGATGCACAGAGAAGCAAGGAATGGTCGATGTTGCATGATATATCGTGATGTGAACTCGAGTGAGGGCGGCGTCATGCTTTGACCAGAGCTGTCATGGATATATCGAAGCGAGATCTGTTGGTCAATCAGATCAAGAAACTTGTTCCTATCCCGTTCCATGTCTAACACGACGTTTAACTGACTGTCCTCATCTTCGCTAACAGTGACTTGATCATCCGAGAGCTCCTGGGTGGCCTCGGCTTCTGTGATATAGGTTGATACGGTCCACCGATGTCCAGCGACGTGGGGTTTGTATATGAGACGCGATATGTTCCGACAACCGACGCCGTTGTAATTCTCAAGGAAAAAGTCGGGGTCATTAACGACAAGTTCCTGAATCAGATGCTCGTGCCTCTGAAAGATCTCTGGCGTTATATGGTGGGAAAGATGTCGATCGAATCGAAGAGTGCGCCAGAGCTGAGGAATGAAATCGGCATACCATGCGCGGGAGACCAGGGTGCATGCGTAAAGACTTTGCGTGTTGTCAGTCAGGAATCGACTGATTAGCAGGCGGATTTCTGGCAGGTCCAATGGGTTTGATGCAATTGTCGCGGGGGATTTCATGGTCATGGTCTATGGTCATGGTCAGGGTCAGGGTCAGGTCAGGGTGAGCCGTGGAAACAGAAGCTGTGAGCCGTGGGTTGACCCCACAAAGTGCCGATCAAGGTTAGGGTCCATCTCGCGTGGCAGACAAGATTTCACTAACCTGATAGAGCGCCCTTTACACATACATCTCTGGTGATTAAGAAAGTCTGTCAGATCGATTGACCAAAGCTGTGTAGAACAATATGTCTATGGAATACTGCTCATAAACCAGATGCATGAAGCTGCTCGTCAAGACAGCTTTTTAATCCGCAAATCATTGTCTTTCATATCTGAAGCTGCCATAAAGGACTTGTCCTACTGAGGTGCGAGGTCACTCTCACTTGGATGCCTTCTGCTTCTCAAGATAACCTCCGAGCCACGACTTGGCGTAGATGTGCATCCCCGCGGCCATCCCTGTCTTTGTGGGAGTCCATGCGAGAAGCGACCGTGCCCTTGTGCTGCTCTCGTTGATGCTTGTATTGAAGGCCTGGATGAACAACTGCGGCATTGAATCTCCCTCAGGCACACCTGTCAATTCTACCTTGCCCTTGTAGCCCAGCTCCTGTGCAAACCTCGTCAAGATAAAGGCCAGGCTCTCATGTGAAGTCGCCAAATCAAACACTGGGTATTGGTCCTTGCGTCCGGCGATCAGCTCCAGTTTCTCGACGGCAGCCACGAATGCGGAAGCGGTATCGTCCACATGAATTAGCGACAATGCGGCGGTGGGGTCTGCTTGAAGCGAAATGGGAGTGTTGTTCTGAATACTTTGATAGATCTGCGCGAAATAAAGGCCCCATATATCGCTAGTGCCTCCATAGACCATAGCAGGACGGATCACAGCAGCGTTGAGGTGATTATATGAAGCCAGAACCTGGTGCTCGACTTCTGGTCGCCATACAACCAACTGTGGGGGCTGGTGCGCTGAGGCCTTGAGACCTGCAGGTGCGAGATCGCTGGTCGGGCTGGTGCTGGAACCATGGACCCATACACCCGAGCAGTAAATGAAGCCAATCTTGGGCAGGTGTCTAGACTGACGCTCCTTGGAAAGACGAATGAGAGGTTCGAGAACGGTCTTGACAGAGGTTTGGATGCCGGAAAGGTCGATAACGACTTCGATATTCTCGGTCCTGACGGCTTCGAGCCAGGGCACGGCCTGATGGAGCTCGGCCTCAATGCTTCCGACGATGGGGATGATCTCGTTGATTTGAAGAAGGTTTTCCTTGGCGGCACTACGAGCAGTGCCATAGACGATGTGATTGTTGCGGCGCAGCTGCTGCGAGAGGCGAAAGCCGATGTAGCCAGAGGCGCCGATGACGAGAACTTTGACCATGGCGTGAATAGTCCTTGAGAAGGTTCGGGAGGTGTTTTTGTTTGAAGAATGGACAGAAGATTGGACGAGTATCGTTGGTTATATACTCACGAAAAAAAATATGCCTGTGGCATGAACGGATAAAATGAAAGTACGGACGACCTTTTTCTTGCGTGATTTGAACCCCTCGTTCGTCAATCAACGTTCAACTTGAAGACGACTGAGCCTCTGAGCAGAGAACCATTTATCCGACTGGACAGCATTTTGCAGTGCCTTCGGACGTAGGACTGCGTAGACTTATATAAGGCGTTTATACGCGATTTGACTGTCTGCCCTAGATTTCCGCAGCTCTAAGTGGGGTCAAGGGATGGCCCAACGTCCTCAGCTCGACATCGGCCGATTGGCCCTCAGTATCACAGCGTGGTACACAGGACGCGTTCAGACTAAACGCGTTTGAAGACGCGATAGGAACGCGTGCAGAAGCCCTATTCAAGACGCGGCTGGAGCGACGTCATTGAGCGCTTGTAGTAGTCTGGCCTCGCTGATTGGCTCGAAATAGCGTTGGGTTTTATTGTTTTCTCGCGTGCGGAAATAATGAATGTGCACTAAGAGAATTTACTGGCAGCGAGAACCAGCATTAACTTCATCTATTCCTTTTATCTCGCGTACTGCTTTCTGAAGGAGTGCCGCCGCAGAAACAAAGTAAGTCTCCGTGCACTTCCTGGTCTTGCCATTGTGAACCACTCGACCAAGCTCCATCCAAGCCTGGCGAATTGTCTCCTCACACTCCCACATCACTTGAGCCCTTTCCTCCTCCTGCCGTCTTCTTTTTTCCTGCATCTCCTGTTGTCGCACGGCTTGGAGTCGCTGCTCCTCCTCCTCTCGTGCTGCTTGTAGTTGTTGAAGTAGATTCGGAGAGAGAAACTCCTCTAACGGAGGGCCATAATCCTCTTCCAGGACGGTTTCCTCATTCTCGTCAATTGACTGTCCCGTTAAGCTCAGTTGCATTGTTGTCAAAGCACACTTGGAACCCTGGATAGATCCTCGATACCAAGAACATGTGCTTACACGGTAGACCGTGTTTTTCGTTGTCAGGGCAAGAACAGGAGCGGAGCCATTTGTCCGACAATATATCGATAGCATATTGCGCCTCAGGCGGGGTCTGAAACGACAACACAGAGATCAAGCCTTCCACAGACTTAGTAATGTCGATCAATGTTCTCGCCCGAGCCGAATCAACTTGGATGGCCTTTTTACGCCGTGCCTCCTCGTGGAATGTTAGGCGACGGGGTTGAAGGCCGCTTGTGATCTTGAAGTATGTGGTGCGGTACTGGCTTTCCACCACACCTAGCAGGATGTAGATGAGTTCGTCGGCTCGCAGGTTGCGCTTTCCCGCCAGAAAGTTTTGCTTGAGGTTTCGATGCCATCGCTCCACAAGGTTATTTGTGTTAATATGTTGATGGTGCTATTTCAAATGAATAAAGTGCTTCAACGTTAACAAATTGACTAGAATAAGACCAGTTACATATCGTAGACCAGGCCATTTAATGAGATAGTGTATGTTAATGACTTTGATTTGTAGTTATAGTATATGTGTATATGTATATGTATTTGTGTATAGTAATTATTATTAAAGTTAGTTCTCTTTTTCACTTCCTTCGTCTTGTTACACACAGCTATTTAAGAGCACCGTTGCCAAATGATAGAATCTCAGTCTTTGTCTACTCAATCACATACCCAGACCCAAACCTATTGCGCAAGGCGATCAGAAAGCTGAGATCTCGATTACTTACTGAACGATAGAGAGGTGCCCATCGGCGCATGCTTTCCTTGTTGATCCATTGCTTCTCCATGTATTTGATGAGTACATCAGCATTCTGAAACCGCTCTTTAAACTGCTCCCATTGCTCTTCAAGATCAGCCTCGGTTTTTGCTTCGCGTATTTTTCGCAGTAGCGGACGCATTTGTTTTGCATTTGCTATCTAGAATTGCGCGAGAAAGAGTCGTGTTAATGGTTTGAGAGATATGACTGTATGCCCTCCCTAGTATTTTCTATCCTTACGGAAGTGCTTGTCCGAAGTTTCTCCTCCCATAGTTTCGCGACATGAAAGAGGCACAAGTAAATAGAGGCGCACGGGAATGCGCTTCTGATTGCTTGATGTTCGGTCTTAGCACAGTCCACCATGAACCTTTCCATCCGGAGGTTGCACTCCCTCTTCAGCCACGAGAGCCATGCGATGATCGGATACCTGTGGTTATGCAGTCGCTGTCAGTCTTTATACCTAACATTGTCTTTTATGCATCTCCATTCGCGTTGACGTACTGTGATTCCGTGTTCGAGATCATGAACGAGATAGGTATCGCTTGGAGCGAGCGAACATCCTTCACCAGAAGAGTAAACAAGTACCCGGATTGGACAGATCCTTCTAACGGCCTGAGTTCCTTGACAACCTTGTGCGTCGAATCACAAGCAATGTTTGCGTTGTCTTGCATGATCTACATGTACATTGGGAACAGAGGAGCGATTTGAATTAGCAGGAAAAAAAAATAAAAACAAAGAAAAGGTACTGAGAGCACATGCAAAGAGAACCTTGATTTGGAATGAAGAAGACCAGGCTATCATGTAGTTCTTGCCATCGAGCTTTGCTACATCTTCATCAAATAGCGATTTGCCACCCTCTTTCCGAATGGTGTCCATCCAAAGTTTCACACTCAAAGAAACATCATAGTTCTTCTTGTATGCCAAAGTCCTGTGTCGGTACATAGCGCTTCGGACATCGTCGTACCTAATAAGGAGGGACTTGGGGCGAGGGTCTTCCGGGTTGGCCTCCAGCTAGTGTATGCAAAGGCGTTAGCTCCATAGAAGAGGATAGTGAGATAACAGAACAGACTGCAATAGGTAACATCTTACCGTTGTTATCTGAGAGCTGGCTAGTGTCAGCTTTTCTCTTATGCTTCTCCAGTTTCTACCGTCTTTAACCATAGATTCTATCCACTTTTGCTCATTTCGACCTCGAGGATAAGCCGAATGAAATACAGGGTCCGTATCATGCGAGTGCAGCCAGTGGTATTCAATGCGCACTCTCTCTTCGCCGCGCAACTTCTGGATCCTGATAAAGACAGGGCAGTTTTGACGAACCGAATCGCGTTGTCCATGCTCTGATTGCTTCTTTGCGACCCCTGAGAATCGACACAGATGTTTGATGGACCAGTCATATTGAGGCGGACGTCCAGTTACTTTGATGGTGGCAACAGGCAGGCTGCCCAGAGGTGACTCATAGTTGTACCACACACGGGAGTGTTTCTCAGAGTCGAAAATCCAATGGCTTCTTTCGCGCTCTCTTTTCCAGAATGAACGGAAGGCTTCTGGGGTAGTGAAATCTTTGTGCAGGGGAAGAGGATCTATTCCTTCTGTGAAAGCGCACGGAGCTGGTGGGATGAATGGATCATAGTCGTGGCTGAAGTGAGCGACATCCCGAATTCTGAGTGAGTTCATGATCGCTGACACAGGGGGGAGATGGATAGGGGTGGGTGTTTTATAGAGAGTAAGACACCTTCTCGGTGCATGAATAATAACTGGGAAAATTATTCTCACAGTGAAACGATGAAATCAAATAAAATAATGAATTCTTGCTGCACTCTTGTCAATCAACTTCTTCATTCTTCATTCTTCAAACTCCTTCATTCTTAAACTCCATCATGGGCATTGAGGGCCTCTGGCCTTTTCTGAATAAGAAAGGCTATGAAGCTGAGGTGCTCGACGGACGATACATTCTCTCCAGTCATCTTCAGAACGGTTCCAAGTTACACGTGGATATACAAGGCACCCACTTCTCAACTATCCGCCAAGCCTATTCGTTCCACGACATGGATACTGCCCACTCGATCGTCGAGAGAGAAATACAGAAGTTCGCGACCCCGACCAACTCGCTCTGTACCTTGATGGCACTCCCTGTCAGGAAAAGGATTTGACACACCAGCGTCGGCAAAACAACCGTATGAAGGCTTTAAAGTTGGTTGAGAGCGACATCGACGTACTCAAGGTTCGGGTGAAGGAGAAGTTGCGTGTGAGGAAGCAGTTGTTTTTTCGCCTGAAGAAAAACTTGGCGAAGGGGTTCTATTGGACATTCGAGGCTCGACAAGCGTTTGCAGCGTATTTACAACAGAGAGGGTGGTCTGTAGAAGTGTGCCCGACCGAGGCGGATCTCAAAATTGCGCAAGACTGTTTGCCCGGAGACGTTGTCCTATCGCGAGACAGTGATATGCTCCTTTACCAACACATTTCGATCATCTGGCGACCAATATCAAGAGGACGCATCCTTGCGTACAACGTCCCCGATGTCCTGACTACTCTTGGAATCAACAGGACGCAACTCATAGTCTTGGGTGTGGTCTCATCGAACGACTACAACGCCAACGTTCCTTCATTGGGATGTGTAACGAATTTCAGTATCATTAAGCAGTTAAAGGGAGAGGGTAATGTTTAGCGTTCAACCGAAAGACTCTAGCGTGTTCTTGTAAACAAATTCCAACTCTAACTGTGTTGCTGCTGCCTGCCTTTTAATTCTAGATCCAGCTGAGATGGTGCAAGAGTACCTGTCGAACAGTCGTGTCATTCTCAAAAACGACAAGAAATTGACCTTTGCGACCTCTCTACAGGTGTTTGTGCACCATAAGCAGACACCATTGCAGCATGTGCAGCAAGCTCAGTCCCACCAGATGCTGCAATACGAGGAACTTTGGTCTACGTTTCGCCGTCTGCAAATGGAATGCATTGACAATGGGAAAGAACGGCGCGATAACATTCAAGCCAGGAAACGGTAAAAAATTTTACTCCTGTAGTCTTCATTCTTCTGCCTTCGCTTGAATGCGTCCATTACTAACTCTAGTCTACGTACTATGGCAATGCATCTAGTGAGACGCATGATAATGAATCCCAAAGGCACAAGTCTTCACAAACATTCAACCGCTACCGCACAATTGATCGACCTGAACATCCGCCTTCGACACATCCTCAGCCCGCGGCTACACCCCCGCTTTTGACACTTACGCAACTCACGGAAGCACCTTCACCCTCAACATTTCCTCAACCTGCGGTAGCGCCCACGTCTTCGACACTTCATCAAGCGGTTTCACAGCAAGAAAAACCTCGTCATCGCCCACGGTATTCTATGAAGGTGCGGACTCGCAAGATACAACACGACTTACCAGAGTCAATGACACAATACCAATGGAAGCCCTGGAAGACAACTCCGATGGCACCGTCCGCGCCAGTGATTCCTCCACAGAATACGACGCAACCTGAACCAGCAACCGCCAAGAAAGTTAAGTCAGTTGACGAGATGAACAAGGCTGACTTCACGCGTGCTCTTGACTGGGAGCATCCAACAGTTACACTTGATGTTGGGACTTTATCCGCGAATGTCAGAAGAGCTGAAGACTTGAGCCCTGATGAAGCTTCTGAAGTACTCCGATGCCTCCGGGAAGCCATCCGCCTTGCAGCCGATACAAAACGCACTTGCCAACAGCTCCTTGGTCGGTTCATCGAGCGTGTCTCTGATCCAGCCATCTTTAAGGAAACGGATAGGGATTTGTTGGATCTCATCTGCCCGCGCATACCGGGTACGAATAAGGACAATGATGGTGATAAGGATAGTGATAAGGATGATGATAAGGATGGTGATAAGGATGGCGAAGAGCAGGAGGACATAGATTCGGAGATCGACAAGGAGCAGGAGGATAGAGACGCAGATTCGGAGGTCGATAAGGACGATCATCAAAGGTTCCTTGGGATATTAACAACATATGTGTATTCGGGCATCATCCCTAGCGGCAAAACGAAGAGTATACAGTGCACGCGGAGGTTCATCGATCGAGCGCAGGAGCTACACTTACTGGAACGAAAAGATGCTGCTATCATCAACACGAGAATGCCATACCCGGGGTCAGTCATACTGCGAAGCATAATCGCGCAGCTGTCGGTTGATCTCAAGCGATTGTACGGAAAAGGCTGCAAGGAACTCCATAAAAAGGTAAATGTGAGAAGGAAAGAGTAAGGGATGCCGGAGTGGCGATGTTGGACATAGACAATGAATGACTGAGAGTGAAGGTATTCTGTGGCGAAATGGGGAGAAAGAAAGAGAGAAAAAAGAGAGGGGGGAACAACATATGTACATGTACATACAAGGGACACAAGGTTCAAGGTTACAAGGTTCTATTCCGCTAACTCGAACCTTACACACGGCAACTTTAAAACAGCTCAAGAAACAACTGGTCAAAGGGCTCTTGCCGGCTGGGACATGCATTGACATTCGTGGCGACGTCTCTGCGGTCGAGAACTTTTACCGTCTGAACCCGCTGACCAAGAACCCTCGGAAGTTAATGGCGTGTACGCCTTCCGCGCAGCCGTTCGTCGCGTTCACGGAACTGGAATTGATTTCAATCTTTTGGAAGAGCGACACACTCAAGGCGAAGCTGCAGAGTCTTCATGGAGCCAAGGACTATCGTCCTGCGTTGTCTGACATGTCGTACTGGCTGGCCAACCAAGCACCAGGCTACCTCCTCACGACACTCATCACCGACGTAGGACTGGGTCATAAAAAGCGTCGCATGCCCGGAATCAGCAAATCATTCAACAACCTCGCGACACCTTCACTTGCAGAGATCAAAGAGCACCTGAGAATCATTCAGAACGAGGATTTCGACCCCCGCACTTATAAGGAACGCGGTTACGTTATTCGCGGATCTATTCGGACCGATGGCTTTCGTCTCCAGTTAACGGCATTCAAGCTGAAGGAGCTTCTCTCGGTTCGGTACAGGCGGCATCCCACGGACATATTGCCTTCTCGGATTACGTCCACTGTGGGTGGAGTCGACTATTACCTAACTGAGGTTCGGAACGTTGTCAAGACGAAGCAGGATGTCGCAGTTCTTTGGGACTGTGAACCAGAGAAAATCAAGATATTAGGTCTCGATCTTGGTCAAGCGTTTGTGGTTGGAGCGAGCGCTCTATTGCCTGAGAAGACCTTAGATGACATGAAAAAATCCGTCAGCCTCGAAAATGGAAAGCCACGCAACGACAGTTATAATCCAGAGCAAGCATGTGTTACAGGAGCGAGTATGCCGAGATCCAAGGAGAGCTTCCATCAACAGAACAGTGCCGTCGGTACCGAACAACCTGACAATGACAATGACACCGAGGCTTCCGCCCGCAGCTCCCAGGTCTTTTACAACCTAGCTGTAAAGCAGAAGGCCGTATACCAACCAACATTCAAGTTTCGACGTTGGTTAGAAGAACGCAAACGGTCGATCCCGCTAGGCGCAGCAAAATCTATCAGCAACATCGAAAGCGAGCTACCAGCCCTTCGCGGAAAGGATGCCAGCGTTGAAAAGTACGTTGCGGGATTAGCAGGCGTCAAGGAGCAGCTCGACGAGTTCTACAACAAAAGCGCCACATTCAAAAAGCACCAGTGGGATGCCAGAAAAGCTAGAGAGGCAGAATTCGACATCATCGCAGATCGCCTGCTCAATATGGTTGGAGGATCGCTTGGTAGACAGCGAGATGAAGAGGACAAGGTTGTAATCGGCATTGGTCTAGGCAAGTTTTCATCCACGGGACGACTTTCCTCGTTACATGAGTCCTTCCAGTCGTACTTTGTTCAAAGGGTTAGTGCTTCATTGCAAGACATTCGATTTCTTTTTTTTTTTTTTTTTAAAAAAAAAAAAAAAAAAAAGCTACTGATGACGCTAATGAGGCGCCTTACGTTCTGTGTCCGTTAGGCAAGGGCGCTCGGGTATATTGTCGTGGGCGTCAATGAGTACTACACGTCAAAGAAGTGTCCGATGTGCGAGGAGTTTGTCGGCCAGGTTCAAATACGTCGGCTGTATTGCAAGACTTGCAAGACATACATGCACCGCGATATCATGGCGGGCCACAATATTTGCAACGTTATTCAAGGGCACTTGCTTCAGCAACAGAAGCCACTCTATCTTCAGCCTGTAGATGAGAATGGTAGATATCCTTGGATGGAAGCTACACAGACAGTAACCGATAGCGCGAGCACCAGTAGCAGCAGCATCAATGGTAACAGTAGCACTAGCAGCACCAATAGCACCAGTAGTACTAGCAGCACCAGCGCCAGCAAGGGCAGTGTGGCCCGAAAGAGGACAGCATCAACCGCGGCTGCAGAACAAGAAGGAGCTCCAAGGCGCAAGCGTGCGGCCAATGCGGCATCAGGGCAGGAATCGGCAACTAGCCAGGCCCCAGGAAGTGCCTAAACCCCATCTCAACCATATATGTGTTCGCAAGCACATTTAAAAATGATCGGTAGGTGTAATTTATATCCTAAAGCTGCATAATTCTGTTATTGCACGCCGAAATTCTTTTACTGCATGTATTTGCTTATGCTCACCAAAAAAATTCTATGGCGTCGCCTTTTGCTGGCGTAGTTGGTGCGTTTTTAATGCTCCAACGAGCGCTTGTAGTGTGTGGACAGTCACCACTGCTCTCTACGAGAGCTACCCTATAGACTTGCATCCTTTCATCATCACTTCCACCATCACCACCAACCAGGCGACGCAACAAGACCGACTAACAGCAACAGCAATAATAGCACACGATGGTAAATCATCGGGATCATCATCATCAACAAGAACAGCAACAACAACAGTCTGAATTCAAGGATATTGTGTCTACACGTCTTATACAGCAACGATCTGCTTGGTACCTGACATCATCTATCTACACTTTGTCATCTTCCTAGGTCGTTCTCGCAATCTCCATCTGCACGAAGAGCGGCAAAGGTAACCAACGCCGAAACCTATCCTCCTTGCTCTATTTTTTTTTTTCTCAAGAATCATAGTCTTCAGCATTTGTTCATCCGGTTTCCTTCTCGTCCTCTTTTTTCATAGCTCTCATCTCGCGTCAGTTCCGCGAGATGACACGGGCCAGGATCGAGGGCTTGATCGCTTCCTTCCCTCGTTTGACCAGCAGTGGACAACAACATACTACAATCGAAACAGAGCATGTGCGATACGTCTATCAGCCGTTGGAAGACCTGTTCGTTGTGCTCATCACCAACAAACAATCCAACATTCTTCAAGGTAGGGATGCACTCTTCTTCAGTTGCCGCCACTCATCAGGAACGAGCTTTCAACGTAGCCTGTATTCCAATAAGAAGACGTATCGATCGATATCATCAATGTTAACGGAGGCCCGTTATTCATGACTTATGGACTCTTGTAGATATTGACACCCTGCAATTGGTCTCGAGGGTGGTGTCCTCGGTCTGTAGACCCACTGACGCACGCGAGATTGACAGGAATGCCTTCGAGTTGCTCAGCTCATTTGATGAGATTATTTCACTCGGCTACAGGGAAAACGTCAACTTGGCCCAGGTCGCCAGCATCTCGGAGATGGAGAGTCATGAAGAAAAGATCCAAGAGATGATTGAGAAGGTATGAAGCAAGAGAGTTGGATTCCCATATGTGTTTTGAGACGATAAAAATGCGATTTACTTGACACTAATCGACAACATTCCTGCTAATGTAGAACAAAGAGCGCGAGGCTAAGGAGGAGCTCAAGCGCAGGGCAAAGATTTTGGATCTCCAGAGAAAGGAGCAGAGGAAGAACATGGGCGGCATGGGCGGCATGGGAGGCGGCTATGGTCAGGGAATGAGTGGTGGATATGGCCAAAGCGGCCCTATGGGCTATGGCGGACAGTCAGGCATGGGAGGAATGGGCGGCATGGGCGGCATGGGCGGCATGGGAATGAGTGGCAACCAGGGCTACGACTCTCCCACACCCGTGGATGATGGCCTGTCCAAGTTCAGGTACGCTTGCACATCAAAATCGGAAATGATTCTGAGTAGCGATTGTCACATCGTGCTTAATCTTTATCTATCTGCAATATTCAACTGATAGTGCCGCATCCAAAGCACCAACAACAAAGGCCAGAGGCATGCAATTGGGACGCAAACAGAACAATATCGATCTCATGGAGTCCTTGCGTTCTGAGGCTGAGACATCATCACCTATGGTTCAGCAGCACCAGGTACCGGTTCAGCCCAGTTATTCTGCTCCATCTGAGCCTGCATTTCCCATGGAGAGCGTACATGTTCATATTGAGGAAAAGATTACGATGGTCGCCAACAGGGATGGCGGTTTGGAGAATATGGAGGTCAAGGGCGACTTGATGCTCCGTGTCTCCGATCCCGCGCGTGCCAAAATCAGTCTCGCTCTGATGCATTTGGAAGACCCTAGCATTCAATTCAAGGTATATTGCTATTCGTCCGTGATGGACAAGGAAGTGCTATTCAGCAGATAGCGGGATTTAATACTCAACCGGACCTCTCTTAACTTTACACTGTCTTTAGACCCATCCCAATGTCAACAAGGTCTTGTTCAACAGCGAGAAGGTCATCGCATTCAGGGATTCATCAAAAGAGTTTCCACTCAACACATCCACAGGAGTATTACGTTGGAGATTTATTAGCAAGGACGAAAGCTCGATTCCACTCTCAAGTACGTTTTAATCTCGTTTTAGAAGCTGTACCAGGTCCAAGCTTATCTCTTTTTGGGCAAACTTCTTTCTCACCTTTGCGATGTCTCCTGTCTTCCTTCTATTAGTTAATTGCTGGCCATCTCCTGCTGGCGATGGATCGTGCGATGTCAATATTGAATATCAGTTGGAGAATGAGGCTATGGAGTTCAAGAACGTCAACATCATCATCCCACTTCCGTAAGTGTTCAACCTGTGCAGCAAATGCAATCTTGCAATACCGCCAGTCCTTGTCCGTGTATCTGATTTCAATTTCCCTTGAATTATAGACAAGGAGCACGTCCCACAGTGGGCGAGGCGGATGGAGAACATTTTGTGGACGCTCAACAGAGCGCACTGATCTGGCAATTGCCATCGATTACCTCCGATAACCCAGCAGGAAGCATGGAGTTCAACTGCCAGGGCGAAGACCCGGAGAACTACTTCCCTGTCTCGATTCAGTTTGAGAGCGAGCGCCTCATCTGCGACGTCGATGTAGGTTTTCTGTACCATTGCACGGAGTCGTTGATGACGAGCAGCAGATCGTTAGACTGACATGCCATCTCTTTACATTTTCGAAAACAATATTAGGTGGTGGCTGTTACACAGGTCTCGGATGGCTCGGAAGTTCCCTTCTCAAAGCAGAGCATTTTGACGCCAGTCGAGTACAGCGTCGTGTAAGGGAAGAGGGCAGTGGTCGGTCCTTTTATTTCTTGACAAGGAGAGAACAGACCGCTGTTTACTCGAGCGAGTCCATGAGCACCATAGAACTGGGAGCCATAATAAATATCGGCATAAATGGTACACCCTTTATTGTCTTGTGGTCCTGGATTCCAATCGATGCTCAGATCTATTCGTCGTCGAAAAAGTCCGAGATGTAGTCACCGCCCAAACTGTTATGATCGCCCCCTGTATTCCATAATTTTCATAAAATAATATTAAAACCAGAGTCCTGTCGGGCGTCTGCTACAGGAACCTTACTCACTTGCTCCTTTACTTCATGCTCGTCTCTATCCTCCGACGCCGTATGATGATGGTTGTGCTTGTGAGCACTCTTGAGCAGTATGCTAGCGGATTGCCCATGGTGCGGAATAGAGTCCTGGTTCAGAAGATGCGAATCCTCAGGTGGGGTCGGATCTTGTGTGGGTTGTGCCACGGGCTCTTGAAGCGACTCGCCTTCATGGCTCTCTGACATGCCGGCGCGGACACCGTAGTCATCCTTAGCCAGGTTCAACTTTGTGACCCTGCTATAACTCATTGGGGCAGAAGTTGTGTGTTCGGTGGTTGAGGTCTTGGGTTGGTTATGGGATACTTCCGATATGGGTAGTACAGCAGCATGATGATGTTCCGGCTTCGTGTGAGTTGAGGTCATGGGTGATGCAGAAAGCTGCGGTGAGGGATCAATCTTCCCGTCATTGTTCTTATCCCTTGGAATGTCTTTCGAGGTGGAGTCGTCATGATGTTGATCAAGATGAAAGTCCTCAGCAGAAGCGATATCAATAAAGGAATCGTCGTCAGCGCTCTCAGTCTCCGATGCTTCCTCGTACGTCTTGTTGTTGGAAGATAAATCAGTTCCTGTAGCGGCGACGTCTTCCGAGTCAGCCTTCGCATCTTTGCTCTCATGGGCGTCTTTCTGCTCTTGGATCTGGTGCTCACGATGGCCAAGGAATGTCCCAGCCACATTGCCAGCAAGTCCTGACAAGGAGCTCCTAGCGATATCCAGGTTCTCGTACGAGACATCCGCCACCCGAGCTACCATTGCCGAAGCAGCAACTTTTGCGCTTCGCAGGATCCCAGGCGCTTTGAAGAAAGCCCTCTGCTCGTTTTCTTTACGGTCGCCGTTATTGTCGCTTTCCTCGTCAGAGTTACTGACTTCATCCATGTCCTCTGCAGCAACTTGGTCGCCGTTCTTGTCTCTGAACACATAGTCATCGTGGTCGAGGACGATGCTGTCTCTTGAAGATTTCGAGCTGATACTGGACGCATCCTGGTCCTTTGCCGTGATGAAAGACGTATCAGTAGCAGTTGAAGTTAATGCTGAAGAACTGTTTCCTCCGGGCAAGGAGTCATAGTACTCCTTCGCGACCTCATTAGCTTTCTTGGCCGCCGAAGATGTTGAGGCACTGATGCCGTGGAAGTGTAGCTTGTCCTCCAAATCGTTCTCGATATCGCGCAGCTCTTCATGGCGACCATTCCGATCGTGGTGATGCTCGATATTTTTACCCAGCACATCGTTCTTTGTAGCTTCAAGCAAAGCTGCTGTGCTGCCTTTGACCTTGGTCAGCGACTGGGATGCGATCTCAGCAGCGTGCACCATCACCTCCGAGGCGGCATCACCGACTCCTCCAGCTAAGTGCTTGACAGACGAAAGGGTGTCCCTGGACGTTTCGAACGCAGTCTCTGTAGTAGACGACTCAGCGTTTGCGTCAAGAGTGGAGTGTTCCTGGGAGGCATCGTTCTCGATCTTCTTCCGAGTGCCCTTCTTGGGATTCTTGGCGGTGGCCTTGTCGCGTTTTTGAGCACCGGCAATCGCTGAATCGAGCTTGGACTTGAATTCCTTCACTTTGTTTTCCAAAACATCTGTACCACTTTCGGTTCCTTTCTCGTTGGTTTTCTTGGCCTTGGCCTTGGCCTTCTTCTTCTTCTTCTTCTTTTTCTTCGCACTCGAGGAAGTCGCGTTGGTTACCTCCTCAGCCTTCTCCAGGATTTCTTGGCCTAGTTTCTCTGCAACCTCCTTCACACCCTTGATACCCGAGTCCACAGTCCCTTTACCAGCGTCAACCATGGTTCCAATCATTTGCTCTGCCTGCCTCGCTGGCTCTGCAACAGTGTGGGTAATAGCATCCTTGGCCGAGTCGACCGTGGACCGGGATTGGTCGGCGGTGCCGCTGATCACAGCACCGGCAGTCTGAAGGACAGTGTCCTTGGCCGAACCGACAGTGTTCTTGACTGAACCGACAGTAGCCTTGGCGTAATCAGTACCAGTATAAGCTGCATCAGCTGATCTTTTGGCGACAGTATTTTTTGCAGACTGAGCGGTGTTAAGCGCCGAGTCGATAGTGGCCTTGGCTTGATCCGCCCCGGTGTCTTCGACGGATTGAGCTGTACCAACGACAGAGGCGACCTGTTCAACAGCAACATCTTTGACCGCATGGACTCTATCCAGGGAAGTGTCGATCGCAGCCTGCATCTCATTGGCGACCATGTCTGTGGCATGTAGGACTGTGCCAACCGTCGAGATAGCGGTCCCCTTTGCTCTCTCCACAGCTTTTTGTGCCACATCGCTTGCAGTATGGAGAGCTGTGTCCTTTGTGCACTGTGCAGTTTCAGTGACGGTGTTGCCAGCAGTGGTGGCCTCTCCAACTGCAGCGGCCTTAGCCGAGTGTGCCGAGTCGATGATCAAGTTGGCTGTCGTCTTTGACTTGTCAGAGGCATCTTGGCTCAAATCAGCTGCCTTGTGCAAAGAAGCGTCCTTCGCATCCTTAACCTTGGGGATAACGGTATTCCTGGCTCCATCGATCGTGTCCTCAATAACATGGGCCGCAAGTCCCTTTGTATTATGGGCTGACGCGACAGTATCATCGATTGTCTGGGGAGTGACTTTGTCAACGGCAGTTTTGGCGCCCTGCACCTTTTTCTTGACACTGCTCTTGACGTTCTCGATCTTGGCTTGGGCACTGTGAGCAGCCGCGCTGACAGTTTCCTTGGCTTGATCCTTGACAGCAGCTCCGTCTGCATGAGCAGAGCTGTTGACGGAATCAATCATGCTCTTGCTGGCTGTCTTGACATCGCTAGCGGCTCTCTTCCCGCGCTGCCTGGCAGCATTCGTCGTCTCGGGAACAGACTCTTGTGATGACTCCTGAACAGCGGTCTCGATTTTTGACACAGCCTCCTCAACCCTTGGCCCCCTCGTAAAGCCCAAAGATAAGGGCAAGGAATGTGATCCGGACAGAGGCTTGCTTTGCTCCACAGACACTGCCATGACTGCCGCATTGCCCCAATCGGTACCCCTTATAGGGTTCTCTTTCTCCATTTCCGTCGGTGAGGTCTTGAGAGAGTTTGGTGTCGGCGACTGGTTGTCGCTCTTCCCTCGGGTGCTGTCAGGCTCTGCCAAGTCATTTGTGTCTGAGTGACTGACCTTGACCTCTTTGCCGTGCTTGTCATGGCCGTTGTTCTTGATAGGATCGTGATAAACGTGAACGCGCTTAGGACCGAGAGAGATATCTTCAACGTCGTGTTGCTTCTTTCTCTCGGACCACTTGACAGGGGCAGGGGTCGCATCGTGGTTAAAGTTGGCTTCCGTCTTTTCCCCAATCTCCTCGCCTTTCTCGCCTTTTTCGCTCTTCTCGTATTCCGCATACCCCTTATCGCGCTTGATGTGCTCGCGTCTGATAGGGTCGTGGTAAGGCGTCTGAATAAGCTTTGGCCCGAGAGTAATGTCTTCGACATCATAAACCTTAACTCGCTTGTAAATGGACGACCTCTCAGTATTGCCGTCAACTGTGCTGATCGATGTTCCACGATAAATCGAGATATCCTCGGCAGTTAATACCTCTGCAGCAGCTTTCACGCTTGCAATGAATGCGGTAGCTGCAGTAGTGGGTTCCATGGTAGTGGTGGATGAAGTGGATGATGCTGCCGTGGTCATGGTGGGCTCACTATGATTGACGCTTCGTTGACGAGTACGTGACGCGTTGGCAGCCATGCCGGGCTCAATGGACATATTCTCATCTCGGTTTTCTTGCGTGTGGACCGAGGAGCGGTCGACGCCTTTACCCTTGGTACCCACACACAACCGGTCACTGGGGAAGAGAAGTTGAGCCATAGAAGACACTTCTGGTTTAGCGGACGTGGAGGAAGTCTGGCCAACTGTAATACAAAAGAACAACCACAACAGTCAAGTTAGTACTGACACTATCGGATATAGCTGAAAATACTATCGCATTTCGGCAAAGAATCCTTACCATCCGTCGACGCAGCGAGTTCCTTCAGATCGTTCGCGGCCTTGGAAATAAAGTTCTCTGCCAATGCGTCCTTGGTTGTGACATCTGTTAGTGATATAAGAGAACACTCATGTCAGGATATTTGTTGACAGTGGTGTGCCCACAATTATTATCCGGGGAAGCATAGTTACCATTCAGCGAGGGCAATTTTTCCTTGAAGGCATATGCCGCTGTTTCGGCAATGTTTGTTGCAGCAGCGACAGTGGCCAGAGTCGCACCAAGAACTCCTCCTGAAATGCCGTTCAAGTTCTTCGCGATGCTGTTGGTGTTCGCAAAGTCTATAATTTTGGACGCAAGGCTCTGCACTTCTGCCGTCTGTTCGTAGTTATCATCGCGAGGTTGATGACGATCGTAGCGGCTGTGATGATGGTTAAGGATGTGCGGCTGATGGCGATGGCGAACCGTTTCTTTGATGCTGCTATAAGTCCGCGGAACTCGTGTCTTAGACCTATTGTTGGAAGCGGGAGTAATTTCGTCCTGAGTCGACAAGGTGTCGTGCGAGGAAGGACAATCCTTGTTGGTGCCTGTCGGTTGGATGCCAGATTCCTTGCTCGCGAGGCCTAGGGTTTCGCTCTTGGAATCATCGGTCTCGTACTCCATAAAATTATCGAAGTCGATCTCCTCGCCTTCGACCTGGATATCCGAGGGTCCAACTATGTCTGTAGACAGAAAATCAAAGTTCCTCGTTAGTTTAGGATGTGAACAAATGTGTTTACGTTGATTTGTATTATAGAGGAAGACCATCTCTTATACCTTCCATGATCATGGAAAGGGTGTCTACACCCATAAGAAAACAAACGTCGTAGAAGCTTAGTGTTATCGCAAGACATGTAAGTGATCCTTCTGCAGCTCGGTTGACATTGACTGGGATTCACGATGGGCGGTACCTCCGTGTGGCGTGATACTGTGAGCTCCAGTGCTGAACGACTTGGCAGCGTTTTCCAAGCTTGAGTTGTGGGAGTTAGCTGTTTCGTTAGTCTTGCTTCTGCTGGTCTGCGCGTCGGCAGGATTTCCGTCTGCTATGTTATCTTTATAAAACACTATAAAGGCTTAGGCCAACTTCCGAAAGATTGAACTTTAGTAGGACAACGAATAGAGTAGCATAGTTTACCTTTGCCGTGGGTTTCAGATACGAGATCGTGATGTTCAGGAGATTCAGTAGGCACAAGCCCAGCGGAACCGATCATTGCGGCCCAGGAACTACGCCTGCCGCCGTTACCGAGCTGTTCCTGCTCTTGATTTCCGTGTGATTCAGCTATGTAGGCGAAACGTTCGATATTACAGGCTATTAGAGCACGTAGCACATAGATACCTACATTCAATATTAAATTGACGTGTCGCTTATCATTACCCTTTGCGCCATCTGCCATTGGGCCCTTGCGATCTATGCCTTGCTTAACCGCACCGGCGTAGGACCTCGGGGAGGTTCCATCTGCTTGCTTAGAAGATGAGGACGACTTTCGATCCTCCTTGCCTCTGACCTTGGACGGTTCCGCCATGTTTTCATGCCTGTAGTCGTGATGAGGCTCCTCATTGGGATGACCTGCTCCCATCATTGCGCAGACACTCAACAGCAGAACAACAATAGGCAGTAACAGAACCAAAAGCACGATGTATGGTTCGACACCGAATCTGTCTGCCAGACCATGCAGCCCCCATTGCGACTGCAGCTCGTGAAGACGCGGAGCGTGGGATCCAGCAAAGTCACTCCATGCGGTCGAGGGGCCGAGGGAGGATTGAGCGCGCTCGAGCAAGTGGTATTGGTCTTTGGATTGAGACTCTCCCCAGAATGATGGGAAGGATGAGCCTTCACCATGCTCATTGCCATCAGTTTGTGTGCTGTCGATCAGGTTGGCTGCTGCATTGGACACTGCGTTTGATGCACTGGAGGCAACAGCAACGACCTTGTCGTGGGCCGTTGCTGCCCATTCACCTATTTCGTCATTGGAGTACTGCCCTTGAGCGTCCCAAGGATCGCTCTTGGTGGGTGCGTAGGAATTGACACATGCAGTGGTGTGAGATGCGGATGATGGGTTGTAGGCTGGCTCGTTGAAGAGCTGGTGGTAAAGATAGTCGATGACAGCCTTGGCTTTGTGCTTAAGATTGAGCTCCATGTTGGGGATTTGCTGAGTAATTAATGCTTAGAGGGTGAGCAAGATAGTCATTGGGAATGTGGTTTGTGCAAGTTGGTGGTACGGATGGGCAGCTGTTGAAGAAAGAAGAATGATGGATAGGTTTGGTCATAGCAAAAATGCTAATCAGTCACACTATAAAATGTTTCTGCCCAATGAGAGAGAGCGGTTACACATATCCAGCATAGCCTGGCGCTTGCTGTCTTATATTCATCATGCGGCATTAATAGAGGACTTTCTGTAGTCTTAGGTATTCCTGCTGGTCTGTTCCGGCTTGACTGAATCAAGTTTGTCTCTCGGTCGAAGGGCGAAGCTGCATGTGGCCCGTGCGAGGGAGGACTATAGTCTTCAGTCTGGCAGTCACGATTTGTTTGTTGATCTTTTTTTTTTTTTTATTCCTGAGCCGATAATCTGGCACAGCCTAGAGCACCTCCCCACACCTACACTTCTTATTCACGTCGCTCGACTCTGGCCATGGGAAAGCGCAACAAGCAGGTCGGGAGGATCGGCAATGCCATCGTCAACAGCATCATCGAACCCATCATGAAGATGCAGGAAGAGAACCCAGATATCAGCTCGATTGAAATCACTAACCGTCTGAAGGAAAGAAGGGAGCACAGTAGGACGAAAAAGGACCTCCTGACGCAATCTGTCGATAGAGGTGAGCGCGATTGATGTTAATGTGGTCCCATGTTCAATTCTACAGCTTGTCAGGAAGATTCTAACCCTTGTTTATCTAATACAGCACTCGAAATCATTAGGACAGAAAAGAGCAGGATGCTCTCCGAGGGCGCAGGAGATGATGATGATGAAGACGACTCAGATGATGAAGAAGAGTACCCATTCGCCGCTGATGGATCACCTGTTGTGATGATGGAGGTCAAGAGCAATAACAGTATGAATAAGAGCATTACCTCGCGCTGGAAACTTCCCCCGTCCACATCCACATCGAACTCGGCAGTTGCATCCGCAGTTGCCTCGCCCTCCGTTTCAGAACCAGGAACGCCCCACCTCGATGGCACAGTGACACCAAAAATTGCTGACCTAGCACCAGCACCCGTCCTAGACCCACTTTCAGTAGATGCCACACCAACAGCACTGGCACACCAGGCTGCAGAGGTCGCATTGACAGACAGCAAATCAAAGAAGCGCGCAAAGTCATCATCAAACATGCATGCTGAAGGATCGAGTAGCAAACGGCACAGGGCTTCAGGCAGTGCAGAAGGTCGTGGAGGAGCAGAGCATGCGCCACCGAAAGTGCGGTTGGAGGACTTGGGAGGGGTGGATCACTTTATTGAAAAGGTCAAGGAGTACGTCATGATGCCTCTCGCCCATCCAGAGGTTTACGCACATATGGGAGTGAAGCCTCCAAGGGGAATCTTGCTTCACGGCCCCCCTGGAACAGGAAAGACCATGATGGCGAACGCAATTGCAGGCAGCCTGGGTGTACCGTTCATCACTATTTCTGCGCCCTCAGTCGTCTCGGGAATGTCTGGAGAGTCCGAGAAGAAGATCCGCGAGGTATTCGAAGAAGCCAAGGAGCTGGCACCTTGTCTGATGTTCATTGACGAGATTGATGCCATCACACCCAAGCGAGAGACAGCACAGAGGGAAATGGAGAGGCGTATCGTTGCACAGCTTCTTACATGCATGGACGGTATGTACTATACCTATGTTCTCTCATTTCTCTCCAGCGATCATGATCTACATGAATTGGCCACTAAGATTCCAGCACATTCATGGCTGTAGATCTGAATCTGGAAAACACTAATGGCAAGCCGGTCATGATTATTGGTGCCACCAATCGACCCGACTCACTGGATCCTGCCCTGAGGCGAGCAGGCCGTTTTGATCTGGAGATTAATATCGGTGTCCCAGATCAGGATTCTCGCGAGCAGTAAGTTGCCACAGCTAAGTGACTGATCGACGGTGGTGCGTCAAGGAAATAGCATCTAATAGTGTTCATTTTTTTCAACACCACAGGATCCTTCGAGTCATGTCCTCAAAACTGAAGCTCGCTGGTGATTTTGATTTCAAGGAGCTGGCAAAATTGACGCCAGGATATGTCGGAGCAGATCTGAATGCATTAACTGCAGCAGCAGGTGTGGTTGCGCTCAAGCGCATTTTCCAGGAAATCGGCAACATTGATAAGATCAGTGAGGTCGAGGTATTGGAGAGCGTAACGGACGACCTGGAAATGATGGATATGGATCAGCAAATAACAAAAACTCCCAGCAAGGAGATACAGATCGATCTCATTGAGCAACAGACTGCCTCACAGACAGAAGTGACAGCTAATCTCGCAGTGTCAACAGCAACCGTGACGACAACCACCAACATTACAACATCATCTTTAAGCTCAAAAACCACTCATCAGAATCATAAGCCCGTCCACTCTATTAGCGCCTTCTTACAATCTCACCCCGATCCACTTACGCCAGAACAACTTGAGCCCCTGGTTATCATCAACGACGATTTTTTGATCGCTCTGACCAAGGTGCAGCCTTCTGCTAAACGTGAGGGCTTTGCGACTGTCCCGGACGTCTCATGGGATAAGATCGGAGCGTTGCAGTACGTTCGTGACGAACTGCGCATGGCGGTGGTCGAGCCTATCAAATACCCAGCTTTATTTGCATCGGTTGGTATTCAAACTCCTGCCGGTGTCCTGTTGTGGGGTCCTCCTGGGTGCGGAAAGACTCTGCTGGCCAAGGCCGTCGCGAGTGAGAGCAGGACCAACTTTATCTCTGTCAAGGGACCCGAGCTGCTGAACAAGTATGTCGGTGAAAGTGAGAGGGGCATCCGTCAAGTTTTTGCGCGAGCGCGCGCATCTGCTCCATGTGTCATCTTTTTCGATGAATTGGACGCGCTTTGCTCAAAGCGTGATGATTCTCAGGTAAGCTGACAAATGAACTGAGCTCTAGGTGTGTGCTTTTGTGCAATGTACTCATACATTTCATTGTTTTTTCCTCTATTATTCGCAGTCAGAAGCATCAGCCCGAGTTGTCAACACGCTGTTAACGGAGCTGGATGGCATGGAGAACCGATCGGCTGTATATGTGATCGCGGCGACGAACCGTCCCGATATTATCGATCCAGCCATGCTCCGACCTGGCCGTCTCGATAAGCTGCTCTATGTACAACTGCCCACGATGGAAGAACGCCTCGACATCTTGCAGACACTTTCGAGAAAGACGCCTCTTGCCCCCGATGTTAAACTGGATATGGTTGCCTCGGATGAGCGGTGCGAAAACTTTTCTGGTGCGGATCTCGCATCACTGGTGCGTGAGGCTGGTATGTCTGCGCTGCGGAGCACACTCATGAAGCTGAATGAGATGGGTAAGGCTGGCGAGAAGCTGGATGATAATCGGGGAGCACAGGCAAGGCAGGGCTTGATCGGAGAAGGCGGACCCTCGGATGACCTACTATCGACACCGATCACGGTGTCTTGGCACGATTTTGATACTGCGTTCACGAAAGTCTCGCCTAGTGTATCACCTCAGGACAAGATGAAGTACGACAAACTACATGTTAAATTTGGAGGAGGGTCCGCGAAAGCCAAGAAACTGAAGCAGAAGCAATTGGAGACAGTAAAGGTCGATGAGAGTGCCAGAGCATCCAAGGCAGAGGACTCTGATTCATCACTCTAAACCCACTCACGCATAATAAACTTGTACAAGACTCTTTGACGGAAGTTGATCGCAGTTTTTTAATGTAGGCAAATGTACAAGGAGGAAGGAAGTGAATGATCTTTTATACTTTTCTACATGTAGTTCCGATGGCACATGATGGCTCGCGGAGATTTCCCCTGTATCCTCCCGAGAATCCGAATCATGCTACAGATGCCCTGGCATACTTCACATACGCTGCGCCCAATTGATACCGGATGCTTGCCAAATCCAGGATTTCAACGATCGTTGTGACAGGCACGGTAGGCGTCAAATGCATCATCGTCATCTTCTCCCTCCTGGAAAGTTTGACACAACGCGGCAGCTCCGAACCGAAAGCCTTGCCTTAATCCACCTATTCTATAGATACGACTTGTGAGCAGCTATTATCGGCTAGCTCGGCGACTCAACGATCGAGGGATATTCTGGTGAGTATTGAAGGATCCAGTCGTAGAACCACATAGCATAGTCCTTGACCAATGTATTGAGTTTTTCTGTCTGGATATCAGGTCCAGGGGAGAAAGTCTGTGCTTTATCTCGCTCTGCATACCACTCCCTATTAGACAACTTCAACACCATCCCTGCTGTGTCCTTTCAGTTGTCTTCAGACACATTGGTCATAAAACTATAGGTTTATGGAGCGAGGTGCGAGCTGAAGTGATTGGTGATGCACAAGATCGGTACGGTCGCTTGAATCGGACCATACCGCCGCTACCTGGAAGCAAGGAGGAAAAGCTTGCATAGACACGGCTTGCGTATGTGGCTCGTATCTAGGCATGCATCGGAAACTTAAATGAGATCTGCTTTGCCCAATTTGCGTCGTGAATCGTTTCTGTACTGCCAGAACCTGCCAAAGGTCCATCCCTGGCATCATCCAATGCTGGCTTCATAAGCTTGTATTCGTCTTTCGTAACTTTGAATGGGTTGTTTTTATATAATGGCGTTGTCTATGTGGAAGAGAAATCGAGCAAATTTGGTGGCGTGGGGGCCCATTGGGTTTGCACCACAGCACGGTCTTCGTCTGCATTTTAGTGTCACTCCCGTCTTTACTCGCTTTGCCATCCCCCTTTTGAGTGATGAATAACTCATTTCCTCTACACGACCGATTGCAGGAGCAACGCCGTGCGCTGGCCGAGGAGACCGTGTCGTATGCGATCTACCTCTCGCCGTCAGATCAGGATCAGGATCAGGATCAGGACCATCATGAACCCATGGTCACGCTCGAATCGGCTCAGCTGGCAAAGACGCTCATAGGTTCTATTGTCATGGAACTCGCAAAGGACTACATCTGGCACAAGGATGCTTTCTCGCTACGAGTCGAGTCTGGCAAAGGAATATGTAAGACAGCGATATCTTATTAGCTGACGATATACTGCAAGGCAATAGCTGATCACATATTCCTCCTGTGCTTTTTCATTATAGTTCCTTCAAGGCAGCCGTATTTGAAAGGAGAAGCGAGGATTGGAGACTCACTGGATGACGAATGGTTGATCGTGCACCTGCTGAGAGAGATCACCGAAAGGATCCCAGGATCTGTGGCAAGGTATCAGTTCTTGAAAACATACGGTTCAATGCATGTTCGTTATTCCATGTCAAGTCATTACTCACACTACCAATGTTTTAATCTGCTCTTGCTAGAGTTCAGGACAACGATGGTGAATTCTTGTTGATTGAAGCGGCAGACCATATTCCATCGTGGCTCGACCCTGATAACAGCGATAACAGGGTATGTTATGCGAGCATGGCTAGACGCTTCTTTTTTTTTCACGTCTAACAGTCCTTTTACTGACCCTTTGCTTGCCATTAGGTGTTCATCTACGAGGGAAACCTTCATATCATACCAATTGCTGTCACTGCGAAAGAAAAGGAGACATTCCCACCAACATTAGGCTCAAAGTCAAAGTCACCAAACCTCCAGGACGCATTGGACATCATTCGTTCTTCCCCTTCCTCACGCACTTCAAGCTCGACCGTGACAACACTGGCGAATCCGAAGATCCAGCGGGCTGCATTTGGTCCGCTCATATCTGACACCCAGGGCCAAGCATTTGCGTCAAGGAAGATCCAGGACCAGAGACATTATGCGCGCTGTCAGATCCCCGTGGATGTCGCCAGGATTTTGAAGGCGCGACCAGAGCTCGTCACACGAGCATGTGAGGCTTTTTATACGAGGGATGCTATCGCAATGGCAGCGTGTAGTCGCATGACAAAATTTTTTCCAGCAGATGCTTCCAGCGCCGACGTTTCCACAATACCTGGGATGCAACGTCTGGGAAAGATGGGAACATCATTCGTGACGACCGCAGTCTGCTTCACAAAGACCTGCTATGCACAGCTGATGGGCCAGCAATTTCGACCGCCCAAAATTTGGGACGGTATAGTGCCACCACCCAAGGATGAGGATGCCAATGATCCTCAAAAAATCAAGGAAGCCGAACTAGGCATGAAACTGGTAAGGAGCCGCCCGGGGTATTACCAGCAGGAAGCCACATCAGAAAATAAGAACTTACACGATTTTATCCCAACTTCTATCTAGACCTGCGGCTTTGAAATCCTCTGCGATCCTGACTATCCAGGTGACTTTGGATTCAAGGATGAAGCAGAGCTCAAACTGAAGGTGAGTAACCGACAAATCATGACTAAAGAATGAAGGTGAGAAGCGCTTCAGGTAGTAACACGAGCCTCTTTTTCGTCGCGATCTTAGGATTTTTCTTTTGCGACAGACAATGCTTGGCGCATCTTCAAAAACAATCTCACAGCAAGGAAATACTTTGGAGACGAATGTCCAGGATCCAAAGGATACCAGAAACTGGAGGAGGCTGCCAAGCAACAGTTTCTGGAATATAAAGCGAATCAGCTGCGCAACGAAAAGGACACTGAAGCCCTCAGCTTAGTTTCGTTTCATGGCCATGCCTATCATCCAGTACAGGGAATCGAACGCATTTTGGACGCTGACTTGCAGTCCAGCGAAGCGGCGATATTGGTTGATGATAGGAAAGACGACAATGACTCATGGATGGAAGTGGATCTGGAGACACTGGAGGATATGATGCGAGAACGTGGCTTTGGTGGCGGTTCGTCCAGGGATCAAAATCAAGCCAATAAAAAAGGACTTGATATGCAGCAGATGATCGACCGCTTCGGGGAATTCATCCAGGAAGGAGAGGGTGGTATCGAGGGAGCCGAGTTCATGGATGAGCAGAGTGAACAGGAGGATGACGAGGACGAGGAGTTTACAGAAGCATCTCATGATCGTGGCGAAAATGAGAGGGGTGCTGACAATCAGAGCGACGAGGTATCGAGCGAAGACGACGAAGAAGAGGATATATTTGCGAGCGACTATGAGGAACAGCAGGCTAAGAAATATGCGGCTAAAAAGGCGCGCATTTTTGGAAACGGCAAGATAATTATGAATCTTGGAGCTGTTCCTGATTCGACGACGACGAAGGCTACGGAAACGACTCGCGAGACGTTTACTATCGATAACGAAAGTCTAAAGACGATCCTCATCCAGACCTTTAGCGATCATGTTGCGCCTGCCAGAACCAAAGGAGAAGCACAGGACGAACGCGAGTACAGCAATGAGGACGAGGACATGGATGATGAAGGACTTCAAGAGTACATGGAGGCGCTCGATGTCGAATTGGCAGGCACCAAAATTGGAAAGTCGTTCGAGAAGATGCCAGCAGGACCCTCCGCAGGCACAGGATCGGCTTCATCTTCAGTCTCGACAGCTGGTCCTACAAAGGAGGAAAAGGGCAAGGGTGTATTGCGGCCAACTAAGGCAGCGAAGCCGGAAAAGAATCTGGAAGAATTGATGAAGGAGTACACGGACAGATCAAGACGTGGTTTCTGTCGACATGGCCCATTCGGATACGATCCGGCGGCGATGGTCTTTGCGGACGATGATGACGACGATGACGACGATGACGAGGAAGTTAGAGACGACGTAGGCCCCGACTCGGCACGTATCACCGAAATCATGGAGGACGAGCAAGAACTGGATGTGGTCGATGTAGATCTGAACCTGGCCAAGAACCTGCTCGAGAGTTTCAAGAGTCAGGGAGGATTGCCGGGACCAGGAGGCAATCTTCTGTCAAGGCTTGGGATCGTACTTCCAAGAGATGAAGAGGAGCAGGAGGGCGACGATGTGTAGAAGCACCATATCAGTATTGCACTCATTGCTACATCTGTAAAATATAATTTGCATTTGCATATCGAGCATCATTGAGGCGCCATCAAGCAAACACGATAATGCACTCATGGTCATCGTCTCTTTTATTTTCACAATGTCCTCGCTTTGATTCCCGCTTATCCACGGATCATGACCCTCTTTGGCTTCTTGGCCAACTTCTTCTGTCGTTTTGATTCTGGTGCTGGGGGTTGAACTGCGCTTGATGAGGATGCTGCTGATGGCTCCGTTGTGTCGTTGCCGCCCAAAAGACCAGCCAATGGGTCCGCATCCGCCATGCCAGGCATAACAATCGAGAGGGGTGTCAAAGGCGAAAGTGGCGAAAATTCCGCACGCTTGTGGCCAGAGGCCTCTTCCTTGGCATGCATCTTGTTGATGGAGGCTGCCACTCTAATCAGCAGCTCGTTCTCTGTTGAGGAGGCGCGAAGCAGATATAATAAAAATGTTGGTATCGTCGTCGACCAACAGCTAATTGTAAAATCGTGTTTTGTTCGAACTGAGGCGATAGCACTTACTTGTGTGGATGGTCGGATGGCAGAAGCGGCCATCATCTTTGAACAAGACTCTGACACGCCCGCGGTTCGCCCAATCCCTCGGGTGTGTCTTTCCGGGCTGGTTGTATAGATGATCGGTGTAAAAGGTCAAGATATAGTGTTAGCTGCACGCTTCCATGTCACGTCCCGTGATCCATACAGTGCCGCCGCTGGCACAGCGTGCTACCTGATGACAGGATAAAGAACACGCGCGATTACCTCGAAAGCCTGAGACAATCTCAACTCCTTCAACGCCTCGACAATATCCTTAGCCCAGGGCTGTTTGACGCATGCCCTTGACTTTGAAATCCTGCGACCTTCTGCAACCGTTTTTGTACCGTCAATGTAGCAGGGGTAAACGCACATCCAGCTATAATCAAAAATCCGACAAGAAGGGGAAGTGGTAAGCACTTCGAATAACGGCGTCCAAACCCGAGCAGTTCCAGATCAAGCCATTGCTTTGTGTGCCCTGCGCTCTGAATACAGCATATCTCTTCAATGCTGAACTCCTGGTACGTATCTGTGCCTCTGGCAGATCGATAATTCAAAAGCGGCTGATTGAGGTGTGCTGACTTACTCCTTGAACTGCTCAGCCTCTTCCATTGAGACATATCGTGCCCCCTTGTCGACGGCTCCTGTGTCCATCAGTGCCCGAATCTGCGCCATTTGCTCGTCTGTCAAAGGTGCGTCAGCATGGTGAGTAGTCGATGAAGCGCCATCAGAAGGCAAAGGGAAATCCATGTTGTCGACATCGAAGTCTTCTTCCTCTTCTTCCTGAATCTGATCGCCCCCTTCCTCATCTGATTCGGGCAAGAAGAAGGATTCCTTGTTGCTCTTGCGGAGCAGGTTTAAGCTGGATTTTTTGGACATGGCTCTGGGACTAAGGAGTGCTGCGAAGGCCGGTTCCTGATGGTGGGTGCTTCTGAAGTTGTAGAAGGATGCAGGATGGGCGATTCCATGACGTGTTTTCAGTTGTTGCTCAAGTTGACATCCCTCGATATCTTGCCCTTTCCGTCATTACCTTATCAAATGACTATCGCGAGAACGCGTCAGTAACAAGCATTCAAATACCATTCAAACAACAGCACCAGTACCGGTATCGGCGCCTGGATCCGCTTGTAAACTCTTATCCTCATATTTGGTTCAGAAGAGAGATTTTGGATTAACGCAAGGCGCAGAGGACTTGCATGGATTACTTCACCAAGACTCTCCTACGGCTGGCTGGAGGCCCCTTGGGGTGCAAGGAAGATTGATAACACAAAGATAGTCTCTTTATCGAACTGGGGCCGTTCAACGCAGGTAGGTCAGCTTTCAAATCACTCGAGTCTGGAGATGCATTTTGCTATAAGGGTAAGTCTTACCATCCATGTCCTCTAGACTGAGCCTTCGACTACCCTCTAATTAGCGCTGATGAGTTTTACACAAGTGCGAAGTGCCAGAGCCGGGCACAGGCGCAATACGATTATGAGAAGCATTGGCGTCAAGTCGCGACAATGCCCTCATATCGGACGGGGTGCGGTTGAAGTGCCATCGGTGGAGAATACGGCACTGATTTTTATGGAACAATCAAACTAGAATAGACGCGCATCAAAGCCCTTGTGAGCTTCAGTCCATGCATTGGCGACACCACTAGGCACTTCAGGGTTCGCATCCCATTGCCACGCAATACATACAAAATGAAGCCCCGCTCGGCCAGCAACCGTTGAAGGATATTTTGGGGTAACTGACATGGATTCCTCCGTGATTGTGACGCATGCAAGGACAGAGACTGTTAAGCGATACCCTGGACCTACCTAATGAGTGAATCCGTAGATTCTCACCAGACATAGCTTTTGAAGCGAGCGATTGCAACTTTGAATAGACTAGGTATACTTTAAGATTACATGAGAGGGAAACAATCTGGATGGATGCATCTACAATGATGGGGACTTTGCGTGGAATAACATCTCTTTCTAAGACAGCCAAGACAGTCTGGGTGTCTCTTTTGAAGCGATTTTAGTCGTGTAAAAGAGCGGCAGTGGGTTCTCCACATGCTGTTTTTAATTTTAGGACATGCATGTGCTACAAAGCACAGGCAAAAAATAACAATCGCTATTGTTTCGTTCCTGTTTCAATGGGAAACACGACCTTAAAAGGATTTCATCTTCCTAGGCCCATGCGTCAGAGGACATTTAGTAGTATGGCGGGAGAATCAGCCATATTCAGGAGGAAAGTGAACCTAGAATCCTGTCCTTCGGGCAGCGTTCGACGTCCTGATGACAGGACGGAATTGCATGTTGCTGCCCCTTCTTTTTCTTTTCAGTACTATTTTTCAGTTAGAAACTACAGCTACTTCTCTTTCAATCCAGCCTCTTCTCGCCTCCCACACTCCTCACCAAAGCGGTTTATTTATTTCGTCCCCTAGCCTTTGACTTCACCTTGCTTTCTCAACAACCTGATGTACATATCTTTCGCTTTATTTTATTTTATTTTCTACAATTCCACAGCTCCATCCAACAGCGACTTCTACTTATCCTTCATCACGCTCAGGCCCCGTTACCTTCCTGTCGCTTCACTCAACTCCTGCCCATTCACCGGCTCACAATGGCATCCTTGACAGCGACATCCAATTTCGAGCTACCTCAAATAATAATAGCCATCATCTCTACATCCTCTTGTATTCTCATAATATTAATATGGGTTGCGCAGGCTAAAGATCGCCATCACCACTATGCCCTCTCTTTCCTCTTCTTCTGGCTAATGCTCGGGTCCCTGTTAGATTTCCTCAGCCAGCTTCTTATTCAACCGGTGGCCTTTCCGTTCTTTTTACTCGCTCCCAACGACACCGGCACAAACACTATAGACAGCAATGTTCGTATCCCTCTCGTTCAGTCCGCCTACCTCTCCAAGTCTCCTGTAAATATGGACTCCAATGCATTGCAGCCATTCAATTCGACATCCTTCTCGGGCTTGACGGCCATGCTGCTTGCCAGGTCTATAGTCCAAGGCACTCCAAAGCATAGCCAGCTCCTAGTTCCAATACAAAGCTGCATCTTGACCGCTCATTTCGCTGAGATTCGGTGGTTCGCAGTATGTATATCTCTTTTGCAGTGGTCCTTCTACATCTTTAACCGTCTCGCTCGCAATCGAGGAATCATCGATCTACGCCCGTCAATCACTCCCGTAGGAGACAGCTGGCACACATGCACTGACAGCGCCAAGGATAATACCGAACCAAACCTCGCTACCGGGTCCAGTTTCCAGCGACCTTTTCGAAGCCTTGGCGACCTGTGGCTGCGTGTGCCCATGCTCATTGTCAGTCCAGTGCTAATTTTTGGAGTGATACTTCGCACTGGAATCAGGCAGTGTTGCGGCTGCTCCTATAATGAGCATGATATTCCAGATCCGGAGCGCCAACAGGAAGATGTGCTCGAAGCATGGCCCAAGTGGCCAACAGCACATTTCGAGAACAACCCAAACAACGCCCTTGAGCTGAGGGAACAAGGATCGAATACTGGTCCAAAATTGGTTCTGCCAGGTGCAGAGATTAAGTCTTCCTGGCCAGTGTCCTCCACGATCTCCTGCGTATCTCCGCCTCCAACTTTGGCAGCGAAACTACGAGTCGACCAGTTGGATTTGAACGATACCACTCAGGAATATTACTCATACGATCTTACTGGAGACAGCACCGAGTACTTCAGGGATCCCTTGGCTCGAAGGATGAAGAGAAGCATCTATCTTCATCGAAGGATTCTGTGCGATATTACAGTGTGCATCGCTCTGCCAGTCATCTTGTTCTTTCTGCGGTTCTTTATCAGCGTTGAGAGACGTTCGTACGAGGTTTTTTCGAATCGAGGTGGATGTCGCGTGTCAAGGAGCACCGGACGTACAGATTGGGCCCTAGCTCTTTCACTTGAAGCCTTTACAGCAGTTGTTGCGTTGTTTGGACTAGCCTTTGCAGGTACAATTTGAGTTTCATATCACCAATTTTCGCAACTCGTTCTTCCCATACTTCAACGAACATACCCGACAACTAATCAACACGTACTTATATTCTATCAGTGATATCCGTTCTGCTATTTCGGAAACAAAACGGGCCTTTCAACAGTAAAACCAAGAACCTAACTCCTACCGCCGATGTCCTTCGTCTGTACAAATCGGCAAGGATAGTCAAGTATTTTCTCGGGCTTTGTCTGAGCCTGAATGCCGTTCTTTCAATCTCACGCATCGTCAGCCTGGGCCTCTTCGAATACCATTTCACAGCTCCTTATCCTCAGCCTTTACAGAATCCCTCGACAGAGGACGGATTCAGATCACTTCTGTCTGCCCACTCGACCTTGCCGCGCCTTTCCACTCTTGCCGGAACGCACCATACGCCGCTCTTCCAACAAGCACATAACGAACGCGACGTTTATCGAGTAGCAGTTGCATTCATTATGGTCCTGCTGTCATTCTTCTTCTTACTGTGGCCCCGCCTGCGTCTCTTGGCGAAAGTCATCCGTCGATGGATACATCCTCCACAAAAGGAGACCATTGGCGATGATGATACGAACACAAGTTCCCATCGGTTCAACTTAGGCTCTTCACAGTCTGTCAAAGAAGTGCCAGGAGCCAGAGAGAATGCAATGACATATGTAGGACTTTGCCCTTTGATGGACAGACCGAGCAGAGCGCATGACCTCAGGAAGGCTTCCGTCACAAGCGATCAGATTTCTAACGCGCCGACATTACTGGGATGTATGAAGAGCAATAACAGAAGGATATCAGAGTAGGTATCGTCTGCTACCATTTGTCTTTTTTTTTCTTTTTTTTTTTGACTGCATATTAATCCGAGTTTTTGCTGTCATTCATAGAACTTCATCGACCACGTACCATAGCCGAATTTGCTATGATTCTATCGAGTAATAATCTCCTAACGCCTGGTTCTTGAAACTGCACCCTCTTTTCTGTTCTTTCCAATCTAACAAGGGGCGAATTCTCGGTACTTCAATAGCGACGCTAACCCCAAGCTCCATGCTGGTGCAAAATTCGAGAACCCGCGTACATCTGCTAATACATCAACTTGCAAACAGAACGATGTTATCCTGATGCTGCCCCCCGCATCCGCCGCTTGTCGTGTGCACTATAACTCTTCTTGGCTGCCCTCTCCGCCTGTGCACAGACAATCCTTGCCAAAGACACACTTGGGCGGCAAGATGATGGGCCAATACCTGCTGCTCTCCCGACAAACACCATCTTCGGCCTTACGCACAAGTGCTCCGCCGCGAGTAGCTCCGTCGTTGCTGAGGCCTCGGACTTTATCCTCGAGCGCTCCTGGTACTCGCAAGACGGTAGAGGACTTTATTTTCAAGGCGAAAGAGACGATGCGAGGCGGCTCGACTGATCAACTGTGTTCTGAGCCGCTTTCCTCAGTCGTGACTCCTCCAGCAGACGTCATGGGGTCGAGGCGTGGACTAGCAAGATCCACCTCTGTTGGCGATGCGGAGCTAATCCGCTCCAATGGAGTCAATGATCTTGATTTCCTGATACCCCAAGCAACCAAGCCGAATCTAGACCATAGGATACATATCACCATGCGCGAACGCTGTATAGTTTACCGTCGTCTTTCGTCTACAGCCTCGTCTTCAACTAGCAGATCTACCTCCGGTTCAACGCCCAGCTTGAAGTCCCGACCAAGGTTCGCATTGCGCAATGGCACCGGTACATCGAGATCGTGGCAGAGATCCGACAGACCGAGCCCGTCTGCTTCTTATAAGCATTCAGACGATATGGGCCGGATACAGGAAATGAGCTATCCACTGGATACTCATCATGCAATTTCCGATGATGACATACCCCAGTCCTTGGACGGCATCACAGGCTATGACCGAGCATTCAAGACGCTGGCGGAGGTCAAACGACACAGTTCTGTAACGCGATTGAAGATAAATGCAACATTTCCGAGGACATCTCGTGCTCATAGCCAAAGCAACATTGAGGACTATTACGATAGCAGTGAGGATGGGACCATGGGTACCGTCTCCTTGGAGAAACTTACATACAGCTGCCCCCATGCAAGATACGACTCGATTCACCAGGCCACGATACCCGAGGATAATCGCAATGTATTGCTGACCTTGATGCAACAGACGATGCAATCTAACGATATGCCCGCCGTGGCACGCCTGCTCGCTTCTACATCTCGACAAGGATGCAGTTACAATGGTCTAATTGTTCGCCCTGGGCTGCGACGGCCCTCCACAGTCCAATATACAGGTTCGGCGTCCCCATTGTCGTCTATGACTCACCGCTGTCATCGATTCAGTCGGCGCAAGCGGTTGGGGAGTCCTTATTTCGGCCTTATTCCTGAAGAAGGAAAGCTCGTGCGACCGGAGTCTAATGTTTACTCTGATGAGGACATGGATTACTTTTATAATCATCTATCTGTAGTTTGCGATGGCAAGGGCAAACCGACTCACCATGGCGCCAGTGTATCTCCTCAGTACATTCGTAAGCGACTTACGAGCAGGAAACGTTCTCGCGATTCAGGACGTTCAAATGACTTCAGAATAAGGGCTCAGTATTCGACGATCCTTTATGATGTTGCAGTGGCCGCACTGCTCGAGGGAGAGAACCTAGTTGATTTCGCCTCCACCTTCAGGTGTGATCCAGCCAAACCCGACTCACCTTTGGTGCCTTGTTTCGAACGACGAGCAGCCTCAGTACCCGCTCGTGGAACCACAGCTTCGTCGTTTCCGCTCGGGAATACTCTATATAGTGGATGCGGTTCACCGCTGGCCATGGGTATGAGGGATAACGAGGGTATGGTGTACAGCACCCCTTTGAATCGCATGATTGCATTGCCAAAGGGCTCGAGACCGACTAGGACACAGTCCTCAAAGTTGCCCAGGTCGCGATCCAAAGCTCATACCAAGGTCCCTGCAATCTATGTATCAAGTCGTGAACGATTGCTGGCGATGGGACCACTGCCGCCAGCACCAGCTGACCTTCCACCAGCACCAGTTGCTCTTTCTCCAACAAGTCCTGTAGATTCTGTCGCCCAACGCTAAACCTAAAATGATAGAACTCCTGAACTTGTTGGCCCAAGCGCGTTCGTAGCCAAAAAAATAAACTGGCACAAAGCCACTACCCGTGTTAAAAGAAGGCGACCTGTCCCAAGCACTCCTACTCGAATTAACACAGCAATGTCGCGCTCATTCATCCTGGCATGGGGTTACTGCAAGAACCCAGCTACTGCTAGAGTAGTAGGCAGCACGCGCAGTTTGGCCCCTTTCCCATTCATAAGATCATCACAAGTAAATCATACCTCTACCTCCTTGCGGCTCTAGCCTCAACGTGTTGGAACGCCACGCTAACCACTTTGATCGGATAACGGTCAACGCGCATAGACCACGCGATCCTTCAGTCTATCCTCACAGCACACCAAGGAGCAGGACAAAGTCAAGATATTGTTTTTTGGCAGCGACTCGTTTTCAGTCCCGCACTTGGAAGCACTGATCGCTGAAAAAGGTATACACTGGGTTCCCGATCTTTATCTATGTCTTCTTGCCTCAAAAATTATGAAGTCTGTTCCAAACCAACCCATTCTTCTTTTTATCCGTATAGCAAAGCCCGGATCGATCATCGAGAGAATCGATGTAGTGTCGCCTAAAGAGCGCGCAAAGAAATCAAAGCGCGACGCAGAGGATTGTAAGATCTGTGGTTCTCGCTCCACACTTCTGAATGAATGCCTATAAAGGCCATCCTGCAGCACTCACAACTGACCCATTAGATCTCTCTATCTCGCATTTATAGCCCCGTTGACGTTGCTGGCAAAGGCACACAACCTCAACACGTTTCCTGCACCAGACCGAAAGGGCGGTTTTGAAGCATGGTCCTTCCCTGAGGACAAGAACGTGGACGCTTGGGATTTCGGCGTCGTAGTTTCATTCGGGTGGTTTTTGCCAAACGATGTGATCTCGCGTTTCAAGAGGGCTGGTATCAACGTACACCCATCGCTCTTGCCCAAGTAAGTTAACAAGGGCGATTTCCATGTTTACGACTTTGAAACAGGTCGAATTATAACTCATCTATGTCTTTAGGTACCGAGGATCTGCGCCATTACAGCGCGCCATCTTGAACCAGGATAAGGCGACTGGTGTTACAGTGCAGCTTCTGGACCCGAACGAGTTTGATGCAGGCAAGATTCTCGCCCAGGCAGAAGTGGTGAGTACGGAAATTGGTTGCAAACGGTTTTGGTTTTCAAAGACATGAATTGGATCCAATGTCTTGAGGATTTACACTTCTGTACATTGAAAATTGTAGGCAATGCCAGAAAATCCTACATATCGGTCGCTGGAGTCACTGCTGGCGAAGAAGGGTGGCGAACTAGTGGTTGATGTGATTAACAACTATGATGAACGGAGGGTAAGGGACCTATTTACACGTTCTAAAACAACATCATGGGCAAGCAAACAACTTGGACTGACCCAACGAATGCGGACATAATATTTTTTTTTTTCCTGGCGATCCCGAATTAGCGTGATGCAAAGGTGCAGGATCCGGCAAAGGTTACCAAGGCGAACAAGATTAGCCGTGAGGCATGCATGGTTCAATGGGCAGCCTGGGATGCATCTCGCGCAGAGAGGTTACATCGCGCCAATGGATTTAGAGTATGTTGGAAATCGCTATTGTCTTTCTAATGAGGGAATATTGAAGTATGGGAACTCATAGTTTGTAACCGTCCATCCCTGTCCTGTCTGCTTCGTGTTAGTATCCCATTACGGCGACATGGACTGTTAAGGATTCAGGAAAGACTTTGCCTATCTCGCTATTTGATCTCTTCTGTGTAAATGATCTTTCAACGGACACCGGGACGTCCTCTGGATATGCCGTGGAAGATGGAGAGGCGCCCACGAAGACTTCGCCCCCTGGGACGATATTCTACCATCGTCCGTCAGAGACAATCCATGTCACCTGCGCAGATGGATCCCTGCTCGGAGTGAGGGCAGTGCAGTTCGAGGGCAAGAAGAGGGTTTCTGTTAAGGACTTCTATAATGGATACCATGTCAAATCCGGTGTCTCCCGTTTTGAATAAAAAAGACATAATTTCCTACCCTATTCCTGTAACTGCTGTAGTGAGCGGACGCGTACATCTCTCCATGTTTTATACATAGCAAGTGTATTAGGCTAGTGCAACGCTGCTATTCTCTCTAAGTGGCGGTATGTCTACAGGCAGACCACTTGTTGATTATCATTCTGTATGCCTAGGACAAGCCTTTAGCAAGCGATTTCGTAGAAAACGCGTCCATGAGGCCCAAGAGCTGACTTTCAATAGTCCATGTGTTAAAAGACATCCAACTGTAGATGGGCAGGGAATTACGTGAGCTGGTGCCGACTTGAAGCGCGGGCACGGTTGGACTAGCGCGAGGCTGCGCCTACATTGATATCTACGACTGCCACAGCAAGCGTTCTGAGCACAGTGCCCACTTTGCCAACCACTTTATCTTGTTGAGATGAGTAACGTGAAAATGATGGCATTGTAAGCGTAGAAATTTTTCCAATGATATCCACATGATTTTTAATCCAATTCTGCATTAATTTTCCTGATACAGTAGTAAAAAACGCGGCCAAAAAAAAAAAGAAAACTATTACCAACAGTACATCGAGCGGGACATCCGCCGGGCCATTAGATGCGCTGCTAATATATGATCGACCATGGAACGTGCGATGCTCATTTGGGTCATGCCAAGGCTTTTGTTTGTCTTTTTTTTAAAAAAAAAAGTATGTGTCAACAAGGAAGTTGCACCGCGGAGAAAATGTTTGGCGATCGAGATGAATGGAGCAGGAAAGTGTGCTCCGCCTGCATTGTTACAAGGGGATCAGATTTGATTTCATTCGACCTATCTTTCTGAGGCTAAGAACGCTGTTTGCCGCCTTATTTTTTTTTTATCACGAAGGGAAATGAGAGCTGGCGAGAGCGAGTGCTTTCGATATACGTTATATTGGAAGCAGGGACCTTGGCGGGGACTCCCACGCGGTCTACAAAGGGGTGCAATTGGCGACATTTAATTTCAACCGCTGGAAAGGATATCCTCGATCGCGGTTGACCTGGCCTTTTGGCGGTGTTTTTTGTTTGGCCCTTTTCTATCCACTTCAGCCTCGCATTCCTTTCACTTTTGCTCATTCTCATTGCTGGTTGCATCCCCATTCTGCATTCCCGCTGCCAGCACCTGTCTTTTCTATACAGCACCTCACTTTTGTATTCTATTCTGCTCGTTATACCACTATATCATCCCATACCCCAGTAGCTCACACCCGGCACCAACGACACTCCGGGATCAAGTAACCCTTCAACAACCCAGCACTCCCTAATACTCGGTCATTACCCCTCCATCTCCATCTCCATTCGGTTCTTGAATCCGATGCAACCTTCAGTGGGATCATACTCAGAACCTGATCCAGTCTCACCTAATCAACCCATCAACCCCTTCGGCATTTCCTCTGCCGCTATGAGCTCCATCTCTGCTGAGCAGGCCGAGGGGCCCAACCATAATCCAACAGTAACAACAACATCGACAGCAGATAGAAACCCAAGGCTGAGCATACACGATAACCATTGTAGTCGATCTCAGGGGCAGGGTAACATGGCGAATAATATCACGCCTCCTTTCCAGGGCGTCGATAATGAACCCAACTCTATCCCATTCAGGCACCAGAATCCCGCGCCTCGTTCACAAGCACCCTCTCCTTCGCTTTCATACTCGCCTTCATATTCGCCTTCATACTCACCGCCAGCTCCCTCCTCACCTCCTCCTCCACCCGCTATTCGCATCCATAACCCACATACGCGCCCGTTATCTCAGGGGGACGACTACGTCGACCATATCAACGACGAAAAATGGACGCTCGCTATTCCCTCAGAATCAATATCTTTCTCATCCTACCACGTCGGACAGTTCGAAGACGGAAAGGCCGCCTCACACCAAGTCCTTCACTACCCGTTCTCGTCTCCGTTCCACCCTATCCAGCCTTCTGTCGCGCCATCTACTAATCCCTATATCGATGCAGCAGCTTTGTGTCACACAACGTTTCACCATAACCCCAATCCCCCATACAATAGCACCAGTCACCCGCAGTTTGCCCACCCCTCCACCACAGTCTCACCCACTATCAGCAGCACCCCAGGCTACACATCCTCGCGCCCCCTCCCGAGCGACTTGGAAGCGCAGAATCATGCCCATTACGGACAGCAGGATACCCATTCAATTGATCAGTCTCAACCAAGTTCGCTTTACCGTGGAGGAGCAGCCTCCGGCGCCAATATCCGACCCCCCCAACATAAGAAGCGACGCAGCGATACGAACAGTAAGATCCGCAGGAAACGGAACAGCGTGAACGGCGACAACTGGACACGGACGAGTGATGTAAGTGGCGTCGGAACAGGCCGTTCTTCCTCTGCTTCTCCCTCGGTCCACAGTCGCATGTCCTTGGGTGCTCAGGAACCTCGATCGTCTTCCAAACATTCCCAGTCTCCCCCGGTAGAGGAACCTTCGGAGCTGGCGGAACCTACGCTCCCTGCGCAATCTCAGAAACGATTTTCCTTGTTCCGAAGTAGGTTGTCGTCACTGGAAAAAATGCCCAATAGAAATAACTATATTACGCCAGAGAGCCATGGCCACAGCGTCTCGTGGGAGGGACTCTCGAAGGACCCTCAATGTGGGAATACCAAATCCAGGACAGGCATCAACGGAGGTCGCCAATACTTGAGGGACGATATGACGGAGCATGTGCCGTACTTCAACCGCGGAGGGATCATTGGACACGACGGACGGCGGAAGACAGGGATCCCTGGCAGGAACGGCGAGGAGCCAGAGACGAACATGTTCAATTTTGTGGACCTGATATTGAATATGCCTGAGAGGCCGAGTCTGCGATTTGTGGTGTTGAAGTTATTGAAGGTCCTCGTCGTGATGACGATCGGGTACTTTGTGCTTATGGCCCTTTATTTTGCAGCGGAGGTAATTTATTTTCTATAGCATCTTGATTGGATACAAGGTGAATCCGAAGGACTAATAATAATGGAGGGCCTTTTTTTTTTTAACAATAGTATCAGAATGTTAATCGCCTTGAGAATATCAGCATCCTCGTCGTGGATCTGGACCATTCGATGATCGGGAACCAATTTCTTAACTTTACTCAGCAGGACAACAAAATGAAGGGACAGGTCAACTGGTCTGTTCAGAGCGGGTACAAAACTATCGATGCTGTGATCGAGGACGTCGGGAATGGCAACTATTGGGGCGCGATGGTGGTCCAGCCCAACGCATCGGTGTCACTCAACAAGGCACTCTCGGGACCGAATTCTGACTATGATCCCACCAAGGCGTTCATGTTTATCTACGATGGCGGACGGGACCCACTGTCGGTGAAGCCATATATCCTCGCTAGCATGTACACACAGTTCTTACAGTTCACAAAGACGTTCAACCCGATATGGGTCTACTTCGTGCTGACTTATGCAGACGAAAAGAATACGACGCTCACACCGCTAGCAAGCGCACCCCAAGTCTTGGGCATACCCGTGGCATTCGAAGAACTAGATATCCATCCGCTATCATCGTCGATTATCGCCTCCGCAACGTCGGTGGCGTACATCTGGATCTTCCTGGTTGCAGGCGGGAGCACATATTTGGTGGCATATACGGTCCAGCCGTTGACACGGGAAGGCGGTGTGACGCGGACGATGATGCTGCTGTTGATACCGTTGTTGGTGTTCCTATGCTCACTCTCGATGGTGTACAGCATCACGCTCCGGATCTTTGGTGTATTGTTCGAGTCGGCGGGGCAGTTTCTCTCGTTGTTCATGGGCATGCTGTTGCTCCAGGCGGCTGTGGCATCGTTGATCCTGTTCTTGATATTCCTGATCCCGGTCAGATACATCCCAGTGATCACTGTAACGTTCGTGGTGATGAACATGATTGCGATCTTTCATCCTGTAGAGCTGATGCCGCCGTTCTACCGATGGGTGTATGCGATGCCCTTCCTGAACGCAGTGCAGATGGCACGGTTTGTGCTCACGGGATCGTATAATCGACTGGTATACAACTTGCCGATCTTATTTGCGTGGATTCTGGTGCCGCTCACATTGCTGCCGTTCGCGATCGCGAGACAGAAGCGGCTAATGATGGAAATTTTGGAGTTAGAGGAACAGGACCGTCGACAGTCTCAGCAGAGATATTACTCGGATAAGGATACTGGGCTTAGATACTATACTGGAGAAGACGACGATGACGATGACGACGTGTACGACTATAGGAGCGAGAAGGCAGGGAGATACAGCAGGAAATCGCGCGAGTCGGAGAGGCGTCGGGCTAGAAGTTCGACCCGACATCGTGGTCTGGAACAGAAGAAGAATTCGAGCGAGGATGGGCTTGAAGGAGAGGATGTGTCTGAGAGCAGAAACGAGCGTCGTCAACGCCGGCGCCGTCGCAACCACCGCAGCGGCAGTAACGGTGACAGCGATGATCGTGGGGATGATAGCGAGGAGAACAGCCAGGGCCTGAGCCAGGAAGGCTCTGTAGCAAAGGCTGCACGACTGATCCGGCCACTAAATCCAAGGACGCTTAGCAGCGGAGCTGTACCGAGTGCGCCGCCAGAATCGCAGATGTTCAGCACACATCATGGGACAGTTGGACGGACGCCATCCGGAGAGCAAAATCGGTCGTTGTTTGAGATGCCGAAGTTGAGTCGACACCCGTATGCGGCTGAATTGGTCAGGCCGCAGACACCGGCCGAAGTGAAGTAAAGAGACCAGGGAACCAGCAGAAGAGAAGAAAAAAATGCATAGACTATTTATTCGAGTAAACGCGTTTATGTTACATGAACCTTCGCAAAAGGGACCTTCATTATATACACTAGCTGGGTGGGGATTGATGAGTCGTTTTTTAGCATTTCGATACAGTTTTGTTATTATCGCCGAGGAAGCGGAGAAGTAAGAGGAGGTCGTGGTGGTGGTGGCGGTGGAAGCGCTGGAGGCGCATACAGGCTTGAAGCGCGGTGCATGATGACCTGAATTGTTGCGCCTGCTTGATATTCTATCCGCCAGGGTTTCAATCTTGAGAAAGGAAAAAGGTTAGTAACTGGAGTCAGGAACCCACTCTGACTACCGTGTTTTTTTGGATACATACCTGTTTCCTTCAGCGTCGTTCATGAATTCCAAAGCACGCTGACCGCATTGGAGTCGAGCAGCGTTCGGGAAGGATGCTTGGATATCACCCCAGAGAACGAAGGCGCGGTCCTGGGTTAATGCTGTGCCTGGGAATACACGCAGCGTGCAAGTGTCAGACCCAGAGTTGAACGTTTGGCACTCTGCTCTGGAAAGTGGGGCGGCGGGAAAGGAGGACTTGGGAGCGACAGGGGAAGATGTAAGTGATGGTGGAGTGAGTGGTAGTAACGACTTTGGGAGTGGGTGTGGCAGCCCTGACAGATTGAGTGCGAGCATTCTGGGAGGGTGTGGAAAAAAAAGCTAAAACGTTAAAAAAAGTGGGAGAGTTGAGTAAAGGATCCGAGGATGGTGGGTAACGCTGTTTTATACGACGAACAGCACAGCATCGGTGGTTTTTTTACGGAGATGGTGTCAGCGGGAAGGGCGAACACCCGCCACATGAGCATGGGCGTACAAAGGAGGCAGGTTTGAGTGAGTTGAATTTGGACGGAGAGGCGAGCCGAGCCCGTGCTTGTACGACGTGGTTGTTCTTTGGTACAAGAACAACAAAAACCTGGCAGATCCGTCACCTCTGGGCAGTGGTTCTTTATTATGGTCTTTGTCCCAGAGCGAAGAAAACGGGTGTCGGAAACAACTAGCTGTCGAGGGGTGGTCATCAAATAGAACCCATTTTTATTTTTACACTGGTATTTTTATGCGACGACTTCGCCCTTTCAACGCGCTGCCGTAGATGCGGCGTAAAGTGAATTGCCTCCCATCGATGGAATATCTAACATGCCTTTGCTGCCCTAGGTATCGGCTCCTCTCATACAGCAGCAGTGGCGCCAGAAGTGCCCGGTCTCAAGAACTGCTTCTGCCTGACCATAAACGACAACACCGCGCACACCGCCGTCAAGGCCGCACAGCAATACCATACAAACTCCGGCATCGTCTTCACCGTCAATGCATACACCCACGAGATCATCACTGGCGAAAAGATCCCCGCAATCGAATCCACGACCTGGATTGCGCCCAGTACTGCCCCAAACTGGGATGGCTCCACCAACGCTGTCAACAACGACTTCAGTGATGGGGCAGCAATGATGCTCACGGCATGCAGGGATGACCACAGATAAAAGTGCCAGCCCTTGGTCGAAAGACCGTAACCCACGTAGGTCACAGAGCTGATCAGGAATCCTAATCGCATGATCCATGTGTCGAGCTTGCGATCACTGGCGGCCTTTTCTTTGGTGCGTGCTGGGCTTGGTGCGGAGGATGATGATAATGGTGGTGATATAGGCTTCTTAGCAGGGTTCGAGGATGAGGATAGATGCGAGGGACGTCGTGTGCGATCAGTGGACCAGGTCGCGATAGAGTCTGCAGTCGACTGGCGGCGTCGACGCTCTTCGAATGGGGCCTCATCATCTGAAAGGTTGAGAGCTGCTTCGCCCAGATGTTCGACACTTGAGGCCACGGTCGGGTCTTCTAGACCTACAACCATAACGCGTTCTGGGTGGTCTGTGATCAGGCCCTCATCGTGCTCGGTGCCATCACGAATCCTTGGACGGTTTCTCTTGTTGTTGTCGTTGTTGATTGCTCCCTGTTGTTGCTGTCCGCGCTTCTGAATCTTTCCGGCGTGCTTATTATATAGATGCACCAAAACCGGTAGCAGAGCCAGTAAGGAGATCAATCGCACGGTCGAGCTGAGCGCGAACAGGATTCCATCTTCATACTCTGTCCAGTTGAAGACCCTGTTCGTGTACAGGATAATGACCGAGAACGTGCCCTTGAGTGCCAGCCATTGCAAGAACGAGATCGCACCCAGGAGGATCAGGTTGGTGTTTTGACCGTTGGGCTTGAAGAACTGGAGGGACCGGAGCATGTGTGAGTGCCATGCCATGGGTCGCTGGTCTTGTTTCTTGTGGTCGTTCTGCTTGTGTTTAACTGCCCGTTCGTAGAGCTTTTGGATATGTGCAGGCTGCTTGCTCGGGAGGGATTCTGGCACGAAGAAGATCAGGAGGAGAAGTGTTGCCATGGTTGCGACAATGTCGATGTAGACAATCGTCAAGATGCTGCCCGACCACATGACAAGCAGACCTCCAAGTAACGATCTATTGCACATCATCAATGAAAAGACTTCAACAAACTGAATCCAATACCAAGCACGATGCCTCGCGCGTGTATGACAGAAACGCTGCCTTACCCAATAGCGAGCCCCATGAATAATCCAGCATGAAGCCACGAATAGATCAAACTACGCCGACTCGGATCCGTGCAATCGGCCGCATAGGCCAGACTCATCGTTCCGCCGACACCCATACCGCCCAGTAGGCCCTGGACCAAGGACCCAAGGATCATGAGTGGCAGGCCAAACTGGTCCCACCACTTGCTCATGGCGATGATGTTGCACATCATATAGAGCGAGCTGACAAGGCCAATGACCATGATCTTGACTCGCCCATGCTTGTCGCTCAGCGAGGCATAGTATCCGATGGACAGTGTGCCTACACCAACACAAAAAAAAAAAAAAAAAAAGAGAAAATGTATCAATGTTCTTTTCAGCGAAAGAGCGAGATCGCGCTCGATTGGATTTCCCTGTCAGTCTACGACATCGACCTGTCCACATGGCTATGCTGCGCTGTAATAAAATGAACCAAACTGAAAGACATCTCTTTGAAACACCATACCTGCAATAGCGCCAAGGACCTCGATCATCGCCATGGTCTTTGCTGTGTACGCCTGGATCTCGGGCACCTGACATTCTAGTGCGGGTCTCAACATTACCATCTCGCTATTACCCACTACCGCTGCCTGGAACAAAGACGCTGTGAATTCCGCCATGGCCGCCACCGTCGTATTGCTCGGTGAGTGTCGATTCAGATACTCCCTACACAACAACTCCGCCTGGAACTGTCCGATCGAGGACGACAGCATGCCTCCGCTGACAGAGGCCAGCCCATAGATTGGGAACAGCCATGATGCTGACGGACGCTTGTACCAGGGTAGGTTCTCCTTCAGGATTCTGACATAGATAGTTATGGGGTCTGTTTCGGCTTGAGAGGAGGAGAGAAGGGGGGTTTGTTCTTCGTCTGCCACCTGAATAGTATCTTCAGAGATGTCGTGGGGGATGTGGGGCCGAGACCCATTGTTGGCGGGGCCGCGATTGGGCTGGGCGGCCATGCTGGGGTATTGCAGAGGTCTATGCTGTCCGTGGATTATCTAACAGGGAAATCGAGAGGGGGCTGTGTGCAGAGTGCAGTATGAACGAGGCGTGAGAAGCATAAAACGGAATAGAAAAAAAAAATATTTAGAAGAAAGTGTGCAGTCGGGAGAGAAGTGTTCGCCATAAGCAAGAGAAGAAGAAAAAACAAAAAGAAACACGATGTATAGGAATGAGCATGGGCTGACGAAGGAGGATGAACACAGCTTGGACGAGATTGTTGCCATGGACCAAACAGGTTCAGCTGTTTTGGAATTCATTTCAAATCACTCGAGCAGACCAGACTCGTCAACAACTGCTTTTACCTGGGGTACCACGCATTTCTTACGTATGAGTATGTACCTTTTCACGACTATAGCCCTGTTCCTGGAAAGGGAAGTGTTTGGTCGATCCAATCGAAGGACGAACGCGTAACTGCTGGAAAAAGGGGGGGAAAGAGGAACAACAATTGCAAGAGAGGAGGAGTTCGTAGAAACAACCGTCGATCGGGGAACGGGCAGGAGGTAGGGAGGTAAGAGGATGGTCGATAAGAAAGCTAAGAGTTGTCATCGCTGCCTGAAAGCCCTCCTTCTTGTGATCACATTTGTAATAAACAGCGCTTGAAAAGGCAAGGAACGCGTAGTTGCACAAACCAAACCAATCGCCCACCCCTCTTTTTTTCGCATGCTCTTAACCATTATGCGAAAAGAAGACGAACGGCCTGTGAACCGACGCGGGATAAACCACTTCCTTACCCGCTACGCCCAGGACAAAAGGAAAAGGTGGCACTTTTTTTCTTCTTCCCTCTCATAGACTATAGAGTCGAACACAAAGGCGCGCACTACTGCACTTGTAGGCTATGATTGCTCGCATGTTGCTGCACGCCATGTGTATATAAACCAGAAAAGAAACATTAGATTTCCTTCTATCCCATGGACACCACCCGCCAAAAAACTCTAAACGACATATCCTCGAAGGGCTATCCGCCAGATAGAACAGAGTTTGGGTGGCTAAAAAAACCAACATGGCTTCCATAAATGGTGCACTCGCTTTTCTCTAACTTCAAGACAGCCATGGCAAAGCAACAAGAAAAGAGGTTGTGTAACAGCCCTCCTGGCGTTTTTCTCAGGAAGAAAAGGCAGCATTGTAACGTGTTTTAGTAGTAAGCAATTTAGTTTTTTTTTTATTACACGAAATAAAAGTATTATCTGATGCTATCTACAACATCGTGTTGCGTTATGTATATACAAAAGCTCCATCCTCAACGCGATGCGCTTGCTTCTCTTCAGCACTCCATGGCCCGCTCATCAAAAACCAAACTGCTCACCTCCTCCACATTTCGATGGCGCCTATAACCGCCCTCACCCGCCGACTCCTGCTGCCGTATGGCCGTGTTCAGGCCCATATCAGCACTCGTCAACGACGCTACAAACGACTCATGTGCAGCACCATGGACATTAGCCTCTGCAGATGACGAAGAAGCGTATTTGTCATACTCGTTACCGGAAGTGATGTCACACTGGGTCTGAGCATCCTGTCGAGGTGCCGCTACCGCCTCTGCTGCTTGCGCTACCGACTGTCGGTCAGAGTCATCCGATAACGATGATGCCTCTATATCCATGTCGTCCGAAGAAACAGCAGGCGGTGAGGGTGGATCTGCAGCGTCGTCTTCCATGACCGCGCTATTGCCATGCTGTTGAATCGACGACGGCTGTTGCATCTGTAGTGAAGATCTGAGACTGGGCGATAGTTCATGCATCAGATTTCGAGTACTCGGCGTTGGCGTGAATGGAGCTGGATAATGCATCATCATGTTGGCCGAGATCTGCTGTGGCTGCTGAGACCGTAAGATAGGTTGCTGCATGTCCTGGTACGCAGTCATGGACAGATCCTGCTTCTGCTGTCGTTGTTGCGGTTGTTGCGGTTGTTGCTGTTGTTGCTGTTGTTGCTGTTGTTGCTGTTGTTGCTGTTGTTGCTGTTGTTGCTGTTGTTGCTGTTGTTGCTGTTGTTGCTGTTGTTGCTGTTGTTGTTGTTGCTGCTGCTGCTGCTGCTGCTGCTGTCGTTGTTGCTGCTGCTGCAAAGATCTTAAACCAAAATTATCGCCCGAGCCAAATGAATTTAGAGCACAATCTGTCCCAGTAGGAGTGATAGGGGCAGCAGCCGTCGGATTGACCTGCCCGAACATCATACTCTCAATCGACGCCAACTTCAGTGCCTCTGGCAACTCGAGCGGGGTCGCAAAGAGCTGTATCCCTCCCTCCTGGCCCAGCTGCTGAGAAGGATCCATTCCCCCAAACGCAATAGCCGCCATCGCCACCGCCGACGTGATATGCGTCTGCCACATCGCACTCAGCTTTGTCGCCCCTTGCTCCTGCGATGATTCCGGCAGCGGCATCGAGAAGTTACCATATGGATGTCGCAACTGAATTGATGGAGCAGGGCCAGGCCCACCCTTAGACGACTGCGCCAACCGAGTGGCCTCGTAAATATTCTCTATCGACGTCGCCAACTCCGGGGATACTGAATTAGCCTGGCTTGTAAAGACATCCAATGCCACCGCAATTAGGGAATCGGCTATAGGGAAGGTCTTTCCGAGATCATGCGCGGCCTTGATAGTCTTAGCAAGTCCCGCGCGGGTCGTTTCGCGGTTGCCGAGCGTCGGGCTGATGGTGTTGTGGACATGCACGGTACCCGCGGCGAGGAGACAGCTCATTCCGAAATAGCAGGTATCTCGGAATTGACCATGTAGCATCAGTGAGTCCGCAATGTGGGAGACATTCGTCGCAGCTGCGGTGCAGATGTTACGGGACGAGACCAAGAAGTTGCTGTCGATCGCTGCAGAGTCGACAGGACGGAGGTAAGGCCGATGCAGTATTGTCAAGCACGTGTAGTACAGCATATGCATTAACGCAGCTGTTGGCGACGGGGGATGATTTGTCCCGGGCGACATAGTGTACGGCGTGTACATGAGCTCGTTCGGTAATGCCAGGAACCAAGAAGTCAGGGCGTTATGCAGCTGCGGAAGCTGTGTCTTGGAGACATCTGCCAAATAGGTGCCATTAATCTCGGCTTTGATGCAATGCATTGTGTTCAACACTTTTCCCATTTGAATGAACAACTTCATGGACCAGAGAAGTCGACAGGAGATAGTTTTCTCGGGCTCGTAAGGTTGCTCGACTACATCCTCGCCTATCACCTCGGGAATCCAGTCGTCCGAGGGCAACGCCATATTGAAGTCTTCATCGCGAAACGTCATAGGTCGGCCCAAGATAGCGCTACCGAAGCGGTCGGACAGATACAATGCCCACCAGACGCGCTTCCTGATCTCAGCCTGCTCAGGCTCATCCGACTGCACATCTTGACGATGAAGGCCAATATCCTACGTTGACAACATTGCGTTCAATGGTTAAAGATTCAACTTTTGAAAATAAATGAGAATATTGGCAGATTTGGTCATGATAAAAGCTTACCGTAGCAATACGCGACGCCATGCCTGTGTAAAGCCAACCTCCTGAATAATTGCCCGTCGCGTACTGATGGTGCGACATCAACAGCAGTGCCTGGATCGTGCTAATATTCGAGACATGGTACGTCTCATCCAGGATGATCTTTGCCCGGTTGAAATATTTTGTCGACTCCTGTGCCACCACAGGGTCATCCGAGTACCAGCATGCATTACAGAAGATTGCGTTCAAGATCAGGATTTGGGAGAGATCCGGCCGGTTCTGGCGATGGGCCTCCATAAATGTCTTGCGGATGAACATGGGTGCGAAGGGATACATGTACTGAAAGTATAGACCGAGAAGATATTCCATCCCTTCTTTGGATGGAAGCTCGCGCTCGCTGGTCATCTGGAGCGAATGCGACCATAGGTCGCTGTCATTTAAATGAGCCATAGGAAGAGGATCTAACAGGATAGGAAATTATGTGCATCAGGCCCCTCCCCCCTTCCCATTTGTACACTGTCCATTCGGATGCTTCGAAGATTTTGCAAGAAGTTCAAATAACTTACAGACACCTAAGCGGGAACGTGAGCTGAGTTGACAGACATAAAATCCAGAGCTGCTTCCATGGAAACTAAGGATGTAAATGCAAGAAAAAAGCCATGCAAGAGTTGGTGTCAATGGCTTTAAAACCACAAGCAGAAGAACGACATTAAAAATCTATCCAGGATGTTTGCGACGACTTACTGTTGGCCATGACCATCCAGACTCATCATACTAACCGCAGACTTGGATACACCTTCTTTGTACAGAGACTTTGGTAAATCATGGCGCGTAGGATCTGAAGACGATCCATCAGGCTGTCGGCCTTGGTTGGATGGCATCCTGTTCGAGTTTTGCCCCGAGTTTCTTTTATTTTCCGTTGACTTGGTGGATCCTTGTCCTTTTGAGACAGATGTGATTGGCGGCGATGGACGATCGTTACCTATGCTTCTTCTTGCATCTTCACCGAGAGCAGGATCCAAGGAACCAGCTCTCGTGTCACCGCGAACCATGGTGGCACTAGAGTGCATCCTGGCCCTTGAGGACGATGATGGGTCCGATAATGGGGAATGATGATGATAGGAAGGCGATGTTGATGCATAAGGGTTGTATTGATACGAATATGGCGAGGAAGGGCCAGGACTAAGACTCGAGAAACTCGTCGTGCTGCTGGCAGACATGCGACGATCTATTGGGAGCTCTGTCGCGTGCCTCTGATCCGCCATCTCATCACCGGAGCAGGAGGACGTTGACGAGAAAGACGAGTTTCCTTGACGATGATATGGCTGGTGTGACGACAGTCTTTGTTGGCGGTGGTAATGGCTGGATTTGGATCGATCTGGGTGCGAAGCAGAGGCGGCTGAGGACGTGTACGAGGATGAAGCCTGCCGGGCTCCGATCTTTACGCACAGACTCTGGGGAGTGTTTGTCTTCAGAAATAGAGCCTCGTCGAAAACGCACACGAGTTTGTGATTGACACAGCGAGCACAGTTGGGTGTGCCTGTGCACCTTAGCTTCTTTTTACGGCAATTGGTGCATGCCGTACCTGCCTTCAGGCGCTTCTGGCGGACAACTTGACTCGCTTCCATAGTCCTAGTGAGCTGCGGGTGTCAGGCAAGGAAAGAGAGGGAATAGGAAGAGATGGCAGTGGCAGGGGCAGGGGAAGGAAGAGGTCGAGCGGGGTGGTACGCAAGGCGGATAGGATTAGGGCGATGTATTTGTGAAGTTGCTAAACGAGGTGCGCTGTGAAGATTGCGAGGATGGAGAGCTGAGAGTGGAGAGTGTGTGGAGAGGAGGAGAATGAGGGCGTGTACAGTACTGCAGATAGCCCTCGTTTAGAAGCACAAAAAAAATGAAGCCTAAGATGTTGAAAAGATGTTGGCGGGAGAGCGAAAGAAAGGAAGAAAGCTGATCTGAAGGGCCGTTTTTATTGTCTCTCCAAGGCGCGTCAGCTTCAATAAGGAATAAAGAGGCGGAGAGCAATGGTGGACGACCAACGAGAACGAGCAGGAGAAAGAACAGAGCGTGTGGAGGAACGGCAGATGGTCTTCTTCATCTCCCTTGACACGACCTCTAGGCGTAGGGCCTCTGTGCAGGAGGAACTCTCCTACCCGGCTCGATTTCCCTTTTCTGGACAAAAATGCTTACAAGTCCTTTTTGTACGCCCTCTGCCAGCGAGCCGAAACACTAATTGGTCGTCAACATGCTTGTGCTCACGCAGACAGCACCCAATGCAGCGGACTAATTTGTGGAGCCAAGCTTGAGAGCAGAGGAATGATAACACCGCACTGTGTCCCCACACCGTCCTCTTCCCACGGCACGATCAACATCTCAGTCCAAAACACAATTCCGGAAATATAGCCAAATGTTGGTGCTATGGTGCTGGTCCAATTTACATTAACAAAGAAAACTTTGTCATTACTTTTCCAAAGGGGCTGATTCTCATATTAAACTGACGTGTGGGAGCTATACAATCCATTACATGCACCGTTTACTCAATACCTATACTCTTTTTTCTGGCACCGAATTCGCGTAGATTTATTCGTAGAGAGCCATGGAAGTGATCTGGACTGTTATAGGCATCCCTGATCCTGTCCCAGAGCGCAGACTATGATGCGTCTTGGTATTTACAGATGGCTGCACCGGCATCCATACTGACAATAGCTCATTCTACGCAAAAATAGATCCTGCTGAGAGGAGGGAAGGGGGACCATCGAAAGCATCAGCTGTATAGAAACAGTCTGTTGCTCATAAACTGAGCGCTCGAAGTCCGATTCGGTGGGCAACTAACCACTCAGTTTATCACTTGACATTTGCCTTCAGGTACACACATACAGACACATAACATTATGTCGAGTTGTTTACCGGACTTGCAAAATCCAGAAGAGCTGTAGGCACATGCTCTCCTCGACTCATACCCCACTCCGGGCGCTGCCCTTCGTTTTGTTGTTTTGGACGCGTCGAAGAGCCCCCCCTCCCCTCCGACAATGTGCCTCTCCCCCAACTCTAATATAGACAATGCGCATGCACAGTGCATGCATGCAGGGCCATTAAATGACTTGCGCACACATCCAGACAATGGTCTTGAATGTGTACAGGGCATGTGAGTCAGTTAATTTATTTTGAAGCACACTGTGAGCCGGTTTGAAGACCTGAGCGCAACCGTCATTTGGTTTACCTGCAGTGGAATCTGCTTCGAACTCCATATCTGTTTTTTTATTATGATAATTCCTTATTTTAACGTAAAAGGCCACCATCTCTCACATCTGGCTCAAAAGAGGCCCATCTCTCACGTTGTGTGAAGGATTCTTTTATTCGGGGTCAGTGCGGTGAAGACACCTTATCTTCGCATTTCTTTTGCGGTGATGAGCCCTGCAGTCGCATACTGTTCAAGGACCGCGCATCCAGTAGACACGTATATCAAAGGTTCTGGTGATGTGAAGCAAATTCATTTTTCAAACAACAGATGGAGACCAAATTCACAAACATTGAGGGATAGATATGAAGTGGACAAGTGCTGTAGCTCAATGTTTTATATTTGTAATGTAATTCTGCAAAGTGTATTTGATATTGTTATTGCTATTGCTATTGTTATTATTCGCTAAAGTGAAATGATGAGTGATATGGTTACAAACTAGATGATAATGAGATTGTTCTTCTAGTACCTCCCCCTTTACAAGTTCTGCTTCTTGCACAAATCTGCGTAGACGCCTCCAAGAGCCACAAGCTCGTAATGACGACCGGACTCCACGATCTGTCCGTTCTTGACCACCAAGATCAAATCTGCATCCTGAATGGTGCTTAGCCTGTGAGCAATCACAATTGTAGTGCGTCCATACCGTGCCTTGTCCAATGCTTCCTGGACCAACTTTTCTGATTCAGAATCCAGCGCTGAGGTAGCCTCGTCCAGCAACAGGACCTTAGGATTGCGAATCAATGCACGCGCAATGGCAATACGCTGCTTCTGACCACCAGACAGCTGCGAGCCCTTGTCTCCGACATTAGTGTCGTAGCCATTCGGCAGCGACAGGACAAAGTTGTGGATGTTGGCTTGTTTGGCGGCCGCCTCGACCTGTTCCATCGTGCCCTCACTGTCCGGAAGTCCATATAGGATGTTGTCTTTGATCGACATATCAAAGAGAACAGGCTCTTGACCCACAAGAGCCATGTGCTGGCGGATATTATGGAGCTGCAAATCACGAATGTTGTGGTTGTCGATGACGACCTTGCCGCCATCCGTCTCATACCAGCGCTCCAGCAGGGCAACGATTGTCGACTTGCCGCATCCGGAGGGACCGACCAACGCGACTGTCTGCGAGGGCTTGACCTTGATATCAACACCCTTGAAGATCTGAATGTTCTGGCGAGTAGGATAGCTGAAGTCGACAGTGTCAAGACCCAGCGAACCACTGACGGCGTCGAGTTCAATACCAGCGCGGTCGGCATCGATGGTCGTGTCCTTGTCCAGAAGCTCGTAAATGTTGATGGCGGACTGCTTACCCTTAGCAAACTTGGGCAGCTCAGATGTGATATGCCCCAAACTCATGGCCGTGAAAACGATCGAGAACATGCAGTCGAACATCTGACCCCAACCGATGATACCAGACTCAACCAGACGGTATCCGCCATAGAAACCAACAGAGTACGACCAGTAAGCGACAGCCTGAGACATGGCAAAACCAAAAGAAGCGAACACAGCCTTGTGACGCGCGTACTTGTGGGGCTCCCTGGTGACATCGAAGTAACGGGATTCAAAAGTCTCCTCCTTGGCGAGCGAAACGACTGTGCGAATGTTGGCGATGGCCTCGCCAGCAACCTGACCTGACTTTTCGTACGCCTTGCGAGTCTTTTCACCAAATCCACTCAATGAGGCCAGTTCTAGGTACTGTCCGAGACCAATGATAGGGACGGCAGCGAGAATGATCAAAGTCATTTGCCAGCTAGCATAAAACGCAAATCCGAGACCAACGGCGATGGTAGCAAGAGAAGATACCGTGGTCAGGATCACCTGCGAGACCATGTCGAACATCTGCTGCGAATCCGTGGCGAGGCGACTGGCCAGGGCACCGGTCGAGTTTTCAGGACGGTCAAAGAAGGCCATCTCTTGACTCAAGATAGACTTATAGCTGAGATATCGCATCTTGCGGGTCAGGCGTTCGCCGACCACCAGGAAGGAAGCCATACCTCCGCAGAAACCAATAAAGCCGATGAATGCAAGAATACAGAACAGGAGTGCATAGTGGTTGGCCTTGGGAATGAATTGATCTCCGAGGTCGTGAGAAGTCGAGAGTACAGTGATGGCACGAGAGAAGATTTGCGAAAATCCGGGGAAGAGTGCACCCTGGATGCAAGCAAAGAAAACTCCGAGCAGACAAAGATGAACATCGTCTTTTAGGTACTTGATCGTGCGACCAATGGGAGCCTTCTGCATCTTCAGTTTCTTGGCAGCCTCCTTCTTCTGACGGGCGATAGACATCTCCTTGTCCTCGGATATGTCCAGAACAACGGCGCCATCGACGGATTTTTCAGAGCGATCGACGGAATGGTGTGACGACATACGACGGAGGAGGCTGCCCATCTTGCCACTAGTCCGGGCACCCTCGGGGATAGCGGCATCTGTAATGGCAATACGTGGCGAGGAAGGAGAAATTGGGACAATCTCCTTCTCGAACCCCTCAGGGGCCTCAACGTCAACTCCCCCGGTCTTGAGCTGCTGCTTGGCGACAAATTCAGTGTAAGTTCCTCCAAGAGCCATGAGCGACTCATGCGTGCCAGATTCCAAAACAACGCCCTTGTCCATGACATAGATCAGATCGGCGTTCATGATGGTCGATAGACGATGGGCGATAACAACCGTTGAACGTCCGTTGGCAGCATTGTCCAGGGCAGCCTGCACGATACGCTCAGATTCCGTATCCAAGGCAGACGTGGCCTCGTCCAGAAGCAAAATCGAGGGGTTTTTAATCAGCGCACGAGCGATAGCAATGCGCTGCTTCTGACCTCCAGAAAGCAGCGCACCCTTCTCGCCAACCATGGTGTTGTAGCCATTGGGCAGCTTTGAGATGAAATCGTGTGCGTTGGATAGGCGGCAGGCTTCCTCGATTTCCTTGTCAGTGGGAGTCTTTTGGTCCTTTCGAGTACCGTACATGATGTTCTGCTTGATGGTGGCGTTGAACAAGACGGGTTCTTGGGAAACGAGACCGATGCTGTCACGTAAGTGACGGACGTTAAAGTCTCTAAGATCGATACCGTCAACTGTGACGGACCCAGAACTAGGATCGTAGAAGCGCTCGAGAAGACCAATAATGGTAGACTTGCCACTTCCAGAGTGACCAACCAAGGCGACAGTCTGACCGGGCATGATTTCGATGTTCATGTTACTCAAAATTGGTACGTTGGGCCGGCTGGGATAGGAAAAGTTGACGTCCTTGACGACAATGTGGCCGGTCAAGTTCTCGGGCTTAAGACCAGAGGGATCAAAGGAATCGATCGCGGGGATACGGTCGATAGTCCTGAAGATGGTGTAAGCGGCAGCCTGAGCCTTACCGAAGACGGCAATGTTGGGTCCAACGTTTCCGATCGAGAAGGCACCAATAACGGTGCCAAACAGTACTGTAAGGACGTCTCCAGACGTCATCTTGCCATCCTTGACCTGCTTGGAGCCGTAGAAGAAGGCGAGAGAGTAGCTGAGGAACATGATCAGCATGAAGGAGCCCATGCCAATACCAGTGGCAAAGGCCTTTTTCACACCAGACTTATAGGCCTCTGCAAGAACGGCATTGAATTTGTTGAGCTCGCGCTTCTGTCCGTCAAAAGCAACGACGGTTCGAATAGAGCCAATGGCCTGTTCGGCCAAACCTCCGGCCTTGGCGTACGAGTCCTGGCCATCAGCAGAGGAAGCAGTGGCATACTTAGCCATAAGCCCGCCAGCAACTAATTAGCCGAAGAAAGAGAAGGACAAAAGCGATCAGTGTCTTGTGGGGTTGAGATAACTAAACCCATAAATGCTTGAAGATGAAAAATGAACGCAGACACTTACTAGCCATCAAAGGAACAGAGGTCAACAGGACTAAACTCATCCTCCATCCGTGCGTAAATGCAATCACGAAGCCGGCAACGAACGTGGCCAAGCTGCTCAGGCAGAGGCCAACCTTGTCAGCAAGACCGTCGAAAATCAACTGAGTGTCGGCGCTCAATCGCGAATTGAGGGACTCGTTCTTCTTGCTAGTATCGTGCCAGCTGATGTCTTGACGAAGGATGGCATGGAGGTACTTTTCGCGAATACGCTTGGACTGGTTCTCGGCAGAGAGTGTGAAGAGGCACATCTGGCCGTAGGCAACCACGAACATGATGGCACCCACGACTGTGAACTTGATGACAATAATTCGAAGCCGAGCAACGGCGTCAGCAGTGGAATCACTGTTAGTATCCAGGTTATCGATGACATTGCCCATCAGAAGGGCAACGAGGGGCTGACCGACACCGTTGACAAAGGAGCAAAGAGTGCCGACACTATTGGGAGAAGATTGAGGTAAAAGCACTGTTAGTACTTGGACGCGTGGAATGAATCAAGGAGAGCGAAATCCCGAAATCCAACACAGCAATGCAGGGATAGATTGGTACAGTAAAAAAAAAAAACACCAGCACATACAGGACGCAAAGCCAGTCGAAAGGGGACGCGAAGCGGTAGAGCTGTAGGTACGAAACCTTGGGTCCATCATCCTCCGCATCCTTGTCCTTCTTGTCTTTTTTGCCTTTTTTGTTCTTTTTCTTGTCGCTGTTGCTGCCGCCATTATCTTTGTCAGGCTTAGTGGAGGAATGCTTCTCCTTCTCGGAGAGGTTCTCGGTAGAGGGGGTGGCGGTGATGTCGTTGGGCTCGATGTTGACGATGTGGGATGAGGAGGGATGAGGGATTTCGAATTCACCGAGCTCCTGCTTTGTGTCCCTCATGTCGGCCATGGTTGGCGAGTTGTACGGAACAGAGGCCGTTGGGACGATGGATAGGGAAGGGGAAAATTGGTGGCACCTGAAATCAAATAAGAATCAAAGTCCCGTAAAAGAGGGTTGGAGTCGTTGGATCGTTTGCTGGAAATGAAGGAAGAGAAGAGAGGAAAGGCCCGAGGATGATCGCAGTTATTTAACAACAAAGAAGAAAAAAGGAAAAAGGAAAGCAGGTTGTGAGCGAACAGAAAGCCTTTTCGCAATAACGTTCTTCGCAAAGGGGACCTCCAGACATTATTGGCTGGTCCTGGATAGGGTTTAGTAACTGCGAAGCAATTGAAGGCAATCGCATCCACGCATCATCCACACCAAACAAGAGACGGCGGTACGCAGAGTGGACTGGGGAGAGCCCGCCGGAGCAAGGAAAAAATTCCCTTTTATGTCCTCTTCTCTGGGGGCAAACAGCGACAAGAATAGGAGCCGAGAGCTCCTTCCCCCTCTCCCTATTTACTGCCTATCTACCATACTCAGATGGTCCATTTGCACAGATCCCTTGGCAGAAAGCATCATCCAGGCATACAAGAGTCCCTGGTAAAACATTATGCCGTGTGCCGCGTTGCCTATCGACCAGGAACATGGCAACACATTTTGCGCGCAGACAACATGAGAGCAGCGAAATTATCATACTAACGCAATATCCATTCCACTTTCCGCGCAAACGCGCAGTAGATCGCATGGGACTAGGGACCGCTACCAAAACTGTGGAAAACACCATGGTCTCTCATTACTCTCTGCACCTCCGCAATAGATCGCATGGGAATCGAATAGAACAATGAAATTGATTCGTGACGAGCACATTAGTCTACCCCCGTTATTCTAGAAACAACCACTGTATGCACGGAGAGCTACTGATTTTCGGAGGAAGGAGGGAAACGACCGCGCAGTGCGCAAGAGCTTAACCAGAACAAGCATATCTTTGTACGCCCGAATGTAGATAAAGGAACATGTGTATTGAGCCATAGTGTAAAAACATTTTGATCTTAATCGTATTCTTTTCTCTGGCAAATACTATGCTGCACGGTCTGTTGCATTAACACCAGCATCTCTTTTTTCTCGACAGCATTCCAGAACACAGTCGTTTAGCAGCGGTTACCGACGAAATTAGCAGGGTCTAGGCGCGATTTTATTTGGTGCGTGTACAGCAACCTTATTCTTTTCTTGAGACATTCTCTATTTGAACAACAGTTCTATCGTACCCTTTTCGTGGAGAAATATCGCGACGGAGGAATTGAATGAAGAAGGAATATGACGCCTTCATTAGATACTTCAACAGATCACAAAGAGTGCAAGATTCATATGGTTCTTCAGATGGGCCGATCGATCTGCAAATGGTGGCTTCATTACTCCATTGCCCGCACTAATTATAGAACGCGGACTGTCATCGTTCACCAGGCTTCTGGGTACTAATCTTCATTGTCGATGCTCCGACAAAAAAGCTCCCGTCTATTTTGCCGAAAACTCTAGACTTCAGTAACTGCGTCCAAAAAGGAGATTTTCAAAATATTGCCCCAATCGCACTCCATCAAAATAAACGGATATTAGCAACGTTATTCTCGGCAATGCCGATCACCATTAGCTCTATGTTCAAAAGTGAAGCGCACTCAGAAAGCTTGTGTGTTGGAGAATAAAATAAGTACCCACAAAGAACATTTTGTTAAGTGGTTGCGCCTCAATTGCTCCATGGATTCAACGCGAAAACGGATCTTCAAAAAAAAAAAAAAAAAAAAAAAAAAAAAAAAAAGAAAAGAAAAGGAAAAGAGAAAGAAACGAAAAAGACGTGTTGTTCAGGAACTGTGCTGTCTAACGAAGGTATAACTCGGCAGGAAAGGAAAAGTTGAATATGTTCAACGCGCGTGAACGATAGTAGTGGATTTGGGTTTGCGTGCCACCAATCTGGACTACCAATTGCGACTCGAATGCGTTCCAAACGTATGTACACTGTTAGTCACGTACACGCGACCCAGACCTCTGCATCGTGCATCAACAACCTGGATGTTTATTGGCATCATCCATCACCTCACACCGATATACCCTTCAACTCTTCAACTGCAGGGAGCCAATTCATCATACTCCCTCCAGAGATCCATTCTACGCTTACTTAGCTCTCCTTCACCTTCACTCTCAGACATCCTGCCAGGAAATCTGACCCAACTTATACGCGCTAGTCATGGCGACAAGGAAACTGCAAAGTAATTGAGGCACTACCTGAAGGGTGCCAGGGCAGGCTATATTACTGGAGCTGTGTGTGGGCCCCAAAGCGAAATATCGACCTCCGGCTTGACAACCCATGTGCCTTTTTGTCACTTTACTAGCCGAAATCGATAAGGTCCTGAAAAAGGTCGCCGAAGGTGTCGAGACCTTTGAGGAGACGTTGCAAAAGATTGAGACGTCAACAAATGCGAACCAAAAGGAAAAGTACGAATCCGACTTGAAGAAGGAGATCAAGAAGCTGCAACGACAGCGTGACCAGATCAAAACATGGCTTTCCTCCAACGACATCAAGGACAAACGGGCGCTTTTGGAGAACCGGAAGCTGATTGAACATGTGAGTAGACACTTTGCGATACATAACCATGCAAGTCGATCCTTACAGAGAGATGATTTGGAAAAAACTTGGAGACTAACAAAGACAGTATACATTTTGTCTGGTTCGTCAACTGATAGCAAATGGAAAGGTTCAAGGCGATCGAGAAGGAGATGAAGACAAAAGCGTACTCCAGGGAAGGTCTCATTATGTCTGGGCGATTGGATCCAAAAGAGAAGGAAAAGGCTGAGACATGTTCCTGGGTCACGGAGAAGGTCGAGGCGCTCAATATTCAGGTCGAGGGACTGGAGGCCGAAGTCGAGACATTACAGGCAATCACGAAAAAGGGCAAAAACAACCCTAACAAGGAGAGGATATTGGAGCTCGAGGAAAAGATTGAGCGACATAAATGGCACCAAGGACGACTTGAGTTGATCCTGCGACTACTGGAAAATGGTCAGATTGAATCTGACAAGGTATGATGAGACACGTATTGCTGGCTTTCCGTGCACTGCTTCATAACATCGTTCTTTACTCTTTACTGACAAGGAGTATCTCTTGCACAGGTCATTGCAATCCAGGAAGACGTCAACTACTATGTCGATGAGAACATGGTAAGAATGACTAAAACTTTTATCGCAAGTGAACATTGTAAAGAAATATCAACCCGCTAACAAGTTGATGCCCCTCTCATCCTCAATTGCTATGAGCAGGACGATAACTTTGCTGAGGATGAGGAGATCTACACGGATCTCAACTTAGAAGATGAAGAAGACTACTTTACAGTGGGAACAGGAGACCATCACGGCGGTAACAAGGATGATGAGTACTCTGAAAAGAGCACAGAGGATCATGAGCCGCCACCAAAGAAACAACTCAAGGAAGTCGATCCAGAACCTACACCATCTCCAGTTAAAGCTACAGCAAAGCCAACGCCGACAAAAAGTAAGGAATGTGGAAACGTTTAATTATACGGGAAATTCTAAGTGCGGACTCTAACACTGCCACTCTGTCGCTGCATAGAACTCTCCGTGTCAGAGACAAAGGAGACAAAAGTGACTCCTGCTGCAAGTCCTGCAGCGGCAAAATCGACAGTGAATGGACCCTCCAGTCGACAATCGACAATACCCCGAGCAGGGTCTGTGGAATCGCCCGTCATCCAATACGCTACAGCTGTCGCCGCTAACCTCCCAACGGAGTCACCACGTACTGCCCCGCTTTCTGCCTCGCCTAGTGTGACAGCAGCAGTCGTGACAAAGGATTCGCCAAAACCAGCGGCAGCCAAGGCGGAGACCCCATCACCAAAGATGGCCGTGAAGACAGCGGCAACAGTTGCGCCATCGCCAACGCCATCGGTGCCAACTCCAACTTCATCACAGACTCAGGCTCAGGCTCAGACAGTGTCATCCCCAGCTACTTTACCATTAGTCACAGCAACCGATGTGCCCAAGACAGCAACAGTATCTGTACCCACTACCATCGCAGCAGAGCCATCATCTGCAGAACCAGCTGCCCAGTCGACTGCGCAAGATCCTGTAGGGAAGGACAGCGCATCTGTACAGGCAGTGCCAGCACAGCCGCCAGCGGCGATAGAACCGGAGATTCGTCTCCCTGCGGCGCTGGCTGATTTGGCGCACAGCTTCGAGGCGTCAAAGGAGCGTGCCATGTCGAAGGAGGTCGGATTTTTTGTGCACCAAATGCTTGAGGCCAGTTACCAATTCATCCCAGAGGCCGCTGATACAGAGAGGTATGTGTCGATGTTCCCGTATCCTTTTATCGGGTTGACAATTTCGATGAGAATACGGTCCTGAATTTTAGCCGCGTCCTTCTCTCTACTTTTTCTTATAGACCAAAGCACTACGCACCCAAGAACCCATATCCGACGCCATCGTATTACCCCCAAACACCGCCAGCGGGACTGTTTGACAATGCAGCCATGTTTGAAAAGTTTGATATCGACACGTTGTTCTTCATCTTTTATTACCAGCAAGGAACTTATCAGCAGTAAGTGGCCTTGGCTCGGTGTCTCTCGTCAATTTCGCGACGCTTTTTCGACACTGTCCTCTAATGGACCTTCCCTTTTATCTCCATTTGACCTAGGTATCTTGCGGCAAGGGAGTTGAAGAAGCAATCGTGGCGATTTCACAAAAAGTTCCTCACATGGTTCCAGCGCCACGAGGAACCCAAGGCAATCACAGACGATTATGAGCAAGGGACCTATATCTACTTCGACTACGAAGGCGCGTGGTGTCAGAGAAAGAAGACGGACTTTCGATTCGAGTACAAGTTCCTGGAGGACGCTGAACTTGTTTGAAGGATGCTGCTTCCTTTTCCCCTGCGCTCTTTAATTTATCATAAAGGAGCTCGTCTCTTTTCTCGTTTAATGTCAGCAGCTGTTTTTTGTTGGAATTCGTTTTCTGCCATTGTTATGTTTTTTTTTTTTGAAAACTGTAGTTTTACGTCCTTTACTCTTCTTCCACTTGCCCACCTGTACCTCCTTCCTTCTTATGATTAAAGGCCAGACGCCAGCCGTCCTTTATTTTGCGCTTGAATGCTGTTGTGTGAATGCAACACATGCTACAAGCACGGATCTAAAAATGGAAGCCTTCGCGTGGCCGCATGGACGGGTATGTCATCTAAAAACCGTTATCAGTGTATTATTTTTGGTTCTTGAAATCGCACTGTAGCCCTGTCCCTTTTGCAACTGCCGCACACGTGGATGATATTGCTGGTGAATGCGTCATGAAAGCTGTTGCCATATATGCGCAACACCCCTGGTAGCATCGACCGAAAAAAGCACATGGCCCCCCAAGGGTACAGGTTTACGGAGCTGCACTTTTGCACCCGCTCTTGTAACTAATCTTAAAAGATCGACATTTATCCGTTCTATGTCGATGTCTGACCAACAGATTTGCTCGGATTAAGCACACCCTCCGCGTCCGACCGCGCGCAAGCACAGGTGCAACATTCGCTCCCTTTTGGCGACACCCAAAAAAGAATACGGCCTGCAGCAGCAGCCGAATGCTTGATATGGCTGGGCCTTTATTTTATCGCTCCCCTCGGCCTCGCCCGTCTCTCCGTCTTCTTCACCCTTTCTTTATCTCTTTGCCTCTTTCTCCCGCCTGCTCTCCTGCTCCCCTCCGCACTTTCGTTCGACGGTAAGATACCACAACGCTAATGCTTTTGTCCACTTCATCTGCCCCTTTCTTTGAGCTTGGCTCCTCCTCTCCTTGGTGCTCGACAATGCCCAAACGCGACCTTGATATGGTCCGGCAGCATTGAGCGCCTCCATAAATGGACATCAGAGATCACCCTGCTCCCAGATCCACTCTATCACCAGCTCTATCATAGCTCCGAACTTGATTCCCATGTCCTTTCCTTGGCCCTCTTTTACAAGATCTGTTTCAATCACCAAGCACGTTGGGCGAAGCGATACTCAATCATTGACAACCATCCACGGTTTTGCACCCTCCTCCGCTGACAACCCATCCCTTCTTCCCTAACAGTTCGCCCATCTCTGCCTTTACATCAACTATATAAAGCCTAGGCCTGGCACCTACATTCCCAACAATATCCACAACGACGGCGCAGTACATAAACCAAACACTGTCAAACACTTGCATCGTACTATCTCATTTCTGTGAATCTCCCTCCTACCCTCACCGCCAAGTCGTGTCAACAGAAAATCAGAAACCTTGTATAATAATAGAATGATCCGCCGTGCAGCATACCAACAAGTCGTCGTGCTCGGCAACTACAAGACTCTGACGCAGCAGCAACAAGAACTACGGCGACAGCACACTATCTCCATCGCCACCAACCCAGATAGCGGTCTCACACAAACCAGTCGACACGAAAATGCACAGTTCCAGGCGCCGATCCACCTTATCAAACGGCAGCGCGCCGTGTTAATCAAGGATATCGAGCGATTCGCACCGGATTGGGACACCATCCAGACCGAGAACGGAATCGTAATCTGCATTAATCCTCAGACAACGACGACGATTGGATCAGAAGAAGGCAACCTGGCTTTTGCGACAGTCATTGGATCTCCCACTACACCTACCCATCCTTTATCAACAAGTCATTCACCGCAACCGCAGCAACGGACGTTCATACCATTGAGCGAGGACTTGGAAGGAACTGTCTGGTACGTCGGATCGAGGTCCGCAGCTTCTGTCCAGAGCGAGGGCGAGAAACATCGTCTGGACACCGAAACGGAGGTCGGGGCGCAGAAAGGGGACCATGCATTCGGACTAATGCCGGCGCGGACACAGGAGGCGGTCGTACAATATCAGGAGGACCACCAGCAGAGAATAGCGGTAGCTGATCATTACCACAGCGACGACGATGAAGAGAATTACGCGGAAAAGGAGGTGGTAGCGCGCTCAAAGCCTGGTTCGCCCAGCCAATCAGAACACTCATCCTGGACACGGTCTAGCATATCCACATCATTGAGGCTATCAGTCCATTCCAGCCCAACAAATTTGAAGTCTCACTGCTGTATCCACTCAACATCATCCGCATCCTGCTCTACACCAGCATCCGCAACGTTCGTGACAGAGACAGGTGCTTGCCTCTGCCTGGGGAGCGAGTGCCAGCAGACCTGGGAGACCATGCACGGGCAACTTCTGGATTTAGCGGGCGCACTCTTGTTGGTGCTGGGCGATGGCGGTGAATCGATAAGCAAACACGAAAAAGAGCGGATCCGAAGCGTAGCCGCGACAGTCGTACACGGTTATGGTCCCACGACAACTGCGAAAGACTGCCATCACAACCGCAGCCACGACCTCGACCACGGATTGATGACACCGGCTGCGACACCCGTGTCAACACCTGTTGTCTCTGGAACCGCCCGGAAAGGATCAAAGAACGGCAGCGATTTGGAGAATGGCAGCGGACTAGGTGCCGTTGGTGAGGAGGATCTAAGTCTTGCATCGTTAGTCCTGCCAAGCACGATACTGTCGATCCAAGAGCAAAACCAGGAACAGGATAACAAGGATGGGGGCGGACCTATGCTGCAGGAGTCTGTCTCTCACTTTTCGACATATCACATGAACTTTTCCTCAAGCTCGATTTCATCCGCCAGCGTCAATACTACGAGGACAAAGACAGCACCATCACCACCATCTAGGACAGGATCGTCAATGATGACTACAACGAAATTTGCAAGGCGAAGATACTCGGGATCAGTCGTACAGGGATGGAGCAAAAACCCGTTCACAGCCATCTTTAAGAGGAGTTATTCTTCAGGAACTATGGGTGCTATGAACGAAAATCAGGTCGATCCGTCACAGGTGGATATGGCTTCCGGATCAAGAGAGAAGAAAGATCGAAATAGCAAGTTCAGGAACACCGAGAGCACTCCACAAGCCACTGAAGCAGACCTGGGAAGTAAGTTTAGAAGGAACGGCTGGTTCAAGTCGAAGCGAAGAGACGATCCATTCAACACGGAGAGTGGGCATGATACCGCATCTACTCTGACAGCATCAGCATCAGGTTCAGGCTCAAACTCAGGGTCAGGGTTAGGATTAGGGCTAGAGTCAGGGTCAGGGTCAGAGTCGACGACGTCTTTGAGTCCTTCATTTGCACCTACGACTTCGAGAACCAACAGCGCGTCCTTGATTTCTTTCCCAGCATCGTCCAGGCGTTTGTCTCTGTCTTGGGGTTATCAATATCCCTCACCGAGATCACCTTCGACACAACAGTCAACAGTAGCAGAGCTCGCGATGCCGACGCCGCCAACTGCAGCAGCGAGCAACATCAAAGGAAGGCCCAGCATGACCATTCAGATACATCCGTTCTCGAGCGCGAACCGTGGACCGCCGACACAGACCGCGACAGGGTCATTCTTTGACTCAGTCTCGGACGATGACTCTGATACAGACGAAGAGGTGCTTCAGAGGACACGTCGAGTTCCAGATCAATATGCTCGTCCTTCTCAAGGATATGGACATGAGCAGGAGGCGATGCACACGCGATACCAGGTCTGCGACCGCGATGCAGAATCCAACAGCAATAGTTATCGTGAAGAGGAGGAGGAGGAGGAGGAGGAAGAAGAGGAGGAGGAAGAGGAAAAGGAGGAGGAAGAGGAAGAGGAGGAGGAGGAGGAAGAGTACTTGATCGAAAGTGAGAACGAAGGCTCCTATTTTCACCACTACCGCCAGCAGCAGGAACAGCAACGTGGGTTCAATCCAAGGACCCTAGAAGGCTATATGCACCAGTTCGATGACGGCATGCCACCGCCCTCATACCACTCTCTCATCCAACAAGGATCCGTACCGACCGTGCTCTCAACCTCACCGCCATCTTCACTTCTACAACCCTCATCCGCGACGATCGAGGCCATATCCTCCTCAACGCTGCAAACGTTACTTGACCTGCTGCACCAGTTTGAATATCACCTCTGTGACGCATTCAGGCATTCGACCTTCCAACGAAGCACAGCCGAGAGTGTCCTTTCGGCCCGTCGACAGGCCTGGAGGAGTCGCCAGCCTAGGACTGTGGCCTCGTTTGCCTATATCCTGATCGAACTCGAACAGACTGCCATCCTTCCGAGTGCTATGTGTGATACATGGACGAATCCTCCGGGGGGGAGTATAAGCGGTATGGACTCTGCGTCTGGGGTGGAGCGTATAAGGGTATCAGAGCAGGAGTGGTTGGCGATGACGGGGAATGCGGCGACGGAGGCACACCTTGCCAAAGCCATGTTGATCCTTGAGGAGTGCTGTGTCCATGGGATGGATCCTGTGCACTGGCACGGATCTGGCTCTAGTGCTGATCCTGATGCGGATAGTGATGATGATGCTGATGATTATGAGGTTGATGGAGTCCGGACGACGCGTTGTCGTCGGTGGGTTGCGCGGGTTCAGGCCATTGCTGCTGCACTGGCGTAAACAACGCGTTTTTTTTTACTATTTCTCCTATATCGTCCAGAAAATTCATAAAAGTGAAAGATAAAGTCATGCATACAGAAAGTTTCCAATATTTCTTTTTTTGGGTTGAGAAGATGCATCTTTCTTGCGAGCAATCGAGATGTGATGTATGTTTCCCCCACCGCTTATAAACATCTCTGATGGCATAAAAAACCAGTGATCCGCGATTGTCAAGCATTCTACATCCTCGAGCCGCTTTAATTTTTTTTAGTCTTGTTGCTTTATTCTAGATCGATAAAGACTGTATGTGTATATGCAAAAATATCTCCCTCGTCCTCAGTGTAAAAAAGAAACTAGATCTCTCATCTCTTCTCTCTTTTCTACACGGCATTGTAACCCGTACGCCCATTGGCAGGCGAAGGTTCGTTCCAGCACATCTCTGGCCTACAATGCTCGCTCGAGTTCGACGCCGTCTCCAGCTGGATGGTCGAATGATGGATCTCGAACCGTCCACATACCACGTTCTGCGCCTCCGTCAGAATCCGGTCATAGTCCGCCATCGTCAGACCCTGGTCCGTGTGGTGACTCGTCGGTGCCAGCTGCAAATGAACCGCCATTGACGCCTATAGTTTCATTTAACAAAATAGCCATTAGTTCATATTCCTCCAAGTATTCCAAAAAAAAAAAAAAAAAAAATGGGGGTAAAGGATGGGTATCGTTTTCTTGAAAGGTCCCCATGGGCCTCCTTGTTAGTTACCTTGCCAGCAGTCAAGTTCCAGACATGCAGATCGTGCACTAGAACTACTCCCGGAATCTTCAAAAGACTCGCCTCAATTTCCTCAGGATCAATGTGCGTGGGTGTGCCCTCCATAAGGATCACAAGGCTGTCCATTACAAGACGATAGGTAGTGAACATGACCAGAATTGAGAAAAACACTGTGCAAATTGGATCAACAATCGTCCAGGCCGGCTTGATCATAATAACAATCGAGGCCACCAACACGCCCTACAAGTCAGGATTCAAGGATACCACAGAAAAAGAATGTTAAAACAATATTCTGTACTAGTTCAATTGTATGCCATCCACGCCAAAAATGTCACGTACCACTGAGGAAATCAAATCACCAATAACGTGAAGCGTCGCTGCCTTGACGTTGATGTTGATCTCCTGTATCGTCAAATAGAAAAGGAACGAAAGGTCAATACGACAATCGAAACATCAGGGCGCAAAAATCATATTCCATTATCTTCTCCTTCCTCTGCATACTGTACCTTCTTTTTGGCAACGACAGCCTTATTGTTGATGCCATTAGCATTGTGGTCATGCGCGTGGGAAGTACCATTGCCATGCTCATGGAAGTGGTCGTGTTCGTGGCCATGATCGTGGTCATGATCGTGGCCGTGGCTGTGTCCATGCTCGTGTCCATGCCCGTGTCCATGCCCATGTCCGTGGTCATGTCCGTGATCATGTCCCAGAGCGAACGCAAGACTGATATAGTGTTGTTGGTTAGTTAGTACTTGCTACTCTCTATTGTTTACATTACGGAGCAACATCAAGCAAAGACAAAAGGGGTACAAGTAAAAACATACATGATATTGATGCCCACACCAATACTGGCGACGACGCACATCATCTTGCCATCAATCGTGTGCGGGTTCTTGATGCGCTCAAATGCTTCCATCAGCAAAACTGCGGTCAAGATCCAGATGATAAACACAGACATCAATGCTGCAAGAACCTCCGCGCGGTGATATCCAAAGGAGTGGCGCTTGGTTGCAGGCTGTTCCGAAAGCCAGATGGCAATCAGCGACACCATGAAGCTGACCACATCTATCGTTTTTCAAGAAGAGCCCACTTTGATCAGCATGCTGTGTATTCGAGCAGAGACTGGAATTTCAATAAAGACATGTCCTGGTGCAAAGATGGAACGAATATGCGCACAGTGATCGTAATAGTAGAAAGAAGGGGAAAACAGGAGTGCGGTCGTAGCATTCCTTGCACACTTTGAAAGTAAAAAAAAAAAAAAAAAAAAAAAGAGCAAGGGGCGAGCGTCTAATTGACAACCACGGACACACCAAAGACCTGGCCGTTGCAAAAGAAAAAAAAATTTTACGAGCAATAAGAACACATACCGGACAACAGATGGAAGGCATCGCTCATGAGTGCCAGCGACTCTGCAAAGTAACCTCCGATAATCTCGATAGTAAAGAAGCACAAGCAGAGAATAGTGACAAAGATCAGCTTGCGCTTGTTCTTGGTGGACTCGTTCGTGATAAGGACGCCCTTGCAGGCGATCGGAGGGGGTGTCAAGGGCCGCAATGGGGGCGAGCCGGGACCATCGATAGTGACAACCACTGGACCCGAAGTGGCACCGTAGCTCAGATTCAGCGATTGCTTCAAAGGCGTCGTATCCTTGGGCAACGTGTGAATGACACTCTGATTGTCTACAAGGCTCTGAGGAGCATGAATATGCTTGCTGCTGGAGTGCGAGTGCGAGTGTGAGAGTGAATGTGGGTGGGAGTGCTCGTGCTCGTGCCCATGCTCGTGCTCATGGTCATTGGTCTCTGTTGATTCTGAGGGCAAAGTGGGTGATCTGTGAGGGCTACGTGAGTGCTGCTCCTGCTTCTGCTCCTGTTCTGACTGAAGAAGCGGCTGGTCTTCGCTGCTATTGTTGTTGTTCTTGTTGCTGTCCTCGCTCTCAGAGTCATGCAGTTTCTGTTTCTGCTCGTCTGTCAAGGGGACGTTTCTGGTTACTGGAACAGCGATGTGGTTGATGGTCGAGGAAGGACGGGATAGGGTCGTGGGAGTAGCGGGAGGGGAGAGCGCCGTGGTAGGTACGGTTGATGCAGAGGTGGATGTGGGGGAAGCAGATCCAGACGAATTGGTTGATGAGACCTGGGCCTTAAGGCTGGCAAGGGTCTTTTTGCCGGTGTTCTTTCTCTTTGGTTTGGGACCCATTCTGCTGCTGAAAAGAGGAGGGAGGAGTTGGGGTTGGATTGGTTTGTTCAAGAGAAGAGGAGGAAGAGAAAGAAGGAAAAAAAAAAAAAAAAAAAGAAGCTAATCAAGCACACCATCAGATTTCAAACAGCGAAGTGCGCTTTGATCGTACCCATTTCTGGAAGATCTCTCTTGCTGCATACAGCTAGCTACAGCTTCAGCCGGCTGGACTTGACATCTAGGCTCGACCTAGGCTCGACCCAGCCCTCTCTTTCTGGAAATTTTCGATGGTAGATCCTCAACTGAACGTAAGTATATTATGCAGTAAATCCATGCAATTTCTATAACAATGTCTCTCGAGTCGCAGTGGTCAACTATAGTCGTCTCTCCCGTCAATGCAGAACCCGTCCAGAGTCACCAAAAGGCAGGCCACATTCCCGGGCCTGCGCAACAATTTCCACACCTCATCAACGTGTTAAAAATTGTTACAAAAGGGGTATCTTCCCCATCCCCTCCATGGTTGTCAACCGCCTCCTCCCTTGCAAGCAGTCCAGCAGCGTCTGATCGGTTGCGCCTGGGTCGAGCACGGGGCCAGGGTAGCCTCCGTTTATATAATCGGCGAGCAACGCACCACAAGGACAGTGGTCAGCGTCGCAAATGTATCCGTTGACCTCACTCTGCAGTAAATCCATGCAAATCTATGACGTAATTTCTGTTGCTTTTATAGCATTACGCATTAGTCAATATGGATATATAAAAGAATATTTCCAACACTGGGCATCTCAAACATGTCAAATCGGCTTCTGTGGCGCAATTGGTTAGCGCGTCTGACTGTTAATCAGGAGGTTGGTGGTTCAAGCCCACCCAGGAGCGTATCTTTTTACTTTATGGCGTCTTTTTTCTATCTTTTGGTGGTGTCTTGGAGTAATATACCACATTGTTTTTTGTGTCAATGCAATCAATGCAATGGTACAAATGGTACATTGGCACGAGAATGAGGTCTGTGCCAGATTGACATTTTTGTCCAGCACAGGACAAGCGTAGCGTAAAGAGTTGTTTCTAAGGTTTTGAAGGTGAATATGACCTGATATCAAAAGCGCCCAGTTGCACGCCGGTTAATATTATTCCTGCTCCTCCCATGAGTAAGGATGATGTGCATGGTTGAAGTGAACTATCGAAGGTATCAAGCCAAGTCGAGCTTACCAAACCAATTGGTTGCTGTTCGTTTAGACCGACCACACGACGTCCAATCATGAAGACCACACAGCCCAAAAGGGGTTGCATTTTTGTGAAAGTGACGTCTCTTGCAGCTGCTTGCTTGCCTTGTAGCCAGAAGGGCGTCTGTCTGTCTGTCTTTTTTTTTTTTTTTTTTTTTTAACAGCCCTCATCTCTTTTTTCTTCTCCCCTCTCCAAACACTACTTTGCATCCACCAAACCACACTCAATTCCAACCATGAGCAACAAGGACAACTTCGAGGACGAGGGCGCTGCCGCAGAGGTGCCTGCTGAGCAAAAGGACTCGTTCCGTTCCTTTATCTCGACATTGGCCCAGTTCTCGGGCGATCTCTCCAGTTTGACTTGCCCCAGCTTCCTGTTAAGCTCCGTCAGCCTGCTTGAATACAGGTGCGTGAACATGTGAAGATGCACAGCTAAGAAGCCAGCCTGAAGCAATTGATCCCTTTTCACACTACATTTTGTACCCTGTGTGATTCCACTCGCAGAAAATCAAAAAAAGTTGACCATGAGTGTTCCCTCTGTTTCTCATAGCCAATATTGGGGCGACCATCCCAAGTTGTTTGCATCCATCTCCAAGGGCAAGACTCCTGAGGAGCGCCTGCTGAATGCCACTCGCTGGTTTATCTCGACCCTTTACGGATCTTACACCTCTCGATCAACGTCTGCTGGCATGGAAAAGAAGCCCTACAACCCAATCCTCGGCGAGCAATACTTTGCTCAATGGACTGGTGACGAGGAGACTGGCGATACCGTTTTGAAGGCAGAGCAAGTCAGCCATCACCCTCCTGTAAGTGTCTGTGGTACAATTGTTGGGTCGTCTTTTAGGTGTGCAGATCTGAATATCTCTTCGTCTTATCCTGACTTTTTTTTTTGTTTATTCCCCCATTCTATGTGCTCTGTGACAGATCATGGGATTCCATCTCGAGAACAAGAAGGCTGGTGTCATCTTAGAGGGACACTGCGGTCAGAAATCGCGCTTCGCTATGCCTGCAGGAATCGATGTGTCGCAAACAGGCCATGCGATCCTAACCTTGCCTGAGTTCAAAGAGCACTACCTCATTACGCTGCCTTCGCTCAACATCCGTGGCATGGTCACTGCACGCCCATTTGTGGAGCTGTCGGGAACCACCTACATCGTGAGCAGTGCAGGATTGTTGACCACGATTGACTACAGCACTAGAGGCTACTTTTCTGGTGAGCGTCACAGTTTCAAGGCGACATTGAAGCCCATCAACGGAGGCAGTGCCTTCTACACTGCCCAGGGCTTGTGGAGCGGTGTGTCGAACTTTACCGATGTCAAGAAGAACGAGACTACCCTATTCTTTGATTCGGACTCGGACAAGAGCGTCCCACCCGAGATCAAACCCGTACCGGAGCAGGGCCCGTTGGAGTCACACCAGCTGTGGTCGAGCGTCACGAACGCGATCAACGCCAAGGATTTTGCAGCTGCCTCTAAAGAAAAGTCGCAGATCGAGGAAGCACAGCGAGTGTTGGCCAAGACCCGCAAGGAGAAGGGCGAGACGCAGGCAGATGCACTTCTGGTGTTTGAACTGGTGAGCGAGGACAGTGACGAGACTGGCCGGGCGTTTGCATCGCTGAAGAAGCAGCTGACGGATGCTGTGGGCCCTAAGGCCTTGAAGGAGGACGATCTCAAGCCCCATTGGAGGCTGCGCCAGCCATAAAGGCAGCGATTACACAATGCTGGATACACGTAGATTACCTCTCATGAGGATACCAACGAATAAACGACACAAGGATGGATACATGACGTGATGAATGAGGCTGTAGGCTTTCTTTTGTCTATCTCGATACACTCAAGGCTCGAATAAATTTTGTTTCGTCCCACTTTTCGGTCAACGCTTCCTTCTCTATTTCTCTTTTTTGCCATCTTCAGTCTTCATTAGTTCCATCCTTGAACAAACCAAGCTCATTCAACGAAGAGAGAGGGACGGACACAAAAACACGCACATACACACACACGCAACCACACTGACATTGTGAGAAAGAGACAGGAGGCACTACAACAACCGACCGTTTCTCCGTGCTCACCATGCCAAGTGTGACCCTCCACAACCCAGAGGACAAGGCCGCCATCAAGCGTGCCTTGCCCACAACCACCCAGGTAAAGGATGCAGTACCACTGAAACTGCAATCAGCTCTTTGCATTCGCTTTCCAACTGTGTGCAACCTGTTTGCCCTTTCTGGCCTACTTGCGATATATATCGTCATTGATACTACCCATTATGAGTTTGAAACTAACCCTTTTCTTCCCGCCACCATGACTCAATTAATAGAGGATTATCACTGCCACCGTCGCTCGATTGTACGTTGCCTATCCAGACCCAAACTCATGGACATACTCTGGCATCATGGGCGGCCTCGCCTTTGTGCAGACAAAGAGCACTTTCTTGTTCCGCATCGTGGACCTTATGGTAAAGAGCAAGCAAAATCTTAATTGAACTCGTTGGTGCGTAGATGAATGTCGCCTGTAACAGCACACTGACACCTTGTTACTTTCCACTCTGTGTATTGTAGGGCTCCCGAGGCGTCATTTGGGAACAGGAGCTGTATGAGAACTTTGAGTACACCCAGGAGCGATCCTTCTTCCATACCTTCGCCCTCGATGTAAGCCTCAGCCTTTTGGGCTATACAACATGAATTTCGACCGCTGCGGAGAGAAACCATCTTGCTAACTTCTCTTCCCTTCGACTTTTGGGTGCATCATCTATGACGAATATGATATACAGAATTGTTTGGCTGCATTCTCCTTTGCAGATGACCAGGAGGCAGGTGTCTTCTACAAGAAGGTCTCAAGCCGTGATTCGCTCAAGAAAGGTAGGCAGCGCTCATATATTGGGTTGTTCTTCTTGGCCCCTGGTGCCGTGCGAAAGTATTTGAGGATAAACGAGAGGGCTCATCACTAATATTCGTTCGGGATATTAATAGCAAAGTCGCCCAATGGGTCTCCAGGCAGTACTCCAAAATCGAGAAAGAGCGGATTCTTTGGCAGCAAGAAAGAAAAGAAAGGCACCAAGGGCAAGCTGGACAAGACGCAGATCGGTCTACCCTCCAACTTCCGACATTTGGGCCACATTGGATGGGATCCCGACAAGGGCTTCAATGTATGTGCCCACTGTGTTTTGCATCTTCCCTGCATCATCAAGGTGTATTTCACTGACATGCAACCATATTACTTCCTTGCACACGACTAGGTCCAGAACATCGATCCCGAGTGGAAGAATCTATTTGAGCAATTGGACAAGATGGGTGTCAGCCAGGAGGATATCCAGAACAATGCCGAGTTTGTGAACCAGTTTGTGCAGTCGCGCGGCGGGCCTGGTGCAGCATCCAAGCCGGCGCCCGCTGCTCCGGCAAGTCGTACTCGACCAACTCCAGCGCCAGGAGCAGGACATCAGCGCTCGCCATCGGCTGGAGCAGTGCCGCCGCCATCCGTGCTGCCAGTGATGAAGCCGACCACGAAACCTCCACCACCACCTCCGCCAGCGTCGCGTCGTGCCCCTCCGCGACCACCTCCATCACGCCAATCGCGTCCTGTGCATGCACCACCAGTACTGCCCAGCCGCGATCACACGCCCGTTGCTGTTGCCGCGCCCCCTTCGCCCGAGCCGCCACAGCCTCCACCAACCCCTGCGCGCCATGTGCAGGCTGCTCCTCCACCACCCCCTCGTCCCTCGTACGGACCTCCGTCGTCGAGCGCTGCACCCCCACCTCCACCTCCTCCAATCCGTGGTGCCTATGTCCCCGCTGTTGCTCCCCCCCCTCCACCACCCCCACCATTCCAGCCATCGTCTACTGCCCCACCTCCACCGCCGCCTCCACCCACTGGTGGATTCAGCTCTGGTGGCGGTCCTCCTCCTCCCCCACCGCCTCCTCCCTTGAGCGGCTCTGGTGGCCCTCCTCCCCCTCCCCCTCCACCCCCCATGGGAGGCACTGGTGGTCCTCCACCCCCACCACCTCCACCACCCCCAGGAGGTGGCGCTCCAGGAGGCGGAGCACCCAACATTGCACTTCCAACCAACGCCGGTGCAAATGGACGTGTCAACCTGTTGGAGAGTATTCGAGGGGCAGGAGGTATTGGCGCACTGCGCAAGACTGGTGCTCACGAAGGTGCAGCTTCGTCATCGCCTTCGAGAGGCGTTCCCCCTCCGCCGCCGCCTGTGGCCGAGGATGATGGTAATGGCGGCAATTTGGCGTCGGCTTTGGCTGCAGCACTGCAGATGCGAAAGTCGCGCGTTGCGGGCAGCGACGACGAGGACGAGAGCGACGACGAGAACTGGGATGACTAAAAGCCAAACTTGTTCCGGGGACTTTGGCCAATGGAAGACCAGCTCGATACCAGTGAATGATTACAAAAAAAAAAAAAAAAAACCTCGTCCAGGGTTTTTTGTGAGAAGATTAAAGTGTATTTGAACAGTAGCAGGCTAATAGCAGTGCGATAAAAATTGGCGCCAAAAAAATATGTCTCTAATGAAATGCAGAGGTTTGTTCTATGGATGGGTTGCCACATGGATCTTGTGCGACAGCCATGGAATGTTTGGGTTCCACTGCAGCATAGTAAAGCGACATTTTGCTAATAAAACGCATCGTTTGGTGCGGTCAGCTCCACGGATGAGTAGATGCTGCTCATGGGGGCCTGCCCAACTATTTCTGAAATCGATTTCGAACTGCAGCTCCTTGAAAGCCAGAAAATTGATGACACTTAATTTGAGACTCCAGGTACCATGCTTTAACGCCAATCACAACTCTTTGTTCGGAAAACCCAGCTGCGATGCATTCAAAAAGGCGTTGGTGTATTACAGCCCGTTTGATCTTTTATCGTTTTATTAGTCTCCAAGTTGAAATGGAATGGATCTACTTAAAGTAACCCCAGGACGTATTGTGCAAATTCCTTTGCTTCCAGTCCCTCGAGCGCTGCTTCCTCGTCCTCTGTCAGCTCTGTCTCTGAATTCGCCATCGTAATCTCGCCCTCTTCTGCAGTTGTCGCAGCAGACGCATCACTGCCCAAGGACCCTGATCCAGCCTGGGATAGCAATTTTGTCCGCGCCCCTTCTGCCAAGGCAGTGTCGACCTCCAATCCATTCAAATACGCTACAAAGTAAAGCAATTAAATAGAAAACACAGGTTAGGTGCCGCATTCAACATCCTGAGTACAGTAAAACAGACCTAACGTCTATGCCGATCGATACCTTTCAGATTGTCCTTGATATCGTCCAAAGACTGTCCTCTCCGGTTCAGCAACGTCCTGACGCGCGCCTTGATCTCGCTTTCCTTTTCCTCTTCCTCCACATGGTCTTCCTTCTCTTCCAGATCCAAGTTCTCTGCACATAAATGCGCCAGGATTAAATCAATCAACTGCATCACATATAATCCAGCGTCCAGTCTTTGCAATGCTCTCTCGGCTTCTTCCTCTGCAATCTCATCCTCATCGAGTTCCCTCTCCTTGTTCTCCTGCTCAATCTTTTCGTCTAATGCCCTCACCCGGGCCTCGTAGCCCTCACGAAGATCTAAAAGCCGTTCCAGTTTCGCGTAGTCGTCCTCGACAAATTTGCGTACGACTCTCAACCGGTGTCCCGATTCCAAAGGCAGATTCCGGACGAGCGATGCCATAATACCAATAATGTGTTCCTCCTCTTCGACTTCCGAAAATGATTTGTACGCCTTCTTCAGCTTGTCGACGCCCTAAGCACACAGACACAAGAAAAAAAGTAAGCACGCTGATCAGTATATGAGGGCAGAAAAAACTATAGGGTGTTCATGGTGACACGGCGAGAACAAAGGTACCTTTTTGGAAAAGATTGAAAACAGGGTCTTCAGACCCGTAATCTCAACAAAACGCAGACAGTTCGCCGTTCCTGCTTTAGTCGACATGGCATAATCCAGTACTTTGACCGCCCGAATGCGTGCCATCTTCTTTTCCTTGATCATGATCACCATCAGCTCAATGCCTTCGCCTTCAAGGAACAGTCGCTTGTTCTCTTTCTCTGCCAGCGCTGAACACAACCCATCAAAGAGGTTCTCCATCATCTCAATCTCGTCCGGATCCTTGGGGTCCTTGCGCTTGTATACAGCCAGGAATTGCAGCAAATTGTCGATGCCTCCTAGCTTTCCAAGAGTTTTTCGGTTGTCTATTGTACAAATGCATAAGCTGATTCAAAATCAGCATTTCCTCGTGGTGCCTTTCAAATCATCAAAAAACCCTTAGAGAGGTTTCCGTTACCTGGACTGCTCTGCAAGAGGATCGCCAAGAGTTCGCTACAGTATTGCTTATTCGAATCGAACGCCTTCACTTTTAACCGTTTCATAATCCACTGCAACAACTTGCTCTTTGACACAGTCTTGTCCGCCATCGAAACATCAATCGACGTCAAGTTCTCAAAGATCGCCAACGTGTTAAATACGCCCTGTCGATCGTTCGCCTCCTCTTCATCCAGTCTCTCCAAGTTCTGAACCAACAAATCTAGCATCCCCTGATCTACCAGTGCCTCAGCAAACATCTTCATCCCAGTCTCGCTCTCACTTCCTGCAATCTCCTCGTCCTCCTCCAATCCAACGCTCAGCACCTCCTCGTCTGTGAGTTCCTTGAGGAGTTCAATGGCGTCAATTGCAATGTCGGGGTTTTCGTGGGTGAGAAGCGACAGGATCGAGGCGACGGTGTTTAATTCAACAAGGACTCCGTAATGTTGAGGCGCCTGAGTCATGGCCATGAGGCGCTTGATTTCCTCATCCAGATCAGCTTCTGATTCCAGGAACTTTGCAGGGTCGTCTGGGTATTTGACACGCATCTCCTGGTTCTTATTAATCGCCTTCTCAAACTTGAGAACCATCTTGCGCACTGCTCCGAGATCAAATCTCTCCTATAGAGTCGCAAAATAAAAAAGCGGACCGTTTCAGCAAAGGACGTAGTTGATTCCAAATGAACAGTTGTAGATCCGGTGCACTTTTTCCTTACCTCCTCAGGGTCAATCTCATCCACATAGTCCAAGATATCCTTTTGATCGCTCGTGAGTCCATCGCCAAAGAAGCGGTCATCATCCTCCCCCTCGTCTGGATTAGCGACACCCGCCAATCTTGATCCTCCTCTTCCAAACTCATCTTCCTCGTCCTCGATGGAGACTGTGCGCTTTTTCCCAGAGGAAGAGTCCTCACCGCTGGGGACGTCAAAGTTCCGTCCTGTGAGTTCCTCATAACTGACATGGCGCGCATTCTTGCGGTACATCTCCTCGGGCGAAACGAGTTTACGCTTTGCGCCAGCCTTCGTCGCGGGCGCCGTTGGTGTCTAGGAGGGTATGGTTATGAAATAAAACGCGGAGGGTAGATTAGCATGCGCTCCAAACATCCTGCATTTTTTTTTTTTTTTTAATGGTCGGATTCCAGAGCCTCTTCTGAATGACGAATGGCGGGCAACATTTCTTGAGGAGAATACCTTGAAGATACTGTCGATGTCCATAATGGCGATAAGTCGTCGTCTAGAAAAGATGTGGAATAGAACGTGAAACGCATGCACTCGCTCTTCTCCATATGGCCATTAGTAGCCAGGGATTATAAGCCACATGCCTTTCCCTTCCCCCCTCCCACATTTTGTTTTTTCCCTCCTTTGGCCGCAGTCAGAAACAAACAAGCATTGGGCACAGCAATTCCTGCGGTTATTGTACAGTTGTCGAAAAACGACTTATATTGAGTAAGAAAAGACAAAAGAAACAGATGTTGTTGTTATATAATGCTATGATATATGCTGGTGTGTTGCTGAGATATGCAATGGGTCGGGTAAAAAGCGAGTCGAAGAATTTTTTTTTTCAGGGTTGAGGTTGCTTAAGCGGCAACGGGCTCCGGGAGGGCATCTGCGACTGCGGTCATCGTGAAAGTGTTCTCCTCATCGTCCTCGTCTGCGAAATCATCGGGGTCGTAAATGACTCTGATCAAGAGGGAGCAGCTCGGACACCGAGCAATATCCTCGCCGTCCTGGAGCTCCTCCTTGGTGATCTGGAAGCGGTCACCGCACGGACAGGGATAAAAGTAAATATCCTCATCCTCATCGTATTCAAAGTCCTGTAGGAAGGCAATGATAGAAAAGAAGAAGAGGAGGGGAAGGTGCATGGGAGCGAGGGAAGGTTAGTCGCTGTTCTTTTCTTGGTTGGAGGTGTTGTGTCCCTGAAAGAAAAAAAAAAAAAAAGAATGCAAGTAAACACATGTTTGAATGAAGAAGCATGCCTCGATTTCGATCTCGTCGTAGAAAGAGGTCATCGTGATGCGCTAAAGTTATAGTCCCCGTGCACTTGTGTAGAGTCTGTGTGTGATTCGAAGAAGTGTGTGGAGGGATGCTTGGATCGATGACAGGCGAAGAGAACGAATGTCCTGTGCACAAATGGCAGCTGAAAAAAAAGGGCGGAGGGGGGTTGGATAGGCATTACGTACACAAGTTTGGAGGATGTACGTGAAAATGCCTATGGTCATGTGCGTCGAGAAGCTTACTTGCAAGGAACCCAGCTGGATTTTAACGAGTCAGCCTGAATCTTTGGGTATTATTTGGAGCCAGGAGTAATCACTCGAGTCCCGCAGCAGACGTGTATATGAGGTCATCTATCTCTCATTCTCGTTCGCTCCACTTTGTGTGATCGATGCTTGCTGCATAGTCATAGACTAGCCGAAAATTCCGCGAAAGACTTCGACCCGGTTCTGCATGCTGTAGAGGAAGAGACGTGGGTGAATCCAAGTCTGGTGAAGTGTGGAATGGTCTCATATCCACACATACCTATTATAAATAGCAGATCGAAACCAAACTGGTTCGCAAAAATGGTAGAACACCGGTAATGGTGCTTTATATGTCATTCGTGGTGTCTTACCCAAAAAGAAGATAAGACACCGTTGTTCTTCTCCCCACGACCATCCGCGTAGAATGATATGTAGACTATACGTGCTGTATGTGCCGCCAAAAAAAAAAAAAAAAAAAAAAAAAAAGACCTAGGAGATCTAAGAGACCAAAGATACCACCACTAAGGAGACCTAGTTGCCTTATAAAGCTCCATATCTCCACATCCTCCCAACCTTTCCTTTCCACTCTTTCGTTTTCTTCAAGTATCAGCTTAATCCTAGCACAGCATCCATATTTCTTAACTACAACCTATTCAGTAGATACACCACGCCAATCCGTAATCAACAATGCGTCTCGATATCGCCGCCCTTACCTTGATCGCGTTCATCGCGCCAGCACTCGCTGCCCAGACCTACGACGTCAATATCGTCAATGGAAAGTTCTCCCCCCAGGTTCTCGATGTTGCTCCCGGTGATACTGTCCGATGGCCCTTGAACGACGGCGCAGACCATGCCATCGTCCAAACCGAACCCGGACCTCGCTCATGCAACTCCTTGCCTGGTGGGTTCAACTCGGGTCGCAAGACCAGTGGCCAGTCTTACCAGCGCACATTCCCGAACCAGACCGTCGTCAACTACAAGGACGGCATTGGTGCTAACTGTGCCAATGGTGCCACGGGAACCATTTACGTTGGTCCCAGACCCGCCAACGCCACCGAAACCGGGAGCTCGACGACGGCCGCGACGGCCACGACGACGAGCACGGTGTCGGCCTCGAGCACGATGACGAGTACGATGACGGCCTCAGCCTCTCCTTCTCCTTCATCCACAAACGGAGGAGGCGGGGCCACCACCACTACGACAGGCATTATCCCCACGCCCACTCACCATAACAACGCCGATGGCTTGTCCGCACAAAGCTCCTTGATCCTAGGAATTGCCGGTCTCATTGGCGCTTTTGTTGCTTTCTAAAGAAAGATAGAGCAGTTCTGCAATGACCCTGTGGCCAGTGTCCGTGTGTCCCAAAGGTTGCAAACGCTCAGCGAAAAGTGGTTTTGCGACAGACGCGGTTTACAATGGTGTCTCCTCCTCCTCATTGCTTTAAATCCTTGTATATAGCTATTCTAATTGAACAAATAAACTTAAGTCTCTATCTACGGGTGCATGCTTGCGAGTCTTTTTTATATTTTTACTTTCGCGTCTTGGCTAATTGTGTACGCGACAGAGACGAAACGAGCTGATTCGGTCACACAACACGCGTCGTATAGCCGTCCGTAATGAGAGCAGTTACATCTTTGGAAGTACAGATACCCCCTCCCCTCTCGCGCAGTAGTCTACGTAGTGAGCGATGTCCCTGTTGGATACTGCTCATTTTCTGTGAGCTGCATGACATAGCCATTCAAAGTTCCACTCCAGACATGATTATTGTGCCTGTGGTTGGATTTGGCGTAAGATATGGTTAATGTATGCAGCAAGGAATGAGGAGGTCAATTAAACTGGGGACCAAGAAAAAAAAAAAAAAAAAAAAAGGCGAGACATAATTGTCGCATGGAAAACATGTGCACGTCTGTGAGGACCTTCATTTCTTTTGGCCTATCTGCCTCTAATTTTTTTTTTTTGTTTGTTTGTTCGTGAGGACAAGGAAGCTGAAGAATGTTGTTTACAGACCACAAGCCGACAGAAAGTAGGAACCGCGTGTCCATGCTGGCATTATTCGAAGATGAGGACGATATTCTACCAAGCGCACCAAGTGTACCAGTTGTACTGTGCTGCTATATTAGGATATGGAAGGAATCTTCACCCATCCCATTTTAAATCATGTGGGCCATGGCTCACGTTTTAAAAGGAAAGGGTAATTGTCGTAATGACTTTGGGACTAACACAACAATTAGTGGCAATGATTGCAAACAAAAAAGGGATGGGTGTATCAGACTCATGACAACACCAAGCTAAGACCATGCAGGTGGAGTAAAATGCATGGGTGACGACGAGAAAAACGGTGGGGCAAGAAGCGCAGAATGTATTTCCATTTCAAAAACATGTGTATCGGGCGCTTCAGTAAGTTGGGAAACATGGGGTAAGTAGGGCAAGGAAGTGGAGGCAGGCAGGTAGCGTATGGGGGGGGGAGTAAATCAAATGCATGGGATGCACCCTGCAGCATGCATTCGCGGCGTGGATGTGGGGCAGCTTGGCCCGGAATGAGCTGTTGGTTTCCCTACTGCAAGGTGTCTCAAATCCGATGTACCGTAGGAGGTATATAGACGTGCCTGGATGCCCAGATTATAGGGAGAATGCACCGTCTTGGATGCCCGGTCTGTTGAGAGCGTTTGGGTTGCGTGTGATGGGGGTTGGTTGTGGGGTTGGTTGACTCAAAACTATAGATATATTTTAGGCGAGGGAGATGCATCTCGTTGGTCATGGATCTGCGGTGAGCGCGGAGAGCACATCAGTCTATTGCGACAGACAGCTGGACTCAGTAGATGGGTGGTAATGATGCATCAATTGCTATGAGTGCTGTGAGAGATGGTTCCCTGCTACGCTGGACCATCGCGCTCCACGGCTGCAAGGAGTACCACAGACTTGGTCCGGGTCTTCGCTTGTGCACTCCACTTTTATTTTTTTTCTGTATTTTTTTCTTCCTTGGGTGCAAAAACAAACAAACAATCGAACACTGACACTGATACCAACACCAACACCAACACCAGCACTGACTGTCTCTGTTGCTTTGGTTCCCCTTCGCCATCCTCTCCTCTATCTTCCACCCAACTTGCATCCCGCCCAACTTGCATCTCTTTCCTCTTCCACGCCATTGTCCCATCAAATCTCGTGGCAGACTTTATTTTTTCGGTCCCTTATTTCATTGTGCCCCCTGCTTGACTTGAGCCTGTCTCTCATTCTCTCTTCTCACCACCCACAACAAACATACTGTATACAAAAGAGTGAAAACAGGGGTCTTCCTATAACAACATACGATCCTCCTCATTCCTCCTCGCTCATTTGTCACGGTCATCAGTCGCTTCCTTCCTTGTCCTTGTCCATACTGTACATATTGTTATTGTGATTCCTTTCTTGGGGCTAGCAAGAGAATCCAATTCCTCCCTCGACTGCACTTGGATCGCCTTTTTCTTCCCCTGCCGAGTAGATTGGATCTTCAGACTGATTCCAGTCTCAGACCACTTCGTCTTTTTTTTCCCTTTGTTTCTTCTTCATAACGCGTCGGTGTGTCTGTGTGAGATACACAGGGGTACAGACCGAACAGCGTCCCCAGGGCACTTATACGATTCGCCCTGTTTCATCTTCATCGCGCGTTCTCTTTCCTAGATTCGCGTCCGTTCTTCTTGACGTTCCTTTTCATATCTTCCGAGCTTTTTCTTGTCCATCCCACTATTCCATTGACGCTGTATCATAGTAGAGTTCTCTTCATCCTCTTTCTTGCCTTTCTCCATCCTTTCATACTGTACCATATCCATATCCATATCGTATCGTCATATCACTACACGCAGCATATCCTATCTATCCCCACTCCTTATACTCCTTATCACCCACTCACTATACACAGCAACAGTAGCCTATCACCGCCATGTCATACACTATCTCGACATCCTTCACATACGCCCCCGACGTCGTTGACCTTGAGGCTATGAACATCACAGAGACCTTCCCAGAGGCCTCCTCATTCGACTTTGATATCAGTGAAAGTTATAACCACAGCTACTCGGACTCTATCTCGGGGATCCCATTGGCACAGCAGGCGCTCTGGGACGATGGTCAGTTGTCGGTCCCACAAACCGTCAACTCGACTCGCATCTACCCCACACCCTCTGCCCTGTCATCCCTCAACAGCAGCGCTAACAACAGCATGAATTACGGACATCCCTCGTCTCGGCATCTCCTCGCGCCCCCACAACTCGGTCATCATCAGCGTACGACTTTACAGCTTCAAAGATCACCGCTAAAGGACAATATTGGATACTCTGACAGCGACATTGCCAATTTAAGCAACTCAAGCCATCATAGCTTTGACGAGCACGAGGAGAGTAGTCTGCACAATGGCTGGGTGGACGAGACAAGGGATCACAACGGGATCATGCTGCTCAGCGACAAGGAGCACCAGGACGAACAGCACCTATTATTTCTGCAGGATATTGGAGCGAACCTTAGTCGTGGCGATAGCATCTCCCTGTTCGCCAAGTTAGCCGATGGTAGGTTGGTTGTCTGCCGAGTTGCCTCTAAGCTGATGGACACACACCTGACACCTAAGAGACATGGCCAAAATGTGGAGAATGGCCCATCCTTTGGATGAAAAGCATGCATCATCGTTAGCAGCAAAAAAAAAGGGGGAGAAGGGAGGGATAGTCAGGAACGGTGGAACACCGCAGCACTTTTTTGCCTGGTAGATGCAATCATGACACCTCATAACATTGAACTCTCCGATACCCATGTCTGAGAAGGCCTTGACACATCCAATTCGATGTAGCACTATTTGAAAGTGCTCACTGATCCCTGGATGTCTGAGTACCTGGGGTCCAACAATAGTCTTCATGGTCTTCTGCAGGGGAGTGGAGACCTCCCATACATAGTACACGCAGCAGCCCCCTTTCTTTCTTTGTTCTGTTCAGTGCCGTCCTCTCAATCCCAACCAGTCCGGATCCACCGAATGTCCCCTCCCTCATTCGCACATTCCTAGAACTTTGGAACTCTTTGACCCCTCCCTTCCTCAGTTGTGGAGAAGAACAACTCTAAAAAAAAAAACAAGGGGCAGAGCGCAGTCGATGCAGTGCACAACTAGCATTACCACACCAAACAGACCTCACCCACACTATGCTCTAACCATCGAATGCCCTTACGAAAGAAGCACTCCCTGTTGGTCTCCATCTTCCTCATTTTACCCCAACAGACTGTATGCGAATGCATGCATGTTTGTTGAGCCTCCTCCACCGATATATTCTGCTGTTCATCTCTCTGGCATCCTGATCGAGCCCCTTGCCCCAGCAGAATCCATGTAGACTCTTTTTTTTGGTATATGTCGCTTTCTCCCTAACCCGAATCTCCGTGCTTCCTCTGCGGCATAGAATCGGACCTGAGTTGTGATCTTTTTAAGGAAGAGTTGGGTGCAGACGAAACCAGATTACAGTTTGAGTACTCTGGATCTATAGATCCGTCCGACAGCAACAACCCCTTTAAGAGCAGCACCACTGGTTCAGCGAATAGCAACAGCAACAGCAACAGCAACAGCAACAGGAATGAGATTTTCGATCAGGAGTTCCTAGCATCTTTGAAAACGCCTCTTGTCGCACAACCGCCTCCATTATTGGAATCGGCTACGAAACATAACATGCTGGAGGGTTTGCATGCGATCACTGTGCCGACCATCGTTGCTGCAGAGGACATCCGGAACGCGGTCAAGAACGCACATCAACATCAGCACCAGCACCAGCACCAGCACCAACTTCAGCATCAACAACAAGATGGGGCGGAACGCAAGGAAGGAAATGAGGCGTACCGGAAGGCACTCAAGAGTTTTGTTGATTCGCTCAAAGTCGCCGATCCGATCAAGACTCCTCACAAATTTGCTCCGCAGCCTCTCCCGATCCTGTGGAACGAACCCAAGATCCGATCGAGGGCATTACCGTCGTTTAATCTGTCGGACTACAAAGAACAGGTCAAGGCGATATTGCCGACGTTGCCTGCAAAGACTCTGCCGAGCGGTGGAAATGGTAGTGGTGGGGTGAATCGGTTCCAGAATACGCGCGATTCATTGTTGTCGTCGTTGTCGTCCTCGCCTACGAATACTCATTCGAATCCGAATTCTGCACATTCCTCTCCACTCTCTTCGATCGCGGCTTCACCTCCAACAGCGGATTTCAAGTCGAGCAAAGTCATGTTGACAACGAAAACACCGGTTGCGGCGATACAGAAGCAGGAGACGGACGAGCGCCCGAGGCGGCAGTCAACTATCCAGAACCCGCACCTGGCATTCGATCCGACCATCCCTGCAGTCGAGAGAGCAGCGCTAGAAGGGAACAGATCGGCCAAGAGTACGCTTGAGCGTCGATCGAACCTTCAGCAACAGTTGGCTAAAGTGAATGCCCAGGCAGATGATCATGAGGTGAACGATAATGGTGATGTGGATGATGATGCGCTGAAGGAAGCTGTTCGGCGGATGACTATGATTGACCGTCAAGGGTCCTCAAAGGGACCTGCTGTACGTAAGCGACTCTCGCTGCATCAAGGTAACGTCAAAAAGGAGGTTCTTTTTTCTTTTTCTTTTATAAAGTGAAAGAAATGACGAATCGCCAGAACACCTTTTTTTTTTCGCAAAAGCACAATGAGACGAACAAGAGATTGGATATTTCACACAATCTAATGCAATTTGATGAAATCTGTCCGATGATATCTATTCTGTAGATTTGTTCAATCCAGAGCAGGCGCCGAACCCCGATGACAGGAACGAAAATGTCCAGCCAAAACCACAGCAACAGCAACAGCAGCAACGACAGGAGGCAGATCAGCAGGACGACGAACCACCTCGACCACAACAGAACGATGATCCAATGGGCCGTCGTGCATCCACCCGACCTCTTTCGGCCAATATCCTCCCAGAATCCCTTACCAGCGTGAACAACCATGCGATGCACCAGGAATCTGCCCGGATCGAAAGAGCAAGACGGCTCTCAGAGGAGGAAGACGGTACCTCTACAGCAGCAGGAAGAGCATCTTTGAAACTCCCTGAGACGCAATCTCTGGGACGTGCGACCGGAACCCGGTACGGCCGTTCTGGAAGCAGCAGCTCTACGGCTTCAGGAACGATGCAGAGCCCGACGACGCCCACGACTACGAATCCGTATGGAACCCTGAGTGGACGGACACCACGTCAGCAGGGAAGTTCGCAGAGACACAGTCTGACGGGGTTGAGTAGCGTGCTGTACACGAAGCCTTCGTTGCCGACGGAGGATCCACAGCAGCCCCTTGAGAGTCAATCGCCTGTGCAGCTGCCGGCGTTGTCAAAGTTGCAGCAATCACCTACGACGACGACAGCGACGTTATCGAGGAGCGAGTCGCGAGCGTCGCCATCTTTGAGACGGCCAGGATATGGATCGCAGGAGATGGAGTTCCAGAAACAACCGGCAGCAGTTACTAATTCACCTTCGCCTGTGGATCGTGATGATGAGGAGTTCTATCGTACTCCGGAGAGGGAGGAGCATCAATATCAGCAACAGACACCTCGTGCCTCTGCGGTGTATACTCGTCAGCAGGCTGCAGTAGATCGTGATCGGGAGACACCAGAGTGGAATGATGATGAGGACAGGCCGCAGCCACTGCGATACCAACCTCAGCAGCAGCAGCAGCAGCCAAGGACGTTGAGAGAGCCAGGATTGGTTCGTAAGTCGTCATCTTCCGAGCTGCAAAAGGAACAGCACAACCTGCAGAGACTCCGGATCCAGCAGCAGGCGCGCGAAGAGGTGTATGGTCGGGGGTATGGAAACGGGTATGCGGATGAAGTCGAATTTGCGGATGAGTATCAAGGCCGGTTTGGTAGTGGTGGCGGTGGTAGTGCTGGTAGTAGGCAACGAAACTCGCAGATCTCGCCAACGAGGGATTTCTTTACGCCGAACACGACGCCTACGAACGCGACGGTCGCAAGACCAGGTTCGGGACACTTTAGGGCATCGCCACCGATATCTGCACCTGTGCCTATGCCTCTGCCTATGTCCATGGTCATGCCGGTGTCTGCGGGCTCGGCGACGCCATCGCGTTACTCGGATCATTATCGAAGACAGAGTAAGGATGGACATAGTTTGATGCCTCCACCAAAGATCTCGCCGCCCCTAACAGCGACGACAACGACGACAGGCAGGATAGTCGCTACGCCTGCAGGAACGTTCAATGCTGGACCGGCGCGGAGATCGTTCTCGGCGATTCCGGGATCGAATGGATCGCGTCGTCTGTCAACCAGCGCTAATGTTGGTATCCCTTCGTCCTCATCCTCGGTTGGATATGGATCTGCGTTACCGTCGGCGATTGGGGCAGGATATGGTGCAGGCGGAGTCAACGGATCGATGCATGGACGCTCTGCGTCTTCGGGATCAGCGGTCGGAGGCTATGTGGGCGGCCAGCATCAGCGGATGAGTATGTACTCGACCAATTCCGTCACTACGGGTATTCCAGCGACTGCAGGAATGACAGCATCGGAACGACGGGCGATGTCGATCTCGGACGGCAGCATGTCCGGGATCGTTCCCGCATCGCCCAGACGGTCGTTGACAACGATGGGCGGCGGCATTGGTGGTAATAGTATTTACAATAAGCGCGGATCTGGATCCAGTATATCTGGATCTTTCGCACCACCACCGTCATCGGGGGGTCTTTCCCGCGGCTCTGCATCCTCCTCCTCATCCTCCTCGCCCGAATACGCACGTGTGTTCGCACCCCCACGCGGCGGAGTGAATGCGGTAGGGGCCAGCAATAATAGCAGCAGCAGCAACGGCGGGCATCTCGGCTACGGCGGTCCCGGAATCAGGACATCACAACAACAACAGCACCTTCAGGATCATGATGCCTACAATTCATATGGCTACAACACAAGGTCGGACGCGTCAATACGTCAGTCTTTGCTGGTCCCTGGGGGTATAGTTCCGTTAGGTCACCGGAACAGCGGCAGCAGTAGCACCGGTAGCATCACGCCCCGTGGTAGTTTCAGCGGCGCGTCGTCGTCTGTATCGTCGGCTTCGCATCTTCGAAGGGCCACGTCCGTGCACGTGAATGGCGCGCCTTCGGTCGGCGGTGGAGGCGGAACTGGGAGCTTGGGACGGAGTAGTGGGATGATGGCGCATCGACAGCATTACCAACAGCAACAGCAGCAGCCCCTGCAGCAGCAACAACAGCAGGGACATGGAGGAGGAGGAGTAGGAGGAGGAGGACAGTATCAGAGTCCGTATCATCAGTACCAGCAACCACCACCACAGCATCAGCAGTACCAGCGCACATCGATGTATGCGTATCATTGAAAATGATTCTGTATTGATATAGAAAAAAGAAAAATGCAGAAACGCGTTTTGTAGAGAAAGAAATCAAATGAACTACTTCCTTTGTCAAAAGAACCATAAAATGATGATCATTCATTTTGAATATGTTGAGTAATAAAAGTCGAAAAGAAACCATCCAGGCCCGTCCATCCAGAAACAGTTTTCATACCTTGATACGTCCGTGTTGCTTGTGACAAAAGTGAGATTTTATTTACACTGTTTAAAAGGTTGTATATACTGAAAGGCCAAAAGAAAATTAAAACAGGTCTTCTTATTTTACTGCTCACGCTCGACAGACTCGAGGCGGTCGACCAAGACGGGGTACTTCTTGGTTCCGACATGGTCAAGATTCTCGACACGGATTGTGAATTCGAGTTCCATGCCGGAGAGCTCGCGGACCTCGCACCAGTTGCGACGGTTCAACAACTTCTTGTGCTCCAGAGCATCGCCCGTGACGTCCTGGTTGAAGATCTCTGTCATCTCCTCGGAGGTGAAGTCGTTCAAGGCGTAGGTCTTTGAAGAGCTATGGAGGGCATGGATGACAGCACTGGGTGGAGGTCCGTTGACAATAGCCGAGGAGACGATCTGGGTCATGTGGTAAGGGTCGCGAAGAGGATCCGTGCTGTCGGTGGAGAACAGGCGGCCGGCACCTCCGATGTGGACCTTTTTTTTTTTTTTTTTTGGAAAAGAAAAAAATAAGGCGATGTGGTTAGGATAATGGACTTCATGTTAGCGGGAAGGGATGGATATGAAATCTGGAGAAGGGTAGACTTACATCGCCTCCGACAAAGGTGACGCGGACGTTGTGAGACTTAGCAATGCTCTGCAAAAGCTCAACCAGCCTCTTCTTCTCGTCGGTATGGATGTTGCAGGCCCACGAGTCAACCTAAGAGAGGAGAGAAAAACAAAATATTGTCAACCTTCAGGAGGCCATCGACATAGTTCTCCTCGGTAAAACAAGACAAAAAAAAAAAAGACTAGAAACGCATTGAGAGCCCACGACATCCATTTTCTTTTGTAAAGCAAACGCAAAGGATGAAAACCATTCTTACCAAGTCATCCAACAGCTCAGGTCCGAAGTGTCCCAAGACGTTCTGGAACGCCTTGTTCTTTCCAAAGACCTTGCCGATGATACTGTCCCTCGACAAGGCGTCTCCCATGGCCTCGAGGGTGTCCTCGAACAAGGTCAAGGCGGGGTAAACCAATGGAGTTCCCAAGACGATGACCAAGTGGCGGGTTGTTGGCAACAACTGCTGGCGGATCTCGCGGTCCAACATCTCGTAGGTCTCATTCGAGAGAATCAGCTCCTTGCTACGCTCGGAACGTGTGTCAGGGAGGACGACGAGGGTGCGCTTTCCAAAGTGGGTGATGGCGCTCCAGCCCTTGCCCGAGGACGAGGTGCTGAGACCGGCCTTGGCGGTAGTGTTGCGGTTGGCGTGCTGTTGGAACAGGAGGTAGAAGCGCGCGGCGGCAGCACCGATACCTAGTAGACATAAGAGGTATCATTGTCGTTAGTGGCCGGGTGGCCGGGCCGCTGTGGGTTGTATTGTGGAAGCAATACTAATAAGAGCGCGACTTAAAAAGGAGAGACGGCCATCTGGAGATGGAGTGCGCGGGAATATTTGGCAACATGACAAAGACTGGGCTCGGAAAAAAACAACAGCTCAAAAAGTGATGATGCAATCAACAGGAATGCGCCAGATGGCGCGATGAGGAACCAACTTGGTTAAAATGAGTCAGGGAGAGACTTACCCTGCATAACATTGCACAGCTGGTAGTGGGCGGGGTAGGAGCCGTAGCCGTCAAGAATATCGTGGTCATCCCATGAGTTGACCGATGGAATCAGGGAAAGGGCCTTGGAGTAGGTTCCGGTGCTGAAGTGCTGGACATAGTGGTCAAAGTAGTACTTCTCGACCGCGTAGCGCTTGTCGTTCGTGAACTCGATCGCGACTCTCTCATCCCCGTCCATCGCCAGCCATTCGACCATCTCAGGAGTTGCGAGGACATCATCGTTGTAAATCTGGTCACCTCCTCCAACCATCGCATGGAAGGGCTTGCCGTCATGGGCACCCAAGAGATCGTCCCACAAGGGGTTGGCGCCATGGAAGTTCGTCTCGGGATCTTCGACATCGGAGGTGAATCCGTTGCAGGAGTAGAAGGCCCAGTTGAAGGGCTCGTCCAAGGCAGGGACGAAGAAGTTCCACTTTTGAGGGCTATGGACGCGACTGCCATGCTCGGTCTCGAACCAGTACTCGATGTTCTTCTCACGATGGCTCAGGAGCGTCAACTGGATGTCGTATCTGTAAAAGTGGTTGCCCTCCCAGGTGTCCAGGAGATGTGGGCGCGCCAAGCCGAGGTTGGTCTTTGTGGGGTCACGGATGACCAAGTTAGGAGGATCCTGGCGCTCGGTGACAATCAGGGCAGAACCCTTCCAGCGACGACGATCAACTTCGATATTCTGGAAGCGGAGGACAGGTCCGGCCTTGAATTGGGCCGAGGGCTTGATGGACTCGTATTCTTGACGTGCGGCTTCGATGGCGGCATCCTCAACCTCCTCGTCGTCGTCGAGCAAGGGGTTGCGGTTCTCGTTTTGGTCCTGGACATTGAGCTGATGAGCGTGCTGCTCGTGGTCCTCGCCCTTGACAATGTCCGAGATGCGGTGGCCGATACCCGAGACGAGGTTGGTGAAAGAATCCATGGTTGTGGGTATGCTTTGAGGAAGAAAAGAAGAAAGGGATGAAGGATAGGGTATCGATGGGGAGAGTAAGGAGGAAAAGAAGAAAAGAGAGAGGGAGGAAAGATATCCGGGTTTTGAGGAAGCGAATGTGAGAGCAGTGGCCGTTGTCCGGGGACCCTTGTGCACCTGCGGCTGTTGGACTGTTGGATGTGTTGGATGTGTGGGGGGCGGAGACATCGCCTGGATCTTGCTGACTGCCTCTGATTTCACTTTATTACATACGCATTCACTGGCACCGCGCCATAGAAAGTTGGTCTAGGAAAAGCACTTAATTGACTTAATTGTAGTTGGTTTTGCCTCGCTTGCCGTTGGCCTAAAGTTCTTTCCTTTGCAAAGCCTAGACTGCACTAACACCTCTTCTGCTTACTCGGACTTTCGGACACCTTGCCTCTTCCGACCATCGCCACTCGTATGGAGACATGGCGCGAAACACAAAGAAAAGGACAAACAAAATCTTGCATGAATACTGGAGTACTGGACTGGTAAAATAGCCTCCACCGATGTGCTTTACCACGAGGAGAAAATGGGCCATTTCCTCTGTCTGTCGCATGGCAAGCAAACATAGACAGTTGACCCTGCCACCGCGTTTACTCAATCGAGCGACATGCTGCCGCTTGGTTATTCAATGGCTTTATAATAAAGACGCTCAGACTAAAGTTGTTCATTTTTCCGAGGAGTAACTCTCAAAGTTCAACAGCGACCATAACCAAAGTCGGATCTTGCCCATCACTTGTATTGTTGAAAAGACCACTATTATACTCCTTTCTGACAAAGCGAACTCGTTCCACCCCCTTCAGAAGGGGCTCAAAATAATCCTTATTCGTCGGCTTAAACCACCCAGGGCATAGGGGTGTCAGGAACGAACCCAAGGAACCACTCAAGGTCAACGTATGAGTTTCATGAATTACTCTGATTGGTTGACGTACATATCCAACTCTATCCTTTCTCTCCGGGAAACTGGCCCATAGCCATGCTAATACCATGCCATCCAAGCTGCGCTGGTCCCTGGGCCATGGCACATGAGCAATGAAGAAACAGAAAAGTGGCTGAAGGCCGTGAGGTCAAGTAGGACAAGAATAAAGAAAAAAAATTCCCCCCGCCTTGAACAGCATGCATTTTGATCAGATCTTCGTTGACAAATAAGCTTACGTTTTTTGTCTTTGATCCTTGGCTTCGCTCCCAGCTCTAGGCATTGTATTGTATCGGTGACAGCGAAGAAGTAAGGGGGAAAAAAAGATAAGATAAAGAAAAGTGATTTATGTACGGCCCGGTTTCTTAGACACAGTCTTTTAAACGAAAAATGACACCGATGGCTGTGCTGCACAGAATAAGGAAGCTCTCAAGGCACAGGCAGTAATCCTTATTGTCACTGACCAGCTCCCTCTCCTCCCCCTTTTATTTTTTTTACTGATTATCAATAATGAACAACATGGCGTTTACCCAGTCTCCGACCTTTTTTTTTTTCTTTTTCTCGATGTGCGGTGCAGCACAGGCATGCAGATCGGATTTTCTCCTTTTGTCTCCTGGATTTATTTTCCCTCGTGGCCTGTTTCCCGGAAACAACATGGAGAGAGGGAGAGAAAGAGCCGATTGCTTGATCTGTGCTTTTTTAATATATATTCATGGATCCGATCTTGTCCTGGCAGAAGAAGACTATGACAAGGAAGAAGGAAGGGTCCCATTCATATTCCACTGCTCTCTGACTTTTGGTTGCAGTGCCATAGTCATGGAAATAAACTACTCCCAATTGCTCGAGGAAAAAAAAAAAAGACACTCAGGGACAGACAATTAAGACATTCCAGGGCAATGGAGACTAACGCGCAAAAAGAAGTTAAAGGTGGGCTGTGGTCGTTGCTTGCTTTATTGATGCTCACTTTGGTCTGGTTATAAGATGAGGATGAATGAGGATCAATTGCTGGATATGACCGCGTAGGAGTGTGCGAATGTGTGTATGTGGAGCGATGATTCCAATGCCAGGCTGGCGAGCAGTTGTGACCCTCCTTCTGTTTTGTGACAGAGCGGGTCTCCATCCAGACACCTCACCAGGAGTCCTTTGGAAAGAGAGAGAGTGAATAAAAGAGGACATATAAAAGGCGGCCACTTGGCTTCCTCTCGCTTTTCGTTCTGCCCCACACTTTGCCTTTAAACTCCAGCATCGACTTGTATGTAGTAGTTCCTAGTAGTCCTTCTAACTCTTCTCCAACTCTCTTCTGAACTCTCCACAGTGTTTAATCGCGTCATCCAAGTCGTGCCACCCGGAACTCTGACTCTGGTCTAAGAAGAAGCAACAGAGTTTTCCCACAAGTCCTATCCCATCCATTCCTCCTCCTCCTCCTCCTCTTCCTCTTCCTCTTCTCGTCCCCCACCCATATTCCCTCTTCCCATCCCCCACACAAACCCTACAAACCCTATAAACTCATACAGGGGGGGAAATCCACGCCTTTCCTCCACTCCTTTTTCTACTCATCTTTCTCTTCTCTTTTCTTCTTTCTCGTCCCCTTCCTTCCCCCTTCCTCCTTCCTTCCTTCCTTCCTCCTTCCTTCGCCCTCCCTCCCTCCCTCTCCCACTTAAAGATGGCCGTCCATCCCCTCTCGACCACCTCCTCCGCGTCCGTCTCCCTGTTCTCCTCTCCCTCCCCTTCCCCAACCACAACCTCATCCCCCACTCTCCTCCCCTCCCCGTCCTCAACCGCCATCACCACCCCTACATCCCATTCCTCGCACTGCTCCCCAACCGCAAAAGATCTCGCCACCATCCCCACAGCCACAACCACCATCACCACCACGGACGCCACCATCTCAAACACCGGCACCACCACCCCTTCTTATCCTTACAGTCACAGCATCTTTGAGGTCCAGGACCCATCCTCCACCAGGGGCATCAACATCTTCAACAATGGCCCCCACCACAACACCACTGCCGCCACCAACCAGTTCGCTACTGATGGTATCTCCGATCCCTTTGGCCTCTCCGACTACTTCAGCTCCAGCATCCCCAAGGCCGGTCTCTCCAATCAGTACAGCAATAGCATCCATATCGGAAGCCTGAGCAACGGTCTCAGCGGACTCAGCCTCAACAACTTTAGCACCACCAGCCTCAACAATACCAACACCGCCGCCACCGCCATCAACCAGACGAAATCGTCTCTAAGCTCTGGCCTCTATGGCTACAGCAACAACGCCAATAGCAACGGCAGTCTTTCGTTCAATGCCTCCCAGCAAGAGGAGATTTCGACCATCTTCGTTGTTGGCTTCCCTGACGACATGCAGGAGCGGGAGTTCCAAAACATGTTTGTCTTCACCCCTGGCTTCGAGGCTGCCACGCTAAAGATCCCCCACAAGGACCAGCAGGAGGATGACGCCCTCACCCTTGGAGTCAATGGAGTCAACCCTCGCAAGCAGATTGTATGTTTACTCACCATCTTCTTTTGTGCCCGTCAGTGTGCATGTTACCCCGCTCTGACTTTGTCAAGTTGTCGCGGGGCCAATGATAATGAGAGCTTTTTTCACTAATTCATAGCCCATTTGTCATGATGCCTTCGTTTTTTTCTCCCACAGATTGGGTTTGCAAAGTTTCGCTCTCATCAGGAAGCACTGCAGGCTATCAGTGTACTCAGCGGGCGCAGGGTCGATGCGGAGAAGGGCTCTCTGCTCAAGGCTGAGATGGCAAAAAAGAATCTCCATACCCGCAGGGGACTCTCCAACGAGCTGGTGGCCACTCCCGGCCCCGCCGTGACCTCGGCCTCAGTCCCACCAGCGCCCGTTGGATCAGCCTCTATACACCCAGTCAACATCAATGGCAAGAAGACGCCCCACCCTCTTCAGCACCGCAACAGCCTTGCAGGATCAGCTGCCTATGACGCCTTCCATTCCGTGCCCTGCAGTCCTGCCCTCCCCAGCGACCTTCTCTCGCCCCATGATTACCCCAGCAGCTACGACTTTTATGCTGATGTCTATGCGCCCAACAACCTCGCCAACCTCAGCTTTGCAGAGTCCTTTGGCGGTCGCCACCAACAGGCGCTCAGCCAGCAGCAACAGCCACAGCAGCAACAACAGCAGGGCCAGCAGTCCGAGCTCTCTTCTTCCTTCCTGGGTCGTCAGAGTGCCTTTGATGTTAGAGTGGACCCTTTATCGATGGGCAGCTTCAGCAACAACATCGGAGGCCTTGCTGGCTCCATCTCCGGATCCTTCTCCAACTCGATCTCAAGCTCCTTCTCGAATCGCGTTGTTGGATTCTCTGGATCGCAGCGCTTTAACAAGAGTTTCTTGGACATGGACTCGGATACACCGACTTCGACTATGGGCTACCTGTCAAAGTCGATTCCCGCCCACACGGAACGTGGATTCAACAGTGCGCTGTTCAACAACGACGATATGTCGAACAATCGCTTTCAGGGCCTGCCCATCAACACTGCCCAGGCGGCCTCTTTGGTGACGCCCAGTCTTCCTTCACCCAATGTTGCCTCTCCAGGATTCCGCACGCCTATCAATCCTGGCGATCAGAACCCTCCTTGTAACACGCTGTATGTGGGTAACTTGCCCATGAACACATCGGAGGATGAGCTCCGCACGCTTTTCTCACGCTGTGTTGGTTACCGTCGCATGTCCTTCCGCGTCAAGGCGAACGGACCTATGTGCTTTGTTGAATTTGAGAACGTCGAATGCGCTACACAGGCACTGAATGATCTTTATGGCAACCCGTTGAGCAACTCTGTCAAGGGCGGCATCCGCCTGAGCTTCTCAAAGAATCCTCTGGGTGTCCGCAACTCTCAACCGAGCAGCCTTGCCAACCAGCTGCACAACATGAACGGCATGAACAACGGCTCGGCTTCGTATCTGGATCGTAGGGACAGCATGAGTGCTATGTTTGACCAGCACTATTAGACGACCCGTTTGGTATCTATCATCTCGCTGGATCCAATCTTTATTTTTGCATCTTTTTTTTTTTTTTTTTTTTTTTGCTTTCTTGGCACTATTGCAAAAGCAAGTGAGCGTGAGGACATTGGTCTATGCTAAACCTCACGCCATGGTCTCTTTTCTTTCCTTTTTGCCCTATCATATATCCGGCTTGTTGTTTGTGAGTTGTGCCATATTTTTATTTTTTTTTTTGACCACGGACTGAACAAGAAAGCAAGCAAGCAAGCAATTTTTTTTTTTTTAAAAAAAAAAACCAAAAAAAAAAAAACAGGCACCATTATATACTTTTCTGCATAGCATTCCACTCTACTCATAGCATCTACTATTATTATTACCATTACAACGCTTTTTATTTTTGAATATGATATGAATGTTGCTGACTCTCAGGAATGTAAAAGAATTGGGGAAGTCCCTTTTTTTATATATATATATTTATATATATGCTGCACAACTGATCAGAATTTGATTATCTGGATTCCGGGAATGCCGATGTTTCTGATAAAGCGACGCGAGCAAAAAAGCCAGTAAGATGTGAAATGCCTCTCTGGGCACTTGTGTACAAATACCAAAAAGTTCAGCACAACGCGTCCAATTTCAACCCGCGCACACATTCTTGTTTCTCCCCTCGATCTCACATAAACGCATAAACACATAAACCACAGCCATCGATGGTCCCTTCACTCTACATCCTTGCAACCGTGTCCCTGGCCAGCGCATTTGTCGCGACCGTCACCGCCACCGCAACCGCAAGCACAATGAGCACCACGGCCGGTGGGGTGATACATGACTCTCCGCAAGTGATGCATCCGATGAGTCCCAGGTTGAGGAGGACAAGCCCGCCACAGGGGCCCGTGTCCGGCTGGCCATCCTCGTTGGATATTGAGGTTGACAAGCTCGAGATTGGTGGTCTGTCGATCCCGTCGCTCCAGAGCATTATTCGGAATTCTGAGATCGGAGCCAAGAATTTTGGAAATGTGGCAGCCGAGGAGGGTCTTCTTGCCTCTGGAGGAGTCTGGCATGGTGTCGGGCAGGTCGTCGAATAGACTGCTATATAGCAAAAAAGGCTTTTAGCAACTGAAAATAAATACACGGGATTCTAGTGATCTGTGCCGATAGGACAGCAACACTTTTTTTTTTTTTTTTTTTTTTAACGAGGCAAACCTTGTCCTATACTTTACCATGAGTACCTTGACCTCAACAGATCGCAGATGCGACGATCCTGTCATCATGACGTTGTTTGTTAGGATCTGCCGCCTGCTGGGGCATCCCATTGTCTCGAAGGAAGGAAGGAAGGAAGGAAGATCACCCATTCCCATTTCCCCGTTGTAATTGTATTCTATTTTTTTTTTTTTTTGGGCGCCTGACAACACACGAAGCGGTTTGGGATTCCTCTGGCTTTGATTTCGGTTCGTCGGCCAGGTTCTTCGTCATAGAACATAGTCCTGTAGATCTGTCCCCAGGTCTTTTGTAATAAAGAATTTCGCTCACTTTATCTTGACTAGCTGCTGCTGTGTTGTTGCTTTCACCTATCTCGGATACACACACACACACAGGCTGTGGCTGGCATTTGGTGCGTTCCACTGGTGGCATATTGCAGCAGCTGCAGGGCTTCTTGCAGAATTGTATGGATGAATGCGTGAATAGGATGGAGTGCGAATGAGTCGAGGTCAAGATGGGTGCGTTTGAGTCTGGGACTGTCCGTTCACTACAGTTTTCTTATTCCAAGATCGCGTAACGGTGCCATAGTTTCGCTCGCTCAGCTGCTGCTGTTTATTTGGTATAATACTAGCACAATGTTCGTAAAAAAAAAAAAAAAAAAAAAAAAAAACAACCTCTCTCGACATCAAGGTGTCAATAGTTCGTGAAACTGAATATTAGTGCCTGCACCACTACTTCCGCCCGAACTGCCCACAGCCGCCGACATAAAGGGGTCCGAAGCCAGATGTTCCTGGACCTGACGTCGCACAACGGAGCGGATGTAAATCATTCTCTTGTCTGGTTCCATGCTTGCGAGCGTATCCGCCAATACCTGTGTCACTGTTTCTGGAGGCGGGTATGGCGATGGGGTTGAGGGAGTGGATGCTATTGATGCTGTTGACGGTGGTGCGGATCCTGCGGCTGCAACTGTTGAGGAGGAGCCGTTGCTGCTGTAACTGTTGGCGCGGGTGGTGTTCTGTGAGAGTCGTTCGTGGAGGGATTCGAAGCGCCGGTGCAGCGTCTCAATGTTGTCGCGGACAAAGATAAGCGTTTGAGGTACAGGAGTCACTAGAGACGAAAAAAAAAGTGGATGAATGTGTGGTTCGAGAAGGAGAGAGAAATAAAGTACAGCATGAAGTCTTTCGTGGTGGTAAATATGACCATTCGCGTACCATCAGGGTATTCATTGGCGACGTCCTTCAGGAATCGAATCTGCTCCCGACACTTTTCTAGCTGCCTCCGTCGATTCTCTTCAATCTCAAGTTGCTTCCTCAGCTTGAAATTGAGCGCCTTGGTCTAGTTTTCAAAGTGAAAATGATTGCCCAAATAAACTATCAGTCAGTCTTGTCTCGTCTTTGCTCGCTTTTTTTTTTTTTTCCACAGGACGAGAAGAAAGAAAGGATAAACTTACTGCAATGAGCTGCCGCCTAAGAAGCTCTAGCTGCTCGTTCAGTTGTTCTTCCCTTTCGACACTGATCCCAAAGTCCAGGGCCTCATAATGCGGCAAGACAATATCGACGTCCTCAGGCACTCCAAAGATATTCTTCAGAGCATACAGTTCGAATCGGTCGAAATTCTTATCAACCGAAGCTTCCAGCAACGTTTCGAACTTGTGCATGGACTATTCGATGAAAAAATAAAGCGTCAGGACAAATTATCTCTCTTTTCGTCCGACATTCATGGCGTAACGTAGAAAGATGCCTGTACCTTGCCAGTATCGACCTTGATATCGAAATCCCTGACCTTTAGCCGATCTGTGACCACGAGCTCCTCCATTTGTCCTTCGACAAATTCCTGCAGGGCCATCGACGCCTGATAGATCATATTGTTGACCGAGTTGATCACATCGTCCACAAAAGATAACGGCGAGAACCCAAAATGCTCGGTCAACATCTGCTGCTGGTAGTGGAGCTGAGCTTGGATATCTGCATCTCCTGAATATGCATGTTGCATGTTTGTCTCTCCGTTTACTTGCGGTGCGCCTGCTCCCGCTGTGGATCTTGAACCTGGCGGTGCCCTGGATGATATTAGTTGTTGCTGACGGAGCGCGCCTGTAGTGGAGAACTTGGAAGCGCCGAATGCTGTCGGTTTTCCGTCCACTGGTGGACGTGATGCGAGCAGTCTTTCTGAGGAGGGGTTAGTGGCGGCGGGGTGTGGTCTTGTGGTGGAGGAGAAGGGATCGTAATGGGCGCGGTGTTGTTGTTGGTGAAGGGGGAGTGATGAAGACGGGGGTTGTCGTGTTGGTGCAAGGCCGCTACGCGGTTGCCCCCCTTGAGTTCGGACGTGTGACATGCTTTTCCTCTTGATGGGATGGCTTTTTTTTTTTTTGTTTTTGGTAGTGGTGGAGGAGTGAAGGGCGATGGAAGGATTTTTTTGTTCAAAGGCGATGGTTGATGGCAAGTCGCGCCTGTGTGTCTTGTTTTTTACTCGCGAGCCAAAGAGGGACAGTCACCTCCTGTAGATTTTTTTTTCTTTTTTTTCTTTTCTTTTTGGCGGCAAAAGTCCGAGACCGTGCTGTGGGGTCGCAAGGGGCTCGCGTGCTGTGCAGGAGACGCGTCGGCCAGATTGGTCCGGGCATGGGCTGGCTGCCGCTGGTTGCTGAACTCTATGGTGCTAGACTATGGACGATATCAGGGAGGATGAATACCCGGCCGCCATACGAGATATTTATACTCGGTCTTGCATCATCAAAAAAATAAATAGGATGAACCCTCATTAGACATAGTTTTTTTTAGCAGCTTAGCAGCTTAGCAGCAGGGTCAGCAGCGTCTTACACGTTGTCAACAAAGACGTCAAAGTCCTGCGTCCGTAATAATACGTCAGGCTGGCATAGGGCCGTTGACAGTGCTTTTTGAATGGCATTGAGCAGAGGAGGGACGATGGGAGATGAGGGGCTGTAGCAGTAGCGAAGTTCATCCTGGGTCTACAATATCCTGCCATCGGCAACAGGACAAGGCCAGGACTGGGAAGATATCCAGGATGAAGGTGATGATGGTCCGGGACCTTGTCCAGATGTAGATGTCGTTGACTTGGCTTCATGCGTTCATTATTGCTCGATGCGCAAGAACTTAAAAGGCTCGGACTAGAGCGTATAAAATGGCCGTGTCTTTCTCAACCTTTCCCTCTTTACTTAAACCTTTATTCCCTTCTCTCACATCTGTCTGTACAACCACAATGGAGCCCCAAGAACCCAAGAAACAATCAACCCTCGGCAGGGCCTTCTCTCGCCACTTCAAAAAGTCGGCACCCCAACCTTCATCCGATACGGCCGCACCTGCAGACATATCGGAACCTGCCCCTGTCGCAGATGCTCATGCGCCCGACAATCACATCACGTTTGACACACAGCCCACCAACGCGCCCCCACCTACAGCTGCTGCTCCCATGCAAGGGAACAATGGTGCTGGAGCCCCTGTTATCAGCCAGGGCAACCCCGGCACCCAAGGTCCCTTTGTCCCACCTAACACCTCTTCGCCTGAACGGCACACTGTTTCACATCCCGAAGCCGCTGGTCCCTCCCAGCCTATCGCACCGGCTCATGCCCCAGACCACAATACCAACCGCACCGATGCTGTGCCCCCACAGTCCCCACGTCTCGACTCAATGCACCCGCGCGACAACACCGGTATGTCTGACAGTAGCAACCTGAGTACCCAAGGCCACTCAAACGAGGACTTCAACCACCCCGAGGGCGGAATCAACCCCGCAAACCTTCTCACAGACCGTCTATGGGCATACCATGCTATGATCAAGAACTTGCAGCAGTACTTTACTGAAATCGTGCAGGTCGAGAACGGTGCTTCCAAGGCCATGCAAAAGGCCTCGACCACAGTCGCGGTCCCCTTCAAGGATGAGAACCAGTTCTTGGGAAAGGGTGGACTGCAGGACGTGTGCATCGGTATTCGCGAATCGGCCCACACGAGGAGCGAGCAACATGTTGCAGCAGCACGGTTTGTTGAGGAAACAATCGTGAAGAACATTAGGAGGTTGAAGCAGGAGGTCAAGAATACCATCAAGGGAGTGAAGTCCGATGCCAACCTCTATGCGACCCGCGTGTTTGATGAGCGAAGGACTTCGCAGGAGAAGATCGGACAGCTGGCAAAGGCCATTGGGCTCTATGAAAATGGAGGCTCATTCCAGCCGGACATGGAGAGGCCTCATTCGGATCCCTATGTCATCAACCTCGGTATGTATATCCAGCTATCTGTCGTCATAAGTCATCGTGTATTTTGATGGAGATTTGCATTAACTCAAAACTGTGATGGATGGACTATATATATAGGTTTGAGGCGCCAACTTGCTCGACAGGTGCATGAAGAAAACATCTTTGCCCGTACACTGCAGCAATGCCAGCAGCAAATCCAAATGTTCGAGAAACACATCATCGGCGAGATCAAGCAAATCCTCAGCAGCTTTGGCCAGTATCAGGGTGGCACTGCCAGCGCAGGATTCAGTCAATCGTGGGCGCCCACAGAGACAGCGTTAAATACCCTGCACGAGGATTCCGAGTGGAATCATTTCTTGGAACGCAATGGAAGCGTCCTCTTCCCCTCCGATCTCGTCGACGCAGATCCGGCAGAGGTGAAGTATCCAAGCAAGGACAGCCCCTTCGTGACACCTCTCAAGGCCGCACACATGAGCCGTCGTTCTTCAGTTCTGAAGAACTGGAAGAATGGGTACTTTGTGTTGACGCAGGCAAGGTGGTTGCATGTCTTCGTGTCCTCTGATCTGATGAACGAGCCTGTCCCCGAGAGATCGATCTATATCCCGAGAGCAGTTTTGGGACCGTATTCCGACCCTGCAGAGAAGCAGCATGTCTTTTCGTTGGATGGCAAAGGCACGGGGGGAATTCTTCATCGCGACGCCCAGACCTTCACGTAAGTCTTTTTTTTTTTTTTTTTTTTTTTTTTAGTGGTATATGGATGCGATGATGCGATGACGTTGGTATAATATATAGGCTCTAACGCGCGAAGATTTCGCCCTATAGTATCCGCGCAAGTTCAAGAGAAGAGATGCTGGAATGGTGGAACGAGCTGTCCAAGTACGCCCACTCCTCAACATTCACTCAACCAGGCAATGGCCAATCCGAGGGCTCCCTGTCTCGCTCTGGGTCTCTCACGCGATCCGGCTCAAAGGCGACTCGACCTCAAACTTCTACACAGGCGCAACAAGGTACCATGCCGCCTTATGCCTCCCAAGGCGAGCCGCAGAACTTTAACGAGAATCCTGCTGCTGCTACTGCAGCCGCTCCTATGACTATGCCAGCGCCTGCACAAGGACAAGTCCAGGGACAAGGACAAGCGCAGATGCCCATGGCTACACAGCAGCCAATTCACTACCAAAATGAGATGGCGCCTGCACAAGGACAAGGACAAGTTCAAGGACAAGGACAAGTCCCCGGACAAGGACAGGCGCAGATGCCCATGGGTACACAACAACAACCAGTTTACTATCAAAATGAGATGGCGCCTGCACAAGGACAAGGACAAGTTCAAGGACAAGGACAGGCGCAAATGCCGATGGGTACACAGCAACCAGTCTACTATCAAAAAGAGGCGGCGCCTACAGGAATGTTGCAGCGTCATAACACCGGATCAACAGCGTCGCTGAACACGGGAGATATGGCTCCGCCCGCACAAATGAATGCACCTGGTACCGCCGCGGCGCCTTTGTAATCTTCATATTATATCGTATCATATGTCATTCACATCCTTGTTTTTAGTCTATAGTGAATATTCTTTGGTTATTCGGATTGTGATAGCGAAAAAATAATAAAAATAAAAACGGGTTCCACGCACACTTGCTTTATCTGATCCGAAAGAGCTGGACCCAGGTCCCAATGTCTAAGCATTTTTTTTTCCAAAGCACGTCTAAGCTAATCTAGAGGGGGGGGAGGCTCGCGATTATACAGAAGATCAGGGATGGGGAGCTCAAAGTAGACGGCTGCTGACACATTACTCAATGAGCAGCACCGGGCCATTTGTATAGGATTACAGGGTGCTAGGATGGTCCATCGCGATTTCCCATGGCGTGTCGTACGCTAAATCAAGGACAGGTTGAGTTTCTGCTGATGCGAGTATTGGTCCTGGGTGAGAATGAACCCCAAAGACTCTATGATACGGTGTGCTAAAAGCCCAGCACTTTCGCATATCATCAAGGTGAGCCGCTCCCTCCTCCATCATGCGCTACAGCCGCAGAGCCCGCCTGCTGAGGATCGCGTACGTGGAGCTCCTGTCGGCTTGAGGCGTCCATTTGGATTCATGGAGCGAAGGATGATTCGGGTGGCAGTTTGTGGTGCGTGGAGATTAAAGGTAAAATCTTGTAATACTGGGTCCAGAACAGGCAGTAGGAGTGGGGGACCGGATGAGGGTATGCTGCGCGTCCTCGTCGACGATGTTCACTGCTCCCATCATCGTCATTGTTTCATAAGGCCCCTTATATTATAGGATGCAGAATGGGGTCCCTGATGTCTTGGCTTGAGCTTTCCAGCGTAGGCATGGACTGAAAAAAAAAAAAAAAAAAAAAAAAAAGAGATAAAGAAATTAAAAAAATGGCTGGTACGAATAAAGGCTTGATAAGGCTCGGAGAGGATACGACTCGGGTTAGAACCCAAGGATCTAGATGGCCATGGCACTGAGAGGGTGTTCGCGGCTGGAGACCTTTTTCAGGTGAGATCCATTATAGCGGTCGGGGAGAGGGGAAGAGTTCGTCAAAGGTGAGTGTATTGGTGGCAGCGATAACGCGTACACGCGACAGCCAATAGGCTGGGGAATTACGATGTCGACTTGGTGCTGGATGTGTGAAAAGATGCGCAGAGACTTTCAGGAACATTCAGGAACGCTCAGGAACGCCTAGGAATGCCTAGGAGCGCACAGGAACGAGCAGTTACGCGAACGCGATTGGCATGAGAACGCGTTTAAGATTAACGGTCACTATTTTTTTTTTTTTTTTTTTTAGCAATAGTATAAAACGCTGTTCTCACTTCGCCCGTTCCCTCACTCTCTCACTCCCTCACTCTCAACTCAATTTATTCACTATGGCAAAGGACAAACGACCACGCGGACTAGGGCGCTCGGCAGGCATTCCCGCCCCCTCCTCAGTGACCGCTAAACCTGGCAGCACAGCTCGTTTCAACCCCTTGGGTAACAAGGATGACAGCAGTAACAGCAAGGCCAGCTCCAGCAAATCTAGCTCAGAAGCCCAGGACAAGGACGAGACTATGACTGACGCACAGACCTCAGAACCAGCAGATGATGGATCATCAACGGCCGAGACTGCCAGCCTGGCGCTCAAAGAAGGCGAAGCTGGCGACGAACTCGCAGAATTGCGTCAGACCTATGAAGCCGCCCAGAAGCAGTTCGCCGAATCCGGCACACAGGAGTATTTGCGCGGAACGATCCATGAGTGCGACCGGATGCTTCGCAACTGTGGCGAGGAAGTTTACCCGTCCAGCGAATTCAATTATATTTATGCATCAGCACTGCATGATTTCTCGTTGATTGGTGCGGAACCAGAGGAGGTGAATGGATTCATAGACCTGGCGCTCGAGTACGTCAGCGCGGCGGCGGATCTGATGGATCAGGAGAAGGATAAGGAGTGGCTCTGGAAGTATTATCTGGTCGCCGGGAAAGTGAACCTGCAGAAGGTACAGATAATGTGGAAGGATTAATCAGTGCTTCAATACCAAGAACTGTTCCAGGTATACTGGAGTCAATGATACCAAACAATCATTTTTGTTTAATGAAATGCATAGGTCGACACGCTTTATGAAGAACAGGAGGCAGCATCGTCCAAGAAGCAATTTCAGAAACTCGGAAACCAGATCCATACAACCCTCACACAGGCGACAAATCTACTCGACAAAGGGTTCAAACTGATTCCGGAGGGCGAAGAAAAACATGTTGTCAGACTGAACGCCAAGTCGATCGAGAAGGTCGGGGCCAAGGAGCACGAAATGGTCACGGCGGCTGCGAACGTAGCCCTGCATGCGGATCGGTTTGAAGAGTATGACCGACGCAAGCAGTGGAACATGTGGGCATTAGAGAGCTATCGTAAAGTCACTGAAGGTAATGAAGCGATGTCTTCGTTGTATTTCCTTACACAATTCGTTCATGAGATCAGGGACTGACTGAAATTCTGATTTTGGATGAATATCATTAGATACCCCAGAGAATGTAGAGGCATGGCAAGGAATTGCAACGTGTATGCACTCGATTGTTGGATGGTGGGCCGACCAGGCAGACGAGGAAGAGGACGAGGAGGAAGAGGACGATGAGGACGAAGAGGAGCCAGAGGATGAGTATGCTCTCCCTGTATACTCTACAGAGCGCGGCCAGATGTCATTACAAGGTACCTCAAAGGACTAAGGATATTGCAAGACAACAACATGGAGGTATCGTCTTGTCATTCCCAGCTGACGGATCGCGTTTTTTTTCTTTTATTATATATGGCGATAAATTCTAGCTGTAGAGGCGATCAAGAAAGCAATTGAAATGGCACGCAAATCGGATGCTCTCACAAGCGACCTCTTGACACTGGTAAGCAACCATACATCGGTATTCCTGGTACAATAGTGTTTGATACAGGTTTTCTAATGCAAGCACATTCTATTGGCAAACACAGGGCGCAGAATGCCACCTCAACTTGGTCAACGTTGCAGTCGGCGACAAGGCAGCGGCCGAGCACTCCAAGCAAGCAGTGGCCCTGATCAAGGAGGCGATGTCCATGTTCCCGGACCCTGCCCTGGAGGAGCGATATGCGGAGGTTCTGCAGGAGTTTGAGGAGATCGCCGGTAGCAATTGATCCTTTGGAATGGGTCAGCACAGAGGTAGCACCATAAGATATGCATTCTTGCCAATCGGCATATAAACAGTAGATCACAAAGATGCAGCTTCAGCTGCACGTCATTGCTTCGTGCGTTATCTCCGCTATCCGCAGATAACAGATAAAGGTACTCTGCGCAGCACTCATTCCTCTTTCCTGTCAACCCCGGCTGAATCGTTCAGAGATCACCATTGTCATTCCTCATTCGAGCCTTCATTCCACGCGACAGTTTTGTACACTGCTTGAGTACCTGACCGAAAATGGCAGCAACCCCCTACAGTCCCTCCAACCCTCCAAGGAAGGCCCTCACTGGCAGCGAACCCAACTCGTTCGGATACACAACACTCCAGAGCCGCCTTCCCGTCATTGTCTCCAAGATCGTCGATGACGTCTATCGGACTTATCACAGCCTGCCCGACACTGACCCATTGGGGACGGAAAAGGCGCAAGAGGCCAAGAGCATCATTGAAGCCATTGGAGGATTGCGATATGAGCTGCAACGAGACAAGCCCTTCAGGTAAGGCAGGAACTGCAGGCTATTGACCCTTTGGCCGATCCATAGTCAGTGCTACAGATTCTTAACGTCTGACTTTGCGATTTGGATAATTAGACCGTTGAAAGACGCGCTTCCGGATGTCACAGAGTGGAACCAGACCCTGGCAGACTACTATGCGACCTCGTCTTGGTACAAAGCCTCATGGCTTTTTGCAGAATGCTACCTCTACCGCCGGGTCAAAGAGGCCTTTGCACTCACCCAGTATTGGCGCGACTATGATCCGTTCTTTGAGCAGAAACAAAACGTCTTCAAGTCCTCCCAAAAGGCCATCGTTGCCGTCGCCATGCGACTCATGTCCCCGACAGACAGTAACAACCACGACAACGACGACGACTCAACTAACAAGGACGCGGATCGAAAAGTTAAATCGATGTCAGCACTGGATGTGTTGGTGAGTCAGGGTCCGGAATCCGAGGGTACCAAGGAGGCTTTTTTTGAAATGACCCAGATCTGTTTGTGGGGGAACGCTACGGATCTGTCGTTGTTGGATAACCCGGATCTGGCCAAGGTCGAGGAACTGCAGCGTAGGATGCTGATGACTTCGTCGTCGTCGTCATCGTCGAACAATTCATCGAGTGCCAATCTTGATAAGCAGGCTCAGGAACATGTTGAAGAACAGCAACAGCGGCGGCAGAAGGACGAGAAGGAGGCTTCAGAATTGGAGAAGCACGCAGATAAAATCCTTAAGAACGATACGACCTTGCTATGGGAAAAAGTCAAGGACATGCGCAACGGACGTGTGGATTTTATTCTGGACAATGCAGGTAACGAATGAGCACACAAAGCTTTCCTGCGGTATTATTTGGTCAATAGCTAACAGTTCATGTAAAAATTTGTGATATAGGATTCGAGTTATATGCCGATCTTGTGTTTGCAGACTACCTGATCCGTGCGGGCTTCGCCTCCGAGATCGTCTTCCACGCCAAGAACATCCCCTGGTTCGTCTCAGATGTCATACCATTTGATTTCCAATGGACGCTCAATCAGCTCTACAAAGCCGGCGATACCTCCGACTCGACCCCATTCTTCACTCCTTCCGATCCAGCAGAACAGAAGGCACTCAGGGATCTGGGTCAGAAGTGGCATGCGTATGTGGATCAAGGGATCTGGAAGGTCACTACTCACGACTTTTGGACGTCCTGCTATGCTTTCTACCACCTCCCCACATTGCCATCAGCCCAGGATCTTTTCAAGGATATGCAGAAGTCGAGCCTGTGGATTTTTAAAGGAGACCTGAATTACCGTAAGTTGGTCTATGACTGCCATTGGCCGACCACAACCCCATTCACGGAAGCAATCGGACCGTTGAGCAACAGTGACGACAACAAGGAGCGTGTACCCAGTCTGGTGTCATTCAGGACGAATAAGGCGGATGTCGTTGTGGGCTTGGAGCCTGGCGTGAAGGAGAGGATGGATAAGGAGGCCAAGGATTGGATGGTGAGCGGGGAGTATGCCGTGATTTCCTTCAGCCCCTAGACCGACGCTACGAGAATATGTTTTTTTTCAAATAAACGTCTAGAGCTAGAGGTATCGGTCGAAGCAAACAGTACCCGTATTGTCGAATAACTGCAAAGGTACCTGTCTTCACTAATCTGTCTCTTATATTAAAAATGCTATGACAGCAAAACTCGACTGGCGGTTCAGATCTCGCCTGCCTGCTCAGCCAGCATGCAGAACAGCGTCTCTTTCCCATGAAGTAAAACTCTAGGGGGTTTAAACTGTTTCGTCAGCCCTTACTCCGACATCAGGATTGCTGAAAGGATGCGTCCACTAGGTTACATGGGAAACCATTGACAACTTCTTCATTTCAGCGAGAACGGTGAGATTAAGCCTAAAGATCCTGTCCCAAAAGAAGCTGTACAGCGAACTCGCTGGAAAGATAAAGAAGATGGTAAAAAGGACAGTCTTTGATCCAGAGCTGGCTACGAGAGTGATCAATATGCTCGACGTGAAATTGTAGATAACGGTGGTATTTACGATCTGCAGGATCCCATTAAGACCAACGGTAAAGGAAGGCCTAGGGAGAAGCGAATCAGGAGTAACATTGGGCCGAAAAAGGGAAAAGATAGAGTAAAGTAAAGACTGAAAACAAGACAGAGGAAGAACCCAAGAAGTCTCAGGAGAGTAGGGGGTTCGCAATGAAGGAAGGCTACAACAGATGACAGAGAAGAATAGAACAACAATAACCTTTAATAAGCGCGTAGAAAATGACATGTGAAACGATAGGAGCAAGTGCGCCGATGGACAGACAGACAGACAGAATGTATCGGCTGTGGTACAAGCAGCGGTAGACGCGTGTTGAAAGCTACCTGACGTGTAAAGATGGAGAGTACGTCGGTACAAGTGCCGCAACAATGGACTATAATGACATACCGGTCGACAAGCGCAAATAGCAATGTGCAATTTCCAATAAAGAAATCCCTGGCCTGTCCCAGCCAACCTTTTTTTCCACCAATGGAAATCAAAGGAGCACGACCATTGCGAACTCAATTGCACCCCAAAAGCAGTCCGTGCTCCTCCAGACTCCTTGTCTCCTTTTGTCGCCCCATCCCCATTCTCCATCATCGTTCGCACCCTCTCTCCATCGACCCAACCATGGACAACGCCTGGGGCGAAAACTTCCTTGAGGCCATTGCCGCCTTGACATCCAAGTTCCTGACGGACAAGGAGACAGAGAAGATTGTTGCCGGGTTCAACAATTTCCAGCAACGACTGCAGCGACTAAGCAGGTACCGTACCTTAATGCTATTGTTTGCTAGACAGCTGTGGGAGCCAGTCAGTTGATGGCGTCGAATTAGCTCTTCAACTGTTCTGTGAGCGTGCACAGTAGGAAGGAGACGTCTGCCCTGACATTCTTGCTATTGTCGTGGCCTTAACCTTGTGTCACTATTGTCGATATCCACCTCGGATGCCTATCTTTTTCTCCTTTCGTCCTAGCCATAACCTGCAGCGACTCAACCTCGAAATCACACAGAATAAGAAGCAAGTGAACAGATGCAAACACGAAGGCAAGACCTGTGCCCAGAACGTCACCCGGGGGTTTCTCAAGACTTGGGTCGTCGCATATCTTGTCAAATATGTCATTGCCATTTTGCCCGCCCTCTTGAAAGGCAAAATCCTTAAAAAGTAAGCCGTGAAACGAAAATCCCAACAGAGCAGATATTGGGGCAGAACACAGAGCCATTTAACTGACATGTTTACATGCATACACAACCTTACTATGCACTAATAGTCCGAGTATTCTGAAAAAGAGCGGAGGAAGCGACACAGTGGGATTCGCCTTCTTTTTGTCTTCGTTCTTGTCGGCATACAAGTTGGTGCTGTGCACATTGCGCTACTACCGACCTGACCACACTGGCGATCGACTGAATGCCTTTGTGGCCGGATCTGTTGCAGGATTGACGTTGTTCCTGGACAAGAACAAGAGTCGCAGGACCGCCTTGACACTCTATCTTTTTACACGGTCCATTCAGTTCGGTTCCAGCTACGCTATGAAGAAATGGGCAGAGCATCGTCTTGCCAAGAGGGCTATAGGAAACCAGGCCCTTCGGGAGGCACTGGTGACGTCAGGAGTGGACAAGAAAGCGCTTGTAACCAAACCAGGATGGGACGATATTTTGGCTAGTGTATTCTCAGGATCTGCAGCAACCGCACTCATGTCGCTCACCGCTGCCGTCAATTTGTACTCGTGTGTGATCGAGCCCGATGCGATGCCAAAGTCATACTACAACTTTATCATGCAACACTCCGGACTCCCACAAAAGTTCGGACCCATGTTCCCGCCACTGGTCGAGACCTTCCAGTCGCAGTTCGAATTGTTGAAGGAAGGACCACCCGGATTCGAGCACATTGGGATTCCAGAGGGAGTGTCGTCACACGATTTCATTGCCCAGAATGTTTCGCCCAACATTGCGACACTGTTCCCGCAACATATCCATCACGATTACCAATGCTGTGCACTGCTTCATCCTCTGTATGGCTGCAACCGACATGCTATAGACACCATCACAGGGGAGTTTGGACGCGCTCTCAAGATGTACGGAACCCTCAACGCTGTAAGTTGCCAAACCTATTATTACTAGCAGAAGATGCGCGGTGCTTATAATAGGAATGTTACTTACCGTTTCCCACTCTTCCCTTCAGATCGTTACAATCGTGTTCCAGCACAAGAAGATCACTACCAACCCATCAGGATCCTTGAAGCGTTATATCAAGTCAACGTTGAGGTCCTGTCTTTTCTTGACCCTCTATGTCCTCGCAGCGTTCTATGTCCCATGTATCTCCAGGCGAATTCTCGGACGCGAGACCAACCTTAAGTACGTCTTTTGTTTGATATTTGCTGCTAGTAACCCCCCACAAGGTGTCCATTTGATCCCTTCGACTTGATTGAGCTAACCCTGCCTTATCTTTTATTCGAACGACCCTGATGATCCCCACAGTTATCTGCTGAACGGAGTAGTGGCTGGATTTGCCGTGCTGATTGAGGCACCAGGTCGCCAGATGGAGCTGGCGTTGTACTGCTTGCCCCGCGCACTCGAGACAGCCTGGAAGTTGATGTTGAAGCGCGGACTGGTCAGGAATATCCCCCATGCGGACATTGCACTCTTCAGTGCATCCATGGGCGTGATGATGACTCTGTACCAGAACGAGCCCAGCGTGATCAACAAGCATTATCTCACGGTCTTGACCCGTATTTTCGGACGTAATTAGAGGCAAGAAGCAAAAGTAGAGAGAGAGAGAGTTTTGGATTAGCGAATAAACACTTAGTATGGTAAAGAAATAGCAAAACTGTTCGATTGTAGCTGGTACCTTGGTCATCTTTGTGTGTAAAAAAAATAATGTACGCGACATTGACGTGCCTCGGACGCGACGCATTAGCCGTGCACGTGCCGCAGACGGCACACGGAAGTCCAGACAATCTTGCATCGTGCATCATGGGAGTTTATTCAATTACACAAAACAAGAAAGCATTCAATGGATTCAACAAGACACTGGCGATTCAATCTTCAAACTCCTGATTCCACAAAGTAAATGACTGACGCATCGCCAACAGACTGAGTAACGAGTTGGGCGGCTTTTGAACAAATGAGCCGCCAGTAAAGAGAATATCAATTATTTACCCTACTCATTTTTTTTTCTTTTTTTTTTTTTCACTTGCTTCGCGACGACTATCTTAGGCGTGTTGCTGTGGACCCTCCGGGTTACGTTGGAAACAAGCACATCGCTACGAGAGGACATGTAAGGCCCAAGAACGGCACTTGTTACCCTTTTCCTATGCTGGTGCATATTGACTAATCTTCATGTCGCGTTAACAGGACGAGTCCAAGGGCAGACAAGTTGACAATGAAATGCTGAAAGTTAAGGTATGTCAGCAGCATTGGCGAGGCACCCAAAAATGAACTTGTTCATCCACTGAGGCTGCCTTCTTTTTTTCTTTTTTTTTCTTTGTAATTTATTAGAAAGCGTGGGATGTAGCCCTCGCGCCAGGAAAGCAGCTCCCCATGCAGGCGTTCATGCTATGGATGAGTGGCAACAGCGTTCAGATCTTTTCCGTGGCCATCACGGCCATGCTCATGTTCTCGCCCATCCGAGCCCTCGTGAATATGTCTCAGGGTAAAGGACACTACTTTACTACGACCAAAGGAGCGTTTCCGGCTCGCTGATAGCTAAAGACTTGCTGATTTTTTTTTTTTTTTTTTTTTTTTTTATATTTTTTATCTGATAGTGCTCGAGAGATACGAGACGGTGTCACCGGTCAAGGTGTCGTTCATGGAAAGCAAATTAGCGCTCCCGAAACTGGCATTTGTAGCGATGCAGATCCTGACCATTTTGTTGGGCATGTGGAAGTTAAACTCGATGGGACTCTTGCCGACATCGCACTCGGACTGGCTGGCGTTCTTGGACCCCAAGATCCCAGTAGAATACACGGCATCGTAGCATGGTACATACATCTGTCTGGGATGCTCTATATATACAGTTTCTGTTTCGCAGCAGCGTACTTTACTTCCCAGGGCTGAATAAAACCTTGGAAACCATAGAATGGGGCCTTGAAAAGCCGTTAATGTGCCATGTATTTACATGATATGAGAGGGCAGGAGAAGTGTAGCTCCTTGAGGAGGGGGGTTTTGTGTGCATAAGAAACATCCTCGATATTCTGGAAAGTATCTGCTTCCAGCGACGATCCACAAAAAATCCTAATCCTATCTTCCCATAGCCCCCCCCCCCCCCGTAGTTTATCAAGTATCCGCTCGTTGCACGTATACTACAGAAGCAGATCATCCAGAGGGATCATACTTCGTCGTTCATGATCTCTTGGATCATCCTTAACTTGCTCTAAGAATATGCCCCGTGCGTTCTATCCCATCCATAAAATGACTACATAACTGTGCTGCAGACAACTGAAGGTCGAGCGACCACAATGGGGAAAGTTCGACCCCTCCTATCGGCTCTGGATCAAGTGCTGCTGTAAACGACTCCGTGAACATGTAGGTGCTAAAATAGGTCTTGCACGCGACATTCTTCAGTTCTCTTTCCTCGAATATCTAACCTGAGTCTTTGGGGGCCCTGTAAAGTCGAGAGCTGAAAAAAAAACGTCTTACTCCAGGCGAAGTCTCTCAGTAGCGTGTAGGTGAATAATAGCAGAGATGACGACCAATAATTTATTATTTGTATTTAGTTTGAAACGACTCTGATGACTATAACAGGGTTAGACTACAGTGCCCTCCCAAAAATTATGAGACTAAGGATTAGAATACGACTGAAATGAGCTCATAGACTAATTCAATAAGTCATTGTAAAACCTCTTCGTCACTATCTCTCTTTCACTCCATCACTCCAGCACTCCACCACCATGCCCAAACACCATTCTGTCGAACTCAAGGGTCGTATCATTGAAGCTCACGAGGCTGGTATGACCCCATCCAACATTGCCAAAAAACACAATCTCAGCATCAAGACAGTCCTTTCGATCGTAAAAAAGTGGGATAAAGATGGCACCGTTGTTCCCAAGAAGCAATCGGGAAGACCACCAATTCTTGGAAAATTGGACGTCGAGCAGCTTGTCAACAAGGTCAAGAGCGATAACCGTATGACTCTTCAAGAGATTGTTGCAGAGTCGCCCAAGCCTGTTTCCAAAAACACAATACGCAGAGTTCTTCATAACAGTGGAATCTTTTGTCGCGTTGCCGTCAAGAAACCTCGTTTAGAGCCAAGGTATGTTGAAGCCCGATTAGCATTTGCGCGAGACAAAGAAAAGTGGACGTGAATTGACTGGGAAAGAGTCATTTGGTCTGACGAGTCTTGCTTCGAAATAGACAAAGACTTCAGGACGATCCGCATCTGGCGTACTAAAGAAGAGAAGCATCATCCAGAGAACATCTAACCTCGTCCTCAAAGTGGAGGAACGAAAAATTATGGTATGGGGAGCAATCGCGGGAGGGAAAAAATCAAATCTTGTCATTATCGACGGCGACAACAATAAAGGGCCGAGGTTCATCAACACGGTGTATGAGAAGGAATTGAAGAGGTTCATACCGCAAGTGAAGAACGTCCTTTTCATGGAAGATAACGCGCCAGTTCATGCAAGTAAGCACGCGAACAATTGAGGAACGGCGTTCAGAAGATGAGGTGGCCAGTTGATTCTCCTGATCTCGACCCCATCGAGCACATCTGGTCAATTCTCAAGAATCGTCTCAACCGTCGTTCTAGAAGACCAACTAACAAAGAAGAGATTATAGCCGCCCGTCATGAGGAATGGAGAAAAAATACACCCAGAAACCATCGCGAATCTCGCAACTTCCATGAGTAAAAGAATAACTGCGGTGCTGGATGCCGAAGGAGGCTCAACCCTCTACTAGTCCGAACGGATTGTCATCCAATTCTAAAATACTTAGCCTCATAATTTTTTGGGAGGGCACTGTACATCCGAAGGCTCCTATAATTGCATGGATATAGTGCGGGAAAAAAAGTTATGCATGCTGCAGTACATGAAAAAGTCCTTAAGTGTGCAAAGACGTATGAGGACGGCGTGACTCCAGAAGGTTATGCGCCAAGGAGCCACCTGACTTCTTTGTTATCTGAAGCTTTACAGTGAGGTCCGAAATCACGGCCTTGTTGATGATGCCCATCTATGAATCATTAGTTGTAGACAAATCGTCAGTGTCCGCAGCATCAACAGCAGTGATAGAGAAATAAAAAGTGGCGCAAATAGCGTAGTCCAATTAATGCCAGTGTTGTGGTGGATTAGAGACTTACTCTGATGTGCAAGGAATGATTGTGTTTCCAGTCAGAGATGCCAGTTAAGTGTCAATATGAGCCGCAGTGGTAGAAGGCTTAATCAATGGTGGCGCATCAGTAAAAAGCATCAGCATCCTAAACCAACACTGCAGCAAAAAATAACAGCAGCAGCAGCAGCAGCAGCAAGGTATAACGAGTACTCCTGGGCTGCACAGCGGCAGCAGTGAGAAATCTAAAGTGAGTTCCCAATGTTCTGCTCCCGAATTAACGTGAATGACACCAGGAGATCGGTCAATTAACCTTAAAAGTGATGGTGCAACCGAATTAAGGTTGAGGACAGACTTGCGCTCACTTCAATTGACCCTATTGGCTTGTGATTACCTCGCGTCGCGTCTCCAGAGTTACCCCACACGGAAAGCATAACTGGTTTAACGTTGCTTGCCCGCTCCAAGTAGACCTTTGTCAATTCCATGAGTGTTAAATTATGTTCGGTTCCGAGCACGGAAGCTTATAGGACATAAGCTACCGAGCTGCGATCCCGAGTCAAGCTTTATCCACATATAAAAGGCATAGCTAGTTGCCCTAATCAAACCTCAGTCTGCAATAAAATACTTTCCCGCCTTGTACTCGCTCTTGCTCCTCTATCCTTCACTTACCTGCTAGTCCAGATCTTGACAGCAGCAACGAAAAGCATCAGCTGCATGAACGAAAACTGCAGCAAAGGGGAAAACAGTAGCATCATTAAGGTGTAAAACTTGCTGTAGCCATGCGGCAATAGTGAAGGAAGAAAGCGGCAGCTGAAGGAGGAGGTAGGTGGAGGCGAGGGCGGAGCCACACTCTCAAGCTGCACTGTGTGACGTGGGGAAAGGGATGCATCAGGGCATCATGTGCTGACGTGTACTGATTACCCCCATTGTCGGGCCATCCTCTACCCTCATCTTCTTCCATCTCTTGCTCTTCCATTCCTCTATCCTCTCCATCTCACTCCTTGCCCATTCTCTCCCTCCCCCCTCCTCTCACTGCCCTGTCTCTTGTTACCTCTAATTCTCGACACATTTTTGGCCCAACGCTTATCAACACCATCTGGCAGCAGTAGCAATCGATCAAGCAGACAACAGATACATTGCCAGAGTTTCTGGGACAAAGGTAGGTAGGAATGTAGTTGCATAGTTTAAAGCTTGTCGATTCATGCTCAAGTGCTAAATGATAGGACTATTTTAAATTATAGAACGGTCCCTAACTTGGAGAATCCGGAGGAAAAAACGCTAGTCATCTGCAACCGTACAAGGAAGCCAAATCATCCACAAGGTCAATCAATTATCCACGGCCATGGACTCTGCGCCCGTCTCAGGACCATCCACGGCCCTGGACTCTGCGTCCGTCTCAGAACCATCCACGGCTATGGACTCTGCGTCCGTCTCAGGGTCATCCACGGCAGTTGTACAGTACAACAGCGCGTACGGCACCCCGGCCGACAGCACGCACAGCGTTCCGGTAGCTCCACCAGGTCATTTCGTCATAGCCACAGTGACAGTAATGATCCTGTATGTGGGTAGCCGCTTTTATGCCTCTGACGCTGATGTACTGCCTGGATGCTTCTGCACACCTGCATGTACATATGCGTGGATGCAGTATACGCTCCTAGAAAGAAGCTGTCGGGCCTCCTGCAAGCATTGGTGCGTGCAGCTTGATTTCCTTTCCCTGGTGTTCAACGGCGCTGTAAACATATTTCTGGTTCTGGCCATTATAGTCGGCACAACGATGGCTGTTCTTGGCGCGATGTTTGGAGCGAGTCTGCTGCGCGATGATTCCACGAAGGAGATCAAGCCGATGCGTTTAGCATTTCTTGTTGTCGGAACGTGCTGCTGCATGCTAACAGGCCCAGTCTTGGTCTTGCTGACACTCTCCCGGTGGGCCAACCTACTGCCACAGCAAGCGGTCGTGGTGTGCGGGCGCTCATATGCAAACTGTAAACGTGGTACGTGTGTGCATGTCGCACAATGCGATTTTGTACCCACTGACCTGACGACGATCATGCCCATGGTACCTCTGGGGAGCGACGAATTGGAGTCACAGAAGGTGCTAGTTCTCGAAAAAGAAAACGACAAATATAAGTGCCGTCCGCGGGTGTTGGTACGCAACAATGAGACCAAGCCAGAGCTGGGAGCAAGGATACCAGGAGAGACGTCGTATGCTTGCTTTTCATACCGCGGCAGCGGGAGAGAGACGCGTCGTGACCATTGGCCCTTCATTACAGCGAGGCGTGCAGCGGAGGTCGCAGCAAGGAGATTCAAACTGCGGATATGGATCGATGAGCTGTGCATGGCAAGCGACGTGCACGGCAAGGCCGACTGCATCCGGGCCCAGTATTACTTGTACAAAGGCGCGGATATTGTTATAATTGGTGCGCCCATCGACATTTCCAACAGAGATGGCGTGTACAAGAGAGACCAAGGCGCTCCTAGGAAAATCGTATGGTCGCATGGGTCCAGCGATGCCCCTGAGCTCGGATTTGCAGAGAACTTCGATGTCCTGGGCCTGCTGGAGACCGCTGGTATGAACAACAGCCTGTGGTGTTTGCAGGAGATGATTGCCGGCAAGGAACTGGGGATCGTCGACATCGTAGGGCATTTTGTGCCGCACAAAGTTATCTACGACGGTCTATGCAAAGCCAAAGCCACGCAGGAGCCATGGCAGACTGTGCATCGAATACGCAGCGAGACGATAAGCAACGAGGCAAGTGCTGTAGGGCTTGAACTGGCTCTGCGATTGGCATCGACATGTAAGGCCACGGGAAGAAGTGGGAAACTGGAGGTGCTGATGTGTCTGCTTGACGCGCCGGAATATACGTTTGACCGCAACGAACAAGTGATGCGGCGCTGGCTTGGACGACATATTGTTTCATACGACCCACGCCTGCTGTTGCTCTTTGGCGAGAGCGACCGTGCTGAAGAGTACAGCTGGCTACCGCATTTTGAGTACGCAAGTGAGAAGGCCATATCTTTTGCGTTTAGTCTTCCACCTCTGCAGGTCGATGCCGAGCAAACCAATAGTGGGCTCAGAATCGAACTGCAAGGGGAGAAGCTAGGACAGTATGGAGCCAGCTCGAAGGTGCCTAGAGAAGGTAACATCTTCATAAACGGGCACGAGCGCCCAGGCTGGGTGACTGCACGAGCAACGCACAGATGGCTTGTGAGCAGCGACGGCTGGAACCAGACATGGTTACTGACTGTTGGGGATGGCGATCGGCATCGCAAGGTCGGTGCGTATAGAACCACGCGATCGTTGCTGTTTTCAACCTCCCCGAGTTGCATGATCACAATCGGCGGTTGAGACTGGCACTGCAACGATAGTCACCATAGTATATATATTCGTGCACAGCAATTATTATTAAAGTCAGTTCTCTTCTTCACTTCCTTCGTCTTGTTACAGGCACTGCGGCTGCAATGCGGAGTATAAGGCATCGTCAAGGTGTTATTTGGGACTGAAAACGTTGGCGTGGAGTGAAGCTGGTCCCGATCCACGTAGCGGGCAAAGTAGCTAAGGATGTACCGCGATACGAGGGCAAGCCGAGACAGTCCAGATACAGCCCACTTTTATATTACTAATGTCATACAATAAATGACCAGCCCCGGAGCTGCTCGAGCTACTGGTCTGTTTCCTCCTCAAGTCTTTCTGTCAGTATCGATATTCCTATATCCTATCCATGAACTCCCCATAGAAGAAGTATAATCTCAACCAACGCTTTATCCCCGTCGAGAGCGCGAGAGTTTAGCAAGAGTAGAGACTCTAAGTTACCAGCGCGCCGCGATGGATTGATAAATAACGTCGGACTTTAAGCAATGCCACCAAAGTTGACTCAAAGACACGTGCAGGCAATGTGGTATATGTATATCCGTGTTAGATACATTGCACTCTCTTTGAACTTTCTCTTCCATCTCACAAAGTCAGTCGTCACCCACCCATTCTACCAGCCATCAGATTGAGGACTCTGTCAAATGCCTCCCGGTACTCCTTGATCTTTGAAATACATTGTGGTCCTTGAAGTAAGTGAGAAAGAGATGTGTCTCCAAACGCACAAATCTACACGATATTTATTAATCAACTCTAAATTAAATTTCAGAGGTGATAAATTTATATAGTAATAAAGCACACTGGAATCGACTGAATATGCAGCAATCTCCACAGCGGTCGTTTCAGCAATACATATTGATATTGGGCTTTATTAGAATTAGAGAGAGAAGGGAGGGGGGGCATGTATTGCAGACTATTGATGTAATAAACTCGTAGTGAAAAAGGACAAGCTCGGACGGGACCGAGTGAAATAGATGGAGATAGAGAATGTGAGAAAGAGTGAAAAGAAAAAAGAGAAATATCTCTGTTAAACTAACTATACTGATGCTTTATGTGGGACCAATGGTTTCTGTCAACGCAATCAAGCACAGCTTGCCATCTCTCAAAAGACTGGATATCGCACTCCACTGTCAGGTTTGATGCACAGTCGATGCCATGGCGAACAAGACGTTGCTCTCTGCCCCACCAGCGCAAGCCCGCAACCAGGCCGACAAACTGGATCAATACCCACACCAACGCTCCTGTACTGTCGTCATAGCACGTTGCCACAAGCCCGAGAGGAAAATGTATAGTCATCAAGAGGCCTCCAACCACACGCAAGACCCTGCTGCGTGCACGGCGCTTCGGCATCGCTCGACGTGCTAGATCATCAAACTCCAGGCACACGGTGTACTCAACTAGACTTTTCGTGACGGCTTGGTCGTTCATCAGATACACTCGCTTTACACAGCTGTCGTCGCACTGGTGTCCAGATTGGACAGGAGGCCCAGCACTGAGCACTACTAAGAACCAGCCAAGCCAGCCGAGCAGCACAATCCATGCCCACATCTGCATGTCGACCCATATCATAGCCGCTAAAGCGATCAATGGCCAACACGAAGCCAACCATCGCACAATACTAGTATAAGTGCTCGTGTATCCGCCTTCCTGTGGTGAAACCGACATATGGATGTAGTGGTGATATACGGCATCCTGGGGCTTTAGAGCATATACTACAGCTGTCGCGCGATCCTGAACTGCCGCGAAAACATGGCTACCCATCTGCTTTATCCACCCGTCAGAGATGGAGAAGCATTGCGCTCTTGCATTTCTCAAAGGAGGAACGCCTGCACATTCGTCCCAGTCGTTGATCCTGCCAGAGAACGCACATGCCGTATGCACAATCAACATCGCTCCTAATTTGAACGTAGGGCCCGCCACGGGCTGGCACACCCCATCAACCAACGCTGTGGCCAGCGAGACGGCGCCAAACGAGTCTTGACAAAGGCACTGTGTCAGCATCACGGGCGTCATGGCATCACATCCAAGTGCGCCCAAAACCGCCAATGCGCTGGACAATGTGGTGACTGCGCTCGACTTTGTATCGTCCATGCTTGCTTAATTGGGATGTATGATTCCTCGATCCTAAAAAAGAGAAGGATAGCTATGGTGGAAATGAAAGAAGGAAGGAAGGATGACGATTTCATGGAATGAACCATTCTATGTTATTCACTATCACAACACCTGGCTGGATTTGCCCGTGTATTATCGCGCACATTACCCGCACACTCGTTAGATAAAATCGGAATAGAAATATCTAGTTAAGCAGTCCAAATTGACTTCTGGTAGAGAGATACGAGAATCCGACATAAGTCTGAAGCTTCATGTGTGCGAATCCAACCAGGAGCACAGCAGTTTCAAGTAGCAGGTTCAATGCAAAAGCTGTTTTATTACATGGTTTTTTTTTTGGTGCTTTTTATAGTTGTTGCCAGTAAAACATACTGAGAGAGTAGAGTACAGAAGGAAATAAAGCAGGAAAGTACGCAATACAAGGCAGGCCTGCAGCCTGCACCTGTGCCAGGCGCAAAAAAGGACGTATTCAATAGAGAAACTGTACAAAGCGCTAATGATAAAGAGAGAGAAAAGGAGTGTACAGAAGAAAAAAAAGTCCATGCCTCTAGATAGAGGATGGTAGTCACAACGTCGAGAGTAGTCGCAATGTCGAGCACAGTCGCAACGTCGAGCGCAGTCGCAATGTCGAACGCAGTCGCAAGTCCTCGAGACAGGCCCAAGCTACTTATTTCCGTCCGAAGGGTGGGAACTGAGTGTACATAGTCGAATAAAAAGGAAAAGGAGGGCAAGAACAAAGAAAGAAGCCAAAAGCACTCGAAGAAATTGAGGGTATACAATACAAGATGTCGTGGAAACAAGCAGTAGCGACGAAAAGGCCCAGTTCAACTAGGCCATAGCGAAAACGCTGGCAAGTCAAGCTTAGTAGTACGAAGGGTAGAAGGCCGCGTCGACAGGGATACCATGCTGGGTATTGGGGCCGAGGTGACTCAAGAAGTGCTGGTAATTTGAACCAAAGCCCTGGGGCTGAAGGGGATGCTGAGGTCGTGCTTGCATCTGACCGGGGTACGGCTCGTACTCCTCCTGCTTGATGTAGTGGTGGTGAGACTGCTGCTGTGGCTGTGGCTGGTGCTGCATCTGGCCATGCATGTGATGGCTCTTCATATGGGAATGGTCAATATGTAGAATCGGGTGGAGTTGCGCCAGCGGATCCATTGGCGACAGGTTCATCTGGCTCATGGGAGTCATAGGAGTCATGGGCGACAGTGGGGACATAGGCGACATGGGGGAGCCCTCGTGTGGTGGTGTGTGAACGGGCGACATGCTCTGGTAGGTTGGGATCTGGACCTGCAGCGGATGGGCCAACTCTGCTTCCAGCATGGACGCACCGACCATGTCACCTCGCCAAAGGGTAGGACGACGGACAGCCACGTGCTCCTTGCGGTGGTGCTTCGTGAGCGTGGTCTTGCGGCAGAAGCTCTTGCCACAGCCGTCAATGTTGCACTTATATGGTCGCTTTCCGGTGTGGATGCGGCGATGACGAGCGAGGGAACTGCTGTCGCTGAATCGCTTCTGACAGTCGAGCTGCTCGCACATGTGGGGGCGCTCCCCGGAGTGCGTCCGCTGATGGACGGTCAGCGCAGAACGCTGGATGAAGGACTTTGTGCAACCTGGTTCCTGGCACACAAATGGTCTATGGGGAACAGAGCAGATTCAGAGATGAGATATGATGTCAGTATCCTAATCGCCCTCCATCGATCCCAGCGTGGACAGGGAATGCCTCGCCACTATAAAAGTCCCTTGGGCATGCGTGTGGAAGACATACCTCTCGTTAGTGTGGATGCGGCCATGGCGAGCTAGATCGGAGCGTCGCGAGAACGCCTTGCCACAGTTCTCCCAGGCACAGCGGAACGGTCTCGAATCATGTTGATGGCCCTCAGTATGGATTAATTCGAGAATGTCCATCTTGGGCGGGTACACTAGGGAAGTAATGGTTGAAAGCCGGACGGCACACGGAAAACACTGGCGAACGGGGGGGTTTGAAGGCGCCTTGTCAGCTATGGGGTAGAAAGAAAAGGGAGATTGAGCGTCATTAATACCGTGGGATGGCAAATCGACACTTTGGCGCCGAGACTCGAAATAAGCCTTGCAAGATGGACGAATTAAGATTGGATAGGACTGAGAGGGGGTTGGTAAACAATCGACCATGGCCAGGGGACCCACTCTCCCGCTCCCACGCACACCACCCCCAAGGGATAATCCCCCGTGAAGTGACACTGGGAAAAATAAAGTCCTCTGCGGTTACCGACAGATGTAGCTGGCAGTTGTTGACGTAGATGAGGTGCAATAGGTCGGCTGTGTTCGTACATGTAGGCGACAGTCGGTGAGGATGTAGTTGGAGAATTGTGGGGGAGGGGGAGCTGGCGGAGAAGGCTCTGAGCCCCAAAAGGGTCCCTGAATTCGGCGCACGGCCACCGCCCAGCGCAAACCCAGCCAAGGCAAGTCCCCTTTTGGGTGACCACGCTCGAGCGATAGAATCGACGCTCGGATGTTGCTGCATTAATTCTGTGGAGAGGGGCACGAACCATCTCTGACCCAACGGCCGTGCCATATCCACAGAGCAATAATAATAAAAGCCAGGCACAGAAGAAGGGTTGCGTTGGCATTGGAATAGAAGGAACCGCGTTGCGTGGGAGTTAAAATGGGCAGCTCGTGTTGACTGCGGTAGAATGGGGATGTGTTTGTGTGCTCCAGTGGAAGGTGTGATTTCAGCCGAGGTGAGGAATGTGAACACTCATCGCAACAGGGAAAGTCATTACAAATGAGGAGGTGTCCCGAGGTGGTGCAAGAGGAGTGCAAGTGTATTCAGAATCCCTTACCTGTCTTCAAGGAAAGGCTCAAAGTACAGGAACGCTCTTCTCAAAGGCTTGACAAGAGGATGAAGAATAGCAAGAGAGGAAAATAGGAAAGCAGAGAAGAGAGAGATAAGGACGTGCGATGGCGGAGCAGCGAATCGTTAGCGGTCTTGAGGATCGATAGTTGAAAAGTAGGAAGAAAATGCAGAAGAGAAAGAAAAAAAAGCATGGCCATTTATATACCTAACGCGACCAAAGAACACAAGAAGGTGCCTTTGGGAAAATAAAATAAGGTGGACAATGCAAAATGGAAATGAATGAATAGAATGCATGCGGTTAGAATACAATGGGAAGGGCTAATGCCAAATGCTTCATACAATCATGCATCAACAGACAAGACTTTCGATAGTCTGCACCACGCATTGACTCTGTTCACATTCACATTCATGTAGACTATCTCCGCTATTTTTTCTCTCATTGTTGCATTCAGAGACGCACGAACGGGTCCCCGTTGCAGCCCAGCACCCCCTTGCTTCAGACTGAGAAAGAGGACCGAGCCGGATGCGCACTAGAAAGCTACGTCTGCGGGGTTTGAACCAGCTCATGGTGGCGTGGCTCGGGGCACCAGCTAGACTACAGGGCCAGGATTCAGGGCTAATGGTTCAGGGGTACGCAGCCAGACCCATGAGAGCGCCGTTGGGATGCAAAATGAATTGACTGTTGTGTTGTGTCTGTTCGCTCTCGTAATGTTTCTCCTGATTTCTGTTTCTTGAATGGACGCAGCCCAGCACATCTTCAAGGAACAAGCGAATCTTTTTGTCTTTGCTAATTTCACCATAAGTTTACTTGGTCAAAGGGCATGGGCATGTTCGCCATTCACAAAGGCCTGTCAACAAACAGGTGCAGACATGTAACATGACTCGTTTGTTGTCTCAATTGCCCACAGTAAACCTCCCCTTCGCTGGCCCTGCCCTGCCTGGCTCAGTCAACGGGGTAGACAGCGGCAGCGAGATTGCTGCGTCGATGTGATAACAATCGGAATACAAAGAATGGACGTGATCGAGGGAACACGAGACGAAGTAACCCAATTCAGGCCAAAAAAGACTCCAAAAGCGAACGAACGAATGAACAGAATAGTGAAATAGTGAAATAGTGAAATAGTGAAATAGTGAAATTGTGAAATTGTGAAATAGTATTATAAACAAAGGGGAAGAGGGGAAGAGGGGTAGGGGAGAAAGTACAAATAGAACTAGTTGGCCTTCTTCGTCGTTTATTCATTCGTTCGCTCGTGCGTACGCGTTGTAAAAGCTATGTCTTCTTCGGACGCGCAGCTCAACCGGTCTCAGGGAGCCCTTAGCCCCGACAACCTATCGTAGCGGAACTAATGATGTGCTCGACAGCCCTAGTTTGCAAGAGCTGAACAACCGGCAAGGGTCAACCCAATGTGTACGGCGGCAACAACAACCCTTCTTACCGAAATGTAGTATCCTCTGTTCCTTTGGAGATTAGGGAGTGTAAGTGAAGACAGAGCCGTAGACTACCGATGCTACACTCATCACTACTAACCAGTGCATTCTACCTGTCCATCGCATCCCAAGGTCATTTCCGCTAGCCCAGTCTATTTGAACATTGTCCGTTCGCTTGCCCATTGGTTCCTTGCCATAAGAACATCCTTTTCCGCTAACACGCCAACCACCGGCGTCATCATTAGGAAAGCAAGGAAAGAAGACGCAGACACGGACAGCACGAAAGCATCGGCACCATACCTGGTTTTAGAAGCGCAGATATCACATCACCATATCTTCACTGTCGCTGTTGCTTCTGCTGCTGTTGGTTGCAGCTGCACCGAAAGAAAAAAAAAACATTAAGCGCCGGTCAGCATGAGTGCGTGTATGCAGCAGTGGATTTTCGCATCTTTCCTGTTTTGGTAATATTGCTTTTTTTTCTTTCGTTTTGAACCAGCCCCATCCCGCGAATGGACCAATCTGCAGAGCAGCTCAACCCGCCCTCAGCCTTTCTTTTCATATCACCCTCTTGACACGAACAAAAAAGAAAACATAAGAGCGATATTTGTGGAACGTTATTTTCCGGGCACATGTGTGTGAGTTTGTGGGTGTGTCGACGACTGGACGCGATAAGCAGACAGTTTCGGCCGGCAAGAGCCAACCTCTGCAGTACACGAACAAATGCAGAAAAAAAATCCCCTCAGTAGCATTGACGATGGGTCTAGGTCCAGCCGCAAAATTCATAGAAAAGGTATATGTCGCAGTTTCGTTAATTTTTTTTTTTTTTTGTATTTCCTCGCGACTTCTCTTTCTATGTAAACTGTGGGTATTTCGTCCGCATCTTCATGAAGCGCGATGCAGGGCGCGATTGATGGAAACCCTTTGAACGGACAATTGCGTCCGAAGTGGGTAAGAAGTATCTAGTAAACGGTTCATAGGCATCTCCACGCTCTGTCACTTTCTTTCGTTGGTCGAGCCACTCATTTACCCCTATTTTTCAGGCGATATAAAAGAATTTTTTCATGGGAACTGCAACATCGTTTGCTGTCTACCCCTTTCTAAGTGCTGCTTCCAAGAGGGAAACGCGCTCTGCTTCATCTGGAGCTCAGCTGTTATGCACAAAACCACCAACAAGAAGGATAGAAAATAACAATGTTAAACCTAGCGGAAAGAACTATTCTCATCGAAGCAGGTTCATTATCCATTTCTAGCGTTCTTCTTCAAAGGGCTTATGCTTTCTAGGCCCGTCTCTCGTGTTTGCCTATCATTCAGGGCGCTGCCCCGTTTCTTTGAAAAAAAAAAAAAAAAAGAAGTTCAGTTGAAAGCCGTTGTGAACCCAAAAATGCATCCAATGCAGGAATTACTTTTATCTTCTGTGAACAGCATAGACTAACGTGCTAGACTACATAGATAAAAAAGCAAACAAGGGCAGAGTTATGCATGGTGCTTGACGTTGAATCGGCTATAGACTATGGACAATATCCTGATCCAGAATTTTTTGTGGCTATCAAACGTGCAAGAGTAGACTATGTGCGTAGGCCATGTGTAGTGTATGCCTTGTGCGTGAATGTGTACACATGATGCGGGCTCAACCCGCTTCCTCTTAGGGAGTGATATCAGACCGACGTTACTCTATTCTTCAAGAACTGAATTGAAGTATATCCTCCATGGGCAATTGGATAATGGCGACGTGTGCTGGATGGACTTTTTTCCTGCTGAGATTCTCGCTTTGCGATTGTCGTAGCCCGTTTGATATCAGCACAAAATGGCCAATTGAGTCCTTATTTTTGCATGCACTGACTTGCGTGTGGATTTTGAGGGCCTGTCTTGTGCAACGTGTGTAAAAAAAAAAAAAAAAGAGAGGAGCAGGGGTAGGCAGACAACAGTGCTTACCCTTTCATTGAGCAGATAGACAAAGCAGAGCTTTGACCGACTTTTGGTACCATCTACGCATGATTTATTTTTCCTGTCTTGTCCTCTTGTCTGTGTGCCTATGCTAACATGTCCAAAAAAGAAGCTATCTCGACGGAGATGAATGAAGATGTTGCATTGTCGGTCCGCTCTGACATGGTCTGGGCTTTGCTGCATGGCAAATAGACTTCATCTCTACATAGTCGAACGCCCACTTGCTGTTTGCCGTTCGTTTGAGGTTGCATGCGTTGCAAGGATCACAAAGAATGGTCTCCATTTCCACATCCCGTTGGCTGCATCATCTCTTCCATTGTCCTCCTTATGTTATTGCGTTATCAATTGACAGAAGGCTTTTGTAATACTAGTTACGCCCAAAAAACTGTTATTCAATCGCGCTAAATGATCCTCTTGCGCCTTCGGACACCGAGTACCAAAACAATCAGCTTTCTTTTCTTTGCTCCACGTGGAAGACTCCAGTCCGCAGTGCTATTGCAAAACAGATATGATATACAGTAGAATGAGGAGGAGGAATAACTCAATCTAATTGTCTTTTCTCGGACGGGCCATGTCCACCCACAGACTTCATTGACTCTGATATGAATAAAAAGAAGCGGGCTTTTGCTCAGGGAGCCTAGCGAGCAGCTGCACCAACCCACAGACATGCAAGGTACATCAAAGCAATACAAAAAAATGTTCACACCTCCTATTTCTGCGCCATTGCTCCTTGTTTGAAAATTTGTGCCCTAGATCCATTCCAGAATACACAAATGCAACAATCTCCAAGGTTTTGGCGTGCGGCTCATGGCCAAAAGGAAAAACTCACCGCGGACCCACGTCGTTTTGGGGGACAGGACCCTCAAACAGAAAGGAATTCAGGGGGCTGTGCTACCATGGTCAAAGTCTGGCTGTACCTCGCCCCCTCTCCCCCCGCACGTACCAGGTCACCCCTGGACCGGTGCGCTACTATTTTTACATTCCGCTGGGGGTTCCGTGCACAACACCCTTGAAACTAAGTTGAGTCGATCAACAGGGGGGCATGCGCGCGCAAGGAGGGAAGGGGAGATGAGAAACATTTTATTGATCTATTGACCCCAGCGCTGGGTAGAATAGCTACTCGGGCCTTCTACGATATGTCTCTTTGGTTGTACCTCTGCTGCAGGCGTGCACGCGCCTTCAACGGGCTTCATTAATAACAAACGCAACCACGACCGCTAACATGCCTATAGAAAACAAAGAGGATGCATGAGATGGGTTAGGGCCATTGTTCATTTCCGAAATCACCTGCATATCGCTCACACACAGAAGCAAACTCTCGTAATAGTTTGCATCTTGAACATCTCTTCATACCGATGACAACAGGGTACTTTTCTGTCAGGAACAGAACGAACGAAGAGGATTCGGTGGCCTGGTTCAAGTCGTATCCGCGAACCTTTCCATCACCGTATACCATTACTAGAAATGAACGGGAACTCGTACAGCATTAGCGGAAACTGAACATGTGGAGGGTACATGCAGGACAGAGAGGCCAGAGGCTATCTCGACAAAAGGTGACCAATGAACTTACAGAGAATGTTGTGAATGCGCGTCTCTGAGATGCCTGGACCCTTCTCCTTGGCAGCTGTAGCTGTTACAATTGGACGGGGCCCTTCACTCGTGACCTGGAAGCCGGGTGACGAAGAGACGTCGCCGTCATTGTAAACACCCATCGCGTCATCTTTTATCTCTTTGTGGGCAGGTACGGCAACACTAACAATCTTCATTGCTAGCACCTCCTAAGGATATGATAGTGCAATATTTTAAACAATGTTTTGGATTGAGTCAAAGGAGCTGCATCTTTCGATCCTTTCTTTCGATGGTACGTACCCTCCTGACCATATTTCCAAGGGCAGGATTGTAATATTCATCGTTCATAATCATAGAGAGTCGCCAATGGCCAAATCCGAGAGCTCCCCTATCTCTTTTCAAGATTAAGATTCCATTGCGCTAATAAATACGGAGAGTAATGATAACTTCATGATCAGAATCCAACTTTTGTACGCATTCTTTATTCCGGTAGGATAAAGTTCATTCCTCCTTACCGTTGTTCTCAGAACCATGACATCCGTCGCGTCGTTGACCGTTCCCTTGTCAGTATCGATCGTGTCCAAGGACCCAGCAGCGATATGGCTCTCCGTCCATTGCTCCTTGAAGTTCGAGCTTGGAATCAGGTAGTGCTCCGCTCCCATCTTTCGCTTTTGTGGACGCTGACGCTGAAAGCGGGCGGTGCGGTCGTACTTGTGGTGACTAACAAGTTCGATTACATGCTGGGTGCTTTCCGAGTCCAACGAGTTCATGTTTTTGAGCACATTTTCCAGATTAGAGTGGTCGCGGGTTTCCAGGCTTATGATGGCATCCTTGATGGGTAAGTGGATCGAGGTTCCGTCTGCAGATCTAACTGTTCAGGATGAGAAGCAGTTAGTCAATTAGGTCTTTTTTTGGCACTTCAATCGATTTCGATTGCTAATGAGCTCGATGAATATAGTCCTTACTTAAGTAGGGCTTCTGGACAGAGACACCATATACCTGAGGCTCGTCGTTGATCATGTCGTTCTCCTGGACCAACGATTGGTATTGACGCGTCTATCGTGCGATAAGCATGGGAACTCGTGTTAGGGTCATCTCACAATCCCTGATTGTTTCTCAAGACATAATCATAGGTAGAAATGTAAATTACCGGCCACTGCTGATCCGTTAGCCACTTCTTGTTCCCCGTAACGACCTCTGTGGCCTCAGTTGCGATGGAAAGCTGATACTCCCATTTATTAGCGTACTCCTGCACTTGGCCCATCATGACATGGAAATCGTCGCTGTCGGTTATCAAGGATTTGTCCAAATATTGTCGTTCGTTACATGGCAGAAAAAAAAAAAGGAAAAAAGACGCGCAGTGGGGAAAAAAAAAAAAAAAGTGTTCTGTCAATTGGCACCGCATCGACTTTATTTTCTTTTTTCCGATATGGGGATCAAAATATCCTGTGTCGGGGGGTTTTTTTGTCTATCCATAGAAACCATGGAGTCTCTTCGCAGTCGCTCCAGGGCATATGGAATATTCACCATGAAAACTGGTAATAAATACAATTCAATACAATACAAAAAAAAAAAAAAAAGGAATCGCGCTTACCTTTCAGTGTTGGACGGGACCTTCGCCAGATAACTCATGCGATACGGCACACTCTTTTTCTCCCTGCAACCTATATCATAATGCGAACGATCCCAGTAGGTTAAACCGAATGTCGAAAAAAGAAGAAAACAATCCAAACAAACTCCCTTGCACTTCGTTGTCCTTACTTAAAGAGGGTCCAGACAGGCCATATGGCAGGGCGTACGGACGATCTGGCGAGGTGGCACCAGGCTTAAGTGGCGGCAGCTTCAAGGTTCGGAAAGCAGCTGTATCACTCATCCTAGCAAGAAGGAAAGTTTGATTTCGTTAGCAAGGCAAGTTTCACATCCAGGGCAGCTCAAGTAGCGTGCCATATGTACCTTGAGTAGAGAATTGTGTCGTGCTCGAGAGTGAAGTCTTTGATCGGCGTCGATCCTGGAAGGACAAAATCAAAGCTCACAAACGGCGCGTATGTATGGCAGGTCTCTGTCGACGTCGATTCACACTCTAAAGAACGGTGTCAGTTAGGATGAGACGCCCATTTGAAGCAGCTTTCCGAATACTCTTCTCAGATTGTGTACACACACCTTTCAGATCGGTACTGCTTTCATAGATACCAAAATGATATACACGGCTGTGGTATGCAACATGTTCGTCTCGAACGATCTTATAGACAACCGCCAATCGAATCGCCTCCTTTCCTCTCTGTTCACGAGTTTCCTGCGGCTCCACATCCGAATTAGTCTCTGGGATGATGCGCTTCGAAAGCGACGAGTGAGTAATAGGTCCTGGAAACTTGTGTGTATACATCAACTCCCATGCTATCGTATCATACACGAAGAATGCTTCATAAGTCCAGGGTCTGGAGAGGACCTTTTTGCCTTCTTTAATGCATCGTCGTCCTTGAAGATCTTTGATGACTTACTCGATGAGTTGTCGCTTGCGAGTACATGATCCAATCTTCGTCTGTACTGTCGCAAGTGTCCTATAAAATAATCCCGATAATACCGGATAAGTAAACATGTCCCCTGGCAAGCAATTGAGCGACATCCCCCACGGACACACGGTATTTCCTTGGCATACCTGGACCACATTCGCTGTCTGCATGCCAAATATTGGTCATCCAGATCCATTGCTCGTCATCCCTGCTATTGCCCTGAAGGATATCCATGTCGTCTTCACTCTTTGCCGTCTTTTTCTTGCCTAGATGCCAGTGTGGATTCCAACCACCCATGAACTTTTGTCCATGTTCTTTTGATTTATCATCGCCGTCAATGCCGGTATGGTCATCTCCTGTTGGGGTGTGATCCCGGTTGATGTGAGAGTCCCGGAAGTGGTCATGATACACGCCGGAGAGCTCAACAAACGTTCGGTCGGGTGTTTTCATGAACTCGAGCTTGTCTTCGCACTCGACCACTTCAACTGGGAAATCGTATCCGTCCCCGTGCAGGCGGATAAACAGGAATATGACACTCAAGCCAAAGACCAGCATCCCGAGAGGACGCCATGGCAGCATGGTGGAAATTGCAACCGAGGGAAAGTTGATTTGCAAAGGAGGTCCTTGGCTGCACTTGCTTCGAGGCGGTTGGTGATGAGGATTTGAATGAGTGCAAAGGAATCGAACGAATCGAAGTAAAGTCTGCTACGTCGTGCTTCGCGAGCTGTCATCCCACTGTTCATTTGTACAACTACCAATTCTATTAGGTTTATTATGGGCAAAATGTCTACGTCTTTCTCTTCTCCCTTAGGAGGCCACAAAGCTAAAGTACTGACGAAGTGCGTCCGCAAGGGTCTCGGGCAGGCTATTGATATTCTGCAACACGACATAGTAATCGAATGGGAAGGTCTCCAGGTACGGATTTAACGACAGCTTCGGCATCCCGTTCACGCTCGTAAAGCTGGCGGTCGTCATCTTCATGATTGACTCTTTCTCGGGCTTGTTATCCAGAATAATAAAGATCAGCATGATCTGCTGCTCCGCCGCCTGCCGCACCAGCGCCTTGAGGGTCTCATGACTCTCACAGATACCATCGGAGATAATAATCTGCAGCTGCCACAGCTCCTGGGATCGTGCGGCGCCGGATTGATTCATCTTTGCATGCTGGAGCAGAGCAATCGAAGCTTCCATCATCTCCTTGACCTTGGTCTTGGACTGGTCGAATCCGAACCGCTGCAGGACCTTGGCGCCGGCCTCGCCTGTGAAAGGCTGGTCGAACGGATGGAGCAGATCGACGCGCTCGCCAAAGCTCATAATGCCGATCTCTCCGACTTCGAGCTGGGAGAGGGCCTTGGAGATCAGCGCCAGGGACTCGTAGGCGAGCTGAACAGAGTGCGACTCGGACATCGAAGTCGAATCATCGATCGCAATCATGACCTGGTACTGGCGCTTCGAGGGCTTCGTGCGACGGAGCCAGATCTTGTCCTTCTTGAACTGAGACGCGATGTAAGGGATGATCTTTTTCATGTTCAGTCGTTTTCCGGTGCGGTAGTCGCCCTTTAACTTGGTTGCCTGAGTCGGCTCTAGGATCAGACGCAGCTGCTCGCAAAGACCGAGAGCGAGGTCCTGGGTTAAATTATCGTACTTTTGCCAAAGTGCTTGAGCTTCCTTGGGATCCCGTCCGCTCGTTCTCCAGCTGCCGAGGGATACCTCGAGCTGCTGACGGAGTTCCTCGATCTCTTCGGGTTTGAGTGGCTCGTGCGCGGTAGCGGCACTATCGGCCTCGCGCCTCTTCTGCTCCTCGTCCTCTTCAGCATCCTCCTGGTCCTTCGTCTTCTTGTCCATCTTCTGCGAGAAGAATGCGCCGGCAGCGTTCTCGGGCTTGGCCTGCTCCATAGCATCCTCATCAAGCTGTGGCTTCTGATCCTGGGGTCCCTGATCCATGTCAACATCCTCATCCTGAGGATCAACATCCATATCGGCAACCTGATCGTCCTTCTCATCCTCCTTTATCTGCTCCTCGTCAATGGCAGCGAGGTCCTTGTTACGATCCTGCATCTGCTGCTCATTGGCGTTACCCATCGTCTCCATATCGTGAGCTTCATCGTCGTTCTGAAGGTACTCAAAGGCCTGGTTCTCATCCACCTCCATCTCCTCGCCCTCCTTCGCCTCCTCGTCCTCCTTTGTCTTTTCCTCCGCTTCTTCCTCCTCCTCCTCCTCCTCCTCAGGGTCAGCAAGGTCCTGCAGCTTCTGCTTCCAGTTCTTCAGTGCCTCGGCCAGGGAACGATGAGGATTGGTCTCGCGCTTCCTGGGCTTCTCCTTATCCTCCTCATTCGAAGGGCGACTTTCCTTTTGCGAATCATCGCCAAGCTCCTGGGGCCTGTTTTGTTGCTCCTGCTGCTCCTCCATCGTAGGATCCGGCTTTGAAGACGTTGGCGCGCTCTCCATCGAACGTTGGCTATCGGCTTCGGCCTTGGGAGTTTCGCTCGAGTTGGCTTTGCCCTGCTCACCCTCAACACCAAACTCCTGCTTCGCCTCGGCATTCTGGTCGGGCTGCTCCTCCTGTTCGGATGCTTTGACATCCTCCTCATCCTCTTCCTTTTCTTCCTCTTCCTGCTTGTTCTCCTCCATCTTGGAAAGCACCTGTTCGTTCGGTCGCTGGCGAGAATCATCACGAGACTCCTCGTCATCCTCCTCTTCTTCCTTCTCCTCCCCTTCCTTCTCCTCGTCAGCAGCAAGAGCATCTGCCATCTCTTCATCTTCGTCCTTATCCTCAGGCCCCTCCATCTCCTCATCTTCCGCCTTCTCACCCGAGGTCGTCTCCTGGCCCTCCTGTTCGTCCTCCTCCTCTTCGTCGCCGGCATCTTCCTTTTTGTCCTTCGATAGCTGATCTTCAACATCCATCCGATCCTGGAAAGGCTCCTCGTCAGGGCCCTCATCTTCACCTTCATCACCCTCTTTTTCGTCGCCATCCAGGTTCAAGTCGTCGGGTAAGTCCAAGGTCTCGGCTTCAGGAATCTCTACCTGCTGCTGCTCATCAGGCTTGTGCTCTGCGGACTCTTCATCGTTATGATCCTCAAACTCTTCCTCTTCAGCCTCGTCGTCTTCCTCCGCTTGCTGGTCGTTCTTCTCTTCATCGCCTCCCTCCTGGGCCTCGGCTTCCTGATCGTCCTTGCCCTTCTCCTTCTTCTCCTCCTTCTTGCTCTTCTTCTTATCGTCCTGCTTGCCAGAATCCTCTTCGTCCTTGGCAACCATGTCGCTCTCCTGCTCGTTCTGCTCGGTCGACTTGTCCTCATCGATCATCTTATCGTTATCGCGAGCATCCTCGGCTTCGTCGTCGCCCCACATCTTTTCATCGATTGCCTCGGGATTATCATCGTCGACGTCGCCAATGGCCTCATCTGGATCCTCCTTCTCCTCATCATCGTCATCATCATCATCGTCCTCTTGGTCAGACGACGGCTCAACGTCCTCGAGGTTGCCTTCAAAGTCGTTCTCCATCTCAATACCCTTATCTTCCTCCTGAGTCTCTTTCTTGTCGTCCTCATCCTGCTTCTTCTCATTCTGGGTACCAAGGACCTGTTCTTCATCTTCGATCTCATCACTGACATCCTTGCCACCTTCACCTTCGCCAATACCCGTGCCAGCGACACCGCTCTCCTCTTCGCCTTCCTTCATCTCCTGCTCCATCTCTGGAATACAGAAGCCCTTGCTGAAGAGGATCGAAAAAGTATTGCAAAGCACATAGGTCAGCTTGTTGATGGTCTTGTGGAACTGGACAAAGTGGAACAAATGATGTTGGGCCAAGAAGAGATACTGCTGAATGAACGGATAGAGCTCCTGGAGGCGCATTGTCACAAGGGCTTCGGCTGCTGCGGTCTGTTGAGGCGAAACTTGATTCTGGGTCTGATGCTGGATGAGGGCCTGGATCTTTTCGTTGATAGATCGAGACTTCTTGATGATGGAATCCATATGGAGAGCACGGTGCATGGTCGCGAATTTTTTGTTCTCGAACGTGATGAACTTTTCGGGCATGCCATACTCATCCTTCTCATCATCCTCCTCACCCTCCACAGCTGTGTCAAGATCAGCTGCATGACCGTTCGCGGTGGCAGCCGCATTGGCCTTAGCCTTAGCCTTTTTGCTAATGTCCTGGACTCTCAAAAGAACAAAGGTCACGCATCCATCGATCTCGTCGTTAATATCCTGGACGAGCTGACGGATCGAGTTATTACCCTCAAGCGACAATGCCATCTCGGCAGTAGTAGTAGGGGACGACCACTGGTGTGGGAACGATTCGGAGATCTGACAGAGCAAAGGAGCGATCATGAAGTGCGCCTCGGGTATCTGTTCCACGACCGAGCTCAAAGACTGCTCGATCTCGTGCACAGCATCCAAACTCTGGGAAAGGGTCTCCAAAGTCGAGCTGGTCAAGACCGGAGACACACCTGCGGTAACCACAGGGTTGAGATACCATTGATCGACGATCTTGTCCAACGCATGTTTGAGCGACATGGTCCTTGCCAAGGCACCTTGCACAATTGTCAACATCTGACCGCGCACGGGCGATGTTGAGTGGCGCATGGACGCCTCGAAGACCAGTATCGAGTCTGCAAAGAGATCGTACAGCTTGTCGAGCGCCTTCTTCTGCTGGACCAGCATCTGTGGACCGCTCAGGTTGAGCGAGACGGTCTTGTCCTTGGGAAGTACGAAAATTCCCTGGAGCTGGGAAGCCATGCCACGGATCGTATCCATCGAGGTCTTCATCGACTGCAGCTCCTGTCTCTGCTCGATCACAAGGTTAACGAGATGCTCGGTATATCCTCGGCTCTTTTCAGCCTCGACCACCGTGATATCCTTGGGCGGCTGCTGTGAGAGACTACGGAGCTGCATCATGCGCGCAACAATCCTGTAAAAGTAGTCGTCCGACTTCTTCCAGAGCTGAGCGACCTGTGTACTAGCAGGAATAACGCGATCGTCCAACTTGGCCTGGGCCTCAATATCCTGGATCTCAGTCGGGGGCAAATGGAAAACATATCCCAAAAGATCTTCTTCCAGACGGACCATGCGATGGCGGTTCAAGCCCAATCGTTGCAACAGCTTCAACAAATCAACGAGGGCACGCTTGCGGATCGTTTTCATGTTCTTGAGCTGGCTCCTGTTTTCCTCGGTCATCTTGGAGGGTGTGTCCTTCTGGAAGTCCTCGATCTGCTGGATAATATCTCCGCAGAGCTCCTCTAATGGCTCACTCTCGGGACTTGTGAGAACAATGTTCTTGGAAGTGATCTTCTTCAGTCGCGTGAACGTGGTCGCTAGGTTAATCAACGTCTCGCTAGCGCTGGGCGTGATCGACTGCTCAAACACCTTGCGTGTATATTCAGGAATATCCGTCACCATGGTGGTGTCCGTGATCCAAATTTCGACATTTGGCTGAACGATCTCAAAGACTTGTCCTTTCTTGTTAGCATTGACAACAGGAGTCTCCATCTGATAGGCAGTGATGATGTCCGTAAGGGGCTTTCGGAGGACATCCCTGTACTTTCGCAGCAACTTGTTGAGGCGACGATGGGTCTTGAGTGCACTGGCCTTCAGAGCATGAATATTGGTGTCCTTCCAGCTAGCAATCTTGACGTGCTCCTTCATTTCCTTCTCGATAGGTTTCTTGGAGGTAGAAATATAGGTCTGAACATTCTCAATAAACTGGCAGTAGTATTGATGAACATTCCAGATGGCATCTGCAACCTTCAAAGCGATTGCTCCGGTCACAACATCCAAGCGGCCCTCCTTTTGACGCCTCTGACGCTCAGCAAGCGTGAGCTCACCGCGGACCTGAAGATGGCGATGAAACGATTTGAGCAGATCCATGCGCGGCAGGAAGTCGCCGACAGTGGATGCCTGCAAAAACTGGTCGAGGACACCCAAGAGACCCTTGACGTGAGCAGGGATATCGATCTCGAGACCCTCATCCAAGGCCAGGTCCATGTCGCGCGTGGGCTTGACGATCGACCCGTAGAAATGGAACCACCACGCAAAGACACCCTCGGCCTGGTTCTTGTCCTGGATCTCCAGCAGCTTGGGCCAGCAGGTCAACTCGAGCTGTCTCCACGAGATGATCAGCGTCTTGAGTTCCTCCTGGTTCTCGAGAACGGAGTATTCGCGGCTGGCGTTTATCTGCCAGTCCTCGGTCTTGAGTAGCAGGACTTCGATACCGGCCAGGATCTTGGCCACAGGCGAGTCCATGGGGAAGGCAAGCAGCTTGTCACAGAATTCAATAAGCGATTCAAGGATAGCATGCTCGGACCACACAGAGAGAATACCCTCGAGGCGGTTGCGAAGTTTCTGCAAAATGGGCACGATTCTGACAACCTCCGCGACCCTCTGGTCCTTGTAAAAGTCGTACGTAGGTTCCGAGGACCAGTAGTTGTTGTCCTTGCCCATCATCCAGTCCTCCATCAAGGCACTCGAGAGCAAATGGGCGCCTTGCGAGGCTGCGTCGAGTTGATGCCCGAAGGAGCACTCGCTCACATCTGCCAGCTCAGACGCACGACTGTACCAATCCCAGATACGCGCGCGGCGCTCCTGAGCGGTCATAGTCGCTCCGGAGCATTTCTCCAGCTCGGCTGCACCAAATATTGACTTGTGCATCTTACCGATAATGGTCACATCCTTCTCATCAAAAGTCTTCTCCTCGACAGCAGGAACCCCTACGGCCTCTTTGGGTTCGTCGTCGGGGATGGTCATGCTCTCGTCCGGGGCCTTGAAATCGTCCGCAAAGTCTGGGAACATTTCCTTGAATGTGGCCTCGTCGATCGCATCATCGTCAAGGCCTTCGTACTTGTTCACCCGCTGCTTATAAAGCGATTCTTGTTCGATTGCCATCTTAGCGGCATGCTCCTCGCCCTTGGTCCAGATATCAGTCACCTCGGCAAATAGGTTATCGAGTGTGTCGATCGAGGACTTGTCAAGAATACCAGTGGCAGCTACGGCACGACGCTGGTGCTGCAATGCGGTGATCAAATACTTGAGATAAAACGACCAGGGCTTGGAGACAACGTTCTTGTCAAAGACCGTGCGCTTGACGACTTGGAGCGTCGCTGGCTGAGTGACAACATGAAGTGAGTCGAACTTGTCCGAGCTCTCCAGATGGTAGTCAGGAACGCGGACCAGGCAGGTGACAATGGATTCAAGTGCCTCACGATCCTGGACATCGCTCAACGCGCTCGCGGAAGCAATAAGACGGACTCCAAACTTGACCTGATAAATTGCCACAACCAAAGGTTGGAGAATATCCCTATACGCCCTGAACTTCTGTCCATTGCGACGGATAAACTCGTGCGTGACATCCTGGAATAACTTCTCCTGGTCGAACTGCGATCCATCCTTGGTCGCCTCGATCTTCTCGATCAGTCCAGAGATGGTCTCAGCATTGACGGCCGCCTTTTGAATCTGCCAAATTTGTTTAAAGAGCTCTTCGAGCTGCGACTTCACGGGGCGAAGGGCCACATCGAGTGCAAAGTGTTCAATCTCGTACTCAACTTGGCGCAGTTCCTCGATTTTCTCGCGTATGGCCGCGTTCTCGTGCGATCCCGTAAACGTACTCTCGATCTCCTGGCGGACCTTGATCTCGGACTGCAGTACCTCCTGCTTCGATCGAAGGGCATGAAGCATCAAGCGAGGCTTTGCGGTGGGGTCCAGGGAATAGTCGGGAACATAAAGCGCCATAAAGGTCAGTCCAATGTTGACCCATGCCTTGCCGTGATGGCTCTGGAGCTGAACCTCGCTATCACCGATCACCTGGTACAACTGAATGGATTGTGCCAAGTGTGAAATCGAAAGAGCAAGATGGCGACCAACGGAGGATGGCTTGACTGACACGTCTGATTGCTTGAATCGGGCCAAGACAGATAATCCTGCAGCAAAGGCATGACTCTGGCGAGTTCCTGTGCTCAGAGCTGTAACCAGCACATCCAATGCCTCGCGCTGTACCGAAAAATCCATCTCTTCGTGGACTTGGCAAATCACTTCCAGCAGCTGTAACGATAAAGAGAAGATGTGTTTTTGGTTAGGGGATTTCTTAAAAATAGTGAGAGAGATATTAAAACAGCCCCTCCCAAGTACTTACCAGGTTGATGGAGGAGATCAAATTGATCAAGGACGCTGCGACGCGATTAATATGCTTTGAGGCGCGAGCCTGGTGAGCAACCAACGAGCGAGTCTGCTCCAGCTGAACATCCATCGTGCTGATAGCAGCCTTGGGCAATGTGGTCCTATTATCGTACAACGAATATGAAAATAAAGATCAGATGACTGAGAGACAGGGTGGCGACAAAGTTGATAAGGATGATAATGCACCGGATCTGGCACCTACAGGTAGTTGAAGTAGGCAACAGTGTCCACGCTTTGGAACAACTTGGCCGGCCCCTGGATAGCGGTGAACTCTCGCACATCCTCCTTGAGCACTTTTCCACCAAAGGAATCGAACTTAGCATCCTTGAAGGCGTTGTTCCAAAGACGCGCGTGCCAGTTATGTAAGACGTCCTGGACTAGCCGGTTAAAGACAGCCTGCGTATTCTCGTTCACATCTAGAGACAAACAGTGGGGTATTAGTATCAGTGATTCTAAGAGTCGTACTAGCAAAAACAAAAAAAGATGTATTGCATAATGGTCTTGTTTGGTTTACCTTTGGCGTCCGAATCAAAGACCCAAATCAAACGCTTGTGAGGGACAAAGTCGACCGCTGAGCGTGTTGTACGCTTCAGCGAAAACTTGTGCAGAGCCTTGATCTCATCCAGGACCTTCTTGGACAACTTGACTCCCTGCGGCAAAGACTGCTGCAGCTTTGAAAGAAGTGCCATCTCAGCCACAGAGCTCGAGAAGTCCATGATCGGGTACATAAAGTCTTCGGCGCCCTGATGGCTTGCAGACTTAACCTTGGAGTATCCTTCGAGCTGCTTCTGAACTCCCTCGATTTGCTTTTGAAGATGCTATGGATTATAAGCCGACAAAAAAACGTTTCATAAGTATCAACCCAAAATGTCATATAAGAATAGTACAAGGGACATTATCCGTCTCACTTACAGCTGGAACGTGCTTGATAGTCTTCAGCAGCACAGCTCCGTTTTCAGGACTCTGGTCCACAAAATACAAGGTCGCAATGGCGTCAACCAAAGTATCCTTAAACTCTGGCATGCTACCGATAGCCCTCGCCTTCGCCAAGGTGTCCTTGTCAAGAATGGACTCATCCGACCAAACATCAATCGTCGATGCGATTTTAAGCAGCTCCTCCTCAACCTCGACCAACTCCTGCGAAGCCAAGACAGAGGGGTGGAGGCGTCTCCAAAGGCTCTTCATCAGGGTACCGGTGGTGAGGACCATGGCTTCTGTCATGATGTTCAGGCTCTGGAACAGAGGGCCAAAGAACTCCTGCGAGATCGAGAGTAAGAATTCGCCGGACTCAGCCATCATCTTGACAAGGATCATGAGCTCGCCGACATTGACAGTTGGCTCCTGAACAGTTTCCCAGACCATATCGCGCTTGTCCAAGAACAGATGCATCTTTGTGGCCTGTCATATAGATAGGTATTAAATAATCATCCAAAAAATTAACATCAGATAGTATTAACTGATTCATCAAAACGAAGCAATAAATGAACTGAACTTACGTTCTCGTCGCTCAGACCATTCAGACCAGTGATCCACTGAGTGACAATGCTCCTGATGGCATTCAAGCAAGGGCTAATCTCGGCCACGACCTGGTGCTGCAAGGGCTTGTCCCAGAGTTGACGCTGATGAAGGTAGGAAATCTGCACGGTGTTGGGTTTCTTGCCACGGGCCTGTGCGTACACCTTGTCCTCAATGTAGGTAAACTTCTTGACACGGATGAAGAGGCCAATCAGACGAGCGACGGCTTGGTACTCGAGCCAGTCTTCCATGGCCATTTCATTGGTCTGGCACAGTCGATCAATTGCCCAGAACAGATTGGGGTTCAAGCGCATGTCCGCAGGCTAAAAAAAAAAAAAAAAAAAAAAAAAAAAAAAACATTGGAGCAGATCGGTTAGTAAACGCTATGCATAACATATTGACCTCCTAAATTGTCCAGTAGCAGGTCGGCTTGCTTACCTGAGATTCTAAGAGGGCCTTGTCAAGGGATAACTTGGTCGCTAACGACACCTTGAGACCTGCAAGACGAGGCATCAACGGACTTTGGGCCAGCTGATCCAAGATATGATCCACCATCAATGCTTGCGCCCTGCTCAAGTCCTCCAGATCGCGAGTCTCTAACAAGTTCCGGAGCCATGTCTTACGCATCTCTACATCGTACAATGAGCTTGTCTCCAAAAAGTAATGCGCCGCGGTCCAAGTCATGGTCGTAGCACCATTCAGCAGAAGCAAATACATGAGGTACGATCCATGCAACGAGACCGTCGCCAGCTTGGACTCTTGTGAAAACATACGTCCCTCCAGCAAGTGAGGGCAGTTCGTAACAGACAACGTGCTCTCGTAGCTGGGTTCCAGCACAAACGAAGGAGCCTGCAGCGACCCAACAATGGGTAACTCAAGGTGGTTCTCGCCCTCAACAGCGTACACTTGCTGGACACCGTGACGAAGCGCCATTTCCAAAGGCTCTCCACGCTGAAGACGCTCGACAACGAATCGTGTGTAGAGCAGCATATCCTTAGCATGCACAGTCTTCCAGGGCATGACCAGTTTGAAGTAGTCGTGGATGTAGTGATGGATCTGGCTGATCATGGTCGGCACACCTGAGCCTCGGACGCCGAGAGAGTTGGCAATCTTGAGGGAGTCCTGTGTATTGTTGATCCACTCCGCGTCAACAAGGGTAATCTCCACACCACGGTTCCTCATGGCTCGGGACAGCTCACCGTAACGTGGATCAACGGTCATGAAGATCCTGAAATTGGGATGCGGTCGGATAATACGCACCTCGCCGTCGACCAGACCGCGCTCGTTAACCATCAATGTTCCGTTCGGCTCCATGAGCGAGTTGAGTCGATCCAGTACGGAGGGGTTGCTCAGGTTGGCGTTGTCGATTAAGAGCCAATATCCATGCTCCAAAGCGTTAATCAGCGATCCGTCAATCCACTCGAAGCGCCCACTAACAGACGTCACCTCCAATCCACGAAGGACCTTGAACTTCTCATCCAGCTCTTCAATCTCTTTGATGAAATCCAGCTTGAACTCCTGGACCAGGTATCGGAGCTGGTTCAGCAGGGACTCAGTAGCATTGTTGCGCATCACACGTTCATCCGCAAGGTTGCGTTCGAACGTACCGCGCTTGGCGAACTTGTCCTGTGAATGGAGAAGGTAAAGATTCTGACTAATCTCTCGCGCATAGGACACGCTGCTGGTCTGACCACGAGTCCCGATCAACAGCATCTCGCGGGAAATACGGCTGGCAAGACGGGAGAGGCCAAACATGATGTGCTCTTGATGACGAGCAATATCGACCTGCTCAAAACCACCCAACAATTCCATCGTGTCGACACCCGAATTCATCGAAAACTCCTCCAGTTTGTTGCCGGTCAGATTTGCCAAAAGCCGGACGATAGAAGTCTTACCGCTCGAGGCAGGTCCTGTCAGGATAGCCATCCAATTCACTTCCACACACTTCATCAGACCCTCCAGAGGCGACAGCAGGGACTGAAGCAGATGCAGGTCCTTTCCAAGAACGTTACTAGTGTCTCCATGGCGACGAGGCAGAAGCGAGTGTCCGACCTGCAAGTGCTTGTCATCCAAGTGGTAATATGGTGACTTGCTGCGGGCGTATGGCTGGCCAAAGATCCTTTCAAAGAGTGCGGTGGTAGCAGCACGATCCTCCTCAGTTCTCATACGTTGCAGGTAGATCAGATCAAAGTGCTCCGAAGGATCGTGGTTGAATCCGAGGCCGTGGTCCGGCAGAGTCATTAGCTCCATCCAGCGGAAAACATCACGCAGGTTAAACTCCCAGGGACTACCCTTGCGTCCAAAGCTCTGCTTGACCATCGTCTCCTCAAACATCTGGTAATTGAACTCGATCATCTTGTGCAGCATCGAGTCTTCGACTTGTGGGAACAGGTGCTTACAAATAAACAGGATATCACCATCAGTTAATTGCTCCACAAAGACTTGTGTGAAACGGTTGACGAAGGACTTGGGAAGACCCTTTCGACCGCCTCCTTGCTGCAGTGGGTTCTGAGCCGCAAAGACTCTGAAGTTCATGTCGCACTCAAACGTACGATCCAGCTCAGGAATATAGACAGATCCGCGATGATCCAGACAGGAGTTGAGACCCTCAAGGACACTCTGGCTTGCCAAGTTGATCTCGTCCAGCAGGACCCAGTCTCCGCTCTTCATCGCCTGAAGGAATGGTGCGTCTCTCCAGGCGAACTCTCCGCTGTTTCCGCCTTCCACAGGAAGATCCGAACCAAAGAGATCCATCAAGTCTGTTTGTTCTGACAAATTGATCCTGACCAGATTATGCGCCGATGCCGCCGCAAGTGCAGAAATGAGAGACGTCTTTCCGACGCCTGGAGAACCCTCCAGAAGAATGGGCTTCTTGAGTTGAAGCGCACGTAGGACTCGCATAGCATTATCGGTGGTGGTGGGGGCCAAAAGCGTAAACTTGATCTTCTGGTCCTCCAACTCACCCTTCTTGATAAAGAAAGGCGTAATTCCAAACTCGTCACCCATACTCTTGACAGTGCCAGTTCCCTCCCTAAAGACAGCGGCCTCACCGAGCTGCAAGACACGATTATCCTTGCTCAATGCAGCAAGACACTTTAGTCGGAACTCTTTCAGCAGGTTTCCCGTAAGCGAGGCTCCTCCAGCAGAGGCATTCGATCCCAGTCCATCAAGCAATACAAGACTTCCTCCGTGCACGAACGCCTCCTCGGCAGTCAACTGACCCTTTTCCATGAGCGCGTTCATGAATCGAACCCAGGCCAAGATATCTCTCAAACTGACCACCACGCGACTCTTGCCCAGCTCATGAGTGTACCAGGCCACAAAGTCAAGGACCCTCTCTGCAAATCCAGTCATTTCCTCCCTGTACTTGATTTGCTCCGAAATGATCTTGACAAGATCCTCGCGGTCCGTCACAGCAGGAACCCAGATCTCTGTGAAACGGTTGCGGAGCGCAGGAGACAGTTCCTTCTTTCCATAATCGCCTCCAGGATTCATGGTGGCGAGGAACTGGAAGTCTGGAACGCCGTTCATGACCTCAACTGTCTTGCCTCCCTTTTCTGCAAGCACAAGAAGACGATGTGGCTCGAGAACACTGTTGAGACGTTCGAGAACAGAATCATCTGCGAGCGAGATCTCGTCCAGCAAGAACAAGTGGCCCTCCTTCAACGACTGCACCAAGGGACCATCGTGCCATTCAAACAGAGTCGTGGCCTGGCGATAGGCGCGACGTAGCTCCGCGACCATCGCCTTGAGTTCCGTACCATCATCCAGCGTCCTTGTCTCGAGCTGGTTAGCCTTGACGAACTGCTCGAATGCAGTAACGACCACATCCAGATCCGCCTCCTCTGTGACAAATGTGATCTCACCGCCGAGTTTTGAGATAAAGTTGGTGAGCTCCACTTTGGTCGTGGCAACTAGACCCTGATTGTTACGAACGGGTCGCTGTCCTCCCAGCAGATCCGCAGTTTCGGTATTCTGATGGCAGTTGACGATCACCAGCTCGCGGCCGAGGTATTCCGACAACATCTGGCAGACCGTCGTCTTTCCACATCCGGTCTCTCCGACTAGCAGCACGGGCTCGTTGTTCTTGAGGCAGCGGCTCACAAGAGTAAAGAGTCGCTTCATAGCCTTGGTCCAGACCACGTTTTCACAACCGCCGTGGAACTTTTCGATATAGTCACGAACCTCGGCGCAGTTGTACATGATATCCAAGTCGATCTTGCTTCTCATGACCTCCTCCAAGACCTCCTTCACGACAGCGCGCTCTTCGTCCTTGCGACATCTCTCCGCCAAGATCATATAGCCGTCCATCGCCAACTCGTCATAGCTACCAGCGCCACGACCTGCCCATCTGAACAGATCACGTAGAGTGATAAATCCATGTCCCTGCTCAAAGATACGAGTCGTCTGACGACGGGCCATCAGTTTCTTGTATACCTCGACCAGACGCTTGCAGTAGCTTGGTGCCATTGTGCAGCGGCGGGAAAGAATCGTCTCCAACTCGCTCTCTGGGATCTCATCAAAGAACAGCTCCAGAAAACGGTTGCGGAATGCTCGGGAGAGTTGCTTACGTCCTCCGTACAATCCTGCGGGGTTCTGAGTTGCAAACAGCATGAAATCCGGGTGGGGCTTGACAATCTCACCAGTCTCGGGGATAACCAACTCGCGATTATCGTCCAGCAAGCGGTTGAGAGCTTCGAGGACATCGCTCGGCGCCAAGTTGAGTTCGTCCAGAACAATCCAGTATCCGTTCTTGAGGGCCTCGACCAATACACCCTCCTGGAAGACTAGCTGCCCATCAGAATTTGAAATGTACGTTCCAATGTACTCCTGCAAATCCGTGTGCTCGTGGTTGTTAATACGAACGAATTTGTGACCCAAACGATGGGCCAGGTACTCGATCATCGAGGTCTTTCCTGCGGACGTGGGACCCTGGATCAGGATAGGAAAACGCCTTGTCATGACCACGCGGGAAAGATTGTTGAGATTGTGCTCGACCGACGCTGTCAGGATATATTGGCCATCGTCCCGGATCGGATGAGATCCGCACTGGAGCCAGAAATGACCGAACTGAATCAGCTCCTTGCCCGATTCGCTTATCTCGGGTTTACGAGGAACCTGCGTAGTAAGCTGTCGTGGGTTCTTAACGCCGTTCAGCAAGTGTTTCTCGACAAGGGCCTTCACAACCCGCTCGCTATCTTTGCTGAGCTGGGTGAGGAATGTCATACTGAACGCCTCGTAGATCGACCGCCGCAGCCCGTATGTCGATACGATCTCGCGCACGAATTGCAGGGCTCTGGTCAATGTTCTCATAGAAAAGTGAGGTCTCTGGTTCGCACCATCCGCAAGTTTGTGTGCGTTACTCAGCGCCTTTACCGCCAAGTAGAAATCAGCAATGTCGGCAATGGCGCGATTGTCTCCCACGGCCGAGGATTCGAGGTATTTCCTGATGATCTCCAGCAAGTCCTCACGTCGGGCATCTGGCGGATGGACGTAGAATTCCGTGAAGCGGTTGCGAAGACCCGGAGGAAGATCCTTCTTGCCCACATCCGTTGCAGGGTTCATACAGGCGAACACCCGGAAGTTCTTGTGGCGCACGACCGGTTCAGAATCACCTCGCTCCGCTAACAGGATACTACCGCTCTCATCCTGAAGCAGGCCACTCAGACACTCCAATGTCTCTGTGGTTGCCAAGTTGATCTCATCCAACAAAATCCAGTCGCCTCGGCGCACCGCCTTGACCAGTGCTCCTTCTAAGAACGAGAACACGAATTTGGCGGATGATGCAGAGTAGGTCTCCTTGAGTGTTGCCAGCTGGTCCGCGAACGCCTGCCAATCCTTCCAGAGTGTCGGAGAAATCTTCTTGGAGGAGCTCAACTCGCCTCCTTCTGTCGATTGCTTGCTGGTATCCAGCTTGCTCTCGGCCATCTGAATGGATTGGGACCAAGTCTTGATCAATGCCTCCCATTTGCTGTGAACATACAGTTTGTCGACGAGGTTGATGAACTGCTGGTTCTTTTTCCTGGAGAAGGTTCGTGAGAACAGATCGTCGAACATGTTCTTCAACGGTACCGCGAGCACCTTGACATCCACCGGCTTGAACCCTCCCAAGAGATCTGAAGAGTCCGACTGCTGCGACAAGTTGATAACCGTGAGGTTGTGGTTCAAAAGACTGGCCAGGTGCTGAACAACTGTCGTCTTTCCTGTACCGGTCTCTCCTACAAGCAATACCGGTTCGTTCAAATGAACGGACACTGCAATTCTCTCCATCAGCTTGGCAGCATGAGCAGTCTTTGCGAAATCCGAGCGCCTGCTTCTTTTTCGTGCTCCACCCTGTTCCGTACTCAGAATCGGCAATGTGACACGGCCGATTGTGATGGTGTTGGGATCCCTGTCGTTGAGATCCGGAATATATGCATTGATGTAGTGTCGGACCATCTGTTCAGGAATGGTCAGCGCCGCACCGAGACGGATCAGAACTCTCTCCCAGACGTCATATTCCGCAATCATGGAGCAGAAACAATCCACCGCCTCCGAAAACAGATCCTGAAGAATGGCCGGGTCGACTCCTCTCTTAGTGCTGATCAAGTTCCCAAGAGCCATGTATCCTCCCTTTGCCTTGATGAGTGTATCAATACGCGTGCACCACTTCATAAGGTCCCTTGGAGAGATCACGCGAGAGACCATTGACTGCGACGATGAAAACTCTGGTGATGCAAATGTCGCCGAGATACTCTGAAAGACGCTCATGATCAAGTTTGGAAGAACTTGATCCCCAAGTTCATGAAACCGCTCGTGAATGATCTGAGACAGCTCCTGGTGCGAGAGGGAGTTGACCTGGACGTGGGTCCAGAGGTTGGCGCCGATGCTTCCGTCTGTTCCACTGACATTGCGGGCCATCATACGGCCAGATCGTGTTGGGATCATGGATTTGGTCGCAAAGAGTTGGAAGCCCTCGTGGGCGGGGATCTTTTCGCCGCGGCTGGGAATGAACAGTGTCCTGGACTCGAGCAATGGCAGGAGAACTGAAAGGACCTCCATGGGGGCAAGGTCGATATCCTCGATGAGGAGCCATTTTCCGTCGCGCACGGCTGTAGTGAGCACTCCTGCCTGCCATTTGAAAGATCCAGGCTTTGATGTTGAGACATATGTTCCGAGAAGCACTTTTGAGTCCGTCTGATCTCCGAGATGAATCTTCACAAGGTCTACATTGCACCGAAAATAGAATATATTAGCACCGATGCATCAAACCCGTTACAAAAAACCATTCAGAGCACGGAACATAAAAACCAAAGACCTACCATCACGACCAGTGACTCTTGCAACTTCTTCCACGAGTGCTGTCTTTCCGGCTCCGGTGACACCTTCGAGCAATACTGGAGCACCAATCGACAAGGCGAGTCCAATAGAGTGCAGGTTATGTTTTGTTGTTTCCGTGAGGACCAGCCTATGCTCCGGCAATATGGACTGCTCTGGATGCGTATTGTTCGACCGCGCAAGTAGAACTCCGCAAAGATTGACTGTCAATGGCGATAGATCCTCCGCTGTGATGCGTCTATGTGCGTCCTCTGCCGATGATATTGCTGAGTTTTTGAATAATGCAAGCTGAGCTGCGGAGATACGATCCTGTTCCATCAGTCTATAAAAAAAAGTGAGAGAGAGAGAGAATGGCCATAAAAATGAATTGTCAGAATGCCGTTTCCTTATGAGATTCCTTCAGCAATAACTTCATAAATGAGCAGGATGATCGGAAACTGCACTTACGTTAGCAAGTCAGCCCGGTACTTTTGCGATCCTGCAATCCAGCTGATATCTGTACCGGGTGTCAAATGAGCCTTGAGGGCCGTGCCGATCTGGTCATCCCTGATGTCGAGTACAATGGCGAGGCATCGAATAACGAGGTATTTCAGTGCATCGTCTGTGTGTGAAAGCAAGTTGTAGACAGGCGTCCAGTCCCAGAGCGTCGCAAATGTCGATTGAGAAAAGTTCAGGAGGCGGAAGCAGGTCATCATGGTGTCCTGAGCTCTCCTGGTCAGATCCTATATCGATTTACAAAGAATATACAGTTCAGTCATTCCGTCATTTCTTTCCGTTTTTTTTTTACAAATCTCTGCCCAACGGAGGCTGCTTACCTCTGAAGGTGATCGAAAGTCTTTTTCCGTAAGTGTATTAAGCCATTCCAGTGGCGACGGATATTGTGAAAAGAGGCGGACAGCAAAACTAGCAGAGCGATATTACACCCCAGATTAGTAACCGAATCTCACGTCAGAACTATTACTTTTTGTCCCGCGAACCAGATATAATACGATCATGATTGCATACCTCTTGACTTGAGGAACGATAGGAAGTATCAACGCAAAAGCCCGAGCCATGCTTTCCAAATCCTTTTGCGAATTTTTGTTATGATCTGCATCGGGCACGCTCCTGTCTTGTCCGATCAAGGGCGATGAGGTTGTATCAGCCGCAAGCCAGCGAGCCACCAGATCGAGGACAAGCGGTCTGAAGAGCTCCACGATCTTGATGGAAAAATGCTCGTTCTTGAGCAGGTACGAGATGATGTTAAGCGCCTTGTTGGTTTCGACGCGGGTGAGTGAGGCTGTACCGTCCGCAAAGACCACGAGGACATGACGCTGTGCCGGAGACAGGATTCGTTCTGTGAGTTTTACATGAGCCTGGGTATCAAGGAACTCGAGGAGGTCTGTTGTTGCAGACGACAGGTCCATGCTGAGTGGGTCGTGAATAGTGGGTGCCATGCTGAGAAGTGATTAAAAACGACGAAAGAGAAAAGACCTGTTGATACAAAAAAAGAAAAGAAAAGAAGAAAAAATGCGGGGTGAAGAATGATAAATGCAAAGGATAACAATAATATGAATAATGCTGGGTGTGTTTGAGTGTCTATATATCTCTTGGTGTCGTTGTGCTCGGCTTGAAGACTTTTCTTTTTTTATGTCTCAACAGGCAAGCGACAGGGGGGAGAAGCAGAGGGTCGTTATTGAAAAGAACACCTTCGCTGAATAAAATTTGGTGTGCTTTTTTTTTTTTTGTGGCGCAAGCCAATGAATCAAAACACAAATGCGACTGTCTTTTATTTGAAAAATTGCTGTGCCAACCGATCTATTGCAGCTTGGCCTTTACTTTGCTCTTGTCCTGGTACCGTGGCAAGAGAAAGAACTTGTAGATTGGGAAGAGGGTAATAATCGTCAAGAAGACAGTCCAGAAGTAGATGACCTCCTTGGGTGCAGGGTTGGGGAACTCTCCCTGGCCAAACTTGAATACGATCAAGACCTCGGTGGCGATACTGCCGATCAAGAGCCATGCCTGTGGTCCAATGCGCTTGCAATTGCTATAAAGATATACAAAAGATATTCTTATGAGCATTTCATTGGGATCTAATTGTATAGCGTCGATATCAATATATATAAAAGCACCATTGGCTGGTGTGGACACGTACTCGTCGTGGAAATATTGGTATGCCTCGCGCACTCCGGGGATTCCAAACATAAAGTACGCAAATATGCGGATAATGTTGATAGGGTGAGCTGGAGGCAGCCAGAGCAGTGTCTTGAGATAAAACGCGTTCAGCTCGCAGATCAGGAACTAAAAGTCAGTGTAATAACGACATGTTAGTACCGTCTAACTTGACTAACCATGTTTCAATGGGAAGATCGGTCGCACGTCTGCCTACCATGGTAAGGAGGAAGAGAACAGTGCAGTAGCTCTTAAAGTTTTTTGTGGAGTTCCATTCGAACTTTGTCCACGACTTTGGAGTGAACTGAGCCATCGTCCGCCTCATCTTTCCTTTGAGTGTCGGGATTTCTGCGAGTCCTTGCCACGAGTACTGCTTCATCTCAAAGTACTCGCAGGTCTTGACGCCGAGATACATGCCCAGCCAGTTACAGACCAACACATCCAAGATCCACTATGAAATAGGTTTGACAGTTGTCAATGTTATTAGCATCAAATAGCTTGAGGGAAACAAATGTTTCAAGCAGATACGCATCCGAATAGCCCAAGACTTACGTGATCCCACCAACACTCGTCAAAGTTGTTGAGCTGATGCGAGAGCGAGTATTCCATGACTTCAAACATCACTGACAAAATCCAGCAAAACGTGTAGTCGCGCAAGATCAGGGCCTTGCAGAACCAGCCAAGGGTATGGGCCACCACGAACTCGTCAAATACTTGGCTCTATCAAACAAATATCAAGAAAGCGGGAACGTGCGATGTATCCCAGGATCCAATGTCAGATTTTTTTGTGTTTTTCCGAGGTATTAAAGCAGAAAAATAAAATGATCCGTATGACCAAAAACTTATCAACCAGTCAATAAAGACCCTGAACATACCACGAAGTTGTCCCAGGTCAGTTCACAGGCGCCACCATAAGACTTTTCGGGCAAGGGTACGCCAAGGGAAGGATCCAGATACTTGAAATATAACCTCGCATCGTGTTTGTTCTAAGTGTTAATGAGGCAGAAGTTGTCAGATTACGTGCTTTCGTATGTGTTATGAGGACGATCGGATTATGGAACCAAAAGAATGTACAGAAGGATCATACCTGGAAGAGAAGAAAGACAAGGAAGAGCTGGTAGACAACGCCCAGCGACAAGACAACACGCCAAAGCGCTGGATGAGGTCTCAAAAGGAGACTGTCGCGGAACTGGAGCATTCCAAATACACAAAATGACCCTATCGCAGCCAGTAAACCACTAATCACGCAAGAAAACGAGAAGGTTAGAACCGAGGCAAGAGGATCCAGGGCGACTCCTAGAGGTCCTTTTGATGCTCGGAAATGACCCCATGACACCTACATCTTCACATTCGCGCTCGTATCGTCAATGTCAGGAGTCATAGCCACGTAGACAAGACCAAGAAGCATGGCTCCGAGAATGGTCAGCGTTCTCGGCGTATCTGTAAAAAATAAAAATAAAAAAGGACCCGTTAACCAAGCGTCGGATCCTAATTAGCATGCCTGCTCTTTCTTCCTGCTCCCTTTTATCCTTAGAGCCACGCATTGGGTTGATGCCGAAAATAGGGCAATTGCTTACAGACGAACCCAACGGCAGGATCTTGCTCTGCAGGTGTCTTTTGGAACTGCACCGAGGTATCCTTGGTGAACCACTCGGGCCTGTTCTCATCGATCGAGGAGTCTGATGCGAGTGAGAATGAGGATGAGGCGGATGCCTGCCTTGTCTTCAAGACTGAGCGATGGACGATGTCTTCATCGTGTGAACCAGAGAAATTGAGTTGATCCTTGGCCATCTTTTCTGCGTGTTTGCACTCTGTGCCACCGAAAAATGTATGGCTGCTCTGTATTGGTAATGTTGCCCTGGGAATTAAAGAGATCGTTCGTTGGCTGATGCGGATGCGATGGACAGACGGACTATTGCAACTCGCTGTCTTTCCTGCAAAGGGGGCGGTAAGAGGATCGAATGGAAACAGGAAGAAAGAAAGGAGGAAGAGATGCGCGCTTTGGTTGATCGAAGTGCCATAAGGCCTATTCTATTTATTATTTAAACTAGAAGCAGGCTATATGTACAACCCCGCGGTTGATTTGGTTGATTGATTTGTTGAGCCAAATAGCAACAAGCATCTTTGTTTACAAGGACGAGGGGTTGCTCAGTGCAAGGATCCTGCGGTCATCCTGACCTCGAGGACAACGTTCGTGACCATGCAAACGACGTACACACCCACCAGGATGAAGCCCCACCACCGACACAGCATATATCCGCATCTCGGCACCACCACCATCGTTCCCAGCATCGATACCAGCACCCCTCCTAGGGACACCAGGAGCGTGGGAGAGACGTCTAGGGTAATCGGCGACCCTGTGGTCAGAGTTACATATGTGCCACTAATCCCTACACCCAGCAGCATGTCTGAACATAATTTTGTTAGTGCACAAGTCATCAAAGGGACGCATTGAACTATGGACTTTTGATACTTACTAAGAAGGGGGCCGCCAAAGCAGGCCGAGAACGCCATGCGAGGGAAACCCATCTTCGCGATTGTGATATTGGCAACGAGATCTCCCAGGCTATTTCCCTATGATCCGTTGAGACCGCAAAAGAAAACAATAATAAGTTGAACGAACATCTCTCAGTTCCCAGTTGCTCTAACTTTCTTCTCGAATGGACGATACAACGGCCGCAATTGATAGCCTTACCATGGCAAACACTGTCAGCCCAAGGATCGCATCACTGATGCCCAAGATCATGCCAAACGCCTGTAGAATCCCAACGACTTCATTCGCTACGACAAAAATCCATGCCATGGCCACCAGAAAACCGAGGAACGCCAGGGCCTCATAGAATCGAGGCGGCTTCTCTTCCGTACTGAAGAAAAAGAGCAATACTGACATGATAACTCCAACGCCAAAGGCGGCAAGGACGATCACTGGACTCTTACCAGCTGCACCTAGATAACAAAGCATTTGAATCTGTTAATGTTATCATGAATAAAAATTAAGCTGCCATAATGGGCTTTTAAATGCCAGTTCCTTACTAGTAATAGCTGCTGTGATGAAGACTGGTGCGGCGATCATTTGGACCATTGTCGCCACTCGGCACCAGCCATTGTACGCTCTTTCTTCGATGCTCTGATTGCTGCCTAATGTGTCCTCGGACGACCTTGATTCGTCTTGGGCATGTTGTACGCGAGGAATGTCAGCATCTCGCGTGTTATCCTCAGAGATATTGACCACAGGCAAGGTCAGGGTCAACATGAACACGATAGGGATAGACCCTACGGCGAGGATCTTGAGGATCCACGACTTTTCATTCCACGCTAGTAGTGTTGGAAAGTATACGGGCATGAACCATTCGTTGAAGAATAATGTGCACCGTCGTCTGCGTGAAACCACTGGAATGTTGTCTTGGAAAGACCCGCCTGGTGGTACTTGAAAGATAGGACTCCTTGGTCTGTTCGACGGGTCACTGCGATCAGGCAGAATCAAAGAGTGATGGAGCAGGGCCTGTTGAAACTGGGTATAGCTTGGGTCGTGGTTCGGGTCGTCACCCTGCGACGGCTTTAATACGTGAATCACATCGGCACTCTCCCTGCGGACAGCAATATATCCCTTTCGCTTATTCTGTGTCATGACTAGGCTTACGGGTGGTTGAGCCTGTTCAATTAGGATTGCGGGACAGCGTCTAGCTGAAGACTTTGAGTTGTAGCTTGGATTGAATGGTGCCACGATATTAGAAGGAGGAGACATTGCCATCATGTGGGTATCAGACTCGAGGCCAGCGTCGAGATCTTGGGCCATTTGACCGCGAACATTTTCGATAGAACCAATCTCGTCGTCGCGTTTCGAAGAGTGAGCACTTTCAGCATCATTCTGTTCCACCGTAGCATCGACCTCTGGACCTGCCAGCGATTGTTGGGTAAGGCGTGCGTTCTTCAAATTACCGAACACGACGATTATGACATAGGAGATATAGGCCGCGATAAGGATCACACTCTGGACAAATGTGATCCTTTTGGACAAAACCATGTATAATGTGAATAAAATGCAACCTGTGAAGAATATGGTGTCCCGGAAGAACGGCGCAGGGCTCACTTTAAAGGGCCTCGCGATGGTCATGGATCCAATAACGACGGACGAGATAAATGAAGCCGCGCCTACAGGAGCGAGTATCATCGTGTTAGTCAAGGGCGTACGAACATATTTAAAGCGACCATGGTTCGGGTTGAACAAGAGAAATTACCGACAACTTCGCCCACGGCCAGCGTCTCGCTACCAGCACCAAATGCAGAGAAGGTGCTAAAGATGTCCGGCGACGCGTTACCAAAGGCAAGGAACGTTACACCTGTCTAAGTATCATCAGAGATGTCAGTGAGGATACCGTAATACAGTAGTGCCAGGCCACGGCTCAAAATATAAATGCTCTTACCATGCTCTCGGACAAATGGAGTTTTTTGGCGATGGTATTGAGGTTGGGGCCTATGTTACACAAAAAATGTCAGATGGACAGAGCATTCCTTTCACACTCAACTGGCTTCAGGAATAGACAGTGAGGCCAGCCTACAAAAGAAATCCGATGCTGCAATGCCGACCAGCGCAAACAGAAACACCATCCATATAGCCTAGCACAAAAGGCAATGTAGGGTCAGGAATGCACTTAAGAAATTCTTACATAGCGCTCTGAATAGAACATAGAATTATGATGGAGTTACCAAGAGGATGCAGGCGAGTGTGTGCAGTGCGCTCAGGTCGCAAAAGTAAAAGTGAAGGTAGTTGATCAACCCGGCATGGTAGTCAGCGCAAAATCCTTGTACGTATGCGCAGTGGTCGCTATGGCTCCACACATCTTCGCACTATGGAATGGATGCATAGATCAATGGGTTAGAGGGAAGAAGTATATATTAATAGTCATGTCAAAGACCACTATCGCATTTAGTCGACTAAAGTGATCCAGTGGGCATTTGGACATTAATTGTACCTGAGACCCGTCGGCAGGATCAGCCCGCTTGAACAGATGAGCAGCGATTCCGCCAGGGGGTCGCGAGTGATGTTTTGGCCATAGATGGGTGACGATGTGGACAAAAGCAAAGAGGGTGATGAGGACGTAAAACGGCCGTGCTTCGCTGGCCATGACAAGAGAGGGAAGATGGACGGTAGTAGCGGTAGATGAGGTCAGAAACGGCGCGAGAAGGGGGAGGAGGAGGATAGATATGACTGGATGGAGAGAGAGAAAGAGAGAGGTGGAGTCGAAAAGACGGCGGTGTAGAGACAAAAGAGGATGGCAGACTTTTGTGCCAGCAGCTATTTTCAAAGACGACGTCGTGTCTCGGGCTGGCTGTCTGCGAGTGAGGCCGGTTGAGACAGCATGCACTCACTCCCTTTTTTTTCCTTTTGGCCGATCTGTTTCTTTGTTCCGCTGCAAGGTGGCTGCCATAAATGGAAAAAGTTGGCGCACGACTTGCAGTCGAAATGCTCTCATGCACACTTGCTCATCCATCCCATCCACATGGATCGCTCCTCTCTCTCTCGGCCCCTAATACGAGGATCTGCCGAGAACCCAATGCATACCGCTCCTCTCCCGGGATATCTTCCACTAGCTTGTGTCACAAAGCTCTCCATGAAATATATGAACTATTTCGAAAAACCCTCCAGGAACATCGTTTCGCCATTTCCTCACTCGGCCTTGTAATTGCAATTACACACCAGGCTCTGTCTCTCTCTTTCTCTTTCCCAGAGGATACCTAGGGCTGTGTTTGTGACTTCGAACGAGCCAGGCGTCAAAAATAAATGGGCTTCCAAATCGATCCTACGACGTTCTGGCCTCTAACAGCCCGCCGTTGAATACTGCTCAATAGGAATGCCATACCTAGAATCCAGCAAGTGAATAAACATCTCTAGCCTCCGGTCATCTGAGGTAGCTGGTGCCTGCGCTGCAGCTTGGGTCGTTCATGATATCCTTGAGCTCTTTGTTGCTGTGATCTCCAGCCCCCACTCTGTCTTGTCTTTAACGCTCATCTTCTTCACTCGCATTCTGCCTTACATACTTGCCGTTGTTTAACACTCGTTTTTTTTTTTTTTTTTTTTTTTTTTTTTTTTTTTTTGACATCCATGTTGACATCTAGAAAAATCAAAAAGAGGCAGGCTTTCCTGCTGAATTACGGAAGCGGACCAAAATCCTACTTCAAGCGGGAAAGCGCCGTGATAATGGCTGTTGTCACGATCCTTATTATCGGTGCCGGTGCGTTTGGCCTCTCTGGCGGGTTCCTAAGCATCGGCTACCTCTTTTTATTAGCCCTTATTGGCCTTGTCATTGGCTTTATCGCAACGTTTCTTGTAAGTGCTTTTTAGTGCGCACATGTTCTACTCTCCAGCGATCATCAAGGCTGTATGATAAATAACACTCTACTCGCAGGCTTACCATTACCAAGTGACGCAGGCACGCAAGACCATGGCTTCGGTTTTCCGACCCTGAAACTGACTTTCATGGTGCGCTCAGCAGCAGGGACATGGATATGACCTGGAACGATGCATCCGTCTATGTCATCCCGCCACCGCAAGCCGTCACTCGTTCTTTGTAGAAGACGACTTACGACAAGCATCGCTTGCATATTGCTCTCAGCCCTGCAGGACACTTCTGCAACATACCTCAAGCAACCAATAGCAATCTCAACTGTCAGGGAATGGCTGTAACGCACTTTAGGCTGTAACGGTTTTTGAAGGCAAGCATGCCATGTGGCAAAATGGCCGCATGCCCTTGCATTACTGCGCCCATTGCCGCGCTATCGGAGCGCCTGCTGTATGCAAAGCGAAGGAATAAATGTTGGTATACGCCTAGGGATCTGGCGTCGATAAAAAAAAAACATTGTTTGATGCCTCTGTCGCGTTTCGCCCCGATATCAAAGAAAGGGATGGGAAAAGACGCCAGCTCCCGGTTCCAACACGGTCGCAAACGCACCATTTTGACTGTGGATGTGAGTGATGTCCAGTCGCCATTACAGCCTGCACCAGCACATATGCATGCATACACACGACACTCATCTTGGGACTTCCCTCCACTCCCTTCGCTTCCACTGCTTCACTGGATGCCATGGGTATGGGCGAACATATCTCTTCTCCTTTCGATTCTCTTCCTCATTCTTATTCATGTTCCTGTAATTCCTGTCACCCTCTCCGGCCCGACCGCTTCTTGGCGAAGAGACCTCTCCGTATACCCCATTGACATCAGTAAGGACACACCACACCCTGCAACAAAGTGTGGTGTCCATACCGCCCCTCGTCCGTTGTAAGTGCAGACAAACATGTTGGCGGGTTAGTCCCATTCTTTGTTGATTCCCCCAAAGGGCCTCTCCCTGTGCGCCGCATACACTATACCACACTACCACTGGCACGGGCTACAGTGCAAAATGCTCTTGCATGGATGTCACTGGTCTGAGCCCTGCACCGCAATACTTGCATCATCGATTTGCGGAGAAAAAGAGCGTGGGACGGGTGACATCTTCAGTCACCCCCTTTTTCAGGGACAGGGCACGCCACGACCATAAATGACATGGGAACAATTAGCACCCCGGGCTTCTTCTCGTTCTACCTCCTCTCTTCTTTCGCCTTTCGTTTTCCGTCTTTCGTCTTTCTTTCTCATCCACTCACCAACCTCCTTGTCTTCTTTCCCTCACTCCTTCTCTTCTTCCCCGCTTGAAAGCACCTTTCTTCTACTTTACCCCGCTTTCGAAAAAAAGACGCAACTTGGACGCCTTTAATGATATAAGATCTAAGCGGCCTTTTTTTCTCTTCTTTATATCCGCACTCTTCTGTCTTCTTCATTACAAAGGAAGCAAGCCCGCAAAGGACCGACTCTTCAAGGAACCACCTCTGGAATATCATACAACGAGGAAACAATCGACCAATATAGTCGAAACCCGGTTTATTACAACATTATCACGACCTGCTCAGCACCTCGCCCCACTGACTTTGTACACAAGGACAAGCAACCATGCTGTCGAACGCGAGGGAGCTCAGACCCATGTCGACCCTGATCTCCGTCTCGTCAATTGCCGACCTGACCCTGGCTGGAGATACAGAGGACGTAACAGGTAAGAACTCGGTCGATTTCGTTTTTAGCGGCGTGAAGGCAGTCAATCATGGGTACCGGAGCTCTGCGTTCCTGGGGGCTACATGGATTTGAGGACAATCCCATTGCTTCCGGACTCAACATCAGAATGGGACGCCAAAGATTCAGCAATGGATATCGATAATGATCGAAGCAAGGATGAGATCGAACAAATCAGTCAAAGGTTGTTGCAAGGGAACGAAATACTGTCATAGTTCCCTTCCCCCTTTGTCGCTGTTCATCCCTATATTATTGCACTTCATCGTGTTGCTGGTGCTTTCTAAAATCGGGCATGTGGCCAGATGACCTTTTGTCTACAACAAAACAGTACAAAAACACCCCTATTGCAGAAAAATAAGGAGATGCTTTGGTCACGGACGGGTGGTAGTGGTGGTGGAGCTACAGACAGCAGGGGCGAATAGCAGAGATGTTACGAACTGGCCGGAACGTCATTTACTGACATGGAACTGCGCCGCGCATTGCTTTGTTCGCTTGTCCCTAGGTATGAAGGGTCGCATCCGACTGACACGAGAAGATGGTGTACGAGGAGGCCGTTGGATGGACCAGTCTCGCAAACAAGTGCAAGCATACGACTATCTGTGCCATATCGGTGAAGCAAAAGAGTAAGACCAAACGGACCGAAAACGACATGGATGCGTTCGATTTCGGGCACCATTTTTACTCACAAAGCATTCCTTCTATGTGACCATAGATGGATTGAGGCCTGTATCAATGAAGAAATCGACGCAATCACAACGCTGGAGGAGAGTCTTCGCAACGGTGTTGTCCTTGCCAAGCTCGCACGCTTCTTTGATCCCCCATCTGTAAAAAAGATCTTTGAGGTATGTTTTCATGGGTCATTTCGAGCACAAGCATGGCATTTTTGAGCTAGTTCCTGAGTCTGATTTCTTACCGCGCATTATGTCATAGCACCCTGTACTACAATACAAACACTCTGACAACATCAACTGTATATTCAAGGCCATGCGAAATATTAAGCTACCAGAGGCAAGTAGTCTATTTTTTCACATTTGCATTGCATGGAAATGTCGCAACCGGCCAGCCAACTAACTAGCCCACAAATGGTCCACAAATGGTCCACATAGATCTTCATCTTCGAGCTGACAGATCTGTACGACAAAAAGAACATCCCAAAGGTCATCTACTGCATCCATGCCCTCAGTCACATGCTCGCCAACAAGGGCATGGCTCCCAACATCAAGAACTTGGTCGGAGAACTTCAGTTCACGGACGCAGAAATCCACGCCACACGCCAGGGACTGGACGCAGCTGGAATCTCCTTGCCCAGTTTCGGAAACGTTGGATCAGCACTCGCCAAGGAGCTGAATGGACCCGAGATGGCCATTGCAGAGGTCATTCCTGAAGAGGAAGAGGAGGAGGAGGAGGAGGAGCCAGAAACGCTACTCTCAAATCAGGAGCTGCGTGATTTATTCTGGGCCAACAATACGGACTCAATCGTTCGCTGTCAACAGCTGTTCAGGGGTGCGCTGGAGCGCAAGCGGTTCTTGGAGCGACGCAATCTTCACTACCAGATGGAAGAGTTCCTGATCAAGGTGCAGGCACAGAGCCGTGGAGAACTGGTGCGGCGGCGTTTTTGGCATCGAGTACAACAACTTCGGGCGTTTGAACCGCAGGTCGTCACCGTAAGTTCATCCTTTTCATTTCTGTATGCATGATGACATTATCTGTCTACCTGTCTACCGAGTATCTTACCCCCTTTTTTTTTATTTTCATTCATTCGTAGATTCAAGCGCACCTTCGTGGATTCCTTCAGCGCAAAAAGTATCAAGACCGACAGAATTATTACAAAGCCAATGTCAATACTATCGTCAAGATGCAGAGTCTCTTCCGAGCTAAGGCTGCGGGAGAGGCTTACAGAAGTCTGAGTATGTAATATTTTCTTTCGAAATGTTTGGTCTCCGCTATATGGAATACTTATTATTTTTTTTTTAAATGAATTTTGTAGCCACGGGAGCGAGTCCACCAATCACAACGCTCAAGACATTCTTGCACCTCTTGAATGACAGCGACTTTGATTTCGAGGAAGAACTGGAGCTCGAGAACCTGCGTCAGCTGGTAGTCCGGAGGATTCGTGAGAACACGCAGTCGGACGCGCAATTGAACGAGCTGGATATCAAGATTGCGCTTCTGGTGCAGAACCACATCACACTGGACGAGGTCATTAAGACGACCTCCTCCTTGACCAAGAAGAAGGCACAGCGCCGGTTGTCGATGCCGGCCTCTGCGACCAATAACCCGTACACGCTCAAGTCGCTGGATCGTGAGAGTCGTGATCGCCTGGTGCTGTACCAGCAGCTGTTCTATTTGCTGCAGACTCAGCCCGCGTACTTTAGCAAGCTGTTCTTTATGATGTCCAAGACCGGCTTGTTCACGGATCGCATCAAGAAGCAGATCGAGGGCGTCGTCTTGACCTTGTTTGGATATGCTCAGAACTCGCGTGAAGAATACCTCTTGCTCAAGCTGTTCAAGGTAGAGAACATGACAGAGCTACTGGCATGACTTTCCTTGGTTCATTTACCTCAAACAAGTGCCTAACGCAATACCTATTTTTTTTTTGTTTTTTTTTTTTTTTTTTTTTCGTTTTCCATCTCTATCTCCATTTTCATCTTTAGCAATCCATTTTCGAGGAAGTTGGCGAGATCTTGAATGTGAACGACTTTATGCGCGGTAACTTTATGTTTGTCAAGATGGTCATGATCTACGTCCGTGGTGCCAAGGAACGCAGATACCTCCGCGACCTCTTGGGGCCCCTCGTTCGACAAGTTCTGGAGGATGACTTTTTGGATCTCGAGAGTGACCCTCTTATGGTAAGGCATCGTCGTCCTCATGATATTAATGATCCACACTTACTTCTCGGGAAAAAAAAAAAATCATTCACTCACTCACTCACTCTATATGGTCTATGCTATTCGCTCAATAGATCTACAAAGCCAGCATCAACAACGAAGAATTGAGGACAGGACGTCCCTCGGAGCGCCCTCTCCACATCGATCATACGGAAGCCCTGAACGACCCAGAGACCCGCACGACATTCATCCGTCATTTGCAGGAGCTCCGTCTCAGGACTGAAATGTTCTTGGATGCCATTTTGGAGAGCTTGCCCAGGATGCCTTATGGTATTCGATACATTGCCAAGGAGGTCGGAGATGCGCTCCGCTCAAAGTTCCCACATGAGCCCGAGGAGAACATCACCAAAGCTGTCGGCAACCTGATCTACTACCGATACCTCAACCCTGCTATTGTGTAAGTAATTCGATGCTGATTATTTTTTATTACCAAAGAAGTTTGCTAAGGAAAGTGGACTAATTTTTACGTTTTCTTCTTAATTTAGTGCACCCGAGGGATTCGATGTTATTGAAGGAGTGGTCAACCCGATGCAGCGAAAGAACTTGGCTGAGATCTCCAAAATGCTGAATCAGATCTCTGTCGGCAAGCTGTTCTCGGACGACAATGTGTATCTCAAGCCCCTGAACGAGTACGTCGGTTATGCTGGCGCCCGTTTCGCCAAGTACTTCAAGAGCGTTGTCGAGGTCGTGGAGCCTGAGAAGCAGTTCGAGGTCAACGAGTATGTGGACCAGGTGAACACGATCCGTCCAACGGTCTATATCTCGCCCTACGAGATCTTCAACATGCACGCGATGCTGGCCAGTAGGATCGACGTCCTGGCACCGGAGATGGACGATCCCTTGAGGGTCATCCTTTCAGAGCTCGGAAACCCACCATCGGGATATGAGGAGCACTCACAGGGTCATGGAGAAGTGTGCCTGACACTCCAGAACCGGTTCACGGCGAACTTGGATGATCCAGACATGGATTTGAAGCACCTGTTTGTGGAGACGAAGCGATATATCCTGGCGATTATTCGTATCCAGTCCGGAAAGAACTTGATGGAGATCCTGGAGAGAAGGGTGACGATCCATGAGGAGCAAGCATGGGAGGAGCTGAAGGCGACAGAGTTGAACAGACAACAACACCATCAACGCCGGATCAACAACGCGTCAGGATCATCGATCGACGACCGTTTGAGGAACACGACGAACAACATGATGGCAGACATGAACGCGATGCGGTTCATTGAGCTGAAGCAGCACGCGATCGACGGAATCCTGCAGCTCGAGTCGACGGGCAAGGTGACGCGCAAGAACGGGTATCAGGATATGATCAGCGCGATCGCAGTCGATATCCGGACGAAGCACCGTCGACGGATCCAGCGTGCGGCGGAGCTGAACCGGGTCAAGCAAACGCTGTCGAATTTGAACGAGAAGAAGCTTTACCTCGAGAACCAGATCAAATCCTACCACGATTACGTCGAGTCGTGCATGACGAACATCACGACGAAGAAGGGCAAGAAGCAGCGATACGTGATGCCGTTCACGAAGCAGTACTTCCATATCCGGAACCTGCAGCGACATGGCAGGTTGCCCCAGTTTGGTTCGTTCAAGTACACGGCTCAGAAGCTGTTCGAGAAGGGTGTGCTCTTGAACCTCGAGGGCGTATCACCAAAGCAGTATTCACAGATCTCGCTCACGATCTCCTGTGATGAGCCGGGTCTGTTCCAGATCGAGGCCGAGGCATCCATCATGATGGTCCGCATGCCGGTGACGAGTATGGAATTGCGACTCGAGGATCTGTTGCAGTGCCAGTTCAATAATATCCAGATCATGAGTCTCTTTGATAATATGGCCAAGGTCAACGTCAATCTGTTGCTCTTCCTCGTCAACAAGAAGTAAGTATCTGTCGTTGGAGATCTCTTTTTTTTTTTGGACACGATCAAGATTCTAACAAAAACTGTTCCTTCCTTTACTGTGCATAGATTCTATGTCTAAATAGAAAAAGTGTTCGACCAGCCCGGTCGATATACCGATAAATCCAAAAAAAAAAAAAAAAAAAAAAAAAAAAAAAAAAAAGCGCGAACCTTCAAAACGCACTTGTAAGAAAGAATACCACACTAAGACCTAGTTACCCACACAAAAACAAATAATAAACTCAAAAATAATATCAAGCAAAAACTTTTTCTTTATTGAAAACGTGAAAGAAAAATGCTACAAGAGTGTGTGAGTGCGTGTATGTGTGTGTTGGCGCGGGGTGGTAAGAAGCAAAGCTATGTCGTAGGAGGGAGATGAGGGCGGGCAGATTGTTGAAAGATGTCAAATGTCGCGGGTTGAACGCAGAGGTATGCGAAATGGTATGGTATGTTGATGTTGTATATCTTTTGCCTGCAAGTTCAGGTTTAGAATCCTCAGTTGAATCCGTTGACCTCCATGGGCAAGTCGTGCACGACGGGCGAGAGCGCCTTCCAGTTGTCAAAGAGACTCTGACTGGTCTTCATCTGTCCGTGCACAAAGGTCTGGTACATGCTTGCGATCTGGGCATGGCTCTTGTGGTAGTACGTGATTTCCATCCACAGTGTGTGCTGCAGCAAAATCGCCCGCTGGTTCTGGACCCTGAGCTCTTCGTGGTCCTGCGTGTCCATCATGTTCCAAAACAAAAATAATAAAGGTCCGTGTTAGCAAGCAGTTCAAAAACAAGCAAGAGCATATCTTCTTTACAGCTGAGCACCATCTTATTGATCCTTACAGAGTTGATGTTATTCGTGATCTTCTCGATCTGCGCATCATATACTCCCGCCGAGGATGAGTCCCCGCCTGCTGCTCCATTGCCTGACGCCCCTGCAGCCGACGCTGCCGAGTTCCTCAACGTCTTCAGTTTCGCCTCATTCGACGCGATTCGCTTCTTCAACATCTCGGCCGCATTGCCCTCCCGTGACCGATCTCGCCTCTGTAACAGTTCCTGCGTCGACACCAACAGATCCCGATGTCTCTTCAGATTCTCGACCATCGCCCGATGTGTCGTCCGCGCCTGATCTTCCAGTAAGTGTGAGGTCTGATTGATATGGGAGCTGATCTTGCCGTAACCTTGAGCCAACTGTGCGCAGTTGTAGCAGTCTTCGATATGGCACTTTCTCTCGCAATCTGCCAGTGCACTGCAAAATACATAGATAGCAAAAGGAGCAGGAGTTAGTAAATGTATATAACCCTTTTCAATTTTCCCTCCCCTTTTCCTTTTCATACTCATACAAGCAAAAAGAGCGAGTAGAAAAACGACACTTACTTCAGTGCAAGACTGAATCGGGTATAATCGGCCGCACTAGCCTCCGTTCGCTTCTGGATCCTGTCCAGGACATGCACCATACTACGATAGTACTCGATCGACGCTGGCAGTCGCCGCTTAATGCTCTCCAGTTCCAGATCGAGTGTCCCCGGAATCTGCTTCGCAAACGCATCCGAAATCGGAAGTCGTGTCGTGAACTCGTCCTCTGTCGAAATCACCACATTTTTCCTCCACAGCGCCAGCTCCTAGTCCGATCAAAAGATACGATACCCCACCGCCATCGCGTTAGCGCATCAAAAAAGAAAGAATATAACATGCACATGTTTATATCCATGGTACAAAGTCGTCAAGACAGTACAAAAAAAAGTGCTCGCTTACCACTGGCTCTGTTAAGAACGATACGACGAGTGGATCGTTCCTCAAGACTGGATGCCTGACCAATGCATTCATGAATCGAGTGAGTCCACGCAGTCTCCGCTCCAAGAATACCTCATCCGCCACTAAAACATTCGATACAACAACAACAAAAAGAGAGCGACAGGATATGAATGAGAAATATAGGACATAAGCGAGAAGCATACAAGCATACAATAAAAAGCAGTGAATGAGCAACACACCGCCTAGCCGTTTTGGTGGAAGGTTAGGAAGAATCCTGAACGGAAACCTCTTTGCAAGCACCTCCAGCATCCACCAAAAGTCGCTGTAACGCCTAATAACTGTTGTTTGTCGATTCTATCGCAAGTGCAAGTAAAAATTTAAAAAGTTAGCACAATCGTTTGAGACAGCCCTTCATTCCCGAAGAGATCTCCCGGAGCTCACCTTAGACTCGACAATATAATTCGTATGCTTGAACAAGAACACACCCTCCTTCTCCGGCGCAAAACTAATCCCAATCGTATCCACATTCAAGAACCACTGGTACATTTCCTTCCGTGTCGCCTCCGGGTCCACGCTCTGCGGCACTTCTGGGGACGAGATCGGTGGCGAAGCCAAGAATGATGGTGCTGGGGGATACCCTCCATTACCGATGCTGCTGAGCTTCGAAGCCGTCGTAGTTGAAATGGTCGAATACCTCCAGGGATCCGAGACACTGCTCCCTACATGGACCGGATGATGCACTCTCGGCAGCGAAGACGACGCTGAATAGATATCGGGTTCGTTGACGCTCTCAAAATCGATGAGCTCCAGACCAGGCAGATGAGGGATCGGAAGGTCTAGGATTCAGTTCAATACGCATTGACCATAAGAAATATAAAGGCGCACGGGATGAGAGTTTTTTTTAGCGTATTGCATATCTTGACGTTTTTCAGCACATGTAGATCCCGCTTCTCTTTTGCTCCCGTGTGTTGTTGTTATTATTGCTGTTGTTTTTCAATGGTCCTGTTTCTTTATGTATTTTTTTTTCCCGGCTCTTCTTACCTTCGCGATGAGCTGTCAAATTCTCGATGGTAAGATCCATGTTCTTCTGAGCCATGGCCACGAGCGCCAGGGTGACACTGCACTCTCCCTTCGTGATTCTCGATCGCGTGGGTGCCACCACGATATTCAGAATCTACACCAGCAAATGTATTTTTTTTTTTTACCACGCAGCAACAGGATTGTTAGAGTTGTATAATACCAATAGCAATAATAATGAATTAATAACCGATAGACCAACCCTCCATTGCGCACTTTATTATCATTACGGGAGACATTTTCCCAAAAGGAATTTTCCTTCCCTTCATGCTTTTCGCCCCGCTTCCCTTTACCCCTGCGTCTACTTATCACCGTTTTCCGTTGCATGAAATCATCATCATCCTCTTCCTCGTGCTTTGCACATCTTTTCCTTCGACTTCCACTTCCCATTTTCCTCTTCCCATTTTCGTCAAGTTTTTCCACAAAATGGAACTATTAAATCCACCACACAAAAAAAAAAAAAAAAAAAAGTACCTTATCGACGGTGGCCGGGGGTAGACCGCTAACACCCAGGATCTTGTTCAATGCCAGGACGGTGATTTTCCCGCCCACGGGTTGTGCCAGATCAAACGCCGTCGTGTAGATCTCTGGCAACGGCAACCCCGCTTCACGAAGAAAGGAAGAAAGGAAAGTAGGATTTGTTAAAACTCTATGAGCTTCACACGACTTACCATAGCGACAAACGCATGCATTGATCACGAAAGTAAGATAGAACAGAACAAAAACAAAAAAAAATTGGATATTGCATAAGCTTACAGAGAATGGTGCTCAGGTCCAGAGGATTGAGACCTCGGGGGGTGGTGGCGCCCCAAGGGTCGCTGACCTCGAAAGGCGGTGCGGAGAAGGAAGCCGTCATGGCCTCGCTCGCTGTCTGGACTCCGTTCATGTCTCCGACTTGAAAGAGGGAAGAGAAGCAGTGAAAGAAGTGGTGACTGTGGGCTAGGAACCGGGAGAGAGAGGGGGGGAGTTAGCGCAGTCGTGGAGTCGAGGATCAAACAAAGGTGCGGGTGGGAGGGAATAAAGAATGGGGAATGAGGAATGAAGGAGAAGAAAAAAAAAAGAGAGGAAAAGAGGAATGAAACCGATGGATTCGAACGAGTTTTCGTTTTGATGGCGCGTCTGCGTCCGTCCGTCCCCCTCTTTCCCTCTGCGCTCAGCTCTCTTTCCCCACTGGACTGTGCCCTGCTTTCATTGGCTGGCTACTTTCCTGCTCCACCCACCTGGAGCAAGTACCACATCTGCACCAAGTCCGCACCTGCACTGCACTTCACCGTAAGCCCCGTCATATACCTTCTTCCTTCCCATCCTGGACAACTATCTGCCTGAACGAGCATCTCCTTGGGCTTACTTTGCGAAGCCAACATCGCTTCAACAGCACCTGAACGAGGTCTCAGATAGGGCCTCCCTCCAATCTGTTACACTAACCGCACCTTGTCGTCGCTATTTCTTTTTCTTTTTCCCCCCTTTTTACGCGTCTCTTCCTCTTAGCAGCTTTTGTTTCTTAATGAATGTATGGGTGCTGTTTCTTTATTGCATTGGTCGATGCTTGTTATTTTTTTGTGTCTATCTACAGAAATGAAAAAAAAAAATGCTATTGTCCTTCTTCCGTTTTAGTGCTGATCAGGGAAGTGCTCCTCCAACCATCTCTCAGAGTCCAAGGCCGCCATGCATCCCGTTCCAGCACTGGTCACAGCCTGGCGGTATCTCTTGTCCTGGACATCTCCAGCTGCAAACACGCCGGGAAGGTTGGTCTCAGTCGTGCCGGGGATAGTCTTGATGTAACCATCCTCATCCAAGTTCAACTGGCCCTTGAACAGTGCGGTCGCGGGGACGTGACCGATCGCATAGAACAGACCGTTGACGTCCATCGTGCGGGTCTCCTTCGTCACAGTGTCCTGGAGAACGAGCGACTTGAGCAACTTGCCATCACCCTTGGTCTCAATCGGGACAGTGTTGTACAGGATCGTGACCTTGGGGTGGTTCGACAAACGGTGGGCCATCACCTTCGACGCACGCAGCTTGTCGCGACGAACAAGCACGTACACATGCGAAGCTATACAGACCGCAAAAAAAAAAGGGTAAAGCAGAACAAGGAAAAGTGAGTCAACAGGTTGAGCAATTGACCAGCGAGCGTAGCTTGTAATCGAACAAAAGTATGTGCTATGTCCGTACCATACTTGGTGAGGTAGACAGCTTCCTCAGCAGCAGAGTCACCACCACCGACGACAGCCAAGGGCTTGTTCCTGAAGATGGGAACAGCACCGTCGCAGACTGCGCAGGCAGAGATACCGGCCTGCCAGTAGATGTCCTCGCCGGGCAAGTGCATGCGCTTGGCAGAAGCACCGGTCGCAATAATCACAGAGTTGGCAGTGTCCGTGGGCTGCTCATTGTCCTCCTCGCCCTCGCGCCAGAGCTTGAAGGGCTGGGAGGTCAAGTCGACCTTGCCGATGGTCTCGGTGTGAATGACGGTACCGAAGCGGATGGACTGCTCACGGAACTTGTCCATCATCTCTCCACCCATGATACCCTCAGGGAAACCTGTATAGTTGAACGCGTACATCATATTAGCAATGCTGTAAGAGCAAAATGGATGATCAATCCATCCCAGTTCATTTCAAATCCCGCAGGTAAAAAAAATAAAAATAAAGACACATGTGCTACTGTAACTAATCCAGTAGCAAGTGATCATCCCATGGACGCCCACAAAATAGCCTTTTTTTCCAGTATCCATTCCATTCCAGACACCCTTGCTTTATCTGATCAATATCCGTCAAGTCCCGATCCCATCCGTTTTCTTTAAACGAAAAAAAAAAAAAAAAAAAAAAAAATGTCGTCATGATCCAATTGAACACAAAATCAAACAACCCCTGCAGAACCGTACCTGGATAGTTCTCGACATCGGTCGTCGTGGTGAGCTGGCCACCAGGGGCAAAGCCATTGGCCATCATACCCTCGAACATGACGGGGTTGAGGTTAGCACGGGCAAGGTAGACGGCGGCAGTGTGGCCGGCAGGGCCAGATCCGATGATAATGACCTTGCTGTGGTTGGGAGTGTTGGGAACTGGAGGCATGGTGGATAGGGTCCTTGGTTTATCTGAAGAGTGCGATGTAGAGGCAATTGATGTACTGGTTAGAATCGCTGACGCACACACGACGAGGTTTAGGGTCTTGTTCTTGGTTCTCTTTGTGCCCTTGTTGCTGCTTTCTTTATTGTTGTTGTTGCCACTATTGTTGCGATCGTTGTTGGAAGAGGAGAAGTCGCGATTGTACTGCTGGTTGGTGACCGCTGCGCTGTAGAGGAGCGATGGAGCAGTGGTGGAAAGAGCAGCGCGAGGGATGTGAGGCGAGTTGGCGATTCGTGCAGAGAGCGTGGCAAGCCCGGTGCTGCGCTGACGACAGAGCAGACGAGCAAAGGACATGGCTGAGTGTTGTTGGTTGTTGTTGATCAGAAGGGATCAGGAGCGTGATGGAAAGAAATAGAAAGCGAATCCTGATTTGAGCGATTTCTTATTTTCCCAACAGATCTGATGATTCGTTGTTTCCTGTTGAGCAAAGAAGAGAAGAAGAAAAAGAACAAAGCAAACCTGAACAGGAAGGAAAGTGTCTTTACGTTTTTAATGGCAACGGAGGGTGAAGAGTGGAGGATGAGGTGAATCAGGAAGTGAATGAGAGGGATGATAAAAAAAAAAAAAAAAGAAAGGGAAGGAAGAGGAGGCGACGTTTTATACGCTTTTTGTAGCGAGGACTTGAGATGGTGCGATCGAAAGCCCGCGAACGGGCGATTCTTCGATTTGTTGGCCGTTCGCTGCTCTTTGTCATCACGTGTAATGGACGGGGAGGAGTATCCATCCAGGAACAGGGGAACACGACCGCCACCAGAATGGAACCCGCCTTCTGATGCCGGCACCGGGGAGTGAAGCGCATCCTTCAAGGGTCGGTCACATCGAGGCGTTCGCCACTCAGCGGAGGATCCCTATTTTCTCGCCGCTCTTCCTCGTCCATATAGGACGACTTAGCCCTGCAACTGGCACTGCGCAGCAGGGTGGTCGTCCTTATTATCTGGTGCATTTGGTGGCAACGAATTGAATGGGCTTCAACAGCATTTTTAGTCAGGGGCATAACCCTCCCCCCAGCAAGACCAAAAGAACACCCCTCGTCCTGGAACGTCGATCTTCGCGGCCGAATTGCGATCTCTCATTTTTATTATTTTTATGACTCTAAGCATGCCGTGAATGAAATTACAATGATTGATGCGAGAGGAAATGGCTGATGTTCACACACAGCTGCGTGTGTCCTTCCCGCGATAATCCATGTTTGTGTTTTGTCTCTGTGCAGAATGACACCCGCACGCACGCAACACCTGCTTCTTAAGGCGATTCTGAACCCTCTCCCAGGATACCATCGACCATCACACCATATTCCATCTGCACCAACCCATGCTGGCTCTCTGGCTTCCACGATAGCACATACAATCCCGCGTCCCTGGCCTTGAACTTCACCTCAACACCCTCAGAGCTCTCGGGACAGTCTGAAAGCGAGTAAAGCTTGGTGGGAACCACACTATCATCACACAACGTTGTAGAGAACATGGCATTAGCAAAAGAGTAGCCCTGAACTAGATCGTCACAAATGCAGATTTTTTTGATTTCCCCATTCTCCCCATAAACGACAAGACAGCAACAACAACAACAAAACTTACATGGTACCACTATCAGCCTTCTCGCCAAATTCGAATCGAACGACCGTAAAGTTGAGTCCATCACAGGCTGCACGAACACCCTTGATACGGAACATGATGATCACCTCCGGCTCTCGCTCCACATCCTCATCCGCAACCACAATCTCGTACTCGCACGCCTTTCCAAGTGTCATCGTCGAGAACACCTGGTAGATTCCATCCTTGGGCTTGCCAGGGATCACAAAGTCCAGAATCGAATTCGCGGATGCTGTAGACGAAGATCGAGGACGCATATAAGTGGGAACCGCAAGCAGGTCATTCTTGACTGGAGGCGACTTCTCCACAGGCTTGATGTTGTTCATTATCACAGAGGGCACGCATCCACCGGGCATGTGGCTGCATGTACACGTTCCGCCCAAAAAGTCAGGAAGGTTTCCCTCGTCAATATGTTGCAGCAAAACCGACTTGTAGTCCTTGCCCAGGATGTGGATCTTTTCAATGACTATCGAGAGAGTATCACAAAGTGCGAGTTAATTAACTGTAAATGTGTTCCTGTGGTAGCATGCACAAGCTCTTTTTCTTTTTTGGACACCAATCAACATCCAGACGAGTGAGTGCTTTCGTTAAACTCTTTACCTCCGGGATCGAGCCACTTCTTAATCATGGAATAGACCTTGACAAAGACATATGGACTATTGACAATAAACAGCTTTCCCAAACGCTCTGGGTATGCCTTTTGATCCATATCCGTCAATGATCGGAGCATGTTCAGACCCTCCATATGCAGCTCTATCAGACATGGGTGTCAAAAAACGTTAGATCTAGCATATATATTTTCTTTAAGGAGTATAAGAACCGGCTGGTACGTAGCAATACGCTTTAAAGAAAAGCAAGTACTTACGATGAAAACCCATGCCCGTACAGTCAAAGATAACCGTCTCCTTATCAATGACTTTGTCATCTGTTCCGAAACGCTCCTCGCACTCTGGCATGATGGTATTATGCACGAATTCAGTGCAACGAATATGGTAATCGACCAACTCTGCGGTCGTCACATTCTTAGCCAAACCCTTCACATTATGTTGGCCCTGGTAGGCGATGGTATAAAAAAGATGTGTTAGGAAGTAAATCTCAACGAATCATGCGCAGCATTTCTTTTCAAGACGTAAAACGAGTAATAAAAAAAAAAAAAAAAATCGATCCGTACCATGCGCTCGATATAGATGGGTCGTCCTGCCTTGTCCCACTTGTGAAGACAGCTTCCTCCCATGTACTTCTGCAGACGCACGGCATGCTCTGGCACATTAGGCTGATTCGGCTCGATGTTTGCATCCGGAACCGAGTACCAGCCACGCACGGCATACATGACTCCGTTCGAGTTCTTGGGTCCTGGGATCGGGAGGTCGTCGACCTTGTTGGTCGTTCGCCACTCCAACGAGGCGAGCAATTGAGTCTTGGCGCCATTCTGTCAATATCGAATAGGACCAGCAGTAGGAAGGTTAGCGCATGTTAGGTCAGATCGGGGGAGGAAAGGGATGGGGGAGTGGAACTATTGTCGACTGGGCTTTGTTCTCTTTTTTTTCATGTCTTCTTCCGCGTCTGGTGTTTGATGGTACGGGGTTACTAGTTGCTGGTTACTGTATTCCTGGTTGTGGTTCCTGGTAAGGTTTTATTGTGGATTGATGACATCGTTGGTCTATCCAACAACATTACACAACCACCAGACATCGACGCGTGCTCACAAATTATGCGTGCCTGCACTCATTGTGATTCCGACAGAGGGTGAAGGGAAAAAAAATGAGAGAGAGAGAGAGAGAGAGCGAGGGCAACACCACATCACCATCGTCTTCCTCCTTCTTCCTGTAGCTACAAATCCATTGCGCGAAAATCCGCTCCCGAGTGCAAGCCTTCAACTTACGAGGTCGTAGCTTCGTGCGACAATGAATCGCATCAATTCCTAAGGATAAGAAAGGGCGCAATTGAAATCAAGAGCGGTATGGATGAGAACAACGAACGGTACACAAAATCGATCGCTTCTTCATATTTCATTCTGCGCAAAAGCAATCAGGGAGTGAGGGAAAGAGAGACTTACGCCGTCATCGAACTTGACATTGTCAGGTCCAAGCAGGGCGCGGAAGTTGGCAAGGGCCTCAACCTGCTTGGGGTCCTTGAAGGGGTGTTTTGAGCGCACGGAGGCGGCAGACGAGCCACCTGTGGGAGGAGTCGGCATTTCTGATTGCATTTGTTTGGTAAGATATCTTTTTCCTGTCAATTGGCTAGGAGTGGATGATAAAAAGAAGCGGAAGGAGGAAAGGAAGGAAGAGGAGCTGAAGAGATGAAAGAGAGAAAGTGTGTGCGTGTATGGGTGTGAGATGAAGCAATCGGAATGAAGAAGCTGATCAGGGAGCAAAGTCTTCTATATATAGTCATCGAGCTGCTTTTCGGAGGGGCAGACGAGCACACACACCCAAAAGAAATGAGCTGTCCAGTGACATCTTCCCCCCCCCCCCCCTGGGCCCTGCCCTGCCCTGCCCGGTCCAGTTGGGAAACAGGCCATGGCTGACAAAGGGCGCGAGCATACACCCACACACGTACAAACGGGCCTGTGGATATCCCTTTCCCCGGTGCAGCCTCTTTTTTTATTTTTTTTACGGCCGGGGATCGGGAGTGGACTGTATGACTATGGGTAAAATTATTGCCATGGCTGCAGTAATGTCTGATAAATTTGAAAAACAGATCCGTGAGCCAGGGTTCCACCCTCACACCTTTCTTTCTTTTTGCCCCAAACAGAACACTGCGAATGTTCTACAGCGATAAGCACGCGATCGACATCCACCCGCACTCTCCTCTCCTCTTTTGTCCAGCTCATTCGCAAACACACACGCACTGCTTCGCAGTCCGTATCTTCCCAATTCACTTGTGCTCTCTTGCACATCCATGCCACCTGTCCATCTCCCCATCTCGAACACACCTTCAGCTGTACGCAATTGACCCCTCTCGTCCCTCTTCACTGAAGCAGACGACCAGTCAAATGGTCCTCGCTATCCTAGGCAACCAAATGGCACACATGCACACCACCTAAGAAACGTGAGGGTTCTGTGACAAGAACACATGTCTGTGCCTCCTACCTTCCTGTTTTAAACGCCAATTTATTAACGATTGCCTACAAACTAGACATTGAACAATAAGTAAAAGACGCGACACCTATAACCATAAAATAGTAATAAAATGTCTTTTCGGAAAACACTTCTAGGAACGAATTCGCCAGAGCCTCGAAAGTAATCATACCAGAAAGATTGGGGGGTGGTTTTTTTTTTTTTTTTTTTGAGCGGCGACGCATTGTTATTTATGATATACTTATGCTTGGAGGCTCCTTGCCTCGGATAGCGAGAGACAACGCGAGGAGGGGGGTAAATATGCAGGGGGACAGTGAGATCGAGTGCACTACACTTATAGCAGGTTAGACGATCGTCCTAACTACTAAGGCCTCGGCTACTTTTACGCGAAGTTAACCCTCCAAATCTGGCCGCAATATTACGCTGCTGCAACTACTAAATTCAGCCGCCAACTCAAGTCGCAATGTTCAAGCGCCAGGACAATCTTCGCAACAGAAGGTACTGTGGTATTTACATGGCGGGTGATATGGCGCTCTCAAATGACCGTGCCATCCTCGCAGCACCAGTGATCATCTCTGCCTGCCATCATATTACTACATTCCTCACAATAGCGTTCTCTCCATATCGAGCACTTTGATATCGATGGGTGGCACTTACTACATGCTGTAGTCCCACATCCATAGCACCCAGTGATGGTCACATCCTCCCAGCACCATCCGCACCATACTTTAGTGCACAGCGAGCAGCTTTCATCAGCGACGCATCCTCCGCATAGTCTTCCTGACCATGTGGGTCCACAACATGCCTTAGCCATGCACCGATCATACGTGATGAACATGCATCCCAGGCGTACTCTACTGACATTCTCCGCACTTATGGCAGCCAACACTGACTAGCTGATTAGGTCGTCCCATAGGCGCTTCCATGTTAACGTATCCGCACGTACACATCTTACTCAGCATCTGAGTAGTCGTAGAATGGCTTCGTTATAGTGAAGTACTCGAGCATACCTCATGTCCTTGTATAGATGCGTACTAGGGCTAGGCTGCTCGAAGACCACCGGGCACCTGCTATGGTCAGCACTAACGACCCTAGATCAACACGGGAGCACCTCTCTACGTGCAGCTCCTTCGTAGAGTCATAACCCCATGATGACTTACACCAGTCCCACCAAGGTTTACCACCGCTGCCCACCGCGGTGCCCGTATTTATAACCAGAATTCCAACACTGTCACCAATGCCTATGGATACCCCAGTCTCGACATATTACTCCAGATGGGTGGGGCAACATATGGCAACGTGCTCATCCCTGTTGACTCCACTCTCGGCGCTGCTGCTGTCCGTGTCACCCTCCTCAATTCCCCCGCTACTGACCAGGTCCAGTCCATGATGAACGTCCCTGATGAATCCCTCGCCCAGGTGACTGACGAACCCGGCCACATTGAGCTCCCCAGCATCGGTGCTTTCATAGCTCTGCTTGGTAGCGCTTACATGATGATCGGTGGGTCAGGATAATCTACTCCATAGTGCCATGCGTAAGCCTTTAATCGCCATTGACACTCCAACGTTCACGAAAGGTGTGTGCAACCCCATGAAGGATGTTCAAATGGTGTTGCATATACAGCATTTCACGAAAATAAATGGACCGCTCAGTTTTGCTTTTGCACAAATTTCAAAATGGAATATTTTATTTTACAACCCGGTTGCAGACCTTCTTCTACAACCCCTGGCTCTTTGAGAGCAATCGTTTTTTTTTTTTTTTTTTGATTCAAAATCGCTTACTATTCTACAGGCCAGGTTGCCATGCAGCAAACGTATCTTATTGCAAATGGTTTATGCTCGATTCAGTACATTATGATGTCATCGGTGCTTCGCCCAATTTCTACAACTGGCATCGACCCAGCCAATATATAAACCCTATCTACACGTAGAACTAGATAGCAGCATCAATCATCATCGAATAAACCATCCTCTTACCCTAGATTCTCTTGACCAAGATTCCCTTGATACTTAGGTCTCTATGGCTTAGGTCCCCGTTGATTCTAGGTCCCCCCAGACGCTCGAAACATTTGCATTTATTCTACAACCCGGCTGCTATTGTATAGCTACTCTGACGGACTTGCATAGTCCAGCAATGCTACGCATGCTGCATCTTGTTCTTCCAACGCGTCGTCATGGTGCCAGTACCGTCTGCCGTACCAATGGTCTCTATTCATAGGGAACGAAGGCACCAGAGAATAGATGGGCTCAATGGCGCCTCATTGCAATAGAGTGTCATGTTGGTTCTGATTGGCGTCTCCATAGGGATGCCAGATTGGGGCTCCAACACCGATACCTGAAGCTGGTCGCTTCCCCCCCCCCTCCCCTCGAAGAAACGTATAAGTAGGCGTTCGTCTTGTCGTTCTCCTGTCTATATTATACACACCCTCACTACGTTGCCTTTCAAGCGATCCATCTTTCAGCTCCTCTCTCTCTCTCTCTCTCTCTCTCTCTCTGGTACCTTTTCTTCTCGATACCTCAGTGCCTACCACCAGATTGTGTACAGTGCTTCTAATGTTTATGCCTCCACCATTCTTTCAACAACAGCATCAATCATGACAGGATTTCCCGCTGCCATTGTGCCAGGAGTCGTCGCAGCATCTCTTGTTCCTCAAACCCTGGCTCCCTTGCCCTGGACTTTGTTCTCATAGATCCTGTCCTCCTTTCCATCTTTCTCTTCGCGCTCATGGTCCGACAGCGATCATCTTTTTCCGTATCTTTTTTTGTTCACTTGTGTCTGTGCGCTGTTTGTCTGTGCGCGTTTTATTCACTACTCCATTTATCTGACAACCATCCTGCACAGTCATCAAGTCCTTTCCCCTTGCCCCGTTTCTCCTCTTACTTTCTCTGAAGTTGACCTTGACGAGGTTGTCTAGCCTCAGTTTGCGGTAGAGGACGAGATTCCTTTCGACGATTTTATCGAGCGTTTCGAAGACATGACCCGTCCAAAAAATTCGTCTGCCTCAATCATATCAACCCCGCAACTCTCCAGTCTTCCAAGGCCTTCGATCCGCCGCCACCGCCACAGCTCCAGCAATCGCGACCATATCCCAACCGAAAAGGAGCTTGGCCGCTAGTCCATCCAAGATATAGAACCGGATCGGGGTATTGTTGAAAGAGAAAACCACAGTGCCGAGCATCTGGATAATGCGGTCATTGCACGTAGACACAGGGATGCGCGTGTGCTAAATGCCAGATTTGGACGTAGCGGTCGTGGCGAGGAACTTCGCAGAAATACAGGAGATGGGGCTTCTGTGTCCAGGAGGAGTGTCGTTGAAATGGGAAGAGTTAAGGGGACTACTTATAAATATATAGAGAACATATTCCTTGATCAACGCAGGCAAAATGAAAAGGAGACAAAACATATGAGGAAATGAAAGATCTATGCCGTACGATCACTCTATAAGGCTCGGCGCCGTGCACTCCATAATGTTCTACAGTGTCGGTATCGTGTGTTCAAAGGGCTTGGGGATAGTATGTATTTTGCACTTAATGATACGCCATCAATGAAAGGCGCCGATAACCTCAGCCGTGCTCCTCACTTCAGCAAAGTCCCTCAGACTCTCGACATGCACACTGTGAACCGTCTGTGCAGCGACCCCAGCCTTCCCAAACGCCCTTGTGGCATCCCCGATGAGAATGATGCGCGCCATCTCGACCGCAAGCCCGTCCTCTCCCCGCTCATCCTCCGGTGCATCCTCCTGCGCCTCGACAAACACGCTCGTTCCGTCAGTCCACCGCGCCGAGGCTGCTGCGTCGGCCATGTTGCCGCGTCCGCCCCATTTCCCCGTCAAAGCGAGATTCTGGGCTGTCCGAACGGCTGTGCTGACGGCGAGGTCCGTTGCCATGCCCGCAATGAGTAGAGTCTTGATGCCACGCTTTTTGAGGATCGACTCAAGCGGCGTGTTGATGAAGACGCTGTGCCCATGCGAGGTCATGATGATTTCGTCCGGGGGCGGCAGTGAAGCGGCGTCCTTCTTGGGCTCCGCCAGCACAGGAGGCGGTGTCTCGTCAAGAGTATAGACGAACTTTGGCCCTTCCGGACGCATTACCCTCGGCGCGGCGAATTCGAGGAAGTCAATGGCGCGCACCTGTTCTCCGCTTGCTCCGAACGGGCCAACTTTGCTGACATGCAGCGGGTGATCAGTCCAGACGGGACGATACTGCACATGGATGATCAGTGGTCTCTGGCCCTCCGGCTTCTCTGCGCAGGCATCGCGGAAAGCTGCGATGAGCGCCGTGACGTTCTTCTCGAAGTCCGGGTTGGAGGCGCCAGTTCCCCAGGCGGTCACGTCGCGGAAACCAAGTTGGTTGTCGATGAGGAGCAGCGCCGTGGTGCTCATCGGCGGGACTGGCGCTATGATGTCGCCGGTGACGGAATGACGCGACATTGTGGTTCGATTGATGGAGTTGGTGTCTAACAGTTAGGTGATCCCTGTCTAGCGACCACACTCTAAAAGAGTGCCACACTCAACATGTGTCTATTTCTGGGAGTAGTGGCAACGACAAAGACCAGCCACCAAAGACCACTCCGTGTCTACAGTTTCGTTGTGAACTCTGTGTTCTTTGTGTCGATGCTCTTTGTCGTCCCGATAGACCACATCTACTGTGGATCTTTCGTCCATAGATAGATAGAAGGCCGTGTCTGACCATTGCTCCTCAGTTTTCTAGCACTTGTCTCTGATATAAAGTACTCCACAACTCACTTCGTTTCTCACTCTCTATGATTTCACAGTGGCCTCTGGATCCTTGTTACCTTTTCGGTCGATTCCCTCTATTTTATTGTATCCCACGCTCAATTTCCTCACGATGAGGGTTTATTTGGATGTGCGACGCCCCTCAATCCCTGCCAAATACAACATGGTGGAAAACCTGGGCACCTGGTTCGTTTAGCTCCTATGGCCATTCGGTGTGCCTTCCGTCGATGCTGCTTGGTCCTTCTCCGTTCCATTCGGCGCGCCCGCAGCATCTCTTATTCCTCAAACCCTGGCTTCCTTGCCTGGACTTTGTTCTCATAGATCCTGTCCTCCTTTCCATCTTTCTCTTCGCGCTCATGGTCCGACAGCGATCATCTTTTTCCGTATCTTTTTTTGTTCACTTGTGTCTGTGCGCTGTTTGTCTGTGCGCGTTTTATTCACTACTCCATTTATCTGACAACCATCCTGCACAGTCATCAAGTCCTTTCCCCTTGCCCCGTTTCTCCTCTTACTTTCTCTGAAGTTGACCTTGACGAGGTTGTCTAGCCTCAGTTTGCGGTAGAGGACGAGATTCCTTTCGACGATTTTATCGAGCGTTTCGAAGACATGACCCGTCCAAAAAATTCGTCTGCCTCAATCATATCAACCCCGCAACTCTCCAGTCTTCCAAGGCCTTCGATCCGCCGCCGCCGCCACAGCTCCAGCAATCGCGACCACCCTCTACCTGCTCCCATTGCAGTGGTCGACACTCCTCTGACCGATGTTACACCAAATTCCCTGAGCTTCCCCCTCAGTCAAGAAGCAGGGAGACGGTTGCCTCAATCTCAGTGGATAAAACCGTTTCCTCCCAATCCTCTCTCTCACTTTCAAGGAAATAGAGAGATGTTGTTCTTTCGAACAAATCTATAGAACAATGGGCTTAATCTCAACAGATCGTAGCAACAAGGCTACTCTACTGCTTACAATACCCCGTTCAATTAAAGTCGTCTGCAATGGATTTATCTCTTCCAATATTTGAAATTAACATTAGCAGGCGCCTCATGAAGCCTTTCCGCTCCACAAGACGACCCCACATAGTATGATTCAGGACCCGAGGGTCTATTCGTATTCAACTAAAAATCGGAAAAGGCGGTAATCGTCGCCTTCTAGCACGGATTCTGACTTAGAGGCATTCAGCCATCATCCAACGGATGATAGCTTCGGGCCATTGCCTGCTCAGGCAAATTATCCGAATGAACGGTTCCCCTTGTACTAAGTTCAATTAGTTATTATACCCTATGGGGAATTTTCTCCTCAATGTTACTACGCCCACCTGCAGCCAAGGAAACCCTGTTACTGCATTTCATTATCGTTTTGTTCTTCTGCGCGGTATGACTGTATGGCTGTGTATAGGATGCCCCACAGGACAAAAATAAAGGGTCCGACGCTCAAGCCAGGGGAACAAGACACGGTGATGACACGATCGATTCGGACACCGCCACCACCGCTCCTTCCCTGGCTCGTGAAAAACAAAACGAACCCGTCTCCGGCTGAGCTCACTTGGGACAGACCGCAATTGGGCACTTTTTACTTTAAACCGAAAGAGGATGTCGCAATCCGCTAACTTCACAACGCTCTTCTTCTCTGTCCCCGACCTTTCTTTCTAACCCATATTTCTTAACCGCCTTTCCCCTTTACTTTCCTACACACACACACACACACACACACACACACATACACACAAAGATGACAGAGACCTACCCAGAGCACTACAACGCCATCAAGGACGTCGTCCTGACCGACTTTCTCGATACCGAGACCGAATCCACCTTCAAGGCGAGCGAGATCTGGAAGGACCAACCTGCCATTATCGTTGGTATGTACATCCTCCCAACACACACGCCTTTGGAGCTACCCCTCTCCCTGCCCACCTATCTCACCCCTCCTCTCCTTTTCCCTTTTCCTTTCCTCTGCTTAGTCATCCGTCGCCCAGGATGCCCCTTCTGCCGTGAAGAAGCCCGTATCCTCGACGAACACCGCGCCATCATCGAGAAGCAAATGGTACTTGTGTCTACTTGCTTGCTTTTGCTTTATGCCGCGAATTAACACCCAAACCCCATCGTAGCCCATGTTGCACCCCCACTTCAGCCGATCATACGCTAAACCAACGATATGCAAAAAAAAAAAAAAAAAAAAAAAAAAACAATTCTAGGGCTTCCGAATGATCGTTGTCATCCACGAGAAATTGGGCGCGGCCACCTTTAAGAACCAATACTGGAACGGCGGTGAAACTTATTGGGATGGCTCCAAAGGCTTCTACAAAGCACTCGGGTAAGTTCCCCGCCTCGCGTCCGGTCCCTGCTCCCTTTCACCTCTCCCTCCCCCTCTCTCTCTCCCCTGCGGGACCTCTTTATACACTTTCTTTTCACATGGTCCGCAACCGAAACCCCTCGGCTCACAATTTCCACCACCTATCACCACCCACCAACCCCCACGTTGGGAATAAGCGTTAACACTGACTTTGACTTTGACTTTAACGTTGACCTTAGCGGCGGGAAACTGCGCTGGGCCTCCATTGACCAATTACTCCGCCCGTCCTTATGGTTCAACGCCCTCCGGAACCTCCGCTCAGGCGTCCGTGGGAATCTCCTCGTGGGCGAAGGTCGCATCTTCGGTGGCCTCTACATCGTCCGCAAGGGCGACGCCGGAGTCGCCTACAAGTTCGAGGAGACCGTCATGGGTAACCTGGCGCCGATCAGTGAGGTCCTGAGGGTCTGCAGCGAGATCTCCGGGGTGGATGTGGACGAGGCTTCGTTGAGGAAGGCCAGGGAGCAGGAGAAGGAGGCTCAGGAACGGAAGGAGGCAGCTGCGGCCAGGGGACAGACTGAATGCGAGGGTGATGTCTGTGCGCTACCTCCGGCGGCTTCAAAGCTGTGAAGATCGATCAGGAGATGGGTGGCGAAAAAATGAAGCTTTATTTCTTTCGTACATAGACCATGTGCATAATAAAAAAAAATGTAATTCTTTATTGTATTCCTTCCTTAATGCCGCTGCTGTTGATCGTGATGATGATAATGATAATGATAATGATAATGACAACGATGATGATGATGATGCTTGACCAAGTATTAGTGACTAGACAGGAGGTTCGGCGACGGATTCCTGAAGGACCAAGAAATACAACAACCGGCGACAGAGTCCCTCAGCATGGACCAGTCGTCCGTTGATCTCCTCCAGTTTCGAGCTCTGTACCTGCACCACCTTGTCCTCCAGCGTCGTCGCAACCTTGCCCCTGTATTTACTTTACACATTCAATTAACAACAAAAACAAATATCAGAAGTGGTCTATAGACCCAAGAAGGGGGTTTTTTTTTGTCCGCATGCATTTTCATTTCAGAAAAAATGTAAAAAGCATTACTAATTTACTGAAGAAACAAATCACTTACTTGATACCGCCTTTACTCGTCTGACCGATCTTATTTGACGCAGGAAGCACCACCGTGTCTATTCACGAACACAAAAGACAGCATCCAGTATTCCAGTACTCGTTAGCCCCTGCGGACTAAACGACTCTGCATTTCATCCTTCATTCCGACAAAGCTTCACATACCATTTGTAGGCGCACTCGAATGAAACTCTCCTCCTAAATGATGCGGCTGCTGTGTCGTCGACGGAGACCTTGCAGGCGACCACGGATGCCCTTTCCCGCCTTGCTGCTGTTGTCCGTGATGCTGATGACTAGGTTGCAGCGACATCGTATGATGATGCACCGGCGAAGCTGGTCGTGGTGTTCCCTGTCCACTCTTCCCTCCTTTGTCTCCTCCGCCATGCCCTGCATTCTGCTGCGGGGCGTGCGTTATATGATGATGTACATCTGTGGACGATACAGCCGCAGAGGATACCGACTGTCCTTGTTGGTGCTGAGTTATTGTTGTTGACGACCCTCCTGGTAAGGTATGCTGAAGGTAACTCGTAAGAACGTTACCTCCGGAACCTGAGGACCCATTGGTCGGTCCACCGGTCAGCTGCAGAGCGTAAGCGGCACACACCAGTTGTGAATCCCGGATGTAGAACTCGATCACAAAGTCTTCATTCAATGCGGGGCTAAATATCTAGAAGCGTGAACCAGTGGATGTGAGCAAACACGAATCTCGAAAATTTACATTGAATTACATCTCGTTGCTGGATGCGTCGTTTTTGGAAGTTGGCATTTTTTGTTTCTTACTTTAGGGTCGCATACCCGGAACGGGTACAACTTTTCTTTTCTCGGTCTCGCCATGGCCTCGATCCCTGCCCTCAAATGTCTCTGCATCAATTCCAACAACGTCTTCAACGGCCTCGTCACCTCATTAATATCCGCCTTCGACATCCTCGCCCTCGTCTTTTTTTCTTCTCCGCCTCCCCCTCCTTGCTTCTCACTGCCCTCTTGCTTTTCTTGAGCACCTCCCGTCAACAGACGATCGCTCCCGCTAGTCCAGTAATCTTCTAACCGAAAGATCGCCTGCGCTGTATGATTCTGCACATCCTTGACCTGCTCCAGTAGATACGGCTGTGTCAAATGTCCCGGAGGCCGATACGAATGCAGCAACTGATGTTGGTTCAAGGGAGGCTGTGGGATGTTCGCAGATGGTGCTATCGCTGGTCCCGTTCCTGCTCCGGACATTAACGCTGAAAGAATCACCGTGCCCGAAACACTCCTCGATAACGCCGGGGGTGGTTGTTGAGGCAATGCACCGAGTGCCTGCTCCGGAACCTGGTTTGATCCTTGAGCATTTGTCTCTGAAGTTTCGGAGGTGGCGGTGATGGCGATCGCGGGCACGGGTGTTACTTCTTCGGACGACCCCTCATTCTGTCCGGCTGTGATGGATGATGCTGAGGATGACGTTGAAGCCGCAGCTGTGGATGCGGTGGTCGAGGGTACAGCGGACGTTGAAGGCACAGAGGCATTGCTGGGTACGTAAGAATGGATCGCGGCTTTGACGACAGGTTGCTTTGGCAGCTTCACGGTCAGTTCCTGTAGGAAAGGGAAAACATGGGATGGTCAGCAACATTGCCGTGGCAGTGGTGTCACTGGAGGGGAATAGCCCTCATCTATCGGGCTAACTTACCCCTTTGACGATAAAGCTGCCGGCCAAGGTGACGAAGCCTTTCAGGGTGTCGTTGCTGAAGCAGAGATGATGCACAAGAGCTTTGAGTCAAATCTCCATTTCCTCGATACAAGTCCTTGGACGATGTCTTGAGTCGCTGGATCGATCTGGTGCTTACTTTGTGGAGGAGATTGCGAGCGTCAATGCTCCCATGGTATCATCCTGTAGCCGCGCTGCCTCTTGACAAGACTAGGAAAACAATGCAAGATATTACATCGAAGCATTAGACATACGGCGCCGACGACACACGGACACCAAAGCCCAATGAACATGTTCCTTACCAGAAGTGCCTTTTGAATGGTCTGGAGACTAGGTTTGACCTGTGTTGTCAAGAACCACTCCTGTTCGGCTCGCTAGTGATGGAATCAGGTTGGATGAGCATACAGAGGACGGCGAATGAGTACTAGCGAATGCATCGGGAACGGACAGGCCTTGTTCGTTCGACGACAACCCTCCTTACTAGAGCCCTTTCTTCCTCAGCCAGCTCGCTCTCGAGTGATGACAGTGGTGGCATGATCTTTTTGTGAATGCTGGAAGCGGGATGTGTAGAGAGAAGTGTTTGTAAAAAAAAAAAAATCGGGCGAATACATAGACGGTATATAGCGCGTCGCGTGAGGAACGTGTCCTCAACATGCATGACTCGACGCGACCGAGTAGAATGAATACTTGGTATAGGAATAGATATATTACGCTATTAACAACTATGATACTATAATCCTCCTGGGACTGTAGGTACAGCTGGTGCAGAAGCATCGGCCTTCATATCCATCCATGTCAGTTTAAAAGACGACGCGGATGCTACAGAGATGGGTCTTGTCGCTCTTGGGATCGGCGGTGGTGTTGCTGATGTAGTCCTGGCCTTCACAGCAACAGGACTGACCATACTAGCACTTGACGCCTTACTGTCGCCTCTCCCCAGCATCTCGCTGTCATCCAGCAAGTCATAAAATCCGGGGGATGGTGCCGAGGACGGACTTGTGGGCGTGAAGGGTCCGGTTGAGGGTGGTGGTGGTGTATAACTGTACAAGTCGCTGTTCTTGAGGGGCCGTGATCCTTGGGAGGGCAGAGTGGGCGACACAACCATGGGCGAGACAACCGTGGGCGAGATTGCAGAGTACACGGTCGTAGAAGGACTGATAGTACGGTATGGCGATACTGGGTTGTTGACTGTTGGTGAAAGCGAGGAGCTGGGCGAGACAACTGGCGAGGAGGGTCGTCGCAGACCCTGTGTGCTGATGCGCGGGCGCTGGTATTGCTGATGATTGTATCCAGGCCGGATCATTGATGGCATAGAAAAGTTATTCCCGATGTTTGTAGGACCAAGGGCAATCAGTTCGCCTGTGTGTGACGGGTCCGCCTTGCTGGGCGTCAGACTTCTGGCTGCGAAGGATGCACCATTCTGGGCAAAAGGGTTTGAAGAAGACGCGCTGCCGTTGCTGCTGCTGCTGCCATTGCTGCTCGTGTTGCTGAGCTCCTGCGTCAGCGGATAAGGTCTTTGCTGTTGCTGCTGTTCTCGCGTTTGTGCTTGCTCCTGCTGTTTCTCTTGTTGGGCCTCCTGTTGCAGACGACGTAGCTCTTCCAACGGTGGTACCTGAATATAATACTCCAATGGCGACTTTTTAGCGAACCATTCTGGCTGCTTACTCATCAGAAGCCCCAGATGCTCCTGGTACCGCTGCTGCTGCTGCTCTTGATGCTGGTGTTGTTGAAGGGGGAAATCACTGTCGTCACCATAACCCATGGCGGAAGAGCCTTCGGAGGATTTCAGCATCATGGTCCGCTGCTGATACTTCTCCGCTTCCCGTGCCTCCCGTGCCTCCCGTACCCGTTTCCTCCTGGCCCTGAACAGCAATCCCGCAAACAGGACCAAGAGAACGAATGCTCCTGCAGCCACACCTGCAATCAGCCCTGTGTGATTCGTGTTGGAAGGTGTCTGTGCAGGATTTAGCTCGTTGCTTGACCCCGCAGAGGGTACAGTTGAGGGAGAGGAGTTCACTTCGGATTGCGTGGAGGTTGGTATTATGGGCGTTGTGAGGATACCTGTGGTCTGTACTGTAGTCTTCGTGGTATTTATTGCGGTTGTTGGTACCAGTGCTGTGTGCGTAAGAGTAGGGGCCTTAGTAGCAGTGGGCTTTGGCTTTGTTGGTTCCTGGGTCGAAGGGGCAGCTGCTGCTGCACGCTTCTTTAGTGACATTTGAGTTGGGATTGCTGATGGCTGGAGGTTGCTTTTTGCGCTAGAGGTAAACTTGAAGTGGCTTCTGTTGAGGATATATATTGAGGTGGTAGGTTATAAAGTGGTGGTTGACAGTGCTCGGTTTGAAGGACTTTGATGTTCATGTGCCGTAATAAGCTGAAGAAGCAACAAGAGCTGAATGAGAGAGTTGATCTTGGGATGGAATGGAAACAAGACGAGACGAGATGAGGAGGACGAGGAGGAACGTGGAAAGGAGAGTCAAGGAGGCTCACAGTCTAATAAGCGATTCTGCTTGTGTTGCGCTAACCCGCAACCCGAGAGTGAAGAGTGAGGTGTGAAGGATGGTATGGTAATCGCACTATTTGTTACACGAACAGAGCAATAGAAATGAGATGCACTCGTGGCCAATGGGAGTGGAAAGTGAACACACAACTCAGGAACACATGTGGAAACGAGTCTGTTGCAGGTCGCACCAGAGGAAGCGCCGGAAGGAGATGCTGGTGAGGCGCCAATGGGGGGCGTGGAGGAGAGAACCCGTTTTGAAACGAAACGAAACTGGGTGGAGTGGAGTGCTCTGCCATCGATATTAGACCAGGCCAGCAAGCACAGCTCGTCTCCCTCGTAAGGGGCTGTAGCAAAGTGTTCAATAGGCATGAGTGGCATGTGTACAAATAAGTGCATGCCCCTTCTTTGTCAGACACTGCAATCTAGAGTGTCAGCAGACTTACATTGCCCAATTGCTTTTTTATTTTGTACTTACCCCTCGGTAACGAATTCCTTCATTTTAACGGACCACTTTGTTCCTGGCACACTCCTAGAAAAGACTTAGCCCAATCCCCCCTCGAAATTCGTGGCGTAAAAATCACACCCGTCCACCCTCTTCAGCCTCCACTCAGCCAACTGCTCTCTTTCTCCCCCTCCCTCTCTTCCTCTATAGTCCCCTCTCCAGCATCTCTTTTCATTCCAATTCGACATAGGGGCGACCCTTTCTTCGTACCCCACCACCACTCCATAAACTTCAAATCGAAAGAGTGTAACCAACAGCCAATACATGTTCAGCTGCGAGTTATGACCAATAAAAAACTAACAGGGGTCTGCAAAAAAAAAAAAGTAACGCTTAACTTAATGAAGAGCAGCAATGCACATCAATAGGCGTATTGCGGATGAAGCGCTTCATGTACTCCTAGGCAGCAGATTTGGCTATGCCTCATCAACCTTGATTCGAATGCAATGTGGTCCATGCACGAACGGTTTTTTGGGGAAACCTCCTTACATTTCGCCTTACAAACAGCAAATACGAAATACAGTCACCGTCCAACCTTTTTTTATGGACAGAACACAGACATCTCAACAAAGACCAACAGGGCAGAGGAAGGAGACGCGGTACCGGAAGCTGCCGTCTATGTACAATGGGCACATTGGCTCAGGATGGCTGGATAGTCAGCAGGAGAATAAGGGAAGAAGCGTGCAGATCGCCCCTTTGTTCAAATGCAATGGTCGAACGCCCTGTCACTCCATCAGCGAATGGAGGAGGGAGCCATGCTTGTTTACTTTGAGTTGTACAGAACTGATTACTGGGGGCAAACGACTCGGACTCGTCTGGTCCCGGCGGACCAACCGCTCGTACTTTTAAACAGCGGCCCGGCCCTCTGTCGCTTCCTTCTTTTCTTCTTCACCCCTCCGTCCCTGTCCTCATTCCTCTCCGCTCCTCCTCATTCACTTTTTTTTTTTTTTTTTTTTTTGTGGGAAGTTGTCTGCAGCAAAGTTTTTTTTTGTTTCGCACATTGCATCGCACAATTTCTCCCTACTGCACGCTTTCCTTCACACCATGCTGGACTCTTTCTTCGGGTCCCTATCGGAGGCGGTCTCCTTCCCTGAAGATCAATTACGATGCCTCTCAACACTCCTCCTTGCCTACCCGCTCGCCTTCGCCTTCAGACTCCTGCCCTACAACAACCCCAACCTTAAGCATTTGGTATCTGTGCTGACTTCCTTCTTCCTTCTCGTCGTTGTTGTCGATGACCTCGTCGGCCTCATGCACCTGCTCGGTTCCAGCATTGCCGTCTGGCGAATCATGGGCTCGGTCAAGGGCAAGTGGGGTCCCAGGATCGTCTTTATGGGAGTCATGATCCATATGAGTGTTAGGTAAAGCGCAAGCGGATGTCTTGAGGATCGAGATTCCACGGATTCATGCTTCATATCCGTGCCTCCCCTCGTCTTTATCTGACATCACCATGAACACCTTTATTGTTCTATTTAATATAGCCATCTTATGCGCCAGTTTCACGACTACCGTGGATACAAGCTGGATCACACGGGACCACAGATGATTCTGACCATGAAACTTACCTCCTGGGCTTTAAGCGTTCACGACGGCCGCCGTAATCCCAAGGTAATAATACCACAGGAATGAGCATTTGATCTGTCGATATCCAAAGCCGTGCAAAAAAAAAAAAAAAAAAAAAAAAAAACTGAACCCGCACTAACATCTGGTTGATCCTCATTCTATATAGGAACTGAGCAAGTACCAGCAGGAGCACGCGATTACTACCTTCCCCAACCTCCTCCACTACCTCAGCTATGTCTTCTTCTTCCCAGCAGTCCTCGTCGGTCCCTCCTTCGAGTACATGGACTACATCCGCTTCATTGAACTCTCTACATTCAAGGATCCCAAGACTGGAAAGGTCCACTGGCCTGCTGGTCGGCTCGCAGCCTCGATGAAGACCTTCCTATTCTCGCTCATTGCCCTCGCCTCACTCGCAGTCTTTGCGCCGAAACTGGATGTTCTCTGGACATTGGATCCCGCGTTCAAGGCATTGCCCTTTGTTCTCCGATTCATCTATGTCATGTTATCGGCCTTTGCAGCCCGATTCAAGTACTACGCAGTCTGGAAGATGGCCGAGGGAGCATGCGTGTTGGCTGGGTTCGGTTACAACGGAGTGGATCCCAAGACGGGTAAGCCTAGGTGGGACGCGTCCTCAAACATCGATGTCTGGGCGTATGAGACCGGTCAGAGCGTGAAGGCCTTGGCGGACAGCTGGAACAAGGGCACGAACCAGTGGTTGAAGAATTCGGTCTACCTGCGGGTGGTCAAGCCCGGTGCGAAGCCTGGTGTCCTGGAGACATTCTCGACCTTCGCAGTGAGCGCGTTCTGGCACGGATTCTATCCTGGATATTATCTGATGTTCCTTTCGGCGGCGATGGCCTTGACGGCAGGAAAGATGTTGAGGACGCATTTGAGACCGAGGTTTGTGTCGGCCACGACAGGCAAGACTCCGCTGTGGTACAACATGCTGGGCGTGGTGCTCACACAGGTGACGATCAACTACCTGTCGATGTCGTTCTTGATCCTGACGCTCAAGGACAGTTTGCAGCTGTGGAAGGATCTTTACTTTGTGGTCCACATCGGTATCGCAGCTGTGTTGTTGCTGACGCCGGTATTGTTCCCGGTGAAGCGCAAGTCGAGGAAGGAGCAGCAGAAGCATGGTGAGAAGGACGAGACGGAGAAGATCAAGGAGACGGCTCACCAGGTCGCGGACGGGATCGCATCGGCGGCTGTTGTGGCACCGACTGAGATTCTGGATGGCTCTGTCAATGGCAAGGTCAAGACCTTGTAACAGTATTTTGCTATGACATTCTCGCATCCTTAGCATTGAGTAAGCAGCATAACTATTTGTACACATACTATCCACAGCACATATTGCCAATAAACAGCATCCAACAATAACGACGACGCGTATTCGATCGGGACGAACGAATGCATGTACGGGATTCGGGTCCTTTTCCAACGTAGCGCAAACGATCTTGTCAATATATCCAGCAATCCATCAATTTCAGCATCAGCATAGCGATCGACCGATGCTCCCAAAAACAGACTATCGACTCACCTGTGCTCTCCATACTTGATCTACATCTCCCCCCAAAACACGGCATCATCACCGGAGAATCATCTCTGATGTTTTGTCGGAAATTAACCTCGGGTTCTCTTTCTGTCCAGGTTCTGGATCCGGCATCAAGCCCAAGGAACCATTCGTTGTCATGAACGACGCGACTATAAAAGAAGCGACCTCATCCCTCCCGATCTGACCCCCCAACCTCACCCACAGCTCACACCACTCCTTCAAAGGGCAACCCTCAAACCCACTCTACCTTCTTTACCGACCATGACCTCTGCAACCCTTCGCACCATCACCTTCGTTCTCGCCTTGTGCGCAACCGCTCAGGGTGTACCTCTTCCTCAGGAATCTACAGATTCCTTCCCCACGGGTGACGCCTATAACCAGAGCGGCAACTCTGGATCCGTCCAGCTCGGCTCATCCGTCAATATGATCCCGATCACCAATGTCACTCCAATCAACCGCTACCAACCCATTGTCCAGGCCTTTGCGCCCCTCGTCCAGTCCCAGTGCCAGGGCGACTTTTCGGGGCTCACGGGCCCAGCAGCCGCGATCCTTGATTCCCCCGGTACCGGTGCTTTCCCTGGCACTGGTACTCCTAATGGATTTCCTGACGCTAGTGCTCCTGGCGGGTTCCCTGGCGGTCCCGGTGCTGGTGGGCCTATGAGAAAGCGCCAACTCTCCACTGCAGCCGGATGTGCGGCAGCTCAGGGGACTACCGAATGCAACATTTCGCTCCCTTCCTCAACCGTCGATCTCGGCTCCCAGGTGAACATTCTCCCCTCGACGGCCGTGACCCCATCGACGACCTTTGCTCCCGAGGTAGCATCGTTCGGCTCCAACATCCAAGCCGCACCCGCGAGCTCTTCGATGTTGCCTCCACAGAACGTGAACCTTGGTTCGAATGTCGCGATCCAGCCAACGACCCAGGTTCTCCCCCAGACGACGTACCAGCCTGCGGTGCACCAGCTTACGACCGCGGTCCAAGCTGCGCCCGAGCAAGACCAGACCCTGCCACAGTCGAGTGTCCAGTTGGGGAGCTCGGTCCAGATCGTTCCGACGGTCAGCGTTCAGCCTTTGACGATTTATCAACCCACGGTCCAGTCGTTGCCGTTCGTGATCGATATCGCGCCCTGTGCTGACCAGGTCTCGCCACAGCCAGCCGGGTTAGGTCTTGGAGTCGGAATGGGACTGGATGCTGCGGTTGGACAGTGTGCTCCTCTGATGGGCGGTGCTTTCGCCCAGGACTTGGGTGCTTCTGGTCAGGGCATCCTTACCCAAGGTGCTCTTGGACAAGGTATTCCTTCTATGGGTACTCTTGGACAGGGCATTCCCCCTATGGGTGCTCTGAGTCAAGGCATTCCTCCCCGGGGCGCTTCTGGGCTGGGCATGGGTGTTCATTAATGTGTACATTAAGACCAGAATCTCTGCAGAGTGAGATCCAGGTCGGCTCGCCTATTGGAAAACCTAAACCTATTGATCTTCGCATCAACTACCTCATCTTCCAATAAAGACCTCAAGTGTTTGTGTTTTCACAACTATGATGTACTGTTTATTGGCTGTAAATAACACGAATGGACGATGGGGGATGGGAACGAAAAAAAACGGCAAAAAGAAAAAAGTTGTATGTACAATCGACAAAAAGTCCTGCACAACACAAACTACCAAATTCCTTTTTTTCCCACTTTAAACGCTGAAGCGGTTCTTGGCCTGGAGTCCAGTGCGATCGAAAGCGTTCAAGTTCTTGTGGGCAACAATCTGGTAGCAGGTGGCAGAGCCCTGGCGAGAGATGATAGTCGACCAGGCAAGGAAGATCTCCCAGGTGCGGAACCACTTCTTGCCGTAGGTCGCGGTGATGGACTCCTGGTTCGACATCCAGTTCAAGTACCAGCGGTGGATCGTGGCCGAGTAGTGGACTCCGATGGTGTCGACGTTCTGGACCTCAAAACCGGCGCACTCGAGCTGCTTGATAACCCAATATAAAGGCATCGAGGCATCGGCACCGGGGAAGACGTACTTGGCCATGAACAGACCCCAGATAAAGTCCTCGTATTGCCAGGTGGCACGGAGACCAGCGATCTGGAGGTAGAAGAGACCATCATCGTTGAGCATATCCTTGACCTGGAGCAAGAACTCGTTGAACTTGCGAATGCCGACGTGCTCAGCCATCTCGAGACAGGTGATCTTGTCCCACTTCTCGCGGGGGATATCACGGTAGTCCATGCACATGATGCGGGCCTGGCTCTCGGGGACACCATACTCCTTGATGCGGTTGTTTCCAAAGGCAGTCTGGTTCAATCCGAGGGTGATACCAGTCGAGTCAGTTCCGTAGTTCTTGGCAGCATAGGCGGTGAGGGTGCCCCAGCCGCATCCAATGTCGAGGTGACGCTCGCCCTTCTTGAGCTGAACCTTCTCGCAGACCAGCTTCAGCTTGTTGTCCTGCATCTCCTCGAGGGTCTCCTTCTTGTTGACGTCGGACATGATACCGGAGGTGTAGATCATACGGGGTCCCAAGAAGGCGGCATAGAAATCATCACCGCGGTCATAGTGGTCGCGGACCTGATCCTCATCCTGCTTCTTGGAGTGCCAGAGGGTCTCGGGAATCCATTGAGTGACAAAGAACTTGGCCTGGCTGGCAGTCATCTGGAACACGCTCCAGTCGTGGCGGTTCTCGAGCAACTCAAGGCAGTCCTGGTTGATGTCGATCTATTTTGGGTGTGGAAGAGGCAGGGAACATGTAAGCATCCAGCCTCATTACAAATCAATGAGACTATTAGGAGCGGAAAAAAAGAAAAAAAGGAAAAAAAGGGAGGGGTATGTAGGACCGTGAACAAAGTGGAGTTGGAATATGCGTCAAGGGATCGTTCCATTCCCAGGCCCCGATAACAGAAAAAACCTGTTTTTGAATGTGAAGGACTAAATAATGAGCGGGAATATCTCTCCGCACAAGATCTGCATGACGGTCTGTGGTCCGGATCTTTGTTGACAAAGGCATGTGAAGCGCCGACCTCGTTTTTCCCTTCTTGTTCCCACCGCCAGAAAGCCATACAAGAGGTGTGGAACAAATATGCACCCTAACGCCGAATATGTGCCGATCCGGGGCCTGTCCGCCTACAACCCAGTAAAGAAGAGGAAAAGGGGGAAGGGAGATCAAATCTTTTCCCGTCACACTCCCACTCTGCTTATCCAGACAAGCCTTATAGACAGGAGCCGCTTAAAGTTCTTTTTTTGGACACAATTGAACAGGCAGTAGCGGCCACTAGGTGTAAAAAGGAGACCGGAAAGAATGCGGGAAGCCAAGAAAAAAAAAAACGCCTCTTCAATCCAGACAGCGCAGCATTAGGTCTGCGCGGATGAAAATAACACGAAAAAAAGAGTAGCTGTCCGTGCCGTTCCATTGGCAAGGCTGAAGAAATTCGTCTTCGATCAAAGCTCCCAAAAGGCACCGCCACGCAGAAGCATGCCAACAAAAGAAAAGCAATCGGATCAACAAACAATTGTAAATTGCAAACTGCAATTGCAGTTGAAATCGACACAAAAATGCAGCCATTGACACTGTACCTTTCCATCAAAGTAGGCCTCGAAGAAGGTCTCCATGGGGATTCTGTTCTTGCCCTTGTATTTCTGGAAGGCGGGGTCAACAATGGTGAGGTAATCCTCAACCTTCTTGCCAGGGGTCTGGACGCGGTTGTTGAGGGGCAGGGCATACTTGGATCCGTAGACGAAGTAGGCGGCAAAGATGGGCAGGGCCATGACGATGGTCAGAACGGGGTAGGACCAGAAGGGCAGCTTGAGGAGCGAGACGATCATGAAGGGCGCGCCGAGGATGACTCCGGCGAGGTGGAGGTTGTTGAACGACTCATTTCCGGCGACCTCGACAGGATAGTCGGCGTTCTTGATGTTGGGATAGTTGGTCTTCTTCCAGCTTGCGCCAGGCTTGACAGAGGCCATCTTTTTTTTCTGTTTAAGATGAGATGAGGGATGGAGGGTCAAAAAAAAAGATGATGAGAAAGAAGAAAACGAGATGACTTTCTCGAGCGAGTCGAGATATACGATGTTCCTGAGTTCGGGTTCCCCCTTGTACTCCTCTGGAGATGTTTTCTTTTTCTTTTTTTTTTTCTCCAGCCCTGACCAGTGAAAATGGGACACTCACACATCAAAACGATACTCCACCCCTGTTAGCATCCTTAAATCTACCCATACATTCTCCACTCCAGACTGATCCAGACCACTATACTGAAGACATGTCTGTTTGTATTCCATTCCTCCCTCCTATCCTTCGCTATACCTATTACAATCCGCTTGCATGCTCCTTCGTTCTTTTCTCCCATTTCGTGCGCGCGCGCGTCTTGCAATGCACACATCTGCTTCTCTTTATTGTTCATAAGCCGATGGACCTAAATGATCGAACGGTGCCTTTTCCTCTTTCTCCTCTTTTCATCCGTCCAACTTCTTTTCCTCGATTCACGAACCGCGACGACACAATTGATACCCTATTTTCTTTCTTTTTCTTTTTTTTTTTAGCGACGATTAAGGGTCGAAATGGAGACACAGCCGAGGAGGAAACACGAGCGAAATAGGAACTCGATAAACAACACCCAGTTACAATGTCGACCGTAGCTACATCGCGCGACGCGTCCTCCTGACAGATACCGTTGGCGAGCTGATAGGCATACACAAAAAAAAAATCAGTCCAATTGTTGGACATACGTCTTCTTTACCTTGCAGATCAAAAGATGGGTATAGGAAGGGAGAGGATGGAGAAGGGGAGGAAAGGGAGGAAGGACGGGCGTGAGGAAGAAAAGGAAAGAAGAACCAAAAAGTGAGAACAGAATGCGAGATTAAAAGGAAAGGGGGGCTAGAAGTGAGAACAAGCAGGGTACCCAAAGCTTAGCTACAGTCAGTCTAGTTCCCGTCACCATCCATCGAACCTGGACTCTATTGACAAAGCGTACTCTAAAAGATGCGGGCAGGTGGAACATTCTTAATGGCAATTGGCATATTTATCTTCTGAAAGACGTCCAATAATACGACGATAAGGCCACCGTACCGCCGGTATTTTTGCACCTCCTCTGGGGGCCATTTTACTGGTCGAGGAGCTGGGAGAGGAGGAGCAGTCTGTACGATTCCAATCGAGATGCCACCAAAAAAAGGGACCACACAAAAAAAAACCAGAGAGGAACATGCTGAGGTTGCGTTTTGATTCGATCCCCCGATTCCGCCCTCTATCTACTCTTTGGCATGTTGTACGAAAGAAAAAAAAAAAAAATAAGAACCTTCGTGGGTACAAGTAAAAAGAACAGCTGGAAGAGAGCACCCATAACCCAAAAACAACAACAAAGCAACCGATGCTAAACTGAAATAAGCTACTGTCGCACTTGCATGCATGCTCACACGCAGAAAGCAACACATGTTGATCGGACATCCAGAGTCCTTACATCTATCTGCAGTCTACATATGAGATACCAGGCAATCAATGCCATCCGCTTTAACTGTCCCTCCCATTCGCCTTCTCTTCTAAAACAAATAAAAGAAAACAGTGAGCGAATCGCAAAGCGCCCGTCAAGGCAAGGCAACGTGCAAAAAAGGATAATGCTCTTGAGAGCTAGATCTTTCAACTGGTTCTGTTCGTTGTAGCCTAAACCTTTCAAGCACAGCTCCGATAAGAAAAAATGAGAAACTAGCAAAATGTATTGTGGTAGAAGTGGGATTTGAACCCACGCCTCTCTCGAGACCGCAACTTGAGTGCGGCGCCTTAGACCAACTCGGCCATCCTACCAGTCTGTGGAGGCTCATTTTAGAAAATATATGTATTCGTTATTTTAAGTCACGTGATAAACGCCATCAATATTGCGTTTTCGCTTTCCTTTTTTTTTTTTTTTTTTTTTTTTTTTAACGGGAGCTGCCTTTGCGGACCATGCGTCTCGTGTTCATGTGGATTGATGTTAAAAAGCAATAAGGTCTTTTAGTCTAGAGTCTCTCACTAATAAACCCCACATATTCTTGTCAGTTCTTGTTATCATATCAAAAAAAAAAAAAAAAACTCTGCTTCTGCTTGCATAACGCGTCCGCTAGGTTGTTTGATGCATTCAGTGCCTCTTTCTATCCATGTGCGCAATTTTTTATTTTAGGTGATCCAGATCCAGATTCACATCTAAATCCTCAAAATGTTCTATCAGCATGAAACTCACGAAAATAGTACGCGCACGGATAGATTTCATCGTTTCGTGTAGCAGGTCGAAAGGAATAATCCGCCATATCGCCGTAGCAAATTGTTGAAAGAAAAAAACTATTAATTACTACTACTTCCAGTATAAACCAATGTGCTCAAAAACCGCCTCGTAAACCTCACAAGGGATTTTATTAAGATTCATTCTATATGTTCTTTATGATTTCGAGGGAATCATGATCTACTTGCAAAATAAAAGATAAAATAAAATGAATAGCAAGCAATTATGGACGGCACCAGTTTTCTTAGGCATCGTTGTAGAGAAAGCGGTTTGGCGAGCCTTTCAAGTCGCCTTTGACGACGCCGGGGGTGCTGACGCTAAGCAGCTTCTGATAAACATGGTGTGGACTGGTTAAGGATGAGTCGATGCTCAGGAAGAGGGCGACGACACCGGAAACGTGAGGGGTGGCCATCGAGGTGCCGGAGATGGTGCGGATGGCGGAGGGGCTACCGATCCAGTCAGACGTGATTTCAACACCAGGTGCAAAAATTTTAACACAGCTGCCCCAGGACGCGAAGCTCGCAACCCGATCTTTAATGTCCGAAGCGGAAACTGTGAAGGCTCCCTGGGTGCCAGCAGGAGATCTGGTGCATGAATCCACGTCCGCCTCATTACCGGCAGATACGATGACGGGGATGCCGGCAGCGTAGAGGCGGTTCACGGCGCTGTCAATAGCCATGGACTTTGGACCACCTAGTAGATACATTGTCATTCGAAAACAAATTAGCATCCAGTGGATCACAAGCGGAAGCCCAAGGCAGGAGGGGAAAAAACAACAACAAAAATCTTACCGAGGGACATGTTGACAACAGCCTTGGTACCACGGGCATGTTGAATGACCCAGTCCATGCCGGCAATAACGCCGGAATAAGCACCAGAACCCTCGGCATTGAGGACCTTGACGCCGACCAGTTTGACCTTCTTGGCAACGCCATATTTGGTGTCACCGATAGTTCCTGAGACATGCGTACCGTGGCCATTCTCGTCTGTGTTGGGTGAGCCAGCGATGAAGTTGGCACCCATGGACGCACGACCTTTTAAACCGTTGTGGTCTACGTAAATGCCGGTGTCAATCACATAGGCTGTGACGCCCGAGCCGGCCTGCTCCTGGTAGAGGTAGGGAACATTGAGTCGGTTCTTGCGTTCCGAGATACGAGGAAGACCCCAGGAGGGAGGGTTGGGCTGGAGTGAGACATCCAGAGTAATGATGTGATCCTGCTCGACATATTCAACCTCATCAGAGGCAAGGAGTTCCTTCAGAGCAGCGGCGTTGATCGTTGCGGAGAAGCCCTGAAGGGAAGGATAGTGGCGATCGATGGTAGACTTGCGACCGCGACCGTCCTGGGCAACGGCAAGGGCCTCGAACTTGGTAACAAAATCAGTGACATTTTTGCCGCCCTTTAGGATAACAATGTACGAGTCAGGGATGGGCTTTCCAGAGTTGCTCTTAATAAGGGGGGCGGCGTCCGAGAAAGTAAAAAGGGCCAGACAGGCAGCGAGGACGAGACTAGCGTACTTCATGGCTTCTTTTGAATAGAGGTGTAGTGGGCTTGATACGCGGGCAGGTCAGAGAGGAGCAGGTACTCGAGGCGTGGACGTGGAGAAAAAAGGGAAGGAGTAAGCGGAGGCAATCGTTCTTATATATTTTTTGTGCTCTAGGAAGTATACGGCGAACATACCTGGGCCAACGAACCATCGTCATAGCGCAGGTTGTACCTCAAACGCGAAGGTCTGAGAACGATAAAAGGCTAGACCGGTGAGCAACCTGAGCATGCCAGTGGACTCAGGGAGCTGGAGATCTGGGGCCAGGAATGTTGCGTGCTGCTGTGAATTGTGCACTGATCTCTCTGAACCAACGACTTTCATGAAAAAAAAAAAAAAGCACGGGCGCTGATAGGTAGGACCGTCACCTAGACTTGGCATGGAGGAATTTAGACGATCCTGAGACCGCCTCCGCCTCGAACGATTGTTTGCTTTTTTTGTATCCCGCCGTGGATGCACGCGAATATAAGACCCCACAGCAAATGGCAGCTCTTGCTTTCTATTTTCACTCAACAGAACCCCTGGCCAGATTACGTCGACATCCTCTCACGATGGAATCGACAGGAATAAGACTCCACTCTCGAATGGGTGTCTTTGCATTTATTTTTTTATTTTATTTCATATTTTTATTTTTATTTTTGCTGGTTTTACATCCGCTGCAGCGTCACTGCCTCGGGTTCTGTCTTTCCAGGACTTAGTTCTGGTGCCTAAGTACCACATACAAAAGAGCCCTTCACGACTATCGATCTTGCTAGCGCGCGCGCTGTCACTGTCGCTGTCCCGGATCGAGGGTTCCAACCCTAGACACTGTGCGTCAATCTTAAACGACAATGTCAACTGGTACTTCCAGTCTGATGATCATAGAGCTAAAGAGATCGCCGTTTCTGGAGCTTGCATTTCTGGGGTACATGGTGGAGCAGCATCTAGCGCCAGAGTTGGGGCTGCAATCGATGGTTCCATGAGCAAGAGGTCGTGCATTACAGTTGGGTGCTAGCCAAGGATGTGCCCATGGGCTCAAGCGCAATATAGTTTTCGCGCGTTGACAACAGAGCACACTGTAAACAAACGAACAAACAAACAAACATTTCAGCAACTTGATCGATGGCCTGTGCCTCGCACAGCACTTTTTTACGGCCAGAGGAGGTTGATCTCTTGAACGCGCTGCTCTCATGATGATCGTGCCCAATGTCTTGTACTTGAAGCCGCTGTTAGATTATCGCTGGTGGAGTTTCACGCACGCTTGCTGAAGTCATGTTGACGGAGATATCTGGTGCCCCGGCTGTTGTCTTGGTAAAGTCTTCTGGGGCCAGTCTATCAATCACCATTTAAAAGGACGAAGGAAAAGCACTTCCTCCGCACTCGACCCTATTGATTCCCACAGCATAAACCTTTACCACCAGGATACACATCCACAATGCACTTTGCCACCATCTTCCTTTCCGTATTGGCTTGCATGACAACCGCCATGGCAGCCGAGCACCCCATCATTGTTACCGATAAAGGATTCCAGCCTTCAACCCTCTGCATCGAACCAAAGGACACTATCGTATGGAGATTCCAAGCTGGAGGTCACAATGTCGAGGCGACTACTGCTGTTGGATCCTGTACCTCGAAAAACACATGGCGCAGCGTCACAATGCGCCAAGGTTGGGACTGGCATCGAACCTTTAAAGAGGAGGGCATCGTCAGCTACATGTCAAGCGTCGGTCAAGACTGCGAGAATGGGTTCAAGGGTGTCATATATGTCGGAGGCCAATGTGTTACATCGTACAGCAATTCCGAAGCCCAGGTTGTGACCACAACTATAGTTACTCCCACAGCTACAGTTACCCCCACAGCTACAGTTACCCCCACAGCTACAGTCACCCCCACAGCTACAGTTACCACCACAGCTACAGTTTCCACCACAAGTGGAGGCCATGCAACTTCTACCACTGTAGTCCCGCAGCCGACTAGCGGTCATGGCAACTCCGCAGGTGCCCAACAGCTCTCCTGGGCTTTGACTGCCCTAGCCATCGCTGTTGCTCTTGTCTTCTGATCCATGTCTTTTACACGAATATATTTCATAAAGCTGCATTTGCAAAATAAAATATGAAATTCATTGGTCCGTGTTAGCACAGCTCAGCATTAGCTTTATGATTTAGTAAAGAAAAGAGTGTTTGTTTATTATCCTGTTATGAATCGGCAACATCGGTATCGTTTGTTGTTGTACAAGTTGTTATACTCCACATTGGCTATCAGTTTATGAATGTGCTTCCTTAGTGCTGCCTTCTTAGTATCATACTCGGCTTGATTGAACCTGTGTTTTGCTAGTCCATATCTTTACTTCAGCTTTGGTCAGCTCTTCGCCATCCATTCGCTTTACACACTTTAAATCCTGTAGATCAACCCCCATAGTATCTCTAGGCCCTTCAATGTCGTCAAAATGAGTTTCAACGTGTCCTTGATCGGACCGCTATAACAAATGTAGTCCATTCTACCGGTCTTGGAGCTTTAGAAGGTTCGAACGCGAGCGTTCTGATTCTCGTATCCAAGATTGAGGCGCCTGTGACGATTGAGACTTACCAAACACTCGTCAATCCGTTGTCATTGCTATCCATGCCCGAGATACCGTCTTTGCACGGCAGTCCGCTCCGTGTTCGTGAACTTAAACCGTAATTGAGCTCCCTTCTCTTATTAAAGTCTAAACGCTCGGTGCCGTCGATCCTGCGTTACAGCTTCTAGAGCCTGAGACAGGTCCATGGCGTCTGTGAGATTCCAAGTAAAGATTCAAAATTCCAATTGCATTGCAACGCACGCTGTATCTATTTGATATATGAGGGTAAAAGCAATCATGTATGCAAAGAACAAAGTGCAAAACGAGTATCATTACTCAATTTCAGCCAAGCGACCGTGCTCCAAATCAGGCCCTCCAGGTGCCCTTCGTTACGTTAAGCACTGATACAGCACTATTTTAGTGTGCTCTTGCCCCAGGGATTGAATGCCGTTATGGGTAAGTATGGGAAGGAGTGAGGAGGAAGAGGAGGGAGAGCTGGAAGAGGTGGAGAAACAGAGTTGCTGCTGGGCGCAAGCCTGGCCAATGGGAGCACGAATACCCAAAAAGGAACTCGAGCAGTCCCTCATAAACATACGCCACCTTTTTTTTTTTTTTTTTTTTTTTGTCAAGGGAAGAGGTCCAGCAAGAGGTACAGACAGCAAAAGGTCCACCACCCCGACTCTACATCACCCATTCATTCATAATGTAAGTTAAAGGAACGCATGGTGTCCCCATTCAACCGAGGACTCTCACCTGCGCATGTCCTAACTATGAGCTGTTTTTCTTTACCGACTGTATTAGGTCGAGGTTGATTATCAAGAACCTTCCTAAACACCTCACGGACGAGCGGTTCCGGGAGCACTTCAACACTATAGGCGAGGTGACTGACGCCAAGTTGATGAAGAGCTCGTAAGTCTCTAAAGCCTGCCTATGCTTGTGAAGTCTATGCGATCCATAGAGGAAGGATTCCTGACCAATTCTTCAATTTTCATGTCCCTTAGTTTCGGCAACTCGAGACGCTTCGGATTCATTGGATACAAGACAGAAAAGGAGGCCAAGGCTGCACTCGCACATTTCAACAACACATTCATTGATACCTCAAAGATCATTGTAGAGAAGGCCAAGGAGGTAAGGTGTTTAGTTTGTTGTTTAGCCCAATATCGCCTTTTCTCATCCTATGCTGTGCTAACGACCTAAAAATACTCAAAATCTGAATGACACATAGATTGGAGATGATTCTCTTCCCAGAGCATGGAGTCAGCACACTATCGGTACATCAGCACATGCAAGGAAAGTGGGCGTGGAGAAACAGCGCAAGGAGGCTGCAGAGGCTGCAATGAAGCTGAAGAACGAGAGGGAGGCGAACATGGAATTGAGAAAGAAGCAGGAGCATCTATCCAAATTGTATCAGGCTGAGAACGACCCCAAACTGAAGGAATATCTGGAGATCATGCAGCCAAGGGCTGTCACCAAGACCTGGGCCAACGATGACGCTGTGGAATTGAACACCGAAAAGGTCGGACATGACCGTATGAGCAACAGGGCAAAGGCGAGGGCTCAGGTTGTTGCGATCAAGAACAGGAAACCTGGTGGAGAGGGCTTGATGGTGACTCAGACAAAGATCACGTTCGAGGACTCGGATGATGAATTATATGACAATCTCCCAATTTCAAAGGCAGATGAAAAGGGCAGTGGTGATGAGGATGAGGAGATGACCATGTCTGAGGTTCCCCAGAAGGACGACCTTGTCGACAACTCTGAGGTGTCAGATCTGGACTGGCTGAAGTCGCGTATGGCCAAACCAGCAGGAGAGTCGACCGAGCAGGTAAGCATTATGTTCGTCTCTGTTTTTATTATACCATTTTGCTGCTCAATATGCCTTATTCTTGGCGCTGACAGAGTTACCCTTGCTGGTTGAATTCTAGGCAAAGTCAGATAAGGACAAGGAAGATGGAGCGGCGATGTCAGACGTTGAACCGGCACCCGCACGAAAGATTGCACAGGAGCCCCCCAACAGACCCCTCATCATTTCAGCAGAGGAAGAAGAAGAGAACGCGAAGAATCTCATTGCCGATACCGGACGTCTCTTTGTTCGAAACTTGCCATATACCTGCACAGAGGAGGAGCTCCGCAAGCTGTTTGAGAAATTTGGTCCCCTCTCAGAAGTCCACATGCCCATCTCCAAGGATACAAAGAAGCCCAAGGGTTACGCATATGTCCTCTATCTCTTGCCCGAGCACGCTATCAAAGCCTTCACAGCAATGGACAAGAAGTTTTTCATGGGCCGTCTACTGCATATTCTCGCATCCAAGGAGAAGCCACAGCCAAAGGAGGACGAGGAGAACCCGCTTGGACTCGGTGGACGCCCATTGTCCGTCAAGAAGCAGCGCGAGCTTAAGAAGAAAGGCCAGAGTGGCATGGATTTCAACTGGAACAGTCTTTACATGAATGTACGTATTAATGTATTCATTTTGTTATGGCCCAGCAAATGTAGTTTTACGCGTATTAACCAAAAGAATGCACTTCAAATCTCTAGTCTGATGCTATTGCAGCTTCGATCGCAGACCGCCTCAACGTCTCCAAGGCAGACATCTTGAGCCCCGATGCCGACAACATGGGAGTGCGTCTCGCTGTTGCAGAAACCCAGATCATCATGGAAACAAAGAAGTTCTTGGAGGAAGAGGGCATCAATGTTGATGCGTTCGGAAAGAAGGAGCGCAGCGATACTGTGATTCTTGTTAAGAATATCCCCTACAACACCACTGAACAGGAGCTTCAAGATCTGTTTGGCACCCATGGGGATCTTGGACGTGTCCTGATGCCCCCAGCAAAGACCATCGCCATTGTCGAGTTTTTGCAGCCCAGCGAAGCCAGGTCTGCGTTCTCCCATCTGGCATACAGGCGATTCAAAGATACGATTTTGTACTTGGAGAAGGCGCCTGTTGGAGTATTCACAAGCAAGTACGATCCTGAGTCGAAGAACAAGAAGGCGGAGAAGAAGGCCGCAGATGAGGAGGAGGAGGCCCTATCAAAGAAGGTCACCTCGACTCAGCTCATGGAGAGTGCCGCCACTGCAGAGGACTCTCAGGATGCCGACAACTTGGAGGGCTCGACTCTGTTTATCAAGAACATCAACTTTAAGACTACGGACGCGGGTCTGAAGAAGGCGTTTGCAAGTGTGGATGGAATCAAGTCTACCATGGTCCGGTACAAGCCTGACCCCAAGAACCCCGGAAAGACTTTGAGCATGGGATTCGGATTCGCAGAGTTCGTGTCGAAGGATAAAGCCTTGAATGCAATGAAGGCGATGAACGGATTTATTCTGGATGGAAACAAGCTGGACATCAAGTTCTCGGACCGTAGGAGTGACAGCAAGAGCAAGGCTCGCGTTGCCCCCAAGGACCATGGCACGAAATTGATTGTCCGCAACATTCCCTTCGAAGCCACCAAGAAGGACATCCAGGGACTTTTCAGGTATGTCGGCTGCAGTTTTCCTTGTTTTCCTTTTATTCCGTTTATACTGACATCTACGTGCAAATACTTAACTGTTCAACGTCTTGAATTTTTCATTATAGCACATTCGGTCAGCTCAAGTCTGTGCGTATTCCCAAAAAGATGGCCGGAGGCCATCGTGGTTTCGCTTTCCTGGACTTTATGACGAAGCAGGAGGCCAAGAGTGTGTACGAGAATGTTGCCAATACACATTTGCTGGGTCGCCATCTGGTGATCGAGTGGGCAGAGGAGGACTCTGGATTGGATGTGTTGCGTGAGAAGGTCGGGCGCCAGTTCCGAAAGGATGACGGCCATGGCAGTGGCAAGCGTAGGAAGATTGATCTGGATGGCGACGACGATGATATGATGATGGAGGACGACTAAACAACTGCTCTCGCCCTCCAGACTTTACTGCTTTCACCATCCACTTTGCATATCCAATTTTTTTTATCTGCCCTCTCATTCGCCATGCTTGTACTATTACCCTTCTCCTACTCTTCAACTAGTGTCATCCTCAAACATAGATCCCGTTATTAAAAGCTATCGCCCATCTTCTCGATCGATAGTCTATCGTTCTCCCGTCGGGCAAATGCTCCCAAGTATTGCTCTGAGAAACTATAGAAAATGCTTATTTTTTCATGTCTGCGAAGCCATGGCTCGCGTGTGTAAACTGGAGCCGCTTGTTAGATTAGGAGCATTCCCGGAGAGCCTTAGTCATCGCTCATCAGCTCATTCATCGGATGTCGGATACTTTCATCTCGGCTTAAACTTTCATGCGGATTCGATATGCATTTCGTTCTCTCTCTCTCTTTGTGAACGAGTACAGTGGTGGTTAGACTAATGGGGAACAGGCGGCCAAAAGTTGACAGCCCTAGTGTCTTTTGCTCATTGTCCTTGTGTCCACCCTACAGCCCTCCCTCCCTCCCCCTCCCCCTCCCCCTCCCCCCTTCTCCTTCTCGTATCTTAAAGCAACAGAAGAAGGGGTGTTGAAGTACATACAGGATAGGGCACAAATGTCGTAGTAAAATATGGTTTTCACCCGGATGTTTCGGGCACCGCGCTCTCTAATGAATCGATTGTTTGGTAACCTTATTCAGGAGGACAATACAAACATGCTTTTTTTTGGCAGTGGAGGAATGTCGGGCGACTATGTATAAAAATAAAACGAAGGTTGAATACCTCGGTTTTGGAGACAGACAGCACGCTCTCAGGCAGGATATTAGAGACATGCATGTTTCGATGCTCTCTCTCTCATTACTCTCCTTACTGTCGTCTGTCTTATCATACGAACGACAATGGCGCTAACAGTTATGCATGTACGACTCGGTTTACGCCAACCATGGTCATCATATGGGGGAGCAGAATGCATGAGGACGAGTGTGGTGGATTGACACAGATGTACGCTGGGTCCTTTATGGTTCGAGATGACGAATGACGTTTTGTCCAAAGGAAGGTTAGGAGACGTTCCTAAGAAAACAAAAACGAAAAAAAGGTTGGTTCGTGGATAGGGATCAGTCATGGCGGGCACCAAAGTACCGATGCAGTTGGGGTACAGCCTGGTTGTACGGATGGTCCTTATGCGATGACATCCACGCATGTGCATGCGAGGGGCAAGGGGAATGCGGATACTGGAATGGGCATTGTGGGTGCTGGGTGGTATTTTTTTTGAGTGCGTGCTAAAAATATATTTCATTTCCCCTGTCTCCGCCCGCGGGCCTGTCCTGTCGTAGACTAGCCCTTTGAGCATAGAAGGCCGTGAATGTTCCGGCTGTGCCCTCTTTCTTTTTTTTTTTCTTTTTTGGTATAAAAGGCACCGTCCCCTAGACACCCCACCCGCTCCACTTTCCTCTCTCCCACTCATCTCTCTCACCAACACCCTAATACCCACACGTATACATACATATATCCAACAATGAAGTTCCTCGCCACCGTCGCCATCGTCGCCTCCTCCTTGGCCGCCATCGCCACCGCCGACATGCTCCAGATCAACAACCCTACCCAGGGCTCGACCTGGACCACTGGCAAATCCGAGTTCGTTGGCTGGACCGGCAACTGCGCTTCCATGGGTGATGCTGGAAAGAACGTTACCGTCGATCTCGTCACCGGTCCTGCGAGCGCCGTCCGCTACGTCGCCACCCTCGGAACACTCGACTGCAGTGGCTCCTTGACCCGCGCTGACTTCACCGTCCCCGACAGCATCGCCACTGGCCAGTACGCCATCATTGTCCGCACCCAGCCCCAGGGACAGGAGTCTTACACCAACAACTTCCAGATCAACAGCGGCGCCGTTGCCCCCGCACCGGTCACACCTACCACCACTGCTGGAGCAACGACCGCAGCCCCCACGGCCACGGCCACGGCCACGAACAAGCCCAGCGGTGCTGGATCCTTGGGCGCTAACGTCATGATGGCCTTTGCCGGTGCCGCTGCCGTCGCATACCAGCTCCTTTAATTGAGGAACAAAAAAAAAAAAAAAAAAAAAAAGCCGTGCATGCTATTGTCCAGAAATGACAGAGGGGAAAGGGAGGGTCGCTTTGTGAAGTTGCTCCAGTGTGCGGTTACACCAACGAAGGCTACACTTGGTAACGACAAACAAACAAACAAACAAACAAAAACAAGCGAGCAATCAACCTAGACGAGGACTCTTTTTTTGCGTTTCCCCCCACACACTTCTTCGCCCAAAGGCTCTTTTAACTATTATCGGCATTGAGTATTTTTTTTTCTTCCTATGTAACAAACCTGTAATAAAACCTCCCAAGAAGGAAAAATATAATCATGATAGAACCTATCCCTCAAAGTGTCGTGTAAAATATGCTTACTATTAGTGCGGGACCTCTTGTTGCGACTGTACGTAGAAAATAAAGCGTTGAAGCTCAAACCCCTTTTAAGCTACAGAGTGTAAGAGGTCGTATTGACAAATCAGCGGTTGTACTTGAAAATGAATAGACGTTTCGCGACTAAGATGTTCAACAATGTATATCGAAAGAAGGAGATCTCCACGTATGTATATCACACACAGGTGCCGCAGTGTAACTATTGGATAAAAAAAAATAAAAAAAGACGTGCCCCCGCTCAATTGTTCTATTGCGCTTCCCCTAAGTTTGATTAATCCAACACTTTGCGCCGCTCTGCGATTTGCTCGTGCCAGGCGGTCCTGTATAACACAGCCTAGAATCTCCGCCGATGGTTTGGATAATCCGTGTACACGTATGTGTTTCTCAATAGGTTCGTTCTCGCCTATTGTCATACCCACTTGTGTCATCCCACTTTGCACCCTGTTACGCAATTCCTCCCTGCTTCACTTCGCATTTGGAGTGCGATCTTTTTTGTTGGTCATCAGCGCAGCCTTTTAAGTTCCCGCCATGACCACACAGCCCGTATCTCTCGCCTTTACCCCACAATAGACCTCCCGTCTTTTGTCATCGTGATGAACCACAGTAATCTATTTTTGACAAGGTGCGGTAGATCTTTTGGGCAAAGGTAACCCAAGTGGATCGTGCGATGCTTCAGAGGGGTAATGGCAGCTTACAGAAAATAAAAAATGTCCTTTTTTTATTTTACAAGAAGCGGGGGGGGGGCGTGTCTACTTTGAAAGGGCGCCTCCAGTCCACTTGTTGTGGGCAGCACCACAGCGATCGACCGCAATATAAGGAGTGTTCGGGTACTGTGGATCGTCATCCACATAGAAGTTACCCCACCATGATGGGACCTTGACAGCCAACTTGGGTGAGATCCCTCCTCCCAAGAACAAAAAGATGATCAGTCCCGTGAAGGCTGCGCCGGTATCGAGGGCGGCAGACAGGATGAACACATACTTCTTCCACCAGCCTTTGTGGTAGTTATACATGTAGTACTGGAAGATCAAGCACACAATGATCGAGGGCAACACTCCAACAACGTAGCCGTTGGGGAACGCACCGAGACCACCGGCGATAATTGCAATGTTGAGCTTCGACCACTCGTACTGGGGAAACTTCTTGGACAGGGCCCAGATGATGACGGGTCCGATGAACCCAATGATGAACCCGATGTAGACGAACCAGTACTTGCCATCGAAGGCGAACATGCGAGCGGGTCCGAGGGCACCGTAGATAAGACCAGAGCCCCAGAAGGTCTGAACACGCTGACCGGTCCAGAGACCGTTGGGATCAGGACTTTCTCCGTTCAGGGCCTCGCGCTGGGAGTCGATAATGACGAGCATGGTCAGGTAGTTGAAGACGGAACCGACGATCGTTCCCCAGAATTGGCCGACGAACATGGAGCGTGGAGGGATCTTCATGTAGTGGCCGAGCTTGAGATCAGACATCAGCAAGTTACATTGGTACATGGCCATGTAACCGTAGCACTTGAAGGTCATGTTGGCGATAGGCTTGCCAGGAAGCATGTAACCGCAGATCAACTCGGTAATGACGTTAAGACCAGGACCGTAGCCGGTGACAGCGTTCATCACACCGATTGGGAGAGTGAGGAACCAACCGACAAAGAGGGAGATCAGGAGACCCCACCATGGCAGCTGCGTGCCGTAGAACTCGCAGGCAATGCAGGCCAGGATAGCCATGATGCCATAGAAAATGGCGTACCAGAGTTGGGGAACTTCGGGGTAGACCTTCATCATCTTGGTGTGAATGTCCTCCTCCTTTGACCCGATCGCGCGCTTCCAGTTACGCCAGATCTCAGGTCCGTGGAAGCAGACGACGTGAGAGCAGCATCCAGCCAGGGCAATGAACGAGGTCATGAAGCCGATGGCATACATGGGCGCCATATTGGCCTGTGGGCCAGCGTCGTAGAGGGCCTCGTTGACGGTGTAGTCATCGTTCAGGACCGTGTTGATGTCGAAGCGGGTACCGTTTTCGAAGAAGAGGCGGGAAGTCAATGGTCGGCCCATGGTCTTGGTACCGAGGGTGTTGGTGACCCACATGATGGGGACGATGATCCAGTAGTTGAGGACCATACCGGTGTAGGTGCAAAGCTGGGCAGACAAAGGCAAGTACATGACCGTGCCACCAATCGAAGTCCAGTCGAAGGAGAGGGAGAGGATACCGGATCCGGAGATGGACGAGAACATGGCCCAGAAGTCCATGTTGAAGGGATTGATCCAGCAGATCCAGTCAAAGTAGACCAGAATAGGGGCGAGCCACTGAGGGATGAACTGGTAGACGAACGTGCAAGTGACAACGACCCAGAAGAACTTCATGCGGGACCATCCACGGACGAGGCGGACGCGTTCGAACTCCTCGGTCTTGTGCATAGTGTTGTAGAACACCACTTGGACCAAGTTGCTCCACCAGACCATCTCAGCGGGGTAGACGAGGTACCTCCTGAGCATACCGGCCATACCATAACCAACGGACTGGGTGGTGATGATGAGAATCAAGGATCCCAGGGCGTTGATACGGTAGTTCAAGAAGATATCCGTGGCAGACAGAATGTCGATAGCATAGGCGGCGCTGGCACCGGTCGAGACAGCAATACCAATTAAGGCGTGCTCCTTGATGTTGAAGGGGCCGGGATTGAAGGACAGCTCTTGACCAAAGACTGACATCTTGTTCTCGGGCAAGATGCGGGCCAAGGCCTTGCCGATAGTATAAGAAACCAGGTTGACGAAGAAAATGGAGAAAGAACCCGAGGTAGAGCGGAAAAAGTAGTACTGCTGGATCGTAGCACCCAAAGCAGTGAACAGGAAGGAGATGACCCAGAAGCGGAAGGTGACCACAGGAAGGGTGGGGTCGTCGGTCAATGGGACGGCTATAAAGCGACAATCCAAACAGGATAGATGTCGTTAGCAACTGCTATGTGTTGCAGCTGAACATAGTTATGAAGAAAGCCGCGAGAGGCATTACCGAGACGGACGGCCTCGATGGGCGAGTTTTATTGCTCTTCTTCGAGGGCGATATCGGCATTGGCTCCGATGCCCTTCTCGTTGAATTCGTAAGACCTCTTCTCGGAGAGGTATTCCTCTTTGCTGACCTCCGTGGTGAAGGCGTTGTTTGCCATGGTTATGGATGGAATGAGGAGAAGGCGCAATGAGGAGCTGAGGAGAGGGGAAAGATGGCCTAGAGGGCGAATACTCGCTGAGGAATTGACAAAGAGGCAGAAAGGGGGCAGGGAGCAGCACGTATTTATATGAGGGGTGCCTTACTCTGGGTTCTTCTACTGAAGAGACACGCAAAAAGAGATCATATCTAATTACTGTAAAAAAAAAAAAAAAGAAAAAAAAAAAACCGAGGGAATAGAGAACACTCACTGCTTTTCTTCACCGATGCCTAGACGACATTTACTCTCTTTTTTCCTGTGGTTTGCTTGTATACCCAGACGTCCTTTTCAAACAACATCGTTTGTTTGTGTCTATTCAGTCTCCCTTGCATAAACAAAACCTTATTTCGAATATGCTCACCGTCGCAGCTGCGGTGTTGTGGGTGCTGGTGGGCATTTGGTAGGGCTTCCGATTGGCCGCCCTGAATCACATTTACTTGTTTGTTAAGTTTTTTCAATCACACCGTTGAACACACAATATGAGCAAATTGAAGTAAACATGAACAGCCCTGGCCTGTACATGTACATGTATGTGCTTGTGCGGTTGTGATACTTACCGAAGGTACCTCCGGCATCGTTACCGAGGGTACCCAAAATCGACTGTAAACACGAGATAGGTGTGAGAAAAAATAATCCTCGGATATCCATTTCCGAGGCAATCTTAGTACTTTCTCTGTAAACTTGAGAGATCAAATTCCCAAGCCTTGATAGATAATACAGGGAAGCACCACTTAGTATCAGCTCATCACGCCGATTTCACTATACCAGCTTCCTTTGATACCAATATCGAGTCGGTGTCTAAACTGGTCGACTCGTCCACTCTTGAAAAGACGATCAGTGCTGCACCTAAAAAAAAGAGTCCTTTTTTTTTTTTCCTTCGCGTTTATGCATCTTTGACAACTGCCTGCTCTCTGTATACGTCCATATTGCGCTCATGAACCAATCATCGCGCCAGCAATGGGCGTGCAAACGAAAATAACCAAAGATACACATTATTCTTTTTAACCCGCAAGGGCGTAGTGCTGTCCACCGTGTGGATAATATAACTGGAATCAAGCATTTAATATAGTAAATGTATTCCATAGCCAATTGTACTCTATTGACATTGTGTTTGAGAGACGAACCCTACGGGTTGGGATTGGATTTTTTTTTTTGAAATGAGTGTTTGTGGTATTTACCAGGTAAGCGACATCGACGATAACTTAACAATCGACGCGATGCTGTTACCAGACCCATTCCGCCTTAAACCTCGCCGCCCTACCCCTTTCCCACGTTTGAGCAGTACTATCAAGTGCCACATCCCTTCCATCGCCATTACAGTAGACGATCAAACAAGCTACAATAGCGATGATAAATAGTGTGTTATTTTTTATTGTCGACTGAGTATTGGGCACAAGAGCATTTTAGACGCCTCCAGTCCAGCCAGCAGGGGTGGCTGCACCGCAGCGGTCAACGGCGTTGTAAGGAGCGTTATCACCTTCAGGCGTGTAGTAGTTGGCCCACCACGATGGGACGTTGACAGCCAACGTGGATGAGATCCCTCCGCCCAAGAACAAAAAGACAATCAGTCCCGTGAAGGCTGCGCCGGTATCGAGGGCTGCCGACAGGATAAAAACGTACTTCTTCCACCAGCCCTTGTGGTAACGGTAAATGTAGTACTGGAAGATCAAGCAAACGACCACGCTGGGGAAGATTCCGACAACGTATCCGTTAGGGAAGTTACCCATGCCTCCTGCGATGATTGCAACGTTGAACTTGGACCACTGGACCTTAGGGAACTTCTTGGAGAGGCCCCAGAGGATGATGGGCACAATGAAGCCGATCAAGAAGCCGAGGTACACAAAACCGTACTTGCCATCCAGAGCAAACATGCGGGCTGGTCCGAGGGCACCGTAAATGAGACCAGAGCCCCAGAAGGTCTCGACGCGCTGGCCAGTCCAAAGACCAGAGGGATCCTCTTTCGTACCATTAAGAACACTGCGCTGAGAGTCGATGATCAGAACCATAGTCAGGTAGTTGAAGACGGAGCCGACAATTGTTCCCCAGAACTGGCCAATGAACATGGAACGTGGGGGGATCTTCATATAATGACCAAGCTTGAGATCAGACAGCAAATTCATGCACTGGTACATGGCCATGTAACCGTAGCACTTGAAGGTCATGTTGGCGATAGGCTTTCCGGGAAGCATATAACCACAGATCAACTCAGTAATGACGTTGAGACCGGGACCGAAGCCAGTGATGGCGGTCATCGCACAGATAGGGAGAGTCAAGACCCAGCCAACGAAGAGTGCGACAATAAGGCCCCACCATGGCAGCTGAAGGCTGTAGACTTCGCAGGTAACAATGGCGAGCGCGGCCATAATGACATAGAAGATGGCGTACCAGAGCTGAGGAACCTCAGGATAGACCTTCATCATCTTGGTGTGAATGTCCTCATCCTTGTCGCCGACGGCCATCTTCCAGTTACGCCAGATATCGGCGCCGTGGAAGCAAATGATGTGGGAGACACAGCCGGCCAGTGCAATGAACGAAGTCATGAAACCGAGAGCATACAAGGGCGACATGTTGGCCTGTGGACCAGCGTCGTAAAGGGCTTCGTTGACAGTGTAGTCATCGTTCAGGACCGTGTTAATATCGAAGCGGGTACCGTTTTCGAAGAAGAGGCGGGAGGTCAATGGTCGACCCATGGTCTTGGTGCCGAGGATGTTATTGATCCACATGATAGGAAGAATGATCCAGTAGTTCAAGATCATACCGCCATAAGCGCAGAGCTGGGCGGCCAAGGGGAGATACATTGTAGAGCCACCAATCGATGTCCAGTCGAACGACAAGGAGAGGACACCGCCTCCGGAGATTGAGGAGAATATGGCCCAGAAGTCCTTGTTGAACGGGTTGATCCAGCAGATCCAGTCAAAGTAGACCAACAGGGGAGCGAGCCATTGAGGTATAAACTCGTACACGAACATGCCTCCGCAGAAGACCCAGAAGTACTTCATGTAGGACCAGCCGCGGATCATCTTCATGGTCTTGAACTCGCCGGTATTGTGCATGGCGTTGTAGAAGACGACCTGGACGAGGTTGCCCCACCAGACCATCTCAGCGGGATAGACGAGGTACTTGCGGAGCACTCCAGCCATACCATATCCGACGCACTGGGTAGTGATGATGAGGAAGAGCGAGCCCAAGGCTCCGACGCGGTGGTTCAGGAAGAGATCTGTGGCAGAGAGGATATCGATCGCATAAGCAGCGCCAGCAGCAGTTGACACGGAGATACCGATCAAAGCGTGCTCCTTGATGTTGAAGGGTCCAGGGTTCAGCGACATGTCGTAGCCGAAGACGCTGACCGTGTGGCTAGGCAGGATTCTGGCAAGACCCTTGCCGATGGAATAGGAGGCCAGGTTGACGAAAAATATAGAGAAGGAGCCTGAGGTGGACCGGTAGAAGTAGTACTGCTGAATGACAGCGCCGATCACGGAGAAGAAGAATGAGATGATCCAGAAGCGGAAGGTAACCGCAACCAAGGATGGATCATCAGTAATAGGAACGACTAGTAATTGAGAGAGTGTGTGTGCAGAGGATTAGGAGCTGCGTGTGATATCTTTTTTTTTTTTTTTTTTTTTTTTTTTTTTGGGGGGGGGGGGGGGGGGATGGTATGAATGCATAGCGGGGTGACGATGATGAAGTGAAGTGTTCACATACCCAAGCGAACGGCTTCGACCTTGGAGTTCTCTGTCTCGGTCTCCTCAGCAAGCTGAAGTTCATCGATCTCGTTAGCCTTCTCGTTCACGAACCCCTTTTCGATTTCGTATTTTTCAGACATATTAATGGTGTTTCTGCGAGCAGATATAGAGGGTATAGGCGGAAAGAGAATAGGAGAGTGTGAGGAAGGTGCCTTCCTTCGGGCTTGTTTCTTGGAATGGTGTAGGGAATAGACACGAAGAACAGACGAGGAGACAAAGAGAAGGGTGCTTTTATAGCGAAACGCAGGAGATGAGATAGGAGCCTGATGGTAGAACCAGCCGGACGCGATAGGCCGCGGCGAAACATCACTGCTATGGGCCAGTACTGTATATGCTTGTGTATCCCATGGTTGCTCTCGCGCTAGCGAAGGAAAAGGTTTATTCAAGCTATCGATCTGCGTGCTGGATGGTAGCTGTTGTCGATTGTTTTTCATTTCTGTTTACGAAGTGCATGTACCAAGCTTTACTCTTGTTTATGTGGATCGATAGTTGTAAGCTGTCCATCTGCATGGCAAAAGAGGAAGGCGATGGTGGTGTTGGACTGCCCGCCTTCCCTTCTGACCAACAGTAAATATGCAATGTCCGAAAACAGCAATACTGCGTACTCTGACCCCTGTTACCGTTTTTTCATTGGTTGTCATTACTGTCCGCACCATTTCGGCTGCACTCACGTTTACATCTTTCATTCCTCCAAGGCTACCATAGCCTTTTCCTTCTTCGCTGGCGGGGTTTCCGCATATGATCCCGCATAGAATATCGACAATAGAGCAGAAGGCACTGTACTCGTGGCTGGGGTCGTCATTCGCGAGCCTTTAGGCGTGACAATTCGCATGCTCGATGTGCCACGCATTTCTGACTGGAGTATTTAACTTAATCGACAAGTAGCATAAGCTGCAGCGCCAGACCTCAGGATAGAACATAGTTATGAGTCAGTCAGTCATTCAATTGCCCATAAGGGAGAACAACTTCAAAGAGCATGTACCATTCGGAAGTACGTCCGAGGGAGAGTCTATGAGCACACCGGTTCGTGCATTATGCATGTCCTTGTGCGTTTCTGTGAATTCGTGCGAATTTTGCTCGTCGCTGATTGGGTGGAAGACCGGCCCGTTTGGTGACCCAAAGGAAAACCTATCATGCGGACAGGAAGAAAATCGATGGTCACCCTCTTGCATTGATAGGTTACCAAAGCTGGCCCTTAAAGCTCCTGTACTTCTGGCCACTTTGCCCGCTATGGGGCTGTTCATGCTCACCACACATGCTCTGCTCACCTACATCGGCAGTCGCATTTGGATAGGACCCCAAAGTGTTTATATGCCATGCGGTCTGGTGCGATCTCAGCTCACAATTGTTTGTTGCGGGACACGACCGACAAGGCCTACATCACTATGGCGAAACCACAAGCAGAAACACCTTGACCCAAACACTTGATTCATGGTCAACTAAGTTTGTCTTGCATCTTGGAATCCAAATCCGAGGTAGACTATAGACACTCTTTTCGATTAAGGATGCCTTTTAGTCTATCTGCCATACATAACAATAGGTACTAGTGTTCTGGCCCCCTGCAAGCATGTGCAGACCTTATAGATGAAATAGTTCATTTTCATCAGGAACACAGATGTGAGCATGGGGACATGTATTGGAATCCAGCCTTCCTTGGCCTGTAGTTACTGCTGGCCTGGAACAATAATATCCAGTCGCCAAATTCGATGACAAAATGAGCGAGAATATGCGAGTCGGGGCCTCAGAAGTTACAGTTTCCGCGCGCTTCATTTTTCTTTTAGCCAGCCAGAAGTATACATTCCATCAGTTGGAATTTGCGGCGATGGATCATGAATTGTGACCAGAAGAACAGTTGCAAGACGTGATTTGCACCCTAGATGGGAACAAGTGATGCCGGGATTCAAACTCTTCTTTTTTCCGATATGACCACAGGAGCACAAAACTTAAGGTCGACATTCAGCTCGGATCTGTGGGAACGCGGAGACGTTCCAATTGGACACTCTGTGTGCATGTGTAAACACCAGCAACGCCTACGACTGTGCAGGATAGACGGTCAAATTAGCGCCCTCTGAACTTCTCATGCCGTGAAGAAGAAAGCGCGCCCCAGTAGTTAAAACATTGAAAGGTAGTATGATATGGGTCGGCCGGCATCGTAGACCGTAAAAGTACGTTATTGTGCAGAAACGCGCGTCGTTTATCGGAACTAGGTGTTGGACCTACCTTCTTGCCTGAACGTCGTTCTCTGCCTTGACTCTCGAAAGATTGAAAGCGCTAATTCGAGGCAATACCTCCTATCGCATGCAAACGTGAACAAGGAAGCGTTAGTTCAATTGTATAGCTGAATGAGTACTTTTGACACTCGATTGCAAAGCTTACGGAACGTGGATGCGGATGAAATTATCAAAGTCCCTTATTGCTACAAACGCCTTTTTTTTTTTTTTCAGAACACATATTAAAGTCTATGTTAAGTAACAGCAGCAAGTGGTCTGTCTACCTTCATGCAATCGAGGCCTAACATGCAATCGAGGCCTAACAGGCACTCTTTTTTATTGTTAGTAGATGGATGTATGCCGACTGGCATGTTTGAACGCAGAGCGGAGCGGTGTCCGAGAGGTATATCTGTCTCGCCCTCGTCCCATTCACGCGCTTGTGTATTGCGTGAGAGCGCAGGTAAGGAAATTGGATCATGTCCCATGGGGTTGCACAATAAAACCGTGGAGATGCGCTGGTCTATTTCTCATGCGCGTTCAGTTGTGTACGGGGAGAGCGACGCAGAGCATGGTGGTGTTGGCTCCTGTACAGCGATTGTCGCCAGGGCTTGCAGCAGCTGAAGGGTCGACTCTCCATTCGACATGTCTCGGTCATTTGTCTCAACGGACGTGAAGATATCTCTACAGCTGACCAATTGTTAAGTCACAGCGACGACATGGTTCAGGTGAGTGCTTTATCCTCTCTCCCTGCTCTCATTCCATTCCCCAAACGCATCACATTTACACGATGGTAAGTTTGGCTCATGAGAGGCGAATTGGAAGCGCTGTAAGGGCCGCAATAACGCGTTGTACGAACCGAATACGAACAACAGAGCCCGATTGTGTAAAGCAAATTACGATCACGCCGTAGGACATGTACAACAACAACAACAACAATAACAATTCCTTCAATTGTACTCATTTTGCTAGAATAAGCAATACGACGTTATTATCTTAGGCACTGGCTTGACAGAGTGCATCCTATTTGGCCTGCTGTCTGTCGAGGGCAAGAAAGTCCTCCTCCTGGACCGTCATGATTACTACGGAGGCGAAAGCGCCAGTCTCAACCTGACACAAGTAAGGAAAACTTTTCATCGACGACAGTGCCCGGTTGCTGCCCCTCAGTGGGATTCTCAAATGCATTTCCGACTCGATAGCTTTTCAGAAAGTTCCGCCACGGCGAGGAGCCCCCTTCTGAGCTAGGACGCGACCGCGACTATAACGTGGACTTGGTTCCAAAGTTTATGATGGCCAATGGGGAGCTGGTCAAGATGCTGATCCACACAGATGTCACTCAGTATCTCAGGTTCAAGCAGATCGCGGGCTCATTTGTCTACCGAGACTATAAGATCGCAAAGGTCCCTACCACAGAGGCAGAGGCAGTTCGCTGTCCGCTGATGGGTATTTTTGAGAAGCGCAGGCTGATGAATTTCTTTGAGTACTTGAAAAACTACAAGATGGATGAGCCTTCGACACACCAGGGCATGGATATCAGGTCAACGCCTATGGAGGCTGTCTACAAGTATTTCAGGCTGCAGCAAGGTACCATCGACTTTATCGGCCATGCTCTTGCGTTTTATGCGGATGACAGGCAAGTGCATATCGCATGATAAGGCTCTATTTTCATTTGCCCTATGTTCTTTCATTAAGTCCTAGTCCTTTCCGATGCCTCCGCTCGATTTGTAGCTATCTCACCCGCCCCGCGCAGGAGACGCTTGACCGGATCGCATTATACATGTCTTCGAGGGCTCGCTGGGGCAAGTCACCATACATCTATCCTCTCCACGGTCTGGGTGAACTCCCTCAGGGATTTGCTCGGTATGGATCAAGGTCTTTTAACTAACGTGCATGCCTTATATTCCCACGGCCGAGAACTTTCCCTTGACTTCTCCGTCACCGGTTACTTTGACATAGGTTAGGAGTTCTCCATGGCGGTACATACATGCTGACCAAGCCAGTGGACGAGATTATATACGAGAATGGCAAGGTGGTGGGCGTTCGGTCTGGCAATGAAGTTGCCAGGTGCTCCCAGCTTATCTGCGACCCCACCTACGCGCCAGACAAAGTCCGCAAGGTTGCCCGTGTGGTTCGCGCCATCTGCCTGCTCAGTGAACCCATACCCAATACCGACGACGCAGATTCATTCCAGCTGATCATCCCTCAGAACCAAGTCAAGCGCAAACATGATATTTACATTGCTGGCGTTTCCCACTCACACGGCGTTTGCGACAGAAGCTATTATGTCGCTAGTGTTTCGACGATCGTTGAGACAGATAACCCGCAAGAGGAGATAAAGCCTGGTCTTGCGCTTCTTGATCCTATTGTTGAACAGTATGGACACTGGAACTCGAGCAATTTAATGTCAATGTCTTTCGTAGTATATCCTTTCACTGACGCGTTTACTCTCTGTCTTTCTTATTTTCGTTAATAGATTCGTTCTGATCACAGATATTTTCGAACCTATTGACGATGGCATAAAGGACCAAGTCTTTGTCTCTAAGTCGTATGACGCAACCTCGGACTTTGAGTCAATAAGTGCCGATGTCAAGGATCTCTACAAGCGCATCACCGGCAAAGATCTGGCTCTGTAGCCGCATTCATTCTCACGATAGATTGCTCAATGGAAGAGCAATTTAAATTATCAGAGTAGAGACATCTCAAATAATAAAGACCCTCAGCAGGATCTACTCCTCTTTTCGCCACCAGCACAATAAGGACGATTAATGATTGGGAAATAGAGAGGATTCCGTTTCTTTTTTTTTCTTTTTAATGACGAAATGACTTTCTAGATTTACTTGCGGATGGTGTCGACGTTCTCCTTGAACCACTCAACGGTCTCGTTGAGGGCAACGTCGAAGGGCGTGAACTGGAAGTCGGGGTTGAGGCTCATCAACTTCTTGTTCGATGCGGTCTTCTTGTACTGACCATCGGCCTTGGTGGTATCGAAGCGGTAGTCACCAGTGTAACCCATAGCCTTGACGATCGAGTCACCGACCTGCTTGATCGAAACCTCCTCTTCCTCAGGGACTATATGAATGCATATATAGAAGCAATGTAAGTATCAGTGCCAGCAGGATAGAATGCATGGATTTATCATAGAATTTCAAAGGGTATGAGTATTGTCCTTACCAGAAAGAATGAGAGGGGTAATCTCCTTGTATTCGCGAAGGGTCCAGATGAACAGCTTGGCCAAATCACGAGAGTAGATGAACTGGCGAAGAGGACGACCGGTACCAGCCATGATGAAGGGAGTGCCATTCTCCTGGGCCAAGTAACACTTGTGGATCAGACCGGGGATGACGTGAGAGTTGACCAAGTGGAAGTTGTCGTGGGGTCCAAAGACGTTGGTGGGGATGACCGAGGTGAAGTTGCAGCCGTACTGATCATTGTATGCGCTATTTGAATATGACAGCATACATAGATTGAGTTAGAATGCTGTATCGCGTGCGGATATAACCAATTGGTGTCCAAGATGAAAGAGAACTCTGTCGTACCGGTTCATGACATCGACCATGCGCTTGGAGTGAGAGTAACCATAGTTGGAGTCGTGAGGAGGTCCCAAGTGAACCATGGTCTCATCAATGGGGTATGTGGTCTTGTCGGGGAAGATGCAGGTGGATAAGCAGGAAACGACCTTCTGGACCTACAAGTCGTACATCAAAACGAAGCATTGGGAAGGAAATATTAGACCAAGGGAACATTCAGCAACCAAGAAATGCGCGTTGTCATTTGTCGCATTGATCCAGAATCCGATCTTTTCACTTACGCCAAACTCCTTGGCGTTGTGCAAAATGTTGTCGTTGATCAACAAGTTGTCGCGGAAGTAGTCAAGGTTGGCAGCCATGTTGCCAAAGAGCCCTCCGACTTTGGCGGCAAGGTGGATGATATGGGTAGGGCGGTACTTCTCGAAAACAGCCTTGGTCTGAGCAGGATCACTATATCAGTCAGCAAGGAGACACGATTCAGTCAATGTTTATATCCATAGAAACCAAAGAGGCATGTAATCAAAGTGATCGAGATGCATTCAAGCCCACTTACACCAGGTTTCCGTCCTTGGAGTTGAGGAAGACCCACTCCTCACCCTCGCGCCTGCCGTACTTGTCGTCGTTCTCGACGACCCACTGGATGGCCTTACCGACGAGGCCAGAGCCGCCAGTGACCATGATAACAGACTTCGTGGGAGACATGATGATGTGTGCTATGTGAAGAAAAGGGATGGGTTGAAGATGATGAAGGGATGAGAAAAAGAGCAGAGGATAAGGTGGGACTATATATAGGGCCGAGGGTAAGAGCGTTTGAAAATGTTAGACTTCGGTCCCTCATAGGTGCTCGCCCTGAGGCCTGAGGTGTGACGTCGATTCAGATTTCGAAGCTGGCATTTGTAAACAGAGCTGAGGGAACATAGTGGCAACAGGGCCCCTGCAAAGCCGATCGCAAACAGATCGCCGACCTCTCGCATCGTCCAACTCACATAATTACTCTCCTTTAAACATCAACAACACAACATGCCACGCTCTGCATGGAAAGGTCCCTTCTTTGTGGCTCTGCCTGGTCTTAGGCAGGCACTGACCCAAAACATCCCCGTCCGTACCAACGCACGCGCCTGCACCATCATCCCTTCCTTTGTCGGCCTCAAGTTCCAGATTCACAACGGCAAGGACTATGTCCCACTAACTGTCACCGACGAGATGGTCGGACACAAGCTGGGCGAGTTCGCGCCCACTAGGAAACGCTTCTCCTACCGCCAAACCAAGAACCGTTAAGGGAAGAACACGGGGGCAGGAAGCAGAGAATCATGGGCATAGCTTTCGACCTGCTTCGCTGTATTCTGTCACCTTCGCCTTTGTATCACCACCTACGATCACCTCGGGAGTCGCCATCTAGGGCAGCCACACACAATTGGCGTATCATGCACATCTCTATTACCGTCATTTTCGCTTCTCCGCTTCCGTCTTAGTCATTGTTCATATTAAAAATGGATTCTAGATCACACAGTTCGTAGCTCACTCTTCTGCCATAGATTATTCTTGAACAGCGTGGAAAATGTTGCGCTTAGGAATTGAAAATTGGAAATGCATGGATCAGGGTGTCCAGGACAGATAATGGTGGCAGGAGCCAGGACCGATGTAATATCATGACATGGCTCCCAGTTGCTTTGAAATCAGTAAAGGCAACAGAACAGCAATGTCCCTCGGGTGCGGCCTATCTCCCCTACAATGCAGCTGAATGTAATTAGGCGCGACCGAGAAGAATTGGCACCCTTGATCGCCATGGATTATCCCACAGGAATATAAAGGCGTTCGATAGATCAAGCACGAGACTGGACGACTTGTTGAGAACAATGCAGTCCACAGTGAACGATTTTGGCAAAGGGCAATCAATGGTTCAGAGACAAGACTGAGCTGAGCGATCAAGAATAAAAGCTTTTATTTCTTCAAAATCAGCTACGAATTGAATGTCGTTTGATGTAAAAAAAAGTTCAGCGAGCAAATTTATTCAGTTTGGGATGACCAACGATCAAATTTACTTCTTGGACTTCTCGGTGACCTCGACGCCGGTGAGGGCAGCGCGCTTCTCAGCGACACGCTCGTTGCGGCGGGTACGGGCAGCCTTGGTCTTGTTGCGGTGGGCCTCAGCCTGGTCAGCGATCAACTTGGCACGGAGCTTCTCAGCCTTGACCTTGTGGATGTACTCCATAAGGACACGCTTGTTCTTGAAGACGTTACCCTTGGCCTTCATGTACAAGACGTGGTACAAGTGTCTGTCAATCTTGCCAGACTCACGGTACTTGCGAAGAAGGCGGCGGAGGACACGCTGGCGGCGCATCCAGATGACGGTGGTGGGCATACGGGCCTCAGCGGTACCCTGGCGCTTACCAGTGCCGGAATGACGACCAGCACGCTTGGCAGCGAGCTTCTCGCGGTGGCGGAAAAGCGAGTGCATGGTCTGGGGCTTCTTGATGATAAGACCATCCTTGACCAACTTGCGGATGTTCTGGCCTATTGCACAAGGAAAAGTAAGGCGAAGTAAAAAGTTCAAGCGCGATTAGAAAATGAATCTCCTGAGCATTTGCAGATATGTGAGGGCGCGCTGGTCCAAATGCAACAGTCGACTCCAGTTGAATTAAGTCCATATCGTTGGAGTCCGTGAACGACCAGTAGAAATGTCAAGCGGCTTGATAGTAAACGATGTGGAGGAATGACAATAAAGCGCTCCCCATGTTGACAGTAATAAAGACAATGTGCTGTCAAGTATGTGAAATTTGCGTATGGTATCGAGACACGCCTCTGGTAGTTGACAAATGGAGTGGGAATCCGTGATGTTGAAATCGCTGTGCTGATGCAAAGTCCCTGAGTAACAGCGTTCCTGTTTTCTTTCTGAATATATTGGCGAGAAAGATGACGTTGGCGGCTGAAGACTTACGAGAGTTGGCGTTAGCGATCTCGGTGACCTCGTTGGGGTCAAGCCAAATCTTGCGCTTGCCGCACTTCAAGACGGCGGCGGCCAAACGTTTCTGACTGCTCAAAGAAACCCTGTGATTGACGAAGAGAGATTCAGAACAAACTGTCAGGAATCACTGAAAAAATCGCGCACTGGAAACACTAAGTCGAGTAGATGAGGGTCCATGACGACTGATGATGGGTTCCAGAGTTGAATGTCGAATGAGAATGGACAAATGTGGGATTCGGTCCAGGATTCCAGATTTGACTGACGGACAACATTAGAATAGTCGACGATCCGTTCCAGCATCACAAATCTCATCACTAGTCCTGCACGCAATTTTGACAGAGACTGGAGTCGAAGAAGTCGATGATGATGCGGTCCTGGGTAGATGAATCGGTCCTGGGTAGATGAATCGGTTACGCACATGTTTAAAACGACAGAAGCAAAGGAGGAAAAAAAGGGTTTCAATCAATCCATCAAAATAATACCACCGAAAATTTTTGCATCCATACCATTTATTAAGGGTGAATGACCTGCATACTTTGCAATTTCAACTAAGTCCCAAGTGTCTTCGCCCAAAGTGATATGATACTTGAAGCCAGTACCCGTCTTGCGCTAAGACAATAACAACCGTTTAGTTGTAGCCTGCTTTCGGCTCAATTGCGATCCTCTCAGTAGCGCTGACTCTCTAGGATACGCCCTGAGACTGAACAAGAACCATTCGACTTAACATGGACGAGATACAATGCGCAGCGGACGATATTGTGAGAGTGATGTTTTCTTATTCTAACTGCATTTGTCAGAGTTTTGTATGATAGAAGGAATCCCCATCCTTTCTACTTCATATACATGCTGCTTTTAGAAGAGGAGGTAAACAATTACTCCACGTCCTTCTATGGGTATAAGGGCAGCAGGTATTTCAAAGCAATTATAATTGGTAACTGTAATTCCTAAGTGCTCTTTAGGGACTAAAGTGAGGCAAATCAGCGGTGATGCTAGATGGTAGACCGAGAACACCTTGGCGCGTTTGTGGTAGGCACAAAAGATATCGATTGGGGTGGTTGGAAACTATCCACAAGCCACTCTTGGTTCAAATGAATCGAGAGTCCGTTCTCTTGATACTCCTTTTTTTCGCACTAATCAAACCAAGATGGAAAGTGGCACTTTATGATACCATGCAGGCATCCGCAACCATCCATCCAGATATCATGGCCATCAATCACATTATTCCACCATTTCGTGCACTATTTGGTAGTGACAATCAACGTCAATCCTCACGATCATCCTGGGGAAATTATGCTCGAAAAAAACCCACCGTTGATCAGCAGCACCAACAAGGACATAGATCTGGATGGATGGATTGTAGGAATCAGTTTTCCCCTTCGGCAATACGATCAGCCTATTAACTAAGGGACTTGTCTTATCCTCTACTTCCGTTGACATCAACAGTCTCTCCTTGTCCCCGAGAAAGGCCAGTTCCAGCACATTCTTCGTGTTCTCAACACGAACGTCGAGGGCAAGACTAAGATTATGTTTGCCATGGTAAGACGAACCTGACATCACTGTCTCTCCAACAGACAGATTGCAAGGCCGATTGTTGACTTGACCAGGACTCTTGTACAAAAGAACAATAGAACTGACCCTCAAGCGTTTTATTTGCTTTATCTTGTACCCAATAGACCAACATCAAGGGTGTCGGTCGTCGTTATGCCAACTTGGTCTGCAAGAAGGCCGATATCGACTTGAAGAAGAGGTGCGTTCACTGGAGCTCATTGGAAGCAGAACAACTTCATTGTTCTAATTATCTGGACACACGGCATCAAGGAAGGCAACAATATCAATCAAGAAGGATCTGTGCAGGCATCATGCTGCGGGAACTGTCTAGCGCAGGCGACTGCGGCAGGGCAATGATTCTTCGGCAAACATAACTGGACTAGTTTGAAAATCGACCTTTTAGATACTGTTGAGGATATAAGAGGTTTTTAATGGATCATTGGAGTATTCGTTTTGGCCAACACTATCGCAGCACGAAGGAGACGGTTGGATATTTCGACACCCTGAAGCACTTTGCTACTGCGTTCCATCAGGATTCGACATTGAGCTTGGAAAGAGGCAGCTGGACTCATCAATATCTTCTGTGTCATTATTGAAATATAGAGCTGGTGAGCTCACCAACGAGGAACTCGAGCGTCTCGTCACCATTATGCAGAACCCCACCCAGTACAAGGTTCCCCAGTGGTTCCTCAACAGACAGAAGAACTTTGTCGATGGCAAGTACACCCAGCTGTTGGCCAACGGTCTCGACAACCAGATGCGTGAGGACCTGGAGCGTCTCAAGAAGATCCGCGCTCATCGTGGTCTCCGTCACTACTGGGGCGTCCGTGTCCGTGGTCAGCACACCAAGACTACCGGTCGTCGTGGTCGCGTTGTCGGTGTCTCCAAGAAGAAGTAAACTGTAAGTGTTGTTTTCTTATCATTTCCTGTTCTTATCTGTCCTATTAGTATCTCTTCGAGATAGAAGAAGAAGAGTCGCAGCAATCCCCTTCAAAATGATGCTTGAAAAACTTATCTACATTGTCCGAATCAATATGTGGACAACCTTATTTTCCTGATTCTTGTTTCTGTTCACCCAAAAACTGCAGCGATCGGGATTGTTTCGACTTTATGGCAGATTTACACTTGGGGATCAGAACATGAGGGCATTGATATAAAGGCATTGGTTACTCACTAATCTGTCCTTTCTAACGCATGCCACATTAACTTAGATTTTCTGTCTTGCTTGGGCGTATTAGTTGTGCATTCCACGGAAATAAACAACTCTGTATTCAAAAAAAAGAACTGTTGTACCTGCCTGTTATTTTTTGGTCACACTATCGACTTTTTGCGGGATCAGAGGAAAAAGAATTTATCGCTCTACGGAGCGAATGCAAGTGCATAGCAACTTTTTCAGCTTTGGGACCTCTGTCCGCAAATGCGATCGGTAGCAGTGATATAAATGAGGAATAAACTATTTGATATCCCATCCGGAGATCTATTATCCATGTTGAGCATGCAAGTCCATTCTGCAGGAAGTCTATGTATCTCGGTCTAACTAACGCCTTTACTGTGTTCGTACGGCGCCTGCTTCGCAAGAGGGCCTGTTTCTTACGTTCCACGACACTTTCATCTACGGCAAATACACAAAGTATTTAACATGGGCTTCCCGCAGGGGGAGGGTTGTGGCAACCTAGGTTGCCAAATGAATTATTCCAAAAAAAAAGAGCTACACCGATCCATACGCTCATGGTTCACTACATACAGCCTGGTCATGGTGAGTACG